CCCTTCACTCGTTCCTCGTTTCAGGGCACAAGCTAGCCGAATCGGGCATAAGCAGTTTCATCATCCTCTTGGCTTTAGGGTTTCAGAGAGTTTTTCTACGCAAAACATGGAAGCCAATTTTGAGCATAGCTGTAGCTAACGGGTTTTTGATTAGCTACAGCTCATTACCCCTTCCTCCAAACCTGAAACCCGAGACTGGTCAAATTATGATCCGATAAGACTGCTACTGTCAATAGCGCAGGGACGAGTAGCCCAAGAACATGATCAGCTAAACTTAGCCTTAGATTAGGGCCCCCATCTGCTATTTCAGGATGCCTTCTCTTCCCTCTCCAAGAACCGACGGCTAAAAACCGCTCTAAAAGTCTTCTTCTGTAGGAAAAGGAAAAGGGGAAAGCAGAGGACAAGTGACCTCTACTACTGACGAAAAACCAAATTTGAGCGATACGTAAGAGTCAGCAATACACTGCGACTAGTCTCTGCGGATCTAGGGTGTGGAAAATAAGTCCTAGCTAAATACATAATTAATAAAGGACTACTACGCTTAGCGAAAGTCTGCTACTTTTTCTTTCAAAGCTAAGATCAAAACATAACTCGTTAAGCGCTTTATGATCTGTTTCACAAACTTCTCTCTGTCGCTCTGGAAGATTTTAAGAAAAAGGACGGAAGATCTATATATAGGATAGGAAATTATTATCCTTAATACTCTAGACGGGGGACGAGTTTAGGGCCCGACTATATTTACGAGGCAAGATTTAAATCTTATATTCGTGCTCCCCCCACCCCCTCCAGCCTGGGGGGTATGGCGAGAATATATTGAGGGTAGTTGAATTGGAGGAGTTGATAGGAAGACCCAATCTTTGATTGGATGATCCGGTCGACCGGGATTTACGTTTCAGGGTGCGAATATCTTCAGGGTGGTAACCTCTTTCATTTCCTCTCTTCGTTTTAGAGTACCAAGTAATAACCGATCAAACTGGAAGGGGTATTGTTTACTCATAATTATTTCCTACATCCCGTTTCAGGTGAACCAGCAATCCCGGGTGCACTCGGGCTGAAATTTGCCGTTGGCACTTCTCCATACCCGGGAGGAGAATGGTCAAGAGGCCAATCTGTAGCCGATTCAACATCGGCAGGCAATGCCCTGTGATAAACTTTTCGTGTATTGGGCTGTGAGATTTCATTGGTATTTTGGGGGGTGTTGCGACGTAAAAACTGGCGGAGATATGGTGCAGAGCCACACACAATCAAAAAATTGGCTTCGATAACTCTATTCGGGAGAAATATTACATTCAGTAAGTCTCAGTGTCCTCACTGGATTGGAGGTTACCTACATAAAAAGACAGGCAAGCCCAATATTGTGCGGTTGATCATTGGACGCAAGTAGAGGGATCAAAGTCACCAAGCGAGCAATACTGGTCACCACGGTCCTAGAAGATGGTAGCCACACAAATCAATACTGTTTCTGTTAGACCTCAATGTCTAGAGTGCAGATTCACGAACAGACATCCAATCCCAAATAAACACAATATTCCAATCTTCTGCAGCAGTGGTAAATGCATTCCCCACATAAACGTGATGGGTATCATGATCAGTACCACATCGCTAGCTGTATTTGCTATCGCCGTACCTAGATGGAGAGCTGACCTGTTGGAACAGGCGCTAGGATCCGAGAGGTTCCATCCAGCCTGAATAGGACGGCAGGCAAAAATGAGTGCGAAGACTAGCGCGACGGTGTACGTGGAGATTCCAGTGGCAATAAAATAAAGTGTATAGCGCCACATTGGTACTGATTTAAGTATCCGGTAGTAAAGCATGATGACGGCGAGTTTGGCGAGTGCAAGCGTTGGGAGATAGAGTACTGCTAAGGTGAGGATAGCCTAGCCTGTTCTGTCAACTAATGTCGGTAGTAATGGCTTTTTGATGTATTGAATATTACCTTCCTATATGCGACGATTCTGGGTAGAGGGATGTTCCAAATGTGAATTGCGAAGTATGAGTGGGCATAGCCATCTACATCCACATTAATAGTCAGATTCCATACCAATCCTTTGATCTTCTCACATAGTATAGTGGCTTGGGTCCCGATGGAGAACATCTATTTGTTTTGTCAGATCCTTTTTTAATTATCATCATCATCATCATCCAATTCATACCCAAGCAAGAGCAATCAAAACTAGAGGTCTTCCTTTAGAACTGAATACGTAAACACTGTGGAGAAGCTCACCATCATCCCACCAAAATTTGTTCATAATACACGCCTTGGTATAAAGACGCATGACGAGCAATAGAGTAGAAACTGTCACTCCAACAACTACAGCAATACGATTCGCATTGAGTAGCCAGGGTAGGGAGTGAAAATCAGGGATAACCCCAGCGGGGGGAGGACGCACCCCCGCACTGTGATTCATTGTCAATATGAAGACCAGGTGAGTGGGAAAACAGGGTTCCCATCTGCACAGTGCGAGGTGCTCTACTACAACGACTCTCACTTTAAATCTACCGGAAGGAAGCGAGAAACAGTCGACCTGGTGCAATAGAATGCTTACTAAGACCGACATATTCCGCCACTTGAATTATTGCCGTTACGCCACTGACATTATTGACTTTCGTTCCTCGAAGTAGAAAAACTAACATGAATCCCCGTCTAAACGAGCCCATTGTCTGCAAAGCCTTGTGTAAAGTTTTCGTTTAACAGGAGAAAGAAACGTTCACGGTGAATATAAACCGGATGCTACATTTAGGGATAGAATCGTGACTATGAGCTTTTCCTCGCGGAAAGATATTCTCAGCCTCCTTCATCTTGTCTAGCCCTGGCAGAGTGCTGTATTGTTTTTGGGGTCGACTACATGTATGCTTGCCCGAAGTATCTATTGATGGTGTGACTGAGTAGCTTCTTGGGTAGTGGCTTGTGCTATATAAGTTCTTGATCTGAATGCATGGATAGATGGCCAAATCATCGTCCCGCTTGAATGAATGAACGAAATACTGCCTGAATCGGGCTTGCAACGGGGGCGACCCGACCTCTTGGCCTTTCAGCCACAAGCCCCACATTCTAGTCAGCAGGAAGGATGATTTGTCGACAACTCATACACTCCTAACCAAAATCTGGCTAGAACGGGCTAGATGAGCTGACTCATTCCTGTCGATAACCAGTTACTCCTGGAAGATTCAGGTTTGAATATTTCGTTTCACCCTTATTGCATGCTGATACGTACTGTCCCTACTCAAAATTCGTGACAATCACAATTGAACTCGAAACACTAAGCTGGTAGCGGATAACGGCGGATAATTCGGAAATCTATGATCTATGACATTTTCCTGATCCGCCTCTCAGATCAGCCTCCTAGACCATGACCACGACTATCTGCCTTGGCTGGGCGATACATCAATCTCACCTTTAATTCAGAATGATACACCTTGCATCGACTACGCCTTCGAGCTCATAATGGAATGCAAAAGCAGTTTCCGATGCGCTCCATAAAGCGCTCACCATGAAGCGCGATAAAAGGAAACGAACTTTGAAGAGCTACGAGACTCTACCACCACTCATATTAGGTATGCGCATTGAGATAGATAGACTGACTATGCATAGTACCCAGTGGAAGGGGCACTCTTCGTCAAGCTTGAGCGGTTGCACGATCGGAGATGGTGAGGAAATTTTTATATGTGGATGTACTAAGATCGGTTGCAATTCTTGTTGCACGCACTCCCCGTGATCTGTTTGTCGACAGAATCTCTATTGACAATTGCACTGTGACTTCGAGCCTAGGGTAAGTTGGCTCAATAGTCGGGCTGGCTTTGTACGTAAACTCCATCATAGTACGCTCATGTCTTGAGCTGTTAAAGATTACCTTTGAGTTATACAAACTTACGACAATATTGTTTACTATGGGAGAAGAACAACTCAAGCGCCGAATTAAGTTTTTGAGATATCTCATGAACAAGACCAGTCAGCAATTTTTAATGAATGCTTATCGCGACGTTCAACGAATTTAGATAGCCAATTCTTACCAACGGTAGGCGGAGGTTAGCTGCCGCGTGTACCTGGTAGGATATTCGCCATCACTCTGCCAGGCTAGACATGATGAAGGAGGCTGAGAATATCCTCCCGCGAGGAAAAGCTCATAATCAAACCTCTCTAGGCAGAAGGCAGCTAATGTGACTACAAATAGCAGCATCTACTCGCATAGTTACGGAATGATTTGTATTTTAATCCTGGTTTTCAACTTTTTGCGAGGGGTCAGGGTAAATGGCATCGACCAATCAACCGACTATAGCTTATTTCGACGTAGGTAAAATGGGAAACGTGCCTTTACGTAGAGTTTGGACTTACTGTGGACGCGATAAGTCTCGGAGGGCAACAGGCCCTCAGCTGAATCGCAAAATTTACACATCGCGGTTTCGATAGGTCGTACTGCCTGAAGATTTCACCACTTCAATCTCTCCTAACCGAATTCCCTCTATTAAGAAAGTAACCGTTGAATTACCCATTTCCATAAACATTTTCCTTTGCTGCTATTTATGCTATCACTAAAAGCGCAGGAATAACTCAAGTGCTGATAAGCCCCTTACTAAGTGGCTTATGCTCTGTGGCGTTATTACCAACAACGCATGGATAGATAACCGAATCACCACAGCACTGAAATAAGTGAAATGAGAACTGCTTAAATCGGGTTGATAAATTATTCTCTGTGGCGAAAATACCACTTGATATAGATAGATAAGCCAACCAGTTTAAAGCTTGGACGAGGGAGCTAAATACTGCCCAGATCGGTTTTTTGTGGCGGTGGCGACCCACTCTTTGATGGGCAGAATATACGGTTTGTGGATACCAGAAGATTCCCAAAGTTTAATCTCGTTAGCTACGGAGGCTGGGTCCTGTGGTATTCCTGGAATACTTATAGCGCCTCAAATATCCTGTGTCACTAGATCCAAAGGACTCCTTTTGACCCTAACTTCATTATCGGCACTAGTGGCCATAACTGTTCCATTCGGCAAATATGCCACCTTCATCACGCACTACCCTAGACGACATCCTATCAAGTCAGTCGTCGGGGCCGTATTCATACAATGAGTTACTAGAGTTTCTAACTCAGGGCCATTGTATAGAGACCCTCAATTTTATTGCCGATGCCAAATCGTATCGCAATACATATGGTCTCTACTCTATATCCGTCGACAGTTGCAATTTGATTCGAGATACTACGCTGGTAGCGCAACAGTGGAAACGTTTGATATCTACATACGTGTTTCCTGAATCTCCCTGTCAAATCAACCTCCCAGACCATATTCGCGAACAGCTACTTGAGCCCGTCGATGCGATACTCTCGCCCCCAGATCCGGAACGATTAGATCTAGCTATCGACTATGCGTACGATGTCATTACGGAAGATGCTTTGGTACCGTTTACGAGAAGCTTACGCACAGAAGACACGTATGCTATCCGATCAGGATATCTACCAGCGCCGAACTCAAATCGTCTATGCAGCAGTCACTGTCTTTCCCAAGACCTAATCTACCCGGTCGATGATAAGATGTAAAAAAACACCACTCACAGATTAATTTCTTTCTAATTTGAACTCCTAGGAACCAAGCACCTGCGTTGGAGCAGCGTACCGAACGTCCCAAAATTCGTTGCCGAAAGGCTTTTCGCCTTATGTCGCTAATCCAAGACTATTTCACGCAAGCTGGATGACCCCATTGAAAAGTACAATTCATACACAAACAGAACGGCCTAACACCGACAAGATGTCTTTTTGAAGGATAGCGCTATCCAGAAAACTGGAATTTATCAACTCTTTTCACCTTTGACTCATTATAGGTGTCAATATGTAGTTCAGTCTGCCTTCGGTGAGGGGAGTGATTCTGTGTAAGGAACTGCACCAGTTAGGATGCAATGCACCATATAATTATGAGAGTACAGTGGCAAAACCACAAGTCTCCGAGACCCCCGAAACACCGCCTACCTAATATAGCCTGCCTAGCCTCCCAAATGCGACCGCGTATCGCTCTGCATACTGAACGTTAAAAATCTACGTAGCCCAGGTCCTCGCCCTTCGGTACAAATTGTCCCGAGCGGGATCGGTTGGAATCCACACCCGACAGACGGGTCTGGAGCAAAAGCAAGCATACGTATACTAAATGGGCGTATCGAGGGTTCGAAATGCCGTTGAATAAACAGGAGTTTAAATAAAGCACAGCAAGCAACACAGTATTCTATTTAGGGAATACATCCGTTCAAATGCCGTGGTTTATCCGAAATGCCCCAGAGCGGGCTACTATCTCACTCACTGAATTTACATAGTCTTCAATCCTGTATTGAAGGCCATGGTCTGTCCCTATGGTATTCTACCAGAACGGAAAATGAATCATAAATGGATGCCGAAATCAACGAGTACGTAGCTGAGACTGATTTCTAGGCTACGGAGAGACTCGTTACTACGGTTGAAAGACCCGCCTGATCTTTCAAGCGGATCTCAAGAACAATACACCTCCACAGAAGATTTGATCTAACCAAGAGCGGACATATGAAAATGAGATTGAAGTTGCTAAAACCAAACACAAAAAAGGACCTATGGTGGTCTAAAGGGAAACCATTTTAATACAGATTACATTGTATGGAAAAAGGTCGATAACGAGACGCTGTCTCGCCGGGCTTCTCTCTGCTCTTCTTTCTTTTACAGCAGAAGCTCGAGCGGGTTCTCGACAACCTTCTTCAGCTCCTTGATCCACTCACCACCGACGGCACCGTCAACGACCTTGTGGTCGAAGGAACCGGTGACGATGATCTGGTCATCCCACTCGGTAACGGTGCCCTCCTCGGTCTCGACGGGGACGGCAACCTTGCGAGTGGTGCCGACAGCCAGGATACCGGCCTGAGGGGGGTTGATGACGGCAGTGAAGCGCTCAACGGCGGGGTTCATGCCCATGTTGGAGATGGTGAAGGTACCACCCTGGTACTCCTCGGGCTTGAGCTTGTTCTCACGAGCACGCTTGCCAAGGTCCTTGATCTGGTTGGAGATACTGGACAGACCCAGACCCTGGACGTTCTTGACAACGGGGGTGATCAGACCGGAGGGGGTAGCAACGGCAACGCTGATATCAGCGGTGCTGTGCTGACGGATAACGGCCTGGCCGTTCTCCTCGCGCCAGCTGGAGTTGACCTGGGGAACCTTCAGGAGAGCGACGGCGCAAGCCTTGACAAGGAAGTCGTTGACAGAGAGCTTGTACTTGCCCTCGGCGGAGGCGTTCAGGGCCTGGCGGAGCTTGAGGAGCTTGGTCACGGACAGGGTGGTGGACACGAAGTAGTGGGGGTTGTCAGCCATGGACTGCTTCAGGCGGTTGGCAATGGTCTTGCGCATGGAGGTGATGGGGATGTCCTCGAAGGTAGGGCCAGCAGCGGCGGCACCACCGGTGGGCTGGTACTTCTCAACATCCTCCTTGGTGATGACACCACCACGGCCAGTGCCCTTGAGGGCCTTGACGGGGACACCCTTCTCGAGAGCGAGAGCCTTGGCAGCAGGGCTGATCGAGGGCTCACGGTCCAAGCTGGGCTGGAGCTTGTCGCCAGAGGTCTCGGGCTCCTGCGCGGCGGGCTCCGGAGCCGGGGTCGGGGCCGAAGGCTCAGCGCTCTTGGGCTCCTCCTTCTGCTCAGCGGCCGGGGCGGCCTTGTCACCACCAGCATCAGCCAGGGTGAAGGACTCGAAGGGAGTGACATCGGCACCCTCCTCAACAAGGACGGCAATGGGCTGTAAGGCGGGACGGAAAAAAAAAGCGGTTAGTGTTTTGTTTTTCATACACAAGGTTGTCAGGGGAGAGGAGCATGGAAGCTCCTCCGCGGAGAATTTCGGAAAAATTCTTACAGAGCCAACAGGGACATCCTTCTCACCGGAGTCCTTCAGGACCTTCGCGAGAACACCCTCCTCCTGGAACTCAAAGTCCATCTGCGCCTTATCGGTCTCAATCTCGACAAGAACATCTCCGGGCTGGAGGCCGTCACCGGCCTTCTTCTGCCATGCGCCAATGTTTCCCGCGGTCATCGTCGGGGACAAAGCAGGCATGCTGATGATGGTGTGGGGAGGGAAAGCTGTAGTAACATTGCGATTGTTAGAGGAAGTCGACTGGGCGTGTTGGATGGGATCAATTGGATGTCATACACTTGGAGGCATAGAAGCGGGAAAGAGCGGACAGGGCGGGCAATTGGTTTCTGCGCGAAGAAAGCTCATCAGTATCAATCCATTTCACTAAAACGAACGTCGAGAGAGGCGCATACTGGATGACCTCCTGGAACTTGTAGGAGACCTGAGGGCGCCGCATAGAGGCGGCGCCTCGAGACATGAACATGGCACTCGGAGTGCGCATCCGGACAGCGGCAGCGACCATGTTGGGCTCGAATTGCCGGAGTATATGAACAACAAAAAGGTCCCTGGACACAGATATCACAGAAACAAAGAAGTTCCGGTGCGGGGAGACGGTGAAAAGCCGGGGATGAGGGAGTTGGGGGGAGAAAGATGGCCTCTAAAGGTCAGGAACTTTTCTGTTGAGCTTCTAAGGTTCCCGGTGAGCGGCCTCTTCCGAGTCACGTGAGGACCAACAGGCTGGACTCCCGCGCTCCGGGAAGGCCAGCTTGCTGACTCAGCTGTGCCAGTCCCGATTGGGAGAAGACACGCATCCCCATATGAAACAATAATCATACCGGCGAGCATCCTCGCAGGGCCCAAACGTTGCCCACCTCTCTATTGTTTTCCCGTCGCATGCTTCAGGTTTGATCCGATAGCTCCGCCCGGAGTCTCTCTGACCATGGCGGACGTCGATCCCGGCCTAGAGCCGAATCACAACCACCCTGCGGCCGACGTGCCCGAACCCGAGCAGGCCTCCGTGAATACAGCTACGGAAGAAGCTCAAGAAGCTCCGCCAATGTTGACCTCTGATAAGCCGTCGCTTTTATCCGAGAAGACACAATGGCAAGAAGTGAAGGAGCATGAAGAGGAAGAGATACGACAAGACGGAAAGGGAGAAGACAATAAACAAAACGAAGCCGAGGGGCCGCAGCAGGCAGCAAACGAACAAGATGACGAGGACGAAGTGAAGCCCGAAGTTCCACCAAAGGATACGACGGAGGAGAACACCAATGTTCCTCAGGTTGAACAGCAACAGCAGGCTGATGTCGCACCTCCCGAAATTCACGAACCCGAGCCTACCGAGGATATTGCGCCGCCAGATGCTCGAATGCGCTCCGACTCGCGGTCAACCACGGCTACCTTTGCGACGCATCGATCCACAGTTGTCAGCTCGACGGTTTTCATCGTGACTGCCCTCGACACCATTGGCGCCTCCCGCGAAGCCCGCCGAAGCAAGGAGCTCGAGGAAGCCGTTCAGGTAGCCTTGGCGAATGTCAAGCAGTCGGATGGACAACCTATCGACCCGGAGCTTATTTTCCGTCCTCTTCACCTGGCAAGCAAGACTCTCAGCATTCCGCTTCAGGTGACTGCCCTCGATTGCATTGGAAAACTCATCACCTACTCCTACTTTGCCTTCCCCTCCGCCGAATCCGAAAGCGAGGCTACCCCGGAGAAGCCGCCCCTGATCGAACGAGCCATTGACGCAATTTGTGACTGTTTTGAGAATGAGGCCACCCCCAACGAGATTCAACAGCAGATCATCAAGTCTTTGTTGGCTGCCGTGCTGAATGACAAGATCGTGGTGCATGGAGCTGGTCTCCTGAAAGCAGTTCGCCAGATCTATAATATCTTCATCTACTCCAAGTCCAGTCAGAACCAGCAAATCGCTCAAGGCTCGTTGACTCAGATGGTCAGCACGGTGTTTGACAGAGTTCGAGTTCGGTTGGATCTGAAAGAGCTCCGGAATCGCGAGGTTGAGAAAGTCACTGGTGCCAGTCTAGATGCGTCGGCAAGTGACCAAGGTCAAATCTCGGAGGTCGCTTCTGTATCTGCGGTCGACCAAGGGGATCAAACGGATCAGTCAGACCAGCCAGTCACTAAAGAACCTAACTCGGAAAAGCTCACTCTGCAGAGCTTCGAGTCGCCCAAGGAGGTGACCACTGTCAATGACAATGCGCCCACGACAGTCACCCGTGCCAAAATGGCTCGGTCTACCGCCGCCCGATCAATCTCGGGCATCCCCGAGGAGAGAGAAGATGACAGCTCGACTGAGGATGATGTGGATGAAGTCTACGTCAAGGACGCTTTCTTGGTCTTCCGCGCGTTGTGTAAGCTGAGCCACAAGGTTCTTGGCCATGACCAGCAACAAGACATCAAGTCTCAAAACATGCGGTCGAAGGTGCTTTCACTACACCTCATCCACTATCTCATCAACAACCACATTACCACCTTCACCTCACCGCTTGCTGCAATCAAGAACAACAGCTCATCTAGCAGCGACGCCATGACACTCCTCCAGGCTGTGCGGCCCCACCTTTGTTTAAGTCTCAGCCGGAATGGTTCCAGCTCCGTTCCTCATGTCTTCAAAGTCTGTTGTGAGATTTTCTGGTTGATGCTGAAGGATATGCGCGTGATGATGAAGAAAGAGCTGGAGGTGTTCCTCAAGGAGATCTACCTAGCTATTCTCGAGAAGCGCGCTGCCCCTTCTTTCCAGAAGCAGTACTTTATGGAGATTTTGGAACGATTGGGAGGCGATCCTCGTGCGTTGGTGGAGATCTATCTCAACTATGATTGTGACCGAACGGCGTTGGAGAACATCTTCCAGAACATCGTCGAACAGCTATCACGGTACTCGAGCGTGCCAGTTTCTACGACGGCTTCTCAACAACAATACTTCCAGGATCACCATACCAAGATGACTAGCACTGGGGCTGAATGGCGCCAGCGTGGAACTCTGCCACCATCGCTCACGACCGCCAATATCACACCACCTCCCCAGCCGGCCGCGCCCAGCATTCCCTCGGACTATATCCTGAAGCACCAGGCTGTGGAATGCCTCGTTGAGATGCTCCGTTCTTTGGACAACTGGGGTTCTCAACGTCTGGACGACCAAGCCGCTGCCGCTGCCGCCGCTTCACTTGGGCCAGTCAAGTCGATGGACAACTCCCGTGAATCACTAGATACTAATGTGCTCTTTTCTCCACGCCCAGAGATCAGCGAGGCAGGTACTGGTCGATCTACTCCTGTGCCTGAAGATGACCCGAACGAGATTGAAAAGGTCAAACAGCGCAAGATCGCGATGATGAACGCCATTCAACAGTTCAATTTCAAGCCGAAGCGTGGTATTAAGCTTTTGCTTTCGGAAGGCTTCATTCGCTCGGATTCTCCCGAGGATATCGCCAGTTTCTTGCTTCGCAGTGATCGTCTTGACAAGGCTATGCTTGGCGAGTACCTGGGTGAGGGCGAAACCGAAAACATCGCTATCATGCACCAGTTCGTCGACCAGATGGATTTCACCAAACGACGTTTCGTTGATGCTCTTCGGTCTTTCCTGCAGCACTTCCGTTTGCCTGGTGAAGCGCAAAAGATTGATCGTTTCATGCTCAAGTTTGCGGAACGGTACACAACTCAAAACCCCAATGCCTTCGCTAACGCAGACACGGCATATGTCTTGTCATACTCGGTTATCATGCTCAACACCGATCAACACAGTTCTAAGATGAAGGGTCCGAGAATGACCAAGGAGGACTTTATCAAGAACAACCGCGGTATCAACGACAACCAGGATCTACCAACCGAGTATCTCATTTCTATCTACGAAGAGATTGCTAATAACGAGATCGTCCTCGACACCGAGCGAGAACACGCAGCCAATTTGGGCATCCAGACCTCTGCTCCTACAGGACTGGCGACTCGAGCCGGACAGGTCTTTGCTACCGTCGGTCGAGATATCCAAGGCGAGAAGTATGCGCAGGCGTCCGAGGAAATGGCCAACAAGACCGAGCAATTGTACCGCTCACTCATCCGAGCCCAGCGCAAGACGGCCGTCCGTGACGCGCTTTCTCGTTTCATCCCCGCTACTTCCGTTCGACACGTGGGATCAATGTTCAATGTTACATGGATGTCTTTCTTGTCAGGATTGTCAGCCCCCATGCAAGATACCCAGAACCTTGAGACCATCCGACTTTGCATGGAGGGTCTCAAGTTGGCGATCCGCATCAGCTGCGAGTTTGATCTGGAAACCCCTCGCGTCGCCTTTGTGACTGCCTTGGCAAAATTCACAAACCTTGCAAATGTTCGCGAGATGATGCCGAAGAACGTGGAAGCGTTGAAGGCACTGCTTGACGTTGCTTACACGGAAGGCAACCGTCTGCGTGGCTCGTGGCGAGAGATTCTGACCTGCGTCAGTCAGCTTGACCGGTTGCAGCTGTTGAGTGATGGTGTGGACGAAGGGTCTCTGCCTGATGTCTCGCGAGCACCCACGGTATCCTCCGATACTGCCTCTCGCAAATCCATGCAGTCTATCAGGAGACCTCGGCCACGGTCGGTTGGTGGACCCTCGGCCTTCCGCCCAGAGATTGCCATGGAAAGCCGATCTGCCGATATGGTTCGCGGTGTTGATCGAATCTTCACCAACACCGCAAACCTGTCTCACGAAGCCATCATCGACTTTGTGCGGGCATTGAGCGATGTCAGCTGGCAAGAAATCCAGTCCTCTGGACATAGTGACTCTCCTCGCACGTACAGTCTGCAGAAGTTGGTTGAAATCAGTTACTACAATATGACTCGTGTCAGGATTGAATGGTCGAAGATTTGGGAGGTTCTAGGCCAGCACTTCAATCAGGTTGGCTGCCACTCCAACACAACCGTCGTGTTCTTCGCACTGGATTCTTTGCGACAACTGTCGATGCGCTTCATGGAGATTGGCGAATTGCCCGGTTTCAAGTTCCAAAAGGATTTCCTGAAGCCTTTTGAGCACGTCATGGCAAACAGCACTACTGCTGCTGTCAAGGACATGATTCTTCGCTGTCTCATTCAAATGATCCAGGCCCGTGGTGACAACATCCGGTCTGGGTGGAAGACCATGTTTGGCGTATTCACCGTTGCCGCTCGGGAGCCTTATGGTAAGCACTCGTCTTTTCTGTTCTGACTTTCTTCAAATGCTAACAACTTGCGACAGAGGGAATTGTGAATATGGCCTTTGATCATGTCACCCAAATCTACAACACTCGCTTCGGGGTTGTGATCACCCAGGGTGCATTTGCTGACCTGATCGTTTGTTTGACCGAGTTCTCTAAGAACTCCAAATTCCAAAAGAAGTCATTACAGGCGATCGAGACGCTCAAGTCCACGGTTACCAAGATGCTGCGTACTCCGGAGTGCCCGCTGTCCCACCGCGGCGGCACCGCTGCTCCACACTTCCAAGAAGAAGGAACCAATCTTGCCAAGCAACTCACTCGCCAGTCGCAAGAAGAGCAGTTCTGGTATCCCATTCTCATTGCCTTCCAGGATGTGTTGATGACTGGGGATGATCTCGAGGTTCGGTCTCGCGCATTGACCTACCTCTTTGATACTCTGATCCGACATGGAGGGGACTTCCCCCGTGATTTCTGGGACGTTCTCTGGCGGCAACTGCTTTGCCCGATCTTCGTGGTCCTGCAGTCCAAGTCCGAAATGTCCAAGGTTCCTAATCACGAGGATCTTTCTGTCTGGCTGTCTACGACGATGATCCAAGCTTTGCGCAACATGATCACTCTCTTCACCCACTATTTCGAGGCATTAGAGTACATGCTGAGTCGGTTCTTGGAGTTGCTGACCTTGTGTATCTGCCAAGAGAATGACACCATTGCTCGCATTGGTAGCAACTGCCTGCAGCAGTTGATCCTGCAGAATGTTTCCAAGTTCCGAGAGGAACATTGGACCCAGATCGTCGGTGCTTTCGTCGAGCTCTTCAGCAAGACAACTGCCTATGAGCTTTTCACGGCGGCGGCATCCATGTCGAAATTGACCGAGACTCCGGCCATCGCCACCACCAACGGTGATGTCGCCCAGTCCGATGCGACATCTGCCGAGCTTCCTGATTCGCTCCAAGCGAATGGATCTCAAAGCACCGCCTCTCTTCAGGATGAAAGCGATCCGCCCGCCCAGAGCGAGGCCCGTGCCGAGCTCGAGGACTACCGGCCACCGACGGACTCGCAACAGCAACCTGCAGCCGTCACTGCGGCTCGTCGTCGCTTCTTCAACCGGATCATCACCAACTGCGTTTTGCAGTTGCTCATGATCGAAACGGTGCACGAGCTCTTCTCCAACGACAACGTCTATGCTCAGATCCCCAGCCACGAGCTCTTGCGGTTGATGGGCCTGCTAAAGAAGAGTTATCAGTTTGCCAAGAAGTTCAACGAGGACAAGGATCTTCGCATGCAGCTCTGGCGTCAGGGGTTCATGAAGCAGCCACCCAACTTGTTGAAGCAAGAGAGTGGTAGTGCTGCGACCTACGTGCATATACTTTTCCGAATGTATCATGACGAGCGAGAGGAGAGACAGAGCAGTCGCGCCGAGACCGAGGCAGCTCTCATTCCGTATGTTTATCATCCACAAGGTTTTTCCCGTCTTTGAAAAGAAGTCTTTTGCTAATCAGTTTGTGTTCTTCTAGCCTCTGTGCCGATATTATTCGCAGCTTTGTCCGCCTCGACGAAGAGAGCCAGCACCGCAATATTGTGGCCTGGCGCCCCGTGGTGGTGGATGTCATTGATGGATATAACAACTTCCCCCAGGACGGGTTCGACAAGCACATCGAGACCTTCTACCCACTCGGTGTGGAGCTTCTTAGCCGCGATCTCAATCCGGAGATTCGCGTCGCGCTACAAGCACTTCTCCGTCGGATCGGCGAAGTCCGACTGGGCGTTGCTCCGTCCAACCCGTTGGATGCTCCGATTAGCCCGCGGAGCTCCGTCTCTCAAAAGGGTTCGCGTCGAGACAGCCAGGCCACTCATTGATGGTGGGGCTTTGTATTCCTTATTGTTTTCATTTTGGGATATCCTCGCCTGGCTTTGTGATTTACAGCGTGATCCAGGCGTTTCTTCTTCTCTATTTTCTTTCTTCCTACTGCTTCCTCCCTATTCTCCCGTTTCCCCCCAAGCATTCTCGTTTTCAAATTTCTAGAGATGGCATAACTGTGTACTGATAAGACGTAAAAATTTTATTCGTGTCAAATTCCCTCTAAAGGTTTTTCATCCGTACTTCTAGAAGGGGTGGAATGTCTCCTGCCTGGTAATGGGAGAGTAGCCCGTCCATATCCTGTTCGGTCATTCCAACCAAGTCTTCCAAGCTCCAGGATTCACAGACCCCAGACATCCTGACATAAGTTAGCAATTTATTTTGACCCTTGAATATGAGTTACTGATCGATATCTCTCAAACTCACCACTTCATACGCTTGGGTCCTTCGTTCGTATTGGGCGCAACCTCGCGCAGTTTCTTCCGTAGCTTGCCCACATTCTGAATAGCTGCACCCATATTACTCGGTAGAGCTGCGGCGATCCTCTTGCGCACCAAATTGGCCATCTTTGGACCATTGCCATTGGTACTAACCATGATCTGGAGCGGACCATCACGGTGGATGCTGCCAAAGTAAAAGTCACACTCGGGCGGAACATCTGCAATGTTCGCCGCGATGCGTCGTTCCTTGCATAGCTTCCAGACTTGAGTCGAAGCCTCCGGGTCATCGATGGCGCATAGGACCATATCAGCCGTGTCCAAGTCACTTGGCTCAAAGTTGCGATCAACATGTGTGACTTGTTTCTGGGCGACGCGATAGGCAACTTCCTTGTTCAGCCCGGAGGCGGGACAAACGACGGTTACGCGGGCATCAGCATTGAGTGCGAGTAGAATACGCCCAGCAGCAACCTAGAGAACAGTTAGTATCCTGAACTGAAAAGCCGATATATATTCTGATTGTGGATAGCTCATGAAGCTTACCTCTCCGCCTCCAACAACCAGGACATGCTTGTTCTTGACCTGCCAAGCAACAATCAGTGAGCCTCCCCCTTGGATCTCGGGAAACTCTGACATATTTGGCCTTTCTGGGCTCTCTTCTCCTTCGAACTGAATATCGAGAGGGACACACGATTTCCTAGTTTCCCTGAGATCTCCGTTACGATAAGAGACGAGCGTGGGGTACTCTACGGCAGTCCACACCGCCCACTTCCGCAGTTTCCTTTCCGAACTTTTTTTTTTCTCTTAGCCGCTTTTTTTTTCTTTTCTTTTTCCTTCTTCCTCCTCCTCCTTCTCCTTCTTTTCAACTTCTTCCCATCTTCCCAAGATCAGCCATGCGGGGTGTGCAGATCTTCTCGGGGAATTCCCATCCCGCCCTTACAGAGACCATCTGTGAGCGGTTGGGTACCTCGCCTGCACCGGCAGATCTCGGGAAATTCGCCAATGGCGAGACCAGCGTGAACATCGGCGTCTCGGTCCGCAACCAAGATGTCTACATTGTGCAGAGTGGCAGCAGCAAGATCAATGACAGTGTGATGGAGCTGCTTATTATGATCTCGGCTTGCAAAGGTGGTTCGGCCAAGTCGATTACTGGTATGTCATCGCTGTCCCCTAGCTTCAAGAGAGATGAGACTGACGTATTTCTTCTTTCATCTAGCGGTCATGCCGTATGCTGCCTGCTCTGTTTGAATACTGAACACTAGATGCTGACCCCTGACGAGATACTTCCCCTATTCCCGTCAATCCAAGAAGAAGAGCCATCGTGGTGCCATCACGGCCCGCATGCTCGCCAACCTGCTCTCCATCGCCGGTGTGGACCATGTGATTACCATGGACCTGCACGTACGTTGCTGCCCTTGACGTTGCAAATTGACCTTTTCCGATGTTGATTGGGTTTCAATAGGCATCCCAGATGCAAGGCTTCTTTGGCAAGCCCGTCGATAACCTCTTCGCCGAACCGTTCATTGCTCGCTGGATCCGGATGAATGTATCGGGTTGGAGGGACGCTGTGGTGGTGAGCAAGAACGCCGGTGGTACCAAACGAGTCACCTCGCTGGCCGATACCCTCAAATTGAACTTTGGTATTGTGACCACCGACCGACGGCGCCCCAAGGTTCCCGTGAACACCATGTCTGATAGCACGGTCTTCTTCGATGCCGTTGAGGATGAGGTTCGAGCTGCAAAGGAGGCCCAGCCCTTTGAGCTGCGTCTTCACCGTTCTCTGGCAACTCCTCCCATCCCCGAAGAGATGGAAAACATCGATTCACCCCAAGAACTGCTGCGTCCCGAGACTCCCCCGGCGGCTCGGCGGCCCTCAGAGCTCGAGATTGAGTACACCGATGTTCGGGTTCGGGATGTGGTCACCGGCCGTCTGGTGCAGGGCCAGCTGGTCGATGATGACTATCACCCGGAGTCTGACTCGCACTCTGGTGGTACCACTCCCGGAGCTGGTGGAAGCACCTTCGGCCACGGTGAAAACACCGAGGTCGTGCCCGAGACCATGTTCAACTCTATGATCTCGAGCGTCTCCTCATTGCCCCCAGACCATGCCCTGGGTGGCTCCTTTGACGCTGTCGAGTCGGATGACGAGGCCAGCGTGGCTGGTTACGACCATGAGCGGACCATCACGCTGGTTGGCGAAGTCCGTGATCGTCCAGTGTTCCTCGTAGATGACATGATTGACAAGAGCGGATCGTGGATTGCCGCCGCCGAGACGGTCGTCAAGCGTGGTGGTGCTGCCAAGGTCTACTGCATTGCCACTCACGGTCTGTTCGGATCCGATTCGCTGGATCAAATGGAGGCTTGCCCTTCGATTGACCACATTGTCGTGACCAACACGTTCCCGATTGAGCCGTCGATGCTCAAACGGTCCAAGAAGTTGATCATTATTGACGTCTCGACTCTTCTGGCTGAGAGCATTCGGCGGCATCACTACGGTGAAAGGTGATTTCCCATCTTCTTGCGATACCGAGTATACAACGGATCACTGACTTCTCAAACAGCGTCTCGGCCCTTTTCCACCTTAATGACTAAATGATGGCCCTTTGGGCGGATGGCTGTGACGAACTTGACTTGACATCTTTCTAGGGCGGCGTTGATGACTGATTTGCAGACTCCGAGATCTCTGCATTGCGATCCCATGGCATGATACCTACTCTTTTTTTTTTCTCCAAATCAAAAACAAACCCATTCGAAGAAGTCTGCCTTGCCCAGACCGATCTGTAACCCTCGCATGCATCCTCACATCTTGATGAGATCATGTGTATCCTTCTTTTTCTTTTTCTTCAAATCACCCAGCGATGCAGTCCACTCTGGGTACTGCAGGAGCATCTCGTCACCCACGAGGTGTTCTTAACGGAGCGTTGGCAGAGCAAACACCGGGTCTGATCCAGACTGTTTCTTTTCTTCTGAAAAGAAGAGAAAAGGCAAGAAAGATCAGATCCGACGAGGACTGAAGGCTCCAGTTTCTTGATTTGGGACGGTTTCCACTTGGAGATCATCTCGATGCCTTTCTGGCGGTGAAACTGGTGCAAGAGAACCCCTCGGACATCATCATCTGTAGACTAGCAAACAATTCTCAACTGTCGATTTATCAATGAAATCCCGTCTCTTTCCCGTCTATAATGACCTCCAGTGGCAAATACCTTGTTTTTTTGGCCAAACTCCATACTTTTCCCGCCTTGCATCTTGCTTGACATCGTGACTCCACCAACTATCCACATCGATAGGAATCTATAGGCCTCCAACATGTTCAAACTCACGGATGCGGCTCCCCGGGTCGTCTCCCCCCAACAGTCCGATTTACAGCACCGATTGCTAAAAATTGAACACGAAGCCGAATCCCGTGAAGAAAATTGAGTAGCGGTCTGGCGTATGCCGAGAAAAGCAAAACAATCCCGCCCTTTCCAGGCCCATCGATGGCATTGGTGGCGCTCTGAATTACTTCAGTATACACATGAAGCCGGGGAGCCGAGAAGCAATCGACCTGTTCCAGGTCATGAGCCATCTTTCCCTATTTGAGCATTTCGGTGATGTTTCTACGATCTTATGGCGAATCTAGAAAAACTCGAATAAACATCCTGGTTCGTCCGATGGGCTGGCCCAGTTTGAAAGGTTAATAACACTTTTGCTTCATCGAACTCTGCTTTGCCTGACAGGCGCCCAGCCGGGACGGCGCGCGCTGAAGAGAAGAACAATATACCTTGGGGGCCAATTCTTTGTCCTCGTCAGGTTTTCTTCTGTTTTTTCAACCGATCGCATTGCCAAGGTCTACCGATCGTGGATGTCGTACTCCGTACTTTGTGCGACATATCAGGTTCCACTACGACTCGGCTAACTGAGTACTGTACATTATTGTACGGAGTCTCCGTACTCCGTACATCTCGACGTGCTGACCAGACTGGTGGGATTGATCGGTCGTATGTTTGTAGGCAGATGTGGGTTTGTCCTTCTCGGACAGTCTTTACTCTGTTTCTCCACTATCGGAAGTAACCTATCCACAAAGCTAGCTACATAGCTACATGGTTACATAGGTCCAAAGTCACCCGTACTTAGTGTCTAGTGACAAAGATACTCGGATGCACATGTACATCCGAGTGAGGCTCCAGCCCCAGCTCCAGCTCCAGCGCTACGGTAAGCCCCCGACCATGCAGCTCGTCTAATAAAAGCGCGTAAACTAAGTACGACGTCTCGCTTGGAGGACGCAAAGTACGAGGTGGGGGTCACGGGGTTCGCATGTGTAACCGAGGAAAAAAAAGATGGAGGAGTCATAGTCAGGAGTTGCACAATGTATTTGTTGGCTTATTAGGGGAAGGGGGGAAATATGAGATAGACTACAGGACTACAGTATGAAGCCCCAATCCTGTCCTGTCCAGTCGGTCCAGACCACCTATAAAAAAAGAGACCATATCAAATTCAAATCAAGTCAACCAAATCGGATTTGAAGCCTCCATCAGTCCCGAACTTGGATTTAAGATTGCAGTAGTCCCTATAGTCCCACTTGTATTGGGCGCAATGGCCAGAACTCAACTAATGCCGGAGGTGTGCTTCCGGGCGATCATCATGTTACAGGGATGAGAGGATTCGTCAACCTGTTCTTTTTATTCTGATTGTCATGATTTTCTTTTTTTTATCTTTTTCTTATTTTCCTTTTTTTTATGATAATCATGATGCGAACCTAGCGTTGGGGAGATAATCAAAACGAGGGTCATGAGTAGGACTAGAAAAAAGAAAATAACAGAAACAAAGTAAATCTACTTTATAGACTATGTAGGTGTTGCCACTAAAGACAAACAAAACAATCAAACGTCGAGAAGAAAAAGACAATGTCCAAAGTACTCTGTAAGTAATCAACCTAATAAAAGGCCAGAATTGACAAGAATAATGAAGCAGTCACAAAAGTTCCTGAGACAATGCCATGTGGAGAAGGCCAATAATATTAGGCCGTGGTCCAAGCGTTTTGGAGGCCTCTATTTTCCGTGTCTCTAAGCCTCTTTGTGAAGATGGATTGTGATGTATCAACCTTAAACCTGGGACAAAAGAACAGGTGTCCCTATTATTCGTCTTATTTGTCTGTCATCATTTCTCACCCACCCCCCCCCCCCCCCCCCCTCCTCCCCCAAGTCCAAAAAAGTCAATTTCATTCAGCCAACATCGATCCCCCAAACTACTCTCCACCAGTGATGATCGGACCCAAGCCAAATCGCTGGGATGCACAAGAACGCGATCGGCCATGATCGGCACCGCGAGGGCCTTGACCAAAATCAGAATCCCGCGCAGTAGCTCGAACTAGGAACCACACTGACGGAAGAGCCGGTGGAGAACGGGGGCAAGCAATTACCTTTGTCCCAACTAAGAACATTGAGGGTTAGTCGGTGGATTAGCATTTCATACTGGCTGCTCCGACGATCCTATTCGCATGTTCCAGGCCCAGCTGGGTTTAGTCGCGTCTATGATTTGACTTCGTACTGGTTACTACTGTGGCTATTGTTACTAGGCTAGTTGGCATTGGTTTAATTACTGTCCATCATGTCAATTTGCTTTCTCTACTATCCTCGGATATGTTCCCCGTAACAAACTCTCTTTTTTTTCCTTTTCGCATAGATCCACTTTGGAGGGGATGGAGGGCTATTTTGGCAACACGAGTCGATCCATGCATGCCAAATAAAATAAAAATAAAGATCATTTTCATTTCCAATTTCGATTTTTCTCCCTTTTTCTCTCAATGTTCTGTAGCTTGATACCCTAGTTTTTACATACCCTAGTTCCCTGCCCTTGGTTTTCCCCACCACATTGCCAATCTGGAGCTAGTTTAGAAGTTAACCCGTCCGGCACTCCGTAGTTCTGCTTCCTTAGTGGTCCTATCCTCGTCTCGAAGCTATCTAGTCAGCTCGTTTCGCTCTCTCCAATCACTTTCCATACTTTGAATCTTCGTAAATTTTACTAAAATTATTAAGTCACAGTTAAAAAGTCCCTTCCGTCTTTTGTCGTGCTAGCAGATCGACTTCTACCAATTGCAATTGCTCGATTTTCATCGATCGCGATCTTGATTCTCCCGGATAGACAACTAGGATCTGCCGAGCTTTGATGGCGTCTTCGTCTAATTTTCTATGCGCCATGCAAGATGAGATTTACGGTTCGAGTCTAGGTTCGCGGTAGATCAACCATAGCTCTCTTCTTCTCTATCCATTCGTCTATCCATCCCACTGGGTTCCTGTACCTTTCCTTGTCTTCCCCTTCCCCAACAAGGAAATAAAAAAAAGGAATATATTCCCTCCGGCCCCCCCCTCCCTCCACAATAATAATTTACACAACCCTGGACCTTTTACCTTGTCCGGATTGACCCTGCCGATTGTCAAAAAAACATAGATCCCACTCGGGTACGTGCGTCATCGACGGCATTATGCAGAACGATTCAAGTCTTCGACTGCGAATGGCTTGATCGAGCATCTGGATCTCATCGACCCATGTCCTAGAGCGAAATTGATACTGAGCAAGCACTTTCTTCGAAGCTATATAATGGACCCGGGTCCAGCAGTTTTGAAGCACTTCATCTTTTTCATCAATCTTCAACTCGTCTCTCTCGCACCTTCTTCTTCTTCGTCCACTATCCCATCGAGCTACTCAATCTCTCGATCTCACGTTGCACACTTTCTCCCTTGAATTAAATCTTGGATCATCCATCGCTCTTACCTCCTCTTCCTACCCATCCCAATCTAGATCCGTGGAACCATTTTCCGGCGATCGACGTCAGCTTCCATTCCCTCGGGCCTTGGATCATTCACCTAGTCTGGTAAGTGACAGACTCTCGGGTCCCCAACTGCGAGATATACGCCGAGCTAATCGCACCCAGCAGTGATTCACATATAAAAACCAAACTTTCTATCTCGCCTTCAAGAAGTACATCAACAATGGCCAACCAGTGCTCCGGTCATAAATTTGCCATTGTCCAGGCTACCAATGGCAACATCCTGACGTGGCGTTGCTCCGATTGCAACTCGGGCCCCTTTGTGGCTATATGGCGGTGCAAGATCTGTGGCCACTGTCGGTGCAACAGCTGCCACAACGCCAAGTCATAATTTGTGAGTTGGTTTCTCTACAGCTCGTTTCAGCTTGTCAAATGGAACCTGTCGGCAATACCGGTGCTAGTGCTATAAAGACCAGGGCATATGTGACCGAATTCACAATCTTCATAGATGAGCTCGCTGACTCTTGCCTCGCATTTTCTAGCTCTAAAAGACATCTTACACCCGCCCTTAAGTCTCTCGCATGAATCCGAGCAAGGGTATCCTAACCCTCCCTCCATGCAATCATCTTCAACTTGCAATCTTCAGAGCGCGCATGTTTCATGATCAGCGCAGATTCAGCCCGCGATTCCCCATTTTCGATTTTTTTTTTCCGGCTGGCTTAACTTCTTCCCCATTTTACTCTCCATGGCTGCGTTATTGGCGACATTACGGGCTCTGCATTTGAATTCGGTTTCCTCCTAAAAGATTGTTTAATGGTTTCTCTCTTTTTTTCCAAACAAAAGTTTCCAATGTGTGGGATTTTTGCATCCGGGCGGAGTTGTTTTTCTTTTTCTTGTTTCTTTCCCTTCGGCAGGTTTAGATGTTGGCTAGGTTCTTGGTACTTGAGCTATCCACCCCCCTTTCTTACGGTCTTGCAATTCATGTGGAGAGATTGGGTTTTGGATCAAGCATCATCGGCGTCGAGACAATTACTGTGCACCTCCTTTTTTGGGCAGCGAGCATTTCAATCATCGGCAGATTTGGAATTAAAACCTTATTTTACCTATCTCGCTTAATTATGAAAGACTAGAATCAGACACGCCGACAAACGACACGAGTCAGACGAGATCTGATCCAGGCGAAGAATAGACAAACCTAATAATTTATGATCTCAGGGCGCGTGAAAATAGGCGGGCGATTAAAAATCCCCCACCATGATAATCTGGCTACAAACCCGGATCGAGATGAAGTGCATATCGCCTACGCAATGCGTACATATGTACGCAGTACCCAAGTCCTGTTCCCTCGGTACGAGACTTGCGATAACCAAGTCCAAAAACCAAGAACCAAGTAGTTGGTCGCGTCCTTACATCGAAAGAAAAAAGAGTTTAAGATGCAGGGTCTTCCCTTGTCGCCCATTCGCCCTTGTACGACGGGAATGCATCCTCACACCTCCGATAAGAACGTTTTTCAAATTCCTTTGCACATTCCAAAGAAAAGAAAAGCAAAAAAAAGCAGATCACCGATCAGATATTAGAACCGCCGGAGTCATCTTGCCTGAAATTTCCACTCGCAGTGAAAATCTTCATTGGTGATCGGAGGTAACCCGTTAGGATCATCGTCCCAGGGGTGAGCACTAAACCCCCCCCCCCCCCCCCCCCTCGGCAAAAAAAAAAAATGAAGCTTGGACGATATCCCACCAATACGGAGTTATGGAGAAGACTTCTATTTAGAACGGGGTGGCTGGCCCTAGCTGGCGCTCACTAAGCCAGAAGTGTTGACCAAAAAAAAAGTGATCCATCATGTCGGTGGCTGTACGGGGTATACGGCGATTGTCCGTCCAGCTACCGAAATACTCCATACCCGAGCGGCGCTACCATCAAGGTAGAGGAATTAGCGCTGGACGAGCAAATGGACAAATCGCAATAGCAATAAGAAATTCCAGGGACTTGGATCCGCCAACTCTATTGTGTGAGTCTCCACTCACGAGCGAGAGCAGGAGAAGGGGAGAAACCAAAGCACCACGCAAGGACCATCTAGTGGTACGAGATGGTCTTTTTACGGTGGCAGGTGGGTGGAGTGGTTAGTGCGCCGAGACAAAAGTGCTATGCGCCGGTCTGTAACTAGAAATAAATTAGGCTTAGGGTATGCCGGTAGTGTGTGTGTACATAATGGCTAGGAAGTGGCTGAAGTAATTTTTCCGACGCGGTAGTTTTAGTAAATTCATCGATATGTATTTAGGGAGAGGGAAAGTGGAAGCGATGAAGTAGTGGCTTGTGGATAGACAATAGAGAACCTATGAACAATGCAATTGTATATGTGCACGATCCATGATAGCAGGAGAAGAGGTATGAGCGGTGAGAAATGGAAAGAGTACAGTAAAATCGAGCGAGTAATAATCCCCCACTTGGCGGGATATCCACAAAGTATCCGGAAGACTTTTGTGAAACTGGGGCTGAAAATGGGTCGTCTACGTGTAGATGCTCTAGTTCAAAAGAATTAGCAAGATGGCCTCAGCTCCACCACCACACACTAAACAACTCACCTCAGTAATTTGATTCACTGCCAACCCAGGTTCGGCCATCTCCGCGTCGCGTAAGAACTCCAGCGGCAACCACACCAGGTGTCCCTTGATACGATCCAATTTCTCACGCACTTCCTTCGCCGGCATATACGGATCAAACAGATGACCCTGCTTGTGCGACCCACGCGGACGGAAATTGTCATAATCCTCAAAAGTCTTGATATTGTCGTCTGGATCCGCACGGAATAACATCCGATACGTCTCGGTATTAACGCTAGCCTGACCGGTCCAGGTGTCCCAGACCGCATCGCTGAGCGGATCAGTCACGAACTTGTTGTGCGTGTCTTCTAGGATCTCGTTGAGACAGACGTCGGGTGGCCGAGCGTTCGGGTGGCCTGTGGCGTCGTAGTTTTGCGCAGGCAAGAGGCCCAGGTGTTCGCGCCAGAGCTGGCGACGGAGGGTTGCCGCGAGGCGGGCTGCTCGGTACGGTTTGCCGTCCATTTCGCTGTCGATAAAGTCTTGATCTTCCATTACGATGGCGATTTCGCTATCATGGGAGCCAAGCTGAGACTGCAGGATGGTAGAATTGGTCAGTATGAGCGAGTGAGGGCGAGACGGGACAAATTGATATCGAAAAATCTCGGAGTGATATCACTTACCCGATCGTTGATATTGGCACTTCCACAAATGGCGATTCGATCATCGACAATGCACACCTTGCCGTGCACATACAGCTCTTCCTGGACGATATTGTCCTTCTCGGCTTCGAGGTCACCCTCCCACGTCTCGTCCGACATCTTACCGCCATTCAACATGGTAGTATGGGCCACCGAGTCTTTGCTAGCATCGCCCTGCTGGGCTTTGTGCTTCTCGACTTGCTCTTCAAACTTCTCTAGGTTCTTCAGATTCTTCTGCTTTTGCGCGTCATCGGCTTCAAAGCTCTTCTCATTCTTGTCGCCTTCTGTCCCGACGGATGGATGCACACTTTCACCCATGATTGATTCGGCGATACCACGCTGGATGTCTTGGTATGTGACACCGGCCTCTTTTTCGAGTTCTTCAAGGGCGGGAGTCTTGTTGATTCGATCGTAGGCGCGGAGTGCAAAGACAAAGACGTGTTCTGTACCGTCAGTCAGTCGAGGGAGTTCAGCGGTAAATGATACTTCACGACTTACGCTTGGGATCCACGCCCGCCTTCTCAATCTGGCCCATAATCGAATGCTCGCCACGGCAGATGGACTTGTACTGGTAGTCCATGATAGCACGAGTACCTAGTGCAGCAGAGTCACGCAGGTCGCCTGCAAAGCCTGGAATGGCAGGGAGAACGATAATGACACGGAATTTGCGGCCTTCTTTGCCTGCTCGAACGCAAGCATCGACGATAGCGCGACCGATGGTATTGAAGATGGGACGCTGCTGGTCACCCGTGGCAGTGACTGATACAGACGTTAGTTACCCCATAACGGCTTGAGATAGACTTGGCTATACGTACTGAAGAACTGATTCTCAATGTAAACAAAGTGCTCAGCATTGCGGATCATCTCGCAGTACGCATTCTGAATACTGTGCTCATTCAGAATACCACTGCTCCAATCATCGCTGCTTCGCACAATCTGCGCCCGAACAGAGCCCTGCTGTCCACGCGGCTTGGTCGACAACGGAGACAGTGGATGTTGAATGTACTCGCCACAGGGGTATTTCGGACGTTGAACAGCAACCAAATCCTCATCCTCACCAAGTCGACCTTCCATCGTCAGCCAATCCACATCACCAGAGCGCTTGTACTTGTCACGCTTGATAAAGTTCCAGCGCAACACAAAGTGCTCTGCAATATCGTAGACACAATCACCAACCAAGCCCATGGCTACGTCGTGCCACGGCATACGGCCAAAGTCAGCCTTGCTCAGTTCATTACTCTGCCAGTCCTGGACGCTTTGAAAGTCCATGATACGGTTGTTGTTGAAGTCTTGACCAGGGAAGATATCATCCCGCAAGCCAGCTGGGTGCACATCGGCTAGAGGGTGCTGGTTGGCATCCCACCGGCCGAAGCAGAGATCAATGCCACCGATGAATGCAAGAGCATAGTCAATCACGATAAATTTCTCGTGGTGCGCCTGATTGATCTCGTCAGTTATGGAAGTTTCATCATCACGAGTTAAAATGAAGGACGCACCCAGTAAAGAGTCATATCGGCAGCATTTTCAAAGACATTGTGGTCTGGGTGACGCAAAACTCGAATATTACCATGACCAGGGGTACCCTCGGGACAAAGACTTCGCAAGGCATGCTTGGTATGCGCCGAATTGCAGGTCAACGCCTGGTTGACCTCCTTGTAGACAATCACATAAATCTTAACACCGGCTTCTGCACGACGCTTCAAGATATGATCCAATCTCCATTCCTGGTTCTTGACGGGCGGGCGGCGGAGGAACAACTCCGGAGACAACCACCAATCGGCAATGTAGATGGTCTCAGTGGCCTTTTCCAAAGCCTCGGAGACAGCCCACATATAATCAAGAGCATCGACATACCATTTGACGCGATTCCCCTCTTGAATGGGGGCGAAGGACTGGTAGCGATGGGATTCGGCAATTGCCGAGCGCTTCCGGTCTGTGGCCTGTTCATGTGCCTCGTCGTGGCGGTGGTTTGGGTTGACAATGTTGAAGAACTTGCCCACTTTGTGCTTCAGATGTGTTGCGTGCTCCTTTGCATCGTGGAGCTGAGAGTCTACAACCAATTGTTAGTCCGAGCGTGTGGGGGGTTTGGGGGAAACAGTCAAAAAGCAGGTTTGGCGTGGATGAGGGGGGAACTGGCCTCGGAACTTCTCCTCCAGATTACCGACTTCCTGTTCAAACCTTTCCTTGAGTTTCTGCATGGCTATGGAGTAGTTTCGTGATGGGGTAATGGAGAAGGAAAGAAATAAAAAGAGAGGGGGAGAATGAATTGTCTAGTCGATTTGACAATCAAGCGCGTAGTATTTTTCTCTCGGCGGTGACATCACGGGAGCAGCCCTACTGCCCTACGGAAACGCGACTTCGGATTGAACTGTACATTTGGCTAATAATATTACTACTACAGTACTATTAATTGCATGCGACACTTGGCGTCCGATCTGCAGTCACCGCTGATGTCAGGATATCTTGTTGGAAACGATCGTGTCCGTGGTTCAATCCCGCCCCAGTCCCACCATGTGCCGCATTGTGGTGCTTGATTAATACTCGATATCACCATCCTTCTTTGTAGTCCGTGTAATAATGAATGTACAGTCAATTGCATCTCCACACGTTCTTTCGCCCCGAATGAGGCCACCTTGTGATTGCGTATTTCCAGTTCTTGGCAAATGAGGGGTATTCTCTCGTAGTAAATGTGCACCGCCACAGAGTAACGTGGTGTGGCTGATGAGTGGGGCTGGGGTATCGCTACAAAGACAAAGTTATTGTCCTTGGATTTCAATCTTCCTTTAAAACATATCAAATGGCTCAAGTTCGACATTATAACCAAGTATTACTTCATCAACACTACACTACCAGCGCGCCAAACCTTTCCTAGCCTCAAGAGCACACTGTTTCGCCCGACTCGAAGTATCTTATTCCAAATGATGGAAGCATCCAAGCTATCTCTGCTGCTTGAAAGTCAACCTATCTCCTTGTTGACAATTATACTACACCTCACCAGGTTCAGGACCACTGCATGAAGCAGTGCTGGTCACAGAAGAAGCTGCATACCCTGGGGAAAACATCCAAGTCGGGTTTTCTTCACGCGTATGAACTGAATGATGGAATTTGATAGGTATTCAAATAGGTCTGACTCTCTGTTCTGGTCACCGAGGACGCCCCTCCCACAACAAGATTGAAAAGGGAGGCTCTCTGTGTGCTTGTGTTGGTTCAAGTCTACAGTAGAGTACTGTAGCTGTTGAACTCTCTGACGGGATTGGCTGGCGAGTCTCCACTTAAACTCTGTTCCCCCATCTTGGCTTCCCTTTGTGGACTAGCATTAATATCCTCAGATGGCAATTCTCTCATCTTTAGTTGCAAGTCTCCTATCCAATTTGTAAGCTAACAGATGTTCAGCTGGTCTCAAGTGCTATTAAATCAAAGAATCTGGCATCTATCATGGATTCTTTCATTTTTCATCAAATCCCATCACCATGGCCTCACACTTGACCTTGGAGTGCCCCTCATCCCACGACATATACTTCAACCTCAAGGGAGAAGCATTCTCCCGGCCTATCTCTGCCTCGGTGCTTCTCAGAAAATGCACAGATACAGAGCTCGTAGGTGCAGATCAAGTGCGGATCTCTCTTGTCCGCATGTTGTCAAGCAAAACAAGTCGAGATCCCGTCAACCGCAGCGAGCCTTTCTTGAAACAATTTTGTCGTCTGCTGTCGTCAAAGACATCACCCACTCTCTCTGAAACGACACAGTCATGCTCTGTTATAGAAGAAATGACACTATGCATCCCTACCCTTGCTACAGAAAGCCAGGTTGGCTATTCTCCCAGCGAGGGCAAAGTCTACAAGATCCCCTTCCACATGCCCATCATACCCACTTTACCCGCAAGTGCCGCCACAGACTTGGGTAGTATATCATATTTTCTTGCTGCTTCCGTTATCACGACAGACGGCAATGCCCTTGGCACAAGTCAGGAGATCAACATTATCCGGCAGCTGATCTCTGACTGCAATACCGAGATTCAGCATGCGCGCAATTATCCAAATGCAGCTGTAGTGTCCCATATCAGCCTTACGCAGCAGGTTGGTTCAACAGACAGTTCAAAGATCTCTCTCGACGTAAAGGTTCTCCTCAGGAACCCAGCTTCTCCCTCCAGCCGGTCAACAGAGTTCAAATGTGTGGCAATACGGGGACTCCGTTGGCGAGTAGAAGAGATAACCAAGCTCTTTATCCCACCAGAAGACCCCCTTCAACCGGAGGATAATGACTGCTCGGCTAATCAGCCGACTGAAAAGCAATCTACTACTCGTGAAATATGCAATGGGTTTCAAAAGGGGTACTGGGGAACTTTACAAAACCCCATCGTCAAGGAACGTCACCCATCAGAGACCAATCACAACTCTCCCGTCGAAATTAAATTCGATATCTGCATTTCCAAAGACGTGGCACCTACACCAGACGTCTGTCTATCCAACTATACCGCCGAATCTATACCAGCACGCTCTCTGCCACCATCACGTCGGGGACAATTTTCCCCCACGACCCCAGAGAGTTTGATGCTCACAGTTGAGCATCGCCTCCGATTTGATCTCTTAACCAGTGAAGACACATTCGATGTGGACAATCACAATTTGGTTGACCGTACACCATTAAGAACTGTCTTGAATGTGTCATTCCCCCTACACATTTTCAAAAGGGCTCGCGGTCGCATTGATGAGTCTGTCCACCAGGGGAATCCGCCATGTTATGAGGAAGTTCCGGATTCACCTCCAGATTACCAAGTTTTTGCATAAGGAAATCGTTGCGAATATCTGAAATTGAATTTTTGGTACAGTAATTAATGAAACCATCCATTTCAGTAACTTGGCATATAAGAACCCTCCTTTCCCATCGATTCAACGCGTAAGTGGTGGTATAGTTTAGCAAGTACGTGTAGACTTCTATACTACAACCAGATTGTTCCAATTCAATGAAGGAATAAGACGGTCAGCTCCCTCAACCAATTTACTTAAACTTCCCCACGAATGCCAGGCATACTACGAAAAAGCGGTGTTGACACTGCCAGCAAGTACAGTTACAATTTCGTCGACATGCAGCTATCTGCACGGCAAGGGGCGCTCCCAGCCTCCACGCCGAAGGTAGGGATAACCTTCACGGCCCCGACGAGAGAATGATAGTCCTTTCGGGTGATGTTTCCAAGGACAAGGTATGGCAACCTTACTTTCGGCTATGTAGCTAATTTTGGGGCCGTAGGGGTGAGTTTGTGAGTAACCTTAAGTGCTATGAGGGTGTACCATGTGTATGGATCTAGGCCCTTGAATAGGCTTAAGGACCGCTAGGTTAGGGAGACCCTGCGTCGGTCGCGAGGGGTGAGTATTATTCGATGTTGTTGTATTGATCTAGTGCTTAGGAATACGATATTTTCGAGTTAAAGTGTGGATTGTATAGGAGCGATTACCTAATACCTTGGGCTTGGTGGTTTGCAAGGTAGGATTCCATCGTGGGCTAGATATATATCGTGCTCGAACAGGATGCCATGGAAGTGCGTTGTATAATTGAAAAAGACGCGGAGAAAGCTATACCGAAATTCCATGATATATTAGATTCCCCTTGTCTATTAACAACCTGCAAACTAATGCGAAAGAACTACCTTATGAAGTATATGTTTCTCGTGCCTACTTGCTTGTTTACTGCCCCAAGGTCGATGACGTAACCAGGATACAACATGGAAACTTGGATGGGACTAAACTGGAAAAACATTAGATGAAAGATTGATAGTCACAACGGATGATGTTTATTTTGATTAGAGATTATAGAAACTAGTTTATGGAGTATCTATCTACTATTTATGTGAGGCGTATTTAAGTAATTCAATGATAATCCTCGATCGCAAATATAGATCGAAGGCATAGCATAGATATACTACTACTAGTCGTAATGTCAAGGCAAAATCTAGCGATTCCTCAATTTAATGTTAGGCTGCAGGAATCAATTTCAATTCTCTGTGAGGTTTAAATCCCCTCGCTGCATACTTTCGCTGGTTTATTTGCTGACGTGCAGTTGATCTTGTTTTTCGCGGTTTCTTTGTTTGTTTGCTCGGAATGCTTACCTCACCCCACGTGACCCGCCCAAACAACGTTGTCTGAGGAACGGCCACTTCTGTTTATCCTCTTCGACCTCGAATCTTGCACCACGCGGCCGACTGTCTCCGTAGCCCTGCGGACTTGGGATGAACTTCTTGTGATATTGTGGCTCTTCTGTTGCTTGTACATTGCTAGACCTCGTTCCTGGTTACGTCGCTGGACTCGAATGGTCATCGTCGTCGTGTCGTGGCGCCCAATCTCAATTGAAAAAACACGACCCGTGCGAGACCTGATCATCTCCCTGGTGACGGGCCCTCCTCCACTTTTTCTCAGATTGACCACCGATCCCGAATCAGGATGCCTCCAGAACTAGGTGAGAGCGATCATGCCTGGCCCGTCACATGTCCATATATTTTCAAGCTGGCCCGCTAATCATGCTCGATCCATAGTGCGGGCGCCGTCGCAAGGAAGCATCGTCTCGCAGACGACACAGCAGATGAATCCTCATAGCCGCCCTGGGACGGCTGACCCTATGCGCGCCCGGTCCGAAACCCTTTCTCGAGCGGCTCGTCGACCTCGCTCGAGAGGATCGACTGCTAGTATTCATTCGAGCACAACACAACAAACACAGGACCAGCATCTCGATGGATTCCCTCAATTCATGCCCTCCCAGGTTGGAGGGGGCCAGCACGTCTTTGGTGGCAACCCAGAAGATATGTTGATGCGATTTGGTCATCAGCTGTCTCACCAAGCCAATGGCGCGTCGCTGGAGCAAAGCGTTCGGGATACACACACGATGGCTTCCCGACCGGACGATTTCCCTGCCCATGCCATGCATGCACACACACTCTCACACCATGGATTGCCAACGGACATGGCGCACAACGCAATCTCTGCCGTAGCGGTCCCGCAGTATCAAGCCATATATGACAGTGGAATTGAGAATCACCTCCCAGACCACACCATGGATGACCAAGAAGCATCGGAAGCCGGTGGAAAGAAGAAGAGGGGGTCCAGCTCAACCCTCGCGAATGACAACGAGTTGCGGAAATTGCTTCGCCAATACGAGGGCTTCAGTTTGAAGCAGATGGCTGCCGAGGTTATGAAGCACGAAGGTGCCGGAGGCAAGGCAGAGAAGGTGAAACAAGTGTTCGCCATGATCTGGTATGAAATCATGATATGCTCGGCTGAGATCAGCGTATCATCCGTTATATGGCGTTCGGTCTAATCTTTCTTGACTCTAGGTTACGGGAGAACTGCCGCAAGAGCAATGGCTCGGTCCGACGGGATCGCGTGTATTGCTGCTATGCCGAGAAGTGTGGAACGGAGCGAGTGTCGGTCTTGAACCCAGCATCCTTTGGCAAACTCGTCCGCATCATCTTCCCCAATGTTCAGACACGCCGCCTTGGTGTTCGGGGCGAGTCCAAATATCACTATGTCGATTTGTCGGTCATTGAGGAAAAGCAACAAAGACCCGCCCCCCTCAACCCACAAGTTGCTCCGAATCCCCACCAGATCCCGACTGGCGTTCCCGAGAGACCTGCCAGTGGCATGCGATCAAGGAGGTATGATGAAATGTCTTCTGTTTTGACTGCCAATTCTGACGCCCGCTTCAGCATTAGTATCCCCCAGCCTACAGCAGACACTGCAGTCTTCCCATCGCCCACAACCTCATTCGCACCTCGATTCCCGACCAATCCTCCCGCAACTGGTTGCAACTGCCAGGCCCAACTACCCTCTGGCCCCGATGCCGTCATTACCACCGAAAATGTTTCTCAGCAAGCCGGAAAGATTATACATCAAATGCTTCAGTTTCCAACCGAGGAAGTTCCGGGCATTGACAACGAAACTCTCGTCCTCCCTGATATCCGCGGCTACCTTCCAGTCAACACAGACCCGAAGGTCGCCGAAGCTCTTGCTGCTCTCTACCGATCACACTGCATTTCGGTGATTGATAGTTTCCGATTCTGCAAAGAACGCAACCTCCTCAAATACTTCTCCGCCTTCCATGGCACCTTGACCGTGCCAGTCCAAAAACTCCTCACACATCCGAACCTCGCCCCTTGGATTAAGGAATGTGATTGGTTGATGTATCAAAAGATGATCGCCTTTGTGGCCCCTCTTACCACCCAGGTGGTCCCTAAACTTGTCTTGGATGCATTCCGATCGATCTCGCAGCGTCTCTGTGGCCACATCGCAGAGACCTTCAAGGCTCAACCATCACACGTCTCTATTGCACGACTGATTCCTGCGCATATCTTTTGCAATCTTCTCAAGCACATGCTTGATGTGAACCAGGCTGCCAACGCTGCTGCTGCTTGGCTATGCCACCCCGATAATCGTAATCAGATGTGGTTTGATTTCAAATCTCTCGTTGACCCCCAGGAGATGATTCTCAAGGCCAACATTCCTACTTGCGCCGAGAAGGCTACGGAGCAGATTTTGAAACATGACGTTCGTGCGCTTCTCACACCGCTCCATGAGGCCGACGCTTCAACTGGTCTTGCTTTCTTCTCAACACCAGATGGTCCCGAGGCCATTGAGTCTCATCAATTCCCGGTGGAAACCTCTACTGGCGATGATTACAATTTCCCCGATAAATGGATTTCATTCATCCTGAACCTCCCTCTGGCGTTCTCCAACCACCGCACGCAGTGCATAATTGAAAAGGTGGACGCCCTTTGGGACTCTATACTTCACCGTCTTACTCTGGGTGGAGCTGCCAGCTTCAGTGCCTGGTGGATGACAAAGCTATTCTTCCACGAGATGATGGTTTGGCAAGCAGAAAAAGGGGGGTTTATGAGGAACACACCCGGCTCTTTGCAGAGCATGGCCTTTAGCTCAGAGCAGGTCTCTGTTGGAAGTTTTCAGCTAAAGCAGCACGCTGTTCCCGAGCCCCCGACCTTTGAGAGCGCCCGTGCTGCTCATTCCAAAGTGAACACGAGTGCCTCTCCTGACCTTCGTGGGACACGCGATCAGACCGTTGACGAGGAACCCGATACCAAGCACATCCCGAATGCCAAAGAGCTGGCTCTTGCAGACGTGGGGTTTCAAGCCCCAAATAACGATGACAGTGCCATCGACTTGGAAGAAGACCCCATGTTGATGGCAGTGGGTAAATATGGAGATATGATGGCTTCAGACCCTGCCGATGCAGAGGGTGACGTGATAGTCATCTAGGGTTCCTGAATATTTCTTGGTATTACATGTTCATTGCGGTCTGAAGTTGTGATATCCCCCGTTTTGGTACAGCCCCTTTCTGTTCTTGTTTGCTCGATGGATTCCCTATGTCCCATGGATTGACGGCGTTTTGGAGATTTTTCTTTTGTACTTTTCATTTGTTTTGCACGAAGAGATGAGACATGAGCATGAGACTCATGCGTGAGTCTCCCTTACGAGACCTCGGCAGATGCCTGGGTCTCTCTATTTTCCCATTTTTGATTGTCAATCGATACAGCATTTAATCGGCGTGACGGAAACCTCTTTGCTTGGACTTGGTTATTGGTTGCTCTCCTGTTACTCTTGTCTCCTACTCGCTCATCGGGCCTCGTCATTCAGGCTATTTGTACATACGCGCATATCATGTACCGAGTGTTTTCTCGATTCTCGCATTCTCCTGAGGAGGTGCTGTTATTTAATGAAGACAATCAACCTTGGATCTTTTCTAAACCCGCCGTAGCAGTATCGCGTTCTCGGGGTTTATGTCAGGCAAGTCGGGCAGTCCCGTCGCAACCTCACGCTGGGATGGGTTGTTGCAATTTGATGAGCATGCTCTTGTCTAGAGAAATAGATGGATGGTTCAATATCAATTGACATTTTGGTATCTGATTCTCTCTTCATTGCATAGGCATCTTCCATGATGCCTTCTACTTCCCCTGCTCCCACCTGTCTTATTCATGTTCTTTCCCCGTCACCACGGAAGTAGTAACCTCGTTGCCTTCCTCCTGCACCTTGTTCTCCTCCTTATCCTGATCTAGTTTGATATTCTCCAAAAAGAACATCACGACTAGCATCACAGCGAGCGAAGATATTCCCGCAATTGCGAGGAGTCTTTGTGACTCTCTGTAAGCGCGATTGATAGCATCACGAGCTTCGCTGTGCATGGCGTATTTCCGAGCAACCACAATCGACCCGAAAATTGAGTTGGCTTGATCTTTTAGCGAAGCAGGAAGGTATTTTCGTAGTTTGTCGGGTAGGGTGTTTCGCCAGATAGCACCACCAACGCTGATATCAAGCCTAGTTAGTAGTGATCAGATAAAATGGACCTTGGGTAGTACTTACCTTGTCCCAATCGCGCCACCGACACTCATGGAAGCAAAGAATACCGCAGTGACCACTGAAACGTCCTGACGTGAGACCACTGCTTGTGCTGATACCTGCGCTGCTGTCTGGTAGAACCCACGACCGATTCCAATCAAGGACTTGGCTGTAACAAAAGCAGCTTCATTGCCGATACGCCCATTTCCCATATCAACTATGTAGAGGAGTACGCCCATGCCAAGAACGCAGAGAGGAACACCGGTTAGAACCCAGATTTGGGATCGTTTGGTGTATTTCATGAAGAATGCCGCGAAGATGCCAGCGACCTGGAAGGCAACTCGGAGAGAATTGCTAAAGCCAGAGAGATTAGAATCAGCGTGCAAAAAAGAAGGCTTAGAAGCAGGGATGCTTACTCTATCCTAGTTGCAGTACCGGCAGAGTAGTTTCCAGCAACCTGGAGATAGCTGCTGAAGAACACGCTAAACGCGGAATAGTGGAAGAAATCCAAAGCACCGAGAAGACAAGCAGCTGCAACCGTTCTGTTTTTGATCATCCGATAAGGCACGAATGGCTTTTTGGCAAACCAAGCGTCCCAAATTAGGAAGGCTGCCAGAAAGCACACGCCGAGAACCAACATGGCAATAAACGATCCTTTCGTCCAAGCATCACTATTCTGCGATCCCGTCAATGACACCGGGATCAATATTAGAGATAAACCAGCGACAAGTAGAACCGCCCCTGGTAGATCTAACTCGATCCAGAATAATTGGTAGAGCTTCTGCCACCAAGTATGATCAGATTCCCATCCCAGTGCTTGCGACACTGATACCTCTGATGGAACTCGACGCTGATAAACAAGCATAGTTCCAATCAGCGGGACAGAAGCAACGGGCAAAATAATAGCCCACATACCCCAGCCCCATCGCCAGGTAGAGTGATCTAGAATTTGCTGGGCGACGATGGTTCCGATGTAAAGTGTTGGAATTGTGGTGAGAGAATCGGGGAGTGTGGACCATATAGCACGATTGACTAGTAGGGTCATATCCGCGACGAAGACCTGCTGTGTTAGAGCGAAGCCGGTGGATCCGATAGCCTCGAAGATACCCGCAGCCTGTATACATAGGGATAAGCATTAGAATTCTGACAGTGCTCGCATCTAGTGAATGCAATTCTCACCATGTACTGGGAAATATTCTTGCAAGCCGCATAAATGACATAGCCCAGCGCGGATGTGAAAATGGACAGAATGAACATTTCCGCTCTCCCAAAAGCCTATCAAGTAATCAGCACGCCAAGTCCCGACGATGGATGCAATTCAAGGGCGAGCTGACATCCCCAAGCTTAGCAATAATTGGATATGCCGAAATTCGCGCAATGTTTATGACGACCTTGGCCGCACTCATCGCAGAGTGTTGTTTAAAAGCGCTCGTTGTGTATGCGGGGTACACTTGGGTGGAATAATCGGCGAAATTAATTGCGAAGGTGCATAAAAATAATCTGTAATCAACTGCAATCAGTACTGTAGTTTCAAATCCCTTCAGACTTGAGTGCTTGTGTGTGATCTACCCGGTAAAAACGATGATCAATCCGGTTTTCGTCCAACCTTTCCGAAGTAATTGAGCTCTTTTGACTCCTGGTTGGAGACTGGCAGATGATTGCTGCTTCTCCAAGCCATCATCACTTTTGGTTTTTTGGTCAGCATAGCTTTGCGTTCCCGCAGGGGTAGCCATCTCAGTAGAGATGGTTTCGTCCGATCTCGCCATGGTAGCAGGTGCCGCGTTGAGAGGAAATCTACAGAGTCATGCCCAAGGGGGAATCGTGTGAACTTTATGTAACATGCAATATTTCTAAAGCTGCTCCGGAACTTCCATACACTAGCCGGCTAAAAGATGGTATAGAAATCAAGATCCCGCTGCCAAGAGTGTCGAAGCGATGCGGAACCGGAAGGCCAAACAAGAGAAGTCCCACAATCTCATGACTAGAGGAGCTTCTCTGTCCATGTAGAAGTAAACTACAGCATGATCCCACGCGTCTCCGTGCCATCAAGTGGTGTAATATCGAATCACGAGCTTCGCCAAGAACACCAAGACTTCCACCGGAAAGACCCCGAGGCCCGTGGCTTCATCCTCGAAAATGTCCTCCTCACAGCCTTGCGGACCAGTATACGAAACTTAATCTTATCAAAGATTGATAGGCGGAGCAAGAAGTCCAATTAGGAAATAGAGACGAGTTCAACCTCGGAGATTCGATCAGATAACTAATGCCAAGGCACCAAAGGCGTGCGCCAAGACCGTACTGTCGGGTTACGCCGCGAGCGGATGTCGGAGGTCTACAGAAATGACAACGTTAAGCGAGGCAGAGCCTTAGGGAATTATTATGAATACGGGGCATTATACGGACTTTTCTCGGTATCTTGTCTGTGAGATCCACCCGCCTCGTGCCGTCGGTTTATTCGGGTGGGTTGTCGCTTCGTTTTCCATGTGAGTAATAGACTTCACAGCAACGTCAATGACCAGCTAGTCTAACATCCTTTCTTGAAGATCCGACTTGATGGCTGCTATTGACCCATAAACCAGTCTCTACGCTTGATTAAATCATTCACAGCATAACATCTTGATACCAATCCCTCTGGCGGGGCCATCCACAACCATCAGCTATACGAAGCAGTTTATCATGGCTCAATGGGACTTCAAAAGAAATGATGGTTGCATTCGAAATGTGGCCTCGTGGGATGTGACCAGCCCACAAAATCAGCCATACCTATTACAAGTGTCATGGCCTCTGGAATGGGCATCCTTGGAAGAAAAAGATACTATCACTAGCAAAGCAAACGTGCTGTAAGTGAAAACCTGTACATAGCCCATGGACTCCATCAAAGCCACTCTCTAACATAACCCAGGTACCTCGTAGACGGAAACGCAATGTTCCTCTCCGCAACAGAAATCCTACGCCGCCGACGCCTACGAAACCCAGAGGAACTAGCAACAATAATCATCGGACTCTCTTACCCATTGACGAACTCCGTCTACAGTCCTCGTCGAGGCTTCGACTTGACACCACCCTGCAACTCATACAATCCACCTAAAAGCGCACACGGAAACCCCCAGCCACAGGCATACGGTGGCGCAGATATCTTTCTCGATTTCATCACAAATACTATCCACAATTACGTTTTCATGAACCTATTCCCGCGGGTATCAATACAACAAAAGGGACTATTCGGGCACTCTTACGGAGGCCTTTTCGCCCTTCATACACTTTATACTATGCCTGTCAGTTTTGACGTTTACCTCGCCGTCAGCCCATCGATATGGTGGAATGATAATTTTATTTTACAAGAAGAAAGACAGTTCTACCGACTCCCAAGACAAGCCCATCGACCAGGTGTGTGGATGGCATACGGAAGTTTGGAAGAGTCACCTCAGAGTGAGATAGATCAGTCTGATGAGAATCTTGATGGACGGGCGAGGCTTAGAAAGGGGCGGCGGATGGGGAGGAATTGTGAGGAGATGGCTCGACGGTTGGAAGAATGTGGTCAAGTTGGAGTAGTTAAGATGAGACGGTATGAGGATGAGGATCATGGGAGTGTGGTTGCTGGGGCACTTGCTGGGGGGATATCGTTTTTTCTTGATATGAGTGAGGCTGGAGTGGTGTAGTAATAATTATTGTCGAGGATGGAATGCTGGAGTACTTCTTAGACTTGTTATTTGGACTGGAAATGCATTTATTGTGCCAATTTCATTACATCTGGTAGAGGCTTCTCTGTTTGCAGCTGTCTCATATCCTCTTGAATAGGCAGAAAAAGGAACAATTTCTACAATTTTCGTGATACAGACTGTTCACATATTGAGTGGTCTAATCAAGGCAGAATCATTCTTTCTATACGCCACTCAACCAAAGAAATACGATAAAAATTCAATCAACTAGCATTACACAGCAATCTCTCTAGACCACTGACCCAGAGTGAACTGCGAGTTGCACATATTAGTCAACTCCCAGCTCTCCGCACCCAAAACGGCCGGGGTATTCTCATCCTCCACATCACCAGCGGCACCAGCCACAAACAAGGCCGCCATGAAGTGGTCGTCAGTAGCATGAGCATCGCGGAAGCGAGGGTGCTTCATCAGCCGAGTCATAGCCCGACGCAACTGCACACCAGAAGTCTTGGTAATAACATCCTCAACAGCCTGTCGGAACTCCATAGCCCAATCCTCGGGCGGAGTCTCCATGGCAAAGTTGTCACGGAACCGCAACATGGGAGCCCATCGGTTCCGGTAGAGGTTGTGTACAGCACCACCCGTGCCGATGATGAGGTAGTTCTCCTTACGCAGGGGGCGCAATGTCGCACCCATCTTCATGTGGAAGTGAGGATCGTAGCGGGCGTTGGCGGAGATCAAAGTTGTTGGTGGGCAGCCGTTGGGGAACATGCGAATGAGGATGAGGTAGACGTCGTGAATCCAGTCGAATTTGGGGTTACCACCAACGTTGAAACCCTCCTTGGCTAGCATCTCGATACACCGATCGGTAGTCTCGAGATCGGGGTTTAGCTCGTAGTTGACGTACTTTTCGGGATTGACGTAGGCCACGGGACTTTTGCCCGGGTTAGGGTTTGTAGATAGTTCGATTCTGTCGCCTAGACAGTCCCAGTGGGCGCCCTAAATAATTCATGTTAGAGAAAGAAAGCATATCCTGAAGACAACGTGTATCACTTTGATTGCCACATTATACCTACCATAATAACAACACCCTTGATGTTCCGGGCAAGAGCTTCATCGCCACACTTCTTCCAGTAATCGGCGCTCTCGGACTCTTCTCCCAGCATCATGGTCGAGCCATGCGAGAAGAAATGTACTGGCGTGAGACCTGCACATTGATCAGCAATTGCTTTTCCATTTTGTTTTTTTATTTCTCTGCCCCTTTTTTGGGCCTGTCCCCTAACGCGTTCGCCGTTTCTAACTCTGACAGGAGGCTAAACGGTGGCGGCGCAGAATGGGGAGGGTGCAGGAAATCAGGGCCTTACCCATTTTGTATGATGTTGCAGTTGTGATGGATGATTACGAAGACCGTCGGGTGAAAACGAAAATCAAAATGCCTGACAATCGGTCATCCATCCGAGAACAATATATTGCTCCCCCGCTGGATTAGCATGTTGAGCGACCGGATTGCGGACGTCGGGTATGTTCCCCCACATGCCGACCGCAGCCATCCGGAGGTCGGATCCAAAGAGCTGTCCGATTTTCTCAGAGTTGTTAAGGGACTGAGGGACCCCTGTTCGCGCCATGCGACTTCCAATAAAAGGGTTGCGTAAGACTGGAGAGGTCATGCCGGTTTAGAAGACCCTTTATGAGGGACAGGGATCTCGCATAGGACGCGAATCCCTCACAAGGAGGCGTTGAGGGGAGGCATGACCAGCGACAGCCATGCGGTCCCTCCAGCGAATCATCGACGAGCCAAAGAAAGGCTGGGCTGCTGGGTAAATCTGGGGAACTTGGGGAGTGGAGCTTCCGCGATCCACAGTGGCCAATTCTTGGGAATTCTCGGGTTGGTGACTCTCCTGGGACTCGGTGAGAATTAGCAGGATGTATGGATGTAATGCAATAAATGTAGTCAATGCAGGGAGATATTCAAAGATACCGATGAGTTGGTGTTGGTGCGTTGGTGTTGGATGGTTGAAGACGAAGAGTCGGAGAGTCTTGGCAAAATGCAAAAATGCCGCGACCGAAGAGAAGCCGAAAGACGAAATCCAAACTCCAAGGGTGAATCCACCAAAGAAACAAAAAACACTAACGAATCAGCCACTCGGCCAAAGCTGCGAACTGGAATCCCCCCGGGATATCGGTCTCTACCCCGGATTTGTGCTCTTCCCCTCTTCCCCTCTCCTTCTCCTCACTCTTTTCTCCTCTCACTCTAGACATTTCTCATCCGACCTTGAAGTTCGGTCTATCCCTAATCATCTTCTCTCCCTCCAATGCTCCTCTTCCATCATGTTCGATGACTCGCCGCCCACTGTGGATCCACTCAACGCGTCTCAATCCCCCGTCAAGTCCAAGGAGGGAGGCTATTTTCAATGCGGTTTCTGTAAACGCCACTACAATCGAGCCGACCATCTCATCCGCCATGTCCGATCTCATACCCGTGAAAAGCCTTACGTCTGTGATGTCTGCGACAAGGGGTTTGCGCGACCGTCAGTTGCCTTCCACTTCCCTCGAGTTCATCCCGCCGTGCTCTCCTCACTGACACTGTGTATCGCCCAGTGACTTGTTGAAGCGACATGCTACGGGCCATGCCCATGACCGCGATCGGAAGCGCAAGAGAAGCTCTTCCGTCGCAAAGCAGAGTCGTGTCTCCCAGGCTTGTAAGGCCTGTGCCTCGTCCAAACTCAAGTGTGACGAGGAAAAGCCGTGTCGACGGTGTCGAGAGCGGAATCTGCACTGCGATTGGCAGGATGTAGTGCAAGACTCGTCTCCGGAGCCTCAACAACAGAGCTCGACCGAGCATTCAAATCCGATCATGCCCGGTCAATCATTGGATTTGACTGCCTCGGTGGCATTCTCTCCCATGCCGACCCCGATGGATGAATTTCCAGCCGGTGGTAGGACTGGTGGCATACTCATGACTCCTCGTGGACCTGCCCCGGAACCCCCGGTACTCTCCCCAGAAGTACCCCCAACGGGCGAGCAAATTCCAATGGAGTATGGAGGTAAGACTGCGCCCGACATACCACAGTATTAATCATTTGGCTAACTTTGGCTAACAACTTCGCCAGTATCACCCACCGACCAAGAGAGTGGCATTTTCAGCGTCGACGGCACCTTTTTCCCGAATTTCATTCCCGATTCCTTGATCTCCTCATTAAGCCGATATAACGACCCCTTTGAACCGACAAATCTGATCCCCGAATTCACACATTACGGAGCTTTGGAAATTCCAGCCTTGGATTTCAATTTGACGGATGGTGATTTCGGTTTGATCGACATGTACAATTCCCGCAACTTTGTGCCGGGAGCTCACGAACCGGAGCCGCAAGATCGCTTCGATGCGGATAGTGGAATTGGTATCGGTGCCGAGGCTTACCATCGGTCATCTTTGTCTCAATGGAAGCCTGCTCAGCAGGACCGCGCATTTGATGATCACGAACACCTATCAGTTCCACTTACAATCGACAGCCCCGAAGCAAATGCCACACCCGACCGACAGATTCTCTGTGAACGTCTGTCTTCTAGCAGCCGCGACCTCATTTTTGGACTGGTGCTGGAGATCAGCCGAGAAGCGAATCTGAGTCGAATTATGAAGTCATTTCCCAGCACTGAACTGTTGGACGGCTTGATTCAGCAATACTTTGAGTTTCAGTCGCATGGTGTCGATTCTTTCATTCACGGACCGACTTTCCGACCTAATAGCGAGCATGCTAGTATTCTCGCTGCTCTCGCCTCTGCGTCAGCCGTTCGCTCCCCCATCCCCACTATCAGAAAGCTTGGATATGCTTTGCTTGAAATTGTTCGACTGTATATGCCTATTAAGGTGCGTCTCATAAGCAATTTTTATGATTGTCATATACCACCACGAGAGGAGATCTAACCATTTCTGCAGTATGAAAACGATAACAGCACCACTCGTGATTTACGTACATCCCAAACTTATGCGTTGAATATTGATATCGGAATATGGAGTGGAAATCGACGAAAGACGGAAATTGCCGAGAGCTTCTCACAGCCTTTGGTGACCATGCTCCGTCGAGCTCTTCGATTCCGCCGTTCCGTCTATACCAACATCATTCCCAACATCGAAGACTCTGGAGAGCTATTGGAGCGCAAGTGGCATGACTGGATCGAACAGGAATCGTTCAAAAGGTAAGAATAACTTTGTCGGACTCTGTTATGTTAAGCAGAAGCTTATAATCTCTACAGACTCGTCTACCATCTCTTCCTCCATGATTCTCGAAGCTCAGTGACCCTCAATGTCAACCCCTTGATCTCCTACGCCGACTTAGAACTTCCACTACCGGCAGCCCGCCCGCTATGGGAAGCCAAGACTGCTATTGAATGGAAAGATCTCTTTTGTGTCATCTCGCCAGTCACTCCCGAGCGAGTGCCATCCCTAGCCGATCTCCTGCGGGACATGTCCCAGCTTTCGACTTTCCAAGATCGCATCGACACGCAGCTGTCCGCTTTGGTTCTTCTCCACGGTCTATCAGCTTTGATCAACGAGTATCACCGTTTGAAATTCATTTCAACGAGCAACTCCAAGCATTGGCATGCTCTTGTGACAAACTCCCGTCAACAAGAGCTTGATCAGGCACTCCAGCATTTCCGCATGGTCTGCTCGGAACTAAGAGTGCAGTGTCGCCCCGAGATTGTCCTCGTCTGTGAGGTAGTCTCTATGCTACTTCACATGTCTCTGGAAGAACTACAACTTTTTGCTGGCAAAGAAGACAAACAAGAAGCGCGCCGGGTCTACCACTCCGCCCTTGAATGGATCACGAGTCCCGACTCTCGTCGAGCTGTGTGGCACGCAGGACAAACCATCCGTGCGGCCAGGAAGATGGCCCCTGGCTCACTGACAGGGTTCCTGGCTATCGGGGTGTATTACGCCGGGCTAGCCCTCTGGTCCTACGCGGTAGTCTCCAAGGCCAATAACACGCGGCTGAACGGCAGCCCGGCCTCCTCCATTGCCAGCCAGGGACCCACCGTATTCCTGGACGCGGAGGAAATGCCCGAAGTCACGAAATTCTTCACATTAAGTTGTGGCGTTCCTGCAATTCAGGGGCCGAACGGACCAATTGCACTGGCAGACACGAGCACTACCATGCAGATGGTGCAGCGAGTACTCCGGCCAGACCCGTCAGAGCGTACGCCACCTTTGGTTCAGAGTTTAGCGCAATTAATTGGGGATCTGGGGCATTGCGTACCCATGGGTGGGGTGTAATCTACGAGCGATTTCCTTTCCTGGTTGTTTTTGTCTTGCATGTATGAATAAGAGATTCTGAAATGATACCCACGCGATGATTGATGACTACAAATCTACCTTTCGTGCTTCTCCTCTCACATGAATACGTTTATTATCTGCAGGTCGCTTCGTCTAGCGTGAAACAGATAAATCATCCATCAGCAGCCACCAGTCGCACTTCCACCAACACACACAGCGCCAGTACAGTTGAACCCACGAGTCCCCTCAACATTCCCGCACAGGTATTCATCAGCCAGCGTCCCATTAGAACTGACTTCTAGGTCAACACCCGTAATCGAGATATTCTCACAAGGCTTCACAGCAGAACACTGGAAACTAGCCACATCCTGACTAGTCGTCGTGCCCGTCAAATCCTTAAACGACAAATCTCGCAGCTGGAACTTCGAAGATGTGCAATTCCCAGCAGTCCCTGAGAACGTGGTACACTGCGAAATGGCAATAGCCGGTCCCCTCAACGCGGTAGCCTTGAGATCCTCGAAGACCATATCAGATGCATCTAAACACATCCGTCAGCACAATCATCATCCCCCATCTTTCAAGATACTCAGGAGAAAAACGCACATCCAAGACCCCCACCCCCACCATTCGGCGGATAATTAACCTGCTCCCCAGTCCAAGTCTTAAAATAAACCGCATGCAACGTCTTACTATACGTAATATTCCGCGCCCTAACCCGTTCAATAGTTTCATAAGCATCCTTATACTGACCAATACTCCCGATAGCGATTCCCAGACCACGATGGAAGAGCGAGTCTTCGATGAGAATATCCGTCGAATTCGCTTTCATACTGATACTGTCGTCGCCGTTGTCGACTTCCCAGTTGCGGAAGGTTATGTGGGAGCTGTAGATTGTGTCTGCGCCGTCGGTGTTGCGAGAGGAGGATTTTACACTGGTGCTGTTGACGTAGATATTGTCGAAGAGGGTGTTTTGGGAGTGAATGATTGATAGAGTCCTGTTCCGAAGATTTTAGCATCAAGTATTCCATGTCGAGAGTGAGGCTTTACTAACCACATCTGACTCTGGACAAAGCGCAGCCCCGTAAACTCTGAATTACTAGTCTCCGACACCGTCAAAGCATGCGGTCGACCGGGATAATTCGATACAGATCCACAGGCATCATACCAAGTCTGCCCGTTACCATTAAAAGTGCCATATCCATGACCATCAAAGCGGATATTCTTGCCGCCGAATACCCACGCCGTGGATTGATTCTGGTATCCCACTGGCAGGGAATGGTTAAGCCAGTATGAGACATTCGTGCTCCACTAGAAACAAATTAGTCTTCAACCTAAACCCTAATTCACAGTTTAGATGGGGTATGATACCAAAAGTGTGCCCCGAAGATCAATTTCACAATCCTTCAGCCCGGTAGTGTTCATAACACTATTGATATGGTAGGTAGTATTCTGGAAAAGAATCTTCCCTCCATGTCCGCATTGATCAAACGCTTTCAGCACGGCGGGAGTATCATCAATTGAAGAGTTTCCCGCTGCAGGTACGACGCAGACTTTTGAGGGGTTTCTCTCCACGATTGTGGGTGGGGATAAGCCCAGCACCACCGCGGAGAATAGTGTTGCGATTGCTAGCAAGTTCATCGCAGTTGATGATATTTCCTTGATTGATAGTTATTTTACATTGTGTTTACTACATTTATATACTATATTGACACTCGTTGAGTTGAAAAGTAAACCGATTCAATTTGTGGAAATATTCATGTTATGATCTGCATGGGATACGACCCTTAAAATGCGGGGAAATGGGCTCGGGGTAGATGATAGCGAGGTAGTATTAGGACTTATGAGATGGCCGAGTGAGTAAAATGTTAAATACTGAGACATCCTCTGGCATTGACTCGGTTATAACTAGAGCGAGTTGACATTTTCATCTCCGATGGCTTAGAGGTCAAAGTTGAGATTGAAGGACGTGGACTGGCCAGAAGTCACTCATGCCTGGAGGTTGTAAATACCCCTGAGTTGAGATACCGCGCTGAGAAGCACGACAGAGTTGAATTTGGGCGATTTGTGGTCGGATTCAAGTCATCAATGTTAATCAACCTTATTGCCTAGTCAGTTCATCCTGACGGTTGGCTAACTTACTGGATGATGTTCATGAAGATAGCAAAGTCTCCGAAGTGGAGCGAATCTTGCTGGGATCCATATGGTTTATGAATGACCTTCATCATATTTGAGAATCAACAATTGTCTTTGCCATCAAAAATGACCATTTCTTTCAATAATAGGTTCGATCCTGGCGTACTAGCTGGTCTGTGGAGGTCTACCCGCATAGCCCAAGCCAAATAATATTCCAAGTCACAAGAGCACATCAACCCGCCCATCGGCGGATTCCGGGGTCCTAATAAGCATACTAGAATGTTTCTTCAAGGCCTATTGCTTTCATAATCATAAACTATCAATCGTTCGGGTGCCTGCGCAGCCAAATTTCCCCACATTCCGAGACGCGTGAAGCTCTCCACGCGTACCCGAGTAGTGCGGGGCCCATTTTGTCTGTCAAGTATATCGGCATCGGCGCCGATGCCGAATACAAAATATGAAGCTGTCGCAGTCACGATAGTTGCATAGTATATCCTGGAGCTTCTTAAAGAGCAGAAGAAAGTACCAGTTTGTATTAAAATCCAACAAGGCAATTCAAAAAAAATCATTCCTAGACACCCTCTCTCCCTTCCTACCTCCCTGGTCACCATGGTCCTCAAGCTCAAGCAACCCAATCGCTCCAATGCGGGCCCCGCATCGACATTCGATACCTCTGCTATTGTGCGCGGTGTTATCGACGATATCCGTGCTAACGGCGACAAAGCTGTGAGAACATACTCGGAGAAATTCGACAAATGGAGCCCCGAAAGCTTCAAGTTGTCGCCAGAAGACATTCAGCAAATCATCTCGACCGTTCCTCAACAGATCATCGATGATATCAAGCAAGTTCAGGAGAATGTGCGGACTTTTGCTCTCGCACAGCGAGCTTCGCTGAAGGACTTTGAGCTGGAGATTCGTCCTGGAGTTCATCTTGGACAGAAGAATGTTCCTATTAACTCCGTTGGCGCGTGAGTTATAATACCTCCCATTTAGCCGTCTGAAATCATGACTACTGACTTCCAAATCTATACAGTTACATCCCCGGTGGTCGCTACCCTCTCCTCGCTTCCAGCCACATGACTATTCTGACTGCTAAATGCGCCGGCGTCCCTCACGTCACTGCATGCACACCCCCAATCGCCGGTAAGATCCCCGCCAACACCGTGGCCGCGATGCACTTTGCCGGCGCAGACGCAATCTACATCCTGGGCGGTGTCCAAGCCGTCGCTGCCATGGCCATCGGCACAGAGACAATGAAGAAGGTCGATTTCATCGCCGGACCGGGTAACGCCTTCGTGGCCGAGGCCAAGCGTCAACTCTTCGGCGAAGAAATCGGCATTGATCTCCCCGCGGGCCCAACAGAAGTCCTCATCGTCGCCGACGAACACGCCGACCCATTCACCGTCGCAACCGACCTCCTCTCCCAAGCCGAGCACGGCCCCGACTCGCCAGCCGTGCTAATCACCAACTCGCAAAGCGTGGGCGAAAAGACCATCGCCGAGGTAGACCGGCTACTCAAGATCCTGCCCACCGCCGACATCGCCAGTGTATCCTGGGATCGCCTCGGCGAAGTCAACGTCGTGGACAACCTCGACGAAGCATACAAACTAGCCGACGAGTACGCGTCCGAACACGTCCAGATCCTGACGCAACAGCCGCGCGAGGCACTGGAGAAAATGTCCAACTACGGCGCCCTGTTCCTGGGCGAGAAGACCTGCGTGTCGTACGGTGACAAGTGCATTGGCACGAACCATGTTCTGCCTACTCGTGGCGCGGCGCGGTATACTGGCGGTTTGTGGGTGGGCAAGTACCTGAAGACGGTGACTTATCAGGAGGTTACTTCTGAGCAGGAGAGTGGCGAACTTGGTCGTCTTTGTGGACGGGCTGCGCGGGCGGAGAACTTTGAGGGCCATGCTCGTTCTGGTGATGCCAGGGCTCATCGGTACTTGGGTGATAAGTTTGAGTGGATTTAGGGAGGGGAAGATGGAGTGTGTGATTATTGAAAGTCTGTTCTAGAAATGCCTGATATGTAAATGATTTCAATGAATATTTTGTTCTTGCATAGTTTGTTTACTCCGAGTACAAAGGCGAGTACGAGTGTTGTCTTTTGTATACTACCCTCTCTATATACTCCTCTCGTGGTGTAACCAGTTAAAATGCTTACTGCCGTGACGTCATTACAGTATCTGCAACTGTATTATTACAGATTTTACAATACAAAACTCATTTCTGATAAATCCGAGTCCAACTAGAGTGGATCCACCACTAAAATCCTACACTCCCATTGGCCCATCCCCTCTAATCTTCTTTTTAGGTTTCTTTGCCTGTCAGCAACTTGCATTAGCGCCATCGATCGACTCAACATGCCACTGACGCGGTCCAACCCCTCGACCCAAGACCAAAGCTTAGAAATCACGTAACGGAGATATGTGAGGAACTTCTATACCCGGTTTATAATCCTATCTAGATATACCTAAATATAAGCTTCTCACCACGCCGTGCCCGCCACGCATTAGTGCTATTCATAATCTCCGGACACCCCCTGACAATCCACTGCCACTTTTTCAAAAACGCCTCCGTCAACTCCCAATTCCGAATATCCCACGGCTCCCCCCAAACCAATAACCCGGGCGCCGCCGTAGAAGAGTGTGCCCAGAAACCCATGATATCATGGCAAAGCGCCTCGTCGTCCCAATCATCACCCGCTTGAATCATATTATCCCGCATTTTAGGATGAGGGAAAAAGTCCAGCCACGGGTGATGTGGCCTAGTTCTTTGAAGCTTGGTCGGACGTAGACTGAGAGGCATGTCGCTGTAATCCGGTGCCGTCGATGCCTCTGCCGCCGTGGGGATATTGAATGGGGAGATTGCGTCGTCGTCCATGTCATCCAGATTCCAGCCCATTATCTTGAGGTTATGGCCGAAGGCGCGGAAGACGTTGACTTTTGTCAGCACCAGGAGATGCTCGGAGGTTGGAGAGCCCAGCATGTAACTCTGGAAGGCGGATTCGGCGAATTGGGTCAGGAGCATTCGTGCAGATGCGGGTGTGAGACAGCGGCTCTCGCGTTGTGACGAGGCTGATGGGGAGGTGCTGGCTTCTTTGGGTACGATCGCGGTTGAAGAAGATGAGGAGGATGGAGATGAGGATGAAGCCACGACACTTTTAGGATGGACGTGTTTGTTGTTTCGCATGCGCTGGCGCTGGCGCAGACCTGGAGATTGTCAGTATCCCTCAATGACGGATTTCCGACTCGCTGAAGCATGCAAAGAACATACGGTGAGCCCTCTGATTGATCCGATTCTGTCTCCGTCGACGCTCGGCCGGATCTGTAAGTCCAACCCAATCGTCTCGCGACGTCTCGTGGCTGTCCGGCGCCGTGATCGCCGTCATCTCTGGTTGTGGGGAAGTGGCCATCGTGGTCAGCGCTAAGGGTTCGTGTCAGCAGTTCTAACGGTCTGAAGGAGGAACGGAGAAGGGGAGGCGAAGGGCTTTGATTTATGCGGGCTGCTGATGATTGAGTCTGGCGTGTCTTGACCAATCAAATGTGTGAGTGGGTATGGAGTGGGTCCGGAGTTAAGAAAAGAGCCTTGTGTATTGTCATGACTAAGTATTGTATGGTAAGATTCAAGGTTTCAGGGTCCAGAATGGTGGTTAAATACACATCAAGTAAACAACCATAGAGCTGTTACTTTGCCACGTCATATCGAAGCCATTCCAATATTGCGATTTGAGGGCTCTCTGCTCCCATGGTAGACATGGTATCAACAATGATGATATCAATTGGGATGTATCCAGTAATCACCGCCGCAAGGCTTGTCCAAAGCTATGTACATGACTCGCCTGAAAAGTCTCTCTCGTCATAACGCACATGGGTATATAAAAAGGAATGAAACGGTACGCAAGGGTTATATGCACAATTCGTAAATCAACAGGGTTACCCATTCCCCAACTGGCGGTGTATATATAATCAGGGAATGGGCAGACCTGCAGTGGAGATATCACCTAGTAGGTTTCCGCGCGAAAACAACTGTAACCGGGAGGTAAGCATGTGTCCGATAATCACGAAGACATTCTCGCATCTGGGCAAGAAACATCCGGACCCTTTCATAGGATCACTCTAGTGTTGAGGTCAAAAGCCGAAGCATGAATCCTTCGATTCCTCCATTGAGTCGAAATTGATTCCATCGTCTCAGCTCATGTAGCTTCGGGTCATCACCCCACCTACTGCGAGTGTTAGGCTTGTTTGTTTCGCAGATATCCATCTTCAGAAGACCAAACATACCCATTCATGGGCCATTTATGCGAATTCTCTACCACATTTTCAAACCCGGCCTTTTTCAACCGGTCGGCACTTTCTTTCCAGATGGAAAAACTCTTGCCAAATCGTTCTCCGGCTTTGATAACGGTCTTCCCCCATGTTCGGTAGAAATGATCGGGGGGCATTGTGGCATCGTCGACTACCGGGCGGACCGAATGCTCGACGACTTCAATATAGCCGCCGGGCTTCAATGCGCGATAGAATTGTCTGAATAAATCATCCCAGTCCGGGATAGAGCCAAATAGCTCGCGAATATGAATAAAATCAAATCGTTCCGGTGCATACGTCCATCGCATAGTCATATCATCAAATTTGAATATACAATTGGGTGGTACAAACGATGGCTGTATTGGTGAAAGGTCCACTGCGGTCACTTGGGCGCAAGGATATTATTCCTCAGCACTGCAATCGAGGGTCAGCTCCATAATCCCTCTAAAACGCAGACAGCAAATATTCTCAATCAACACACATGGACCATATCCCAGTTCCAGTCCCCACATCTAGGATTTCCTAGGTCCCTGTTTAGAATTACTACATGCGGGGGAATCCAGGGACCAAACCTACCTGTGGCTGGTTGAGCGGGGCAAGATGCAGCCTTCCGTCCAGAGTCACCGTATACATATGATGCGCGAGATCTTGCTGTTCATTTGCAACCTCGTCATTCGGTCCCTATACATATTTTCCGGGATATCAGCGCCATGGTCCATCAATTGAGATTATCCGGAAGAACCCTGGACTAAGTATTATTCCCCCGCACGTACCCAATAAGCACCATCCCGAAAAGCATGGTACCGGCCGCCCAAACTCGTATCGATACTCGGTTATATACGAGGCGAGGGTTTTGTATCATCCCCCAACAAAGAATCTTCCTCGTATGCTGAATTGGTCTCGTTCGGGTCGTCATTCGGTTGGGGGAGGTATGAGGGTGGAGTAGCAGGTAAGGCTGCGCGAGTCAGGGTCGGGCTGTCGACGCCGGGGCGGGAGCCGGAATGAAGTTGGGTCACATCGCTGTCTTCCCCCGTAATCCGAGGACATGTTCAAGGCCAGGGACCGTGGGTGACAGGAGGATGGCGCATCCTCTTTCTGTGGCCTCGGGGAGGGTCTAAGATGATTGCTTACGTCTGGTTGAATATTGGGGGGTTTGACAGATGGTACGTGACGGGACGCGGGATCTATAGTGAAGAGGGAAGAGTGAAGCTGACGCTAATTTGAGAAATATGACAGTTGTAAATTGAATTCAATTGATTCTATACGCTTCGTGATCATCTTTACTAAAATGTACTTGATACACAGTTCATCTAAATTCTGCATATGCAAAGTCGGCAGGCGTCATACAACGCTGTCGGTCCCCAAATGCATAAAGCCCGAGCATCATGCCTTTTTTGTCTTGTGTTAGCATTTTATAGACTTTCGGAGAATTTCATGCAAATCATACCTGTAAACGGTGCGCCTACCGGCGGTGCCTTGGTCGCGACATGATTGGCCACACTTCCAATCCAAATAATCTCCGAGCTAGATGGGTCGCGATACCCAAATCGGTACTCGTTGCCGCATTCAATAACCAGAACAATGTCTCCAGTTAACTCCAAGTTTTTCTCAACTATTTCGCCCTCTGATGGCTGGAACCGAATAATCCGATTTTCGCCTTGTCTGCGAATTCCGAGACTGCTATAGGTGAAATAATTCCACCACACGACTGTGCCAGCCTCCGTGTGCTCTGAGATGGGCTGGAAGGATAGCTGGGTCTCCCAGGTACAGAATCGATGAGTCTGCTTTCGTAGGAACATGGTCGGGCTGGCAGGTACTGAAAGCGTATATGGACCACCATACAGGCGAAGGTGGTTAGGGCGTTCAGTAAGAGAATAGTCGAGAGTAAAGGGAGTATCTAGTAGATAGAACGCGTCAGTGGTTATCTATGCATTTCAAGATGTCGTACTGGGTGCGTACTTTTCCTATACCAGCCCAACTGAAGTTGAGAACTCGAAAAGTCATCCTTCCAGGACACCGGAATTTCGTGCTGGTAAAGCCCTGGTCCATTAGACTGAAGGGAAATCTTCTTGCCACCATTGACGACAGGCCAGTCATTCTCCCACTCCACATGGACAAGGAAACTCTCTCTCCCTGGGGCAGCAGTTAGTATAACACCTAATGGAGGGAGTGCCGCAAACCTACCAAAAACAGACTCCTCCCACTGATCTTCCTTTCGCACTGGCCGAACCGCCAAAAGAACCGCCCACCAATTCCCATCCGCATCTTCAACTAGATCCAAATGACCAGTATTCTGCACTTCATCGTCCACTCCATTACGCCAGAGAGGATTATTCGGCGCAAGCTCCCATGGCCCCATTGGACCAACTTCACTGCGACTAACCCATTCACAATGGCCACTCTCCGTGCCACCCTCCGCCGTGAAAAGATAGTAGTACCGACCGCGCTTGTAAATATGCGATCCCTCCGCGACTCCGGATGATGACGCGCGGATCAGTTTTGGTTCTGATGTCGAGTGTCCCGTATCGAGATCAACTGTGCAGATATGAATGGCAAAGTCCTTTAGTTTCGTGCCCGGAGTGGGCTCGAGCTTGCGATAGGTTGATGATAGGTATACCGTTCCGTCATCATCCCAGAACAGCTGATGATCATTGTTAGTAATTTTGTGCAACAAGACAATGGCAGTTCTGCCAGCTTCCTTACATCCTGATCAAATCCGACTTCATCAAAATACACCGGATCAGACCAGGTACTATCATCCCAGATATTGGTCGTCTTAACATAAAAGCCCTGCGGCCAGACTCGATCATCCTGCTGAGGCCGGTATCGTTGAAAACTGGCCGCAGTGATGTAAAACACACCCTCATGGTAGCGGATAGTAGTAGCCCACACGCCTCCGCCCGGCTCGGGAGTGTGGATTTGAAGTTGACTCGGCCTTGTCAACGCATGGCCAATGAGCTTCCACTGAATCAAGTCGCGACTATGATAGATTGGAGCACCGGGGAAGTATTCAAAACTTGAGGTAACCAAGAAGAAGTCCTTGTCTACTCGAATAATTGACGGGTCCGGGTTGAAGCCCGGGATGATCGGATTATTGAAACTCATGATGATTGATGGTGAGGTGACTGTAGTAGTAGCGTTGTATATTTCGTACTTGGGGTGGCTTTATAAGTGCGGAGTTGCGATTTATGATTTACAATAGTGAGTACTGATTGGTGGAGAAATTAGCTTCCCATATGAAAGGGTAGCGACTTTCCCCGTTCAAGCCTAAATTGCGGCTTGGAAGGGAGTAGTTTAGCCGGGAAGGGAACTGGATATTGTAAGTGCGAACCAAACGTCAAAAGAAAGTATGTAGTACCAACGCTAGAATTTCATAGACTGGGGACAGACTAGGGTAGGCAATCTCGGTGACTGACGCAACATGGGCTCTACTTCAAACGACATACCATTTACCCCAAAATTAAATGCATTCCTTCCAAGTCCTTGAGGTGAACCATCTGCTTGAAGTTAGCTGCAACTCGCTCAGTAAACGCCATCGGTACGATCTATAGCGATCGATAACCTTATCTGCTGCAGGAACTATCCCCACCGGCGCTACTGGAATCGAATATGTAATGGCCCATACATTCTTTTTTTTATTTCCACTCTAGAACTGACTAGACTTTGGTCACTGATAATATTATCCGGGCCTTGACCTAGTGCTATACTCAAGTCACTAATCCACATGAAAAAACAAAATAGGACATAGTGTTTATGATGAACCGCTAGCAAGAGAAAGAGTTGGGCTACCTAGATAGTCCAGGTGGTTAGTTCATCAAGGTATAGAGAAGCACATACAACGCTCCCTGCTTGAACTTCTGATCCGGTAAGGATTCCACCGAACTCCCAATACTCCCCCTCCAAAAGAGAAGAATAAAAACGAGGGTGTCCAAAAATAAGAGATATATATCTTCTGCGATCGGTAGGAGTCGAACGATCTACCTCCCAGCTACTCGAGGAGAACTGTTCGACTCTTGGGTCGAGACAGAATGAGCGGTAAGTACTTATGAGTTAATGGCCTTAATACTAGACTATTCTGTAGAAGAAAGAGAATTTCCCATTACTATTAAATCACTGGGAAAATGACAGGGTGGACTCTGGTGAGTTACTATTCCACTCTTTTTCTAGGCAATGCTAAGGAATATGTGGAACTGAATAGTGCTTCAACCTAGGCTTGATAGCTCTAAGAAAATTCCAAGTGTGTTTTTCTGACTCAACAAGCAACTAATTCTTGCGGTAAAAGTCACGAGTTCTGTGACTGCAGACGCACTCCAGTCATGCAAGTTGAAGATACGAGCGAGAAACCCCGCGACGGGCCCCACAGTCATCCTGCATGGATGCAACATGGCTCTTTTGACAGGGCTCTAGACCACAGCTGACCAGTATTCGCACACAGGTTGATCAAACCCTTCAATAATTGTGGACATCTCCACAGAAATTTTGAATGTGGAGAGTTGCCAAGCTCGCCCAAAGGAGTATATACTCCCACCGACACTCCCCGAAGATTAGCCGCGGTTCCCGCATTTGGAGATGCGGGTAAACCTCCGACTGCCTGCACTCCACATGGCCACTTGAACTGCTCACGGACCTATTGACTCAGTTCTTCTAACCAGCAAATCTGCTACAGGGATTAGAAATACTCTGGTCACGTTCCTGCTGGGAGCAGATTTCTCCAAGTTCCTGAGGATTCTCTCTTCTTTCCTCCAGCTTCATCGACCACTTCACGGCATAGTTTCCGAGCGCATTACGATTGAACAAGCGATAAGAGCGACCGCCATGACTTCCACGTCCACGTCCACGTGCGTAGTGCAGCAACACTCGCACGATGCTCCGAACCACATCATGCTCGAGGCGATGCCACCGAGTCAACACTCTACAGACGACACAACGTCAAATGAGCCCCCCGATGGTTTCTCCGCGCTGGAAAAGTGGAATCACCCCCGCATCAACGTTTATCGCTCTTTCGCCACATTTTGGAGCTTCCTAGTAATGGGGAGTAACGATGCAGCATACGGTGTGAGCATTTGACCCCGCAAACACCCAAAAGGAAGGACTGCTACTGACAAATTCAGGCTTTAATTCCATACGTGAGAGCCCTCATCAGCTACTACCACGCGATACCATACTCATACCACCCCACAGCTCGAGACTTACTATAACCTCAGCTATACGATTGTATCTCTAATCTTCCTCTCACCGCTAGTCGGCTACACACTCGCAGCATTCCTCAACCACCGAATTCACACCTCGCTCGGTCAACGCGGGGTCGCATTGCTCGGACCCGGGTGCCATCTCATCGCCTACGTGGTGAACTGCCTACACCCGCCATACCCGGTCCTCGTGGTCTCGTTTATCTTTGCAGGATTCGGCAATGGACTCGAAGATGCGGCATGGAATGCTTGGATTGGAAATATGGCTAATGCGAATGAGTTGTTGGGTCTGTTGCACGGTGTATACGGGTTAGGTGCCGTGTTGGCTCCGCTGATTGCGACTTCGATGATTGCCCAAGCTCACATGCCATGGTTTCATTTCTACTATGTCATGGTAAGAAGGGAGACTGTCCGCTTTGAATTCTTTACTGTTAATTATTTAACACTGTCCTAAAATTCTAGGTCGGATGTGCCGTCGTCGAGCTCGCAACCTGCAGCGCCTGCTTCTGGAAAGCCACCGGTGCCGTTTTCCGCGCCGCCAATTCGCATTCGATCGAGGAGAATAAGAAGGGAGGGCTTCGAGACGCTCTTTTCAAACGGCCTTCCGCACGTGTGACGTGGCTATGCTCGCTCTTCCTGCTGGGATATGTCGGATGTGAAGTCGCTCTGGGAGGGTGGATTGTCACCTTCATGATCCGCGTTCGACATGGAGGAGCATTCGCTAGTGGTATGACAGCCACTGGCTTCTGGCTGGGTATTACGGTTGGTCGTATTATCCTGGGTTTCGTCACACCTCGAGTAGGCGAGAAATTGGCGATCGCAGTACGTATCCGATGTGAAGGAATTTCATACGTTCTCGTATATGACGAACTTGCCACGAACTACTGCTGACACTGGATTAGGGATATATTCTGCTATCAATGGCATGCGGACTTGTCCTATGGCTCGTACCTCAATTCTACGCCTCCGCCGTGGCCGTCTCGCTGCAGGGCTTCTTCCTGGGCCCTCTATTCCCAGGTGCCGTCGTGATGGTCACCAAGCTGCTTCCTCGACACCTGCACGTCAGTTCTATCGGATTCTGCGCAGCTTTTGGCGGTTCCGGAGCCGCTATTCTCCCCTTCGCCGTGGGAGCCCTGGCACAAGCCAAAGGTGTTCAAGTGCTGCAACCGTTTATCATTGCCTTGTCGGGTGCCATCTTCCTGGCCTGGCTGGGACTACCACGCGTGTCCAAGGTGCAGCGGAGTGAGTAGGTCAACCAAACAACCTGCCTGGAGGACATCATGTCCAACGGACGATAATGACGACATGGTCGAGATTGAGTGGGCAGGGCAGGCTCGTGGCTCTCTTTTTCCGTTTCACAAGCTACCACAAGCCCACGGGGATTTGGACAGTTTTTGCATTTGACATGTGAACATGTGAAAATGCAGGGTGCCGGGCCCGATCTTCTTATCTGATCCGAGTACTTTAGTCTCCCGAGCCGCCCTGCTCCGATGCAGCGTTTTCATTTTCTTTCTGTTGCTGTTGTCTTGATTTCACGTGTTACATAAAAAATTTTGAGACGCAAGGGAGTTTGGTCAGAGGCGTCATAGTATATAAGAATGGAACGACCTCTTCTGGCTGAGTTACCGTTCCCCGCTACCACGGGGTATTCCCAGACACGGGTGCTTTTCCGACCGTCGGGAAACTCCACAGATTGATCGAGGGATCGGGATGGCCGTAGAGCTATGAAAACAGTGACAACTGGTCACTACAGAACGTTATAGAGTCGGTAATTGTCATGGCTGGACAAACCGAGGTCAATCTAGCCATTAATAGGAGAGAAGGAGGGGCTATGGTGGCCGTATGATGTCCATCCGGGCCATCTCTTGTATGACGCGAACCGCCGGGACTCGCCGTAGACTCGTCCCCTGTCGTTGATCCCCACGCTAAACCGCCTTGAGACTCTAGGGCCGGTGGGTTGGCTGAGGCCGGGGAGCCCCCAGCCGAGAGGCTGTCCGAAGTTCTGGTTGACCCCCGGTCGTGTCAGATCAGGTCAGGCCAGTCTGCAGGTAACATGTAGGGATGTCAGACTCGGCAATGAGGGACTCAGCTGGCGGTATAAACCAATGAATCAGAACAGCCGAAAGACTTGCAGTGATGGAATACTTCGTAGAGAAAGTGGACAACTCGGTGTTCTTCGGCCAGTCGCTGATTACCCAATCCGGACGAGCCTCGGCACTTTCCTGATTTGGCCACTTCGCTGGCCCTCGGCCTGGAACCAACAAACTTGGGGCCCCGGAGAATTCAAGCAGTCACTTCCAATTCTTATAATCTCCATCCCCACGTTCTCTCCTGTACTTTTCCCCTCTCCCCATCCTTTCCATTCTATATACCCTCCACCTCCTTTTCTCCACACTACTTCACACAATGCCATCTCCACCTCCAGACTGGGTCAAGGCTCTCAAGCCCGGTGGCCCGCAGGGTTCCGAATTGCTCGCCCAGGAACGCGCCCAATCCAATGTCGACGTCGAGAAGCTCTCCGAGTTGCTGCACACCAAGGAGGCTCTGGAGCGTCAAGACAAGTTGGTCAAGATGCTCCAGCCCGAGAAGGTCTTCGACAAGTCGCAGAATCACTCCCTCGGCCGTGTCGAGCGGCTGAAGCGGGCGCTGGCCAAGGCTAAGCGCCTCCAGCAGTTGGCTGAGCAGAACCAGTGGTCTATGGAGGACTTGCACGCTGCCAATGAGTTGATCGGAGAGCCTACTCCCTACGGTCTCCATGCTAGCATGTTCTTGGTACGTTTTGCCTAATGATTTGGGGGTAAACGTGCGGAGCGAGAGAGAAAATCGAAATGCTGACGACGCCCCTCCCGCTTTAGGTCACCCTCCGCGAACAAGGCAGCCCCGAGCAGCACAAGCTCTTCCTCGAGCGCGCCGAAAAGTACCAGATCATTGGTTGCTACGCCCAGACCGAGCTGGGTCATGGATCCAACGTTCGCGGCCTCGAGACCACCGCTACCTGGAACCCTGATGACAAGACCTTCACCATCAACTCTCCCACACTCACTGCTTCCAAGTGGTGGATTGGCTCTCTCGGCCGCACTGCCAACCACGCCGTGGTCATGGCTCAGCTCTTTATCGGTGGCAAGAACTATGGTCCTCACCCCTTCGTGGTGCAGGTTCGCGACCTGGAGACCCACCAGCCCATGGAGAACGTCTATGTCGGTGACATTGGTCCTAAGTTCGGTTACAAGTGAGTAGTACCATCTCCGCGCGATGGCCGTATTTCTCTGCGGATTTTTTTGGCTGACCATGTGAACTCCTCCAGCACCATGGACAACGGTTTCCTGCTGTTCAACAAGGTCAAGATCCCTCACATCAACATGCTTGCCCGCTTCTCCCGTATCGACAAGGAGACCAACAAATACGTCCGCCCTACTATGCCCACTCTCGTCTACGGTACCATGACCTGGGTCCGCTCCAACATCGTTCTCCAATCCGGTGGTGTCTTGGCTCGTGGTGTCACCATTGCCACTCGTTACTGCGCCGTCCGCAGACAGTTCCAGGACCGCGATGCCGACCCCAACGCCGGAGAGACTCAGGTCCTCAACTATAAGATGGTGCAGGTCCGCCTGTTGCCCCTCCTTGCCTCCATGTATGCCCTCCACTTCACTGGTCGTGGTATGATGCGCCTGTACCAGGAGAACCAGAAGCGCATGCAGGCGGCTGCTTCTCCCAGCCAGGACTCTCGTGGCCCAGGTCCCGAGGAGCTTCGTGCTGGTGCCGATCTGCTGGCAGATCTGCACGCCACCTCCTGCGGTCTCAAGGCTCTGGCCAGTACCACTGCCGGTGAGGGTCTCGAGGTCTGCCGTCGCACCTGTGGTGGTCACGGTTACAGCAGCTACAGCGGTATTGGACCGTTCTACTCTGACTACCTGCCCACTCTGACCTGGGAGGGTGATAACTACATGCTCACCCAGCAGGTCGCCCGCTACCTGCTCAAGTCTGCCCGTGCCGTGCTTTCCGGCAAGGCCGCTGACAACGACACCTCTCGCATTCTCCGCAACTACCTTGACCGCCGTGACAAGGGTGCCTCCTTCGACATCCTCGAGGAGGACCAGGACATCGTGGATGCCTTTGCCTGGCGTACTGCCCACCTCACATTCGAGGCCCTGAAGCACCGTGATGCCGAGAAGCGCTCATGGAACAGCCTGCTGGTCGACTTCTGGCGCCTGTCCACCGCCCACTCCCAGTACCTGGTTGTGAAGAACTTCTACGAGGCCGTCTCCTCTCCCGAACTCTCCCAGTCCCTGGACCAGGACACCAAGACCCTGATGCACCAGCTCTTCCGCCTCTACGCCCTGCACACCCTCGAGCGTGAGGCCGCCGAGTTCTTCTCCTCCGGTGCCGTGACCGTTCGCCAGATCGGCCTGACCCGCACCACCGCCGTCATGAAGCTCCTCGACGAGATCCGCCCTCACGCCGTGCGCCTGGTCGACGCCTGGGCCATCCCCGACTGGCAGCTGGACAGCAGTCTGGGCCGTTACGACGGTGACGTCTACCCCGATCTGTTCCGCCGCGCCAGCCAGGAGAACCCCGTCAACGACCTGGTGTTCGATCCTTACCCGTGGAACGAGGCTCTGCTTAAGAACGAGGCTCCCAAGAGCAAGCTCTAGATTCCCCAGCATTTTCCGTGTCTATTTTGCATTCTGATGTATAATTTTTTGTGGCCATTTTTTTTACGTGCGTTTTGGATTTGGAGGGATAGAATTTATTAGAGACTAAAATAGATCTCATATATTGAATGAAGATGATTTGAATATACTTCTCTGCGGAATAGTTAATAGGTCACACTTGGTGAATATGTAGAAGGCAACACCATGCTGGATTCCTATTGGTGTTCTACATGGATGTGAACCCTTTTCATGTTAAAGAGCCACGTTTTCCCATTCTAAGAGTTGACATCTAGTGGCAGGTACATATGCCTTCCGCTCTTGAGATGATCATGTTTTGCTATAGGTGTAAAAAGTTGATAATTGACTCCTACAGCGCATTAGGAGCGCCTATAACGCCCCTAGGTAGTTTTAAGTATCTATTTCCGTGTCTCAAGTCTTGGACCAATGTCTGCCTTCGTCCGTCTAGAATGGTACCGCGAGTCATCAGGAAGATACTAGGTCCATGAATCACGTCAATATACTCAACCTCCACATATTTATCTGCGCTACGGCAGTCGGCCGGCAACATCGTTCATTGGCTAGACATGGCAAGCTCCGTGCTTAACAGGCGTTCTTGATTCGTCGAGCTATCTTGGCCGACTGCCGATGAGCGACTAGACCCACAAGTGCGGAGGGCATGTTGTAGATGTGCAGACGCAATTAATAGCATGAGCGATCGAGTCGTAAGCATACCGACCGATGATCAAAAAGACATTCTGGAGTTGTGCCTTTTTTCTTCCTGTTCCCCATCATCCACTGCCAAACACACATTGCTTTCCTTACCACCGACAAAAATATCCCAACCCCACTCACTTTGACAATAAAAGTCATGGCAACTAAACAGAGACGCCCTAACATTATCTTCATCCTTGCCGACGACCATGCATCCAAGGCAATCAGTGCGTACGGCGCTGGTATAAACCACACGCCAAACATCGACCGTCTAGCCACAGAGGGAATGAAGTTTAACCATTGCTATGTCACGAACTCGATCTGCACGCCATCTCGGGCCGCGATTCTGACTGGAACTCATAACCATGTCAACGGTGTCATGACGCTAGATAGCAAAATCAACAAGAATCTGCCTAACGTGGCCAAATCGCTTCGTGCGGGTGGCTATGCTACTGCGATGATTGGTTAGTCTCTACCCAGTAACGCAATTGTTGAAACGGTTTCTCTAATGATTGGAGTCGCTTTTGGCAGGCAAGTGGCATCTTGGGGAGGGCACTGGTCACGAGCCTACGGGATTCGACTACTGGTCTGTTCTTCCAGGCCAAGGCGATTACTGGGACCCTCAATTCACCGACCCCTCCGGCACTCACGTCGAGAGCGGATATGCTACCGATATCATCACGGAGAAGAGCCTCAAGTGGATTGACTCCGTGGTAGCTCGGAAGCAGCCTGAAGGCACTGAGGAGACCCAGCCGTTTTTCCTCATGTGCCACCACAAGGCACCCCATCGCTCATGGGAAGCCCACGACCGTCACAAAGACATGTATAAAGACCCGATTAAGGTCCCGGAGACTTTTGACGATGATTATCGGAACCGAGCCCGGGCAGCGAAGGCTGCCAAAATGCGCGTGGCCGAGGACATGACATATCAGGATCTTGGACTGGTGCAGCCCGATGGTGGCGACAGTGTCGGCGAGAGAGTCCAGCAGGAGGGCAGCAACGCGCAACGCAAGATTCCATCGCCAGCCGACGTCACCTCCATGCGCTTGATTGACAAGGAGACAGCGGAGGTCTTCACTTTCTCGACACCCGACGAATTGGCCCAATTCAAGTTCCAGCGGTACATGCAGCGATACCTGCGTACTATCCAGGCCATTGATGACAGCGTGGGCACAATCCTGTCGTATCTGGACGAGAAGGAGCTAGTCAACGATACAGTCGTCATTTACTCCTCCGACCAGGGCTTCTTCATGGGCGAGCACGGCTGGTTCGATAAACGCTTCATGTACGAGGAAAGCTTCCAAATGCCCTTCCTCATCCGCTATCCAGCTGCGATCGCGGCTGGCTCAATTTGCGAACACCTTGTCTGCAACGTTGACTTTGCGCCTACGTTCCTAGACCTGGCAAATCTACGTATCCCCACGTATATGCAAGGTGTCTCGTTTCTTCCTCTGCTTCAAAACCAGGGGTCAGCGCCTGGGGACTGGCAGAAGGTGGCGTACCATCGTTACTGGATGAACAATGATGAGATTCACAACGCTGTGGCTCACTATGGTGTCCGTGACCAGAGATATAAGCTGATTTACTGGTACAATGAGAGCTTAGGCATTGAGGGTTCTCGGCCCGCCGGTCCTGTTCAGGGGGCTGAGTGGGAGTTGTTTGATTGCGAGCAGGATCCCCTGGAGCTGTTCAACGTGTATTCAGATCCACAGTATAAGGATGTGGTCAGGAACATGACGAAGCTGTTAGAGGATAAGATGGAAGAGATTGGTGATGAAATGGTTCACCCCCGATCAAGGAGAGTGACTCGGGGGTCTTCAAGGCTCTGAGAGGCTTTGATCGAATTATATGTGAAATTTGAGAGGTCATATCAATGCATGTAATCTAGTCCAGACATTTTCACGGAAGGAACACCTTTCAAAAGGACGGTCGATATGTGTTACTGTATGTCGTAGTTTCTAGCATGGAGATCTACAGATACCTGAGGTGTCAAGTGAATGCCTGATTAGTCAATAAGCGGGGGTGTTGAGGGCGGGCCTTAGAAAGGAATGTATTTGATTGGTCAAAGGTCATATTCTGCCGGCAAATCACGGCGTATTATTGTATGGCGTCTATCGGCCTCCGCATTGCGTGTCCATCGCCCTTCAGAGGTTCCTGCAGAACATTGACCACTCTTACATAACTTCCTCTGTCCCTGTCTCGCACTCTATTTGTACTGTACCGAGTTTCTTTTCCCTTTTTTTCCAGACCTTCCACCGCCAATGTTGATATGCGATGAGTACCAATGTGTCTAGACACACTGTTGGAGCACCACGCTACTCCGCTCAAACATGCGTGCAGTGCCGAATGCGCAAAGTAAGAACGAAATCCCTTCCTGGAAGCTCTCCAGGGTTGTGGAACTCCCATTCCTTCGCTGCCGTTGCTCTGCCCCTCACTGTTTAAATGGATGAAAGTTTAACCTCTCGCTAGGTTCGTTGTGACGGCAAAGTCAACAGATGTGGGAATTGTGAGCGCCTAGGATTTGACTGTTCATTTTTAACCTCTGGAAATGGCCGAATATCAATGCCTCCCCGCCGGCGGGCTAGCATAGCTTGCCGTCTATGCAAGTCGCAGAAGGTCAAGTGTTCGGCAACCTTTCCGACATGCTCGAAATGCGCGCAGCGCGGGGTAACGTGTGTGTATACAAAACTACGGCGCACGACGCGAAGTTCCGTCAGTTCTCAGGTCCCTGGCTTCCAGTCCCTGCATACGGAACGAGTCTTGGATGCAGCCACCCCCAAGGGTGAACGGATTCTGCTGCCTCCAACACTGGCAACTGATGCCCTAGCCATGGCGATACCCAGACACGAGAATGTGTCTCCCCTATCTGCTGTCGACCAAGAACCGCTTGATACTGCTGTAGAGCTAAGCAGTCAATGTAAAGATTGCCTGAGGACTTTTCCCCCGTCGTCTTCGCATCTTGTGACCACCAACAGTGATTGTGAAATTCGTTGCTCACAAGCAGGCGCCTCTCATGCTCAGCCCAGTGGCAAGGTGAACCATCTTCTTGTTTTACTTCTAGAGTCTTTCTTTCGTGAGGAGTACCCTCTCCCTTCGTATTCCTTTGTGCATCCTACATCAACTATTGCGAAGTGCCATGCGGGCACTCTTGAGCCATGTCTTTCACTCGCTCTCGCCGGAGTTGCAACTCTTCATATATCGATGCGCTTAAAGACTGCAGTATATACCCGCAACAATAGTGCTTTCACAGATAATGAAGACGAGGCCACGATGCATTCTCTCAACTGCACATGCCGCGGACTCGCACCGATACGAGCTGCCGAGCAGATCATATGGTCGAGTATTGAAACCCCAACAGTTGCAAAACTGCAAGCTCTTCTGCTCTGTATTAATCACGGCATGCAAACGGGGCGTTTTCAAAGAGCCTTCATGTTAGCTGCCATGGCGGCGCGTTTTGCTACTGCTCTTCGACTCCACCGTGAAAACCCAAGTCTAGACTTTGTTGCGCGAGAAACCAGGAGGCGCATCGTGTGGAGCTTAAAGCTTATCGAGCGATATTTCAGTATTGGACTTCCGGAGTTTGAGTTGTGTCCTTTTGAAACCATTTTTATCCAACTGCCGTGCACTGAGTCAATGTACGATGTCGGAATAGAGTGTCCTTCCGAAACCAGCAACCCTTCATCGCCATTGGAAGACGATCGCGGTGCCTACCGACTGTGCGTCAATCTTGAGACATTACGGCGGGATATCGTCAAACTAGGCAGAGATTTTGCGGTTTGTGGACAAATCTCTCCACAGTTTCCGTCATTAATTGGTTCATTTGAGCGCGCTCTTTCTGAAATTGGCGCCAGATTGCCTCATGGCCCAGAGCTGTCGTTCGATCAGATCAACACTCTGGTTGCATCGCAATGGCTGCCGAGGCACATCGCTTTACAGTTAAGCTGGCACCAGTGTCACTGCGACTTGTACCGACTGCTACTGCAGGGGTATCCCGAGGCTGGACCTCAACATGGCCTCGAAGTGTTCTTACAGCAGGCAAGCAATGATGATAATGAGAATGGATGCGAAGATATCTTACTCCGCGCCGAGCGTCATTGTTTACAGCACGCCAATGCTATCATTATGATCCTGACGATGTTGAACCAACAGTCAACCCGCGTTTTTGGCCTAGAATTTGACACTACAATTTGTGCCTATCATGCAACACGCCTGCTCCTTTTCATTTCCAGGTTTGGAAAAGACCTCAAGAATCGTCCATCCGAAGAGTTCACACTCAGCAGACTGGACCTGAGCCTTGCAGCGCTGCGGAGGTTCTTTCCCCAGAACGAGCTTGTAGGTCCCATCATTACTGAGATGGAGGACAACAGGCGTAAGTTTGCGGCTCGGACTTATCGAGCCCCCTTGTCAGTGCCATGGGCGGTGCGCCGGGGCAATACAGTGATAGCCCAGGACTTTGACGCCCAAGCCGGGCCTAGTGACGTACCATCAGCGCCGACGAATACAGTACCACCACTAGCATCCAAGACAACCGAGGTCCTGGCAGTCCATAGCCTGTTGCGGCAAGCTAGATTCTCAGATAAAGAAAATGCAGATCGTGGGACCAGTATACCGATCGCAGGTACCCCACCTACGAATCAACCTAACAACATCCTCTCACAGACGGATCCTCCAGGGTTTAATGGGATTTCGTCTTCCCAGACAGAATTTGTCCCCGAGAATTTCCCTTCATCAAGTGCCACGGCCAAGCAAAAAATGACGACCGTGGGCGACGCGTTGTCAGGTCAGCCGACCTTGACCCAAGATACAAGTACCGATGCCTTGACTGACCCGACCAGTATGGCACCGGATAATGGCACTGCAATAATGGGAGAGGACTGGGATTTTGCCTCATTTATGCCCTTGCAAGCTTGGGTCATGCCCAACCTCGGCAGTTCGTGGCCTGACCTGCTCGATACTTCGTGGCTCTAGAGGGTAGAACAACGAAGAAGTAGCTCCCTTTGTGGGAGCACAGGTAGCTTGGAGCACATGTGATTGAGCGACTAAGTTTAGATGACAAAGCTTTATTTTTTCATGGCAGTCCTCGGCGGGTAATCCTTGTATTTCCCATTTTCGGTGCTCTTCGTTATTAGTCAATGGTAACCGTGTTTTGTCGTCTTGGCCGGCTTAAATGAGGCCTTATTTTTCGGTTGTCGGTTGGCTGCTAAAGCGGGACATGCAAAGAGCTGCCGTATATAGAATCTAGACCTTCCACCACGTCGTGGTGATTCACGAACATTGTCAATTGGCTGCTCATAAACATATGGAGAATGCGGGGAGAGCTTTCTCCGCATCAAAAACCTGCAGTACGTCATGCGCTTTCAAACTCGTTTTAGTATGAGCCCCAATATTGAGCCCTACAACAGCTATCATCACGAAGGGGGTTATGAAATGCCCTTGCAGGCCTCAGGGCCGGCTGTCGGTGATGGTGCAAAAACGAGGTGTGAGCTCGTTTGCGGGGTTAAGGAGTAGGTACTTTCCGAGTTGGAATCGGCACTCGGACTCCACGAGACCTGTGTGGATAGACTTTATTGGGAGTGGGTCTCATTGCGAATTCGTCTTGTCCGAGTTAAGTGGAATTTATCGATCCACTGAGTTGCGAGTGAAAAGGGTTAATATAGATGGCAACCCCTAAACATTTTAACAAAACGTACACGAGGGCAGAAGTTTTCAAAAAATAACGCCAAGTGGAAGATGCCGAATCTGCCCGTGATGACATTTCCAGTCGTCATGAGAACTGCAACTTTACTATGTCTAGCCACTGCGGCGTCAGCGGTTATTACACCGCGGGATATGTCTTCTGAGGACTCGACAGACTTCGACGCTCTGACTCTTTTCTGGGACTATGGCAAATCTCCACCTGTCTATCCTTCTCGTAAGTATAACCTGCTTGACCGATATGATAGGACAACTGTTGATACGGGCTGTCACTACAGCTAAGGGAATAGCTACATCGAAAGGCTGGGCTGATGCCTATGAAGCAGCCGCCAGGATGGTCGCCAAAATGACCAACGAGGAAAAGGCTAATATCACAACGGGAGCAGCACACCCGAAAAATGGCTGCGCTGGCTGGGCACCCGCTGTTGAGCGAGTTGGCTTCCCTGGCATGTGTATGCAGGGATCGGGTTCTGGTCTCCGTCCTACCGAGCTAGTCACAGCCTACGCTGCCCCGATTTCCATTGCCGCTTCTTGGAATGATGACCTCGCTTTCCGAACTGGCTTCTACCGTGGGCTTGAGTACGAATCTAAGGGCGTCAATGTCGCTCTGGAGCCCGTCTGTGGCCCCATAGGACGTATCGCCGAGAATGGCCGCAACTGGGAAGGCTACGGCGCTGACCAGTACCTAACAGGGCAAATGGTATATCAGACAATCAAGGGTATTCAAGATAGAGGTACTGTATCTGCATGTGTCAAACACTTCGTTGCATACGAGCAAGAGACCAATCGTATGCCGATCGGACACAATGAGTCTGTGTCGTCTAACGTCGACGACAAGACCATGCACGAGCTCTACTTTTGGCCCTTTATGGACGCTATGAAAGCAGAATCTGGCAGTGTCATGTGCTCCTACAACCGCGTCAACAACTCCTATGCCTGTCAGAACAGTAAGATCCTGAACGGCCTGCTCAAGACGGAGCTTGGCTTTCAGGGCTTTGCCATGTCCGATTGGGCTGCACTGCATACTGGCTACGAGGCTGCTGATGCCGGACTTGACATGGTTATGCCTGATAGTGGTGGCTTCTGGGGTACCAACCTTTCTCTAGCTGTCACCAATGGCTCTTTCGCCCAGCAGCGTCTCGATGACATGGCGACTCGTATCTTGGCAGTCTGGGAGAAATTTGGCTCCATCCCGAATCCAGGGCACGGCGACCCGCCGACAGTTGACTGGACTCTGCCTCACGGTCATACCAATGCCATGAAGCATATCTCGCAAAAGACCATCTTCCAAGGTGCGCTCGAGGGACACGTGCTTGTCAAGAATGTCAACAACGCGCTACCCTTAAATAAACCCACAGTTCTGTCTCTCTTTGGATACGATGCTCTTCCTCCTGCGATTGTTGATCCTGTGAGTAGTGTGAAGTGGAAATTCGGATACGAAGCCCTCAACACCAGCTCAGCTGAGGAGCAGATGTATATTGACGGGTACTGGAGCAACGGGTCCACCATCTGGCCTGCTGGGCCAAAGGCAGGCTACGGGGGGACTCTCATCACAGGTGGTGGATCTAGCACATCAAACCCTCCATGGATTGTGTCTCCCTATGCTGCATTTGTCCAACAGGCTCGTGAGGATCTCACTATGCTCTCGTGGGATTTTCAAAACCAGAATCCTGGTGTGATGGGTGGCAGCGATGCATGCATCGTCTTTATCAATGAATATGCTTCCGAAGGCTTTGACCGCGGCGGGCTTGCAGATCCATGGTCTGATAAGCTTGTCAACAATGTTGCTAACAAGTGCAACAACACAATTGTTGTCATACACAACGCGGGCATCCGAATCGTCGACTCGTGGATTGACCATCCTAACATTACAGCTGTGATTTTGGCTCACTTGCCTGGTCAGGAATCGGGAAACAGCTTAGTAGAGCTTATGTATGGAAAGACTTCGCCGTCTGGAAGACTACCGTACACCATTCCCAAAAGGGAGTCTGACTTTGGCGATCTTCTATACCCCACTCACGCTGATAGCACCAGTGAATATCACACTCAAGGTAAGTCATCAAAATTTTCTCATTGCTATAGCAGAAGGGCAAACACCCACTAACCGATTTCTTTCTTTAGCCAACTTTACCGAGGGTGTCTACATTGACTACAAGCACTTCGTTAGGCATAACATCACCCCACGCTACGAGTTCGGCTACGGTCTCACATATTCCGAATTCAAATACAGCAAATTGAAGACCACACTTTGTGATAATGTTCTCCCATCCTTTGTCGACGCCTATGCTGGCACATTGGTTATGGCCGACCCTAGCACAAATCTCACAATTGAAAATCAAAGTCAAAAGCGTCTACCGTGGGGTGGCGCTAAGGCACTTTGGGACAACGTCGCCAATGTCACAATTGAGGTCGAGAATATCGGAAACATGATGGCTGATGAAGTCGTACAGCTGTACGTCGGCATTCCCGGGGCTCCAGAGAAGCAGCTTCGCGGCTACCAAAAAGCAAATATGAGCGTGGGCCACAAGGCACAGATTCAATTCCAGCTCACTCGTAGGGATCTCAGTGTATGGAGCCCGGAGAGACAAGGTTGGGTTCTTCAGAAAGGGGTCTACAAGATTTATATAGGGAAGAGTGTTTTGGATATTCCTCTGGAGGGTCGTCTAGAGGTGGCCTAGAGGACACAGACTGTGAATAGCGTTCTACCTAGGTGATCTTGTCGTCCTGGCAAATCAAACTTTCAGGCTTGTTCGTGGTATCGTTTCAACAAAATATTGATCTTTCCCAGGAGGCGAGGTGATAGTAACGGCTGCCTTGTAGTCGAATTCCATGACGTCGGCATCCCGATCGGCGCCAATATAGCGTGCCGGGTCTACATTTTGACCATACTTTTGTCCTGCTGAAAATGACCGGTTGAATTATGCATATTCAGCCGAGAAAGGTGTAAACCCTATAACCATAACTCCACAACGCCGCGCCGGATAAAAAGCCATCTGAGACGTGCCGTGGATTCAACGAGTGTGTAGGACAGGCTTCGATACCCACATCTCTTCGGGTAAAACGAGTTTCGGCCTCGGCTAAAAAGAACCACAGCATCAACCGAACCGAAACCGGTTACGAAATCGGCCGACTGGCTCTCTCGTCCTTTTCATTCTCACTATTCCTCCCAATGACGCAGCATAACTTCCCTGACCTTCCAACCCCGGGATCCGCCTCCATGCCTCCTCCGCAACCCCGAGGCCGATCCTTGCCGCAGATGGCGCAGGGCCCGGGGCCCAGGAATGGTGCGATGTATCGGCGCTAGGTTATGTTCTCGCCTAGCTCAAGCCCAAGTGCAAGCCACCCGAAACTGGGCGCATTGACCCGTTGGAGCGGGTTTTCTTGAATCGTCAACTTATAAAAAGCCAGCGTGGACCGTGACCAAAGAAGTAGAAGCGATCAAACTTGTCGAGGTTGCCTGCTATCATGTATCGAATCTCGAACATCTACGGTGTGCTTTCTTTGAAAGAAGCAACCCAAGTGAAGGAATCCTGCTAACACCGTAACAGTTCTCGCCGCGTTTGGCACCATCGGCGGTGCTCTCTTTGGTTTCGATGTGAGGTATGAAGTCCTTTTTCAATACTTATCCCAATGATCCACGGGACTAGGGGATAATGCTTACTTTGTCGATAGCTCAATGAGTGCTTGGATAGGCGTGGACACATATAATGAATTCTTCGATCACCCGGACTCGAATCTCCAAGGAGGTGTATGGTTCTATACCCGACTCTTTGAATCAAACGTGCATTGACTGATAATGAGGCTTCTTCGTCAAAAATAGATTACAGCTTCCATGTCTGCCGGCTCCTTCGCCGGGTCTATTGCAGCAGGTTGGCTTTCGGATATTCTCGGCCGTCGTGGTGCCTTGATGATTGCATCTCTAGTCTGGATTGTGGGGGCAATGGTTCAATGCAGCGCTCAAGGCGTTACACATCTGGTGGCGGGTCGTGTTGTAAGTGGCCTTGCTGTGGGCGTAACCTCGTCACAAACCTGCGTCTACCTTTCGGAATTGGCTCCAGCTCGGATTCGTGGTCGAGTCGTGGGCATTCAACAGTGGGCCATTGAATGGGGCATTCTCATCATGTATCTGATTGCATATGGATGTGCTGTTGGAGTGTCGGGGCCCGCTGCGTTCCGAATCTGTTGGGGTATTCAGGCGGTACCTGGCCTCACCTTGTTTATTGCACTATTCTTCTTCCCAGAGTCCCCTCGTTGGCTGGCCGGAAAGGAGAGGTGGGAAGAGGCTCTGGAAACCCTGGCTCTGATCCACGGCAATGGTAACCGCAATGACCCTGTTGTGCAGGTCGAGTTTGAAGAGGTTCAGGAGGCAGCCCGAATAGCTCACCAGGCTAAGGATGTCTCGTTCTTCGCCTTGTTTGGACCTCGAGTTTGGAAACGAACTATGTGTGGAATGAGTGTCCAGATGTGGCAACAGCTGCTTGGTGGTAACGTTGCCATGTACTACGTGGTCTACATCTTTGAGATGGCTGGCATGGTAAGTGATCCTCTTTTATATTCCCATGTCTAGTGCTCTTTCTGACAAATGCAGACCGGAAACACCACTCTCTGGTCATCCGCCATTCAGTACGTGCTTTTCCTCGTGACGACAGGTGTTATGCTTCCGTACATAGATCGCGTCGGCCGCCGCAAGTTGCTTCTTATCGGCTCCGTTACGTGCATGGTGATCCACTTTATCATCGCTGCCGTAATGGCCAGCAAGGGAAACGCCGTTTCCAATGTCAATGGCAACTCCAACCTAACCTGGTCGATCAAAGGTTCCTCTGGCATGGCGGTGATTGCATTCTCATACATCTTCACCTCCGTCTACGGATTTACCTGGGTATGGTCTCCAAACATCTACAAATATTCCGTTTATGAAACTCTCTAACAAAATTCAACTACCTGCAGGCACCCACCGCGTGGATCTACGCCTCTGAAGTCTTCCCTCTCAAGTACCGAGCCAAGGGCGTCGGCCTTTCTGCATCAGCCAACTGGATCTTCAATTTTGCTCTAGCTTACTTTGTCGCCCCCGCGTTTCATAATATCCAGTGGAAGACGTATATCATCTTTGGAGTCTTTTGCTTTGCAATGACTTTCCATGTCTTCTTTACTTACCCAGAGACTGCGGGTCGGTCCTTGGAGGAGATTGATATGGTGTTCGATACAGATGCCAAGCCGTGGCGAACGAACACCATCCAAGATAGGTTTGGAGAGGAGATTTCGAAGCACAAAGAAGCTGGCGTCGTCAAGGAGGGGAGTGGAGCTACCCATGCTGAGGTTGCCTAAGCTGATTGGACATTTACGTGACATGTCATGGTCGCTTGCTGTACCTTCTGATAGAATATATGAGTACGGAGGCTGAAGAACACCAGCCGGAAATGGATGGTCTTCGTGTGCAGTCCTTCGATACTTTTTAGGTGTCTCGAATTCCCCCAAAATTAAGCCAGCAATATCCAAAATATTTGCTAAGCTAATAGTCTAGATATGAATTTGAAGCCCCCGTTAGCCAGGCGGTGCTTTTCCACGGAACCCTAAATGGATATATTCAAAATAAAGACATGAACTTTATTTCTCCTGATGGGGCCATTGATGCTATTCACTGAAGGGCTAGTGGATTTGACTATGTGCTATCAGAAAGGCCAACATCACTTGGGACTGCTAAGAGCCTTCACGAGGTGCTCCCAATGCGATGCAACCTTCAAGCCACTGTATAACTAGATCCTACAAAGCATTCTATTTTACTCTTTGGGAAAGAAGGTATATTGGCGGCGATCATCAAAGGTAGTATATTAAGTATACAACATGAAGCAAAACATCAGTCTAACGTGGGTATTGGACCGTTCTCAAACCACAAAAATTCAAAACATAAAAAGAGTAATCAAAGAAAGGTAATTCTCGGCACACGTGCAACAGGGTGATCGTCACGGCATGACCACATTCCCCGCTTTTCTATGAAGAAGCGGCGATGAATGTACTTTAGTGTGCAAAAGCTAGTGACGGGCTTATTTCTCGTCACTCGAGTTGCCAGAGCTATCCTTCTCGCCAATGTGCTCATGGTGGTTGTTGGTAGCACGCTTGGAGGGATTGCTAAGGACACTTGCACGGCGGACGGCGTCGTCCTCGACGTCGTCGAGAGTGCGGAGTAGTTCACCGTTAGGACCGTACATATGCGGCTCGGTGCGGGCGAGCGAGACACAGTCGAAGAGGTTGGTCGTCTTGTGGAAGATGCGGTCCATCTCCTCCAGAGAACGCATTGTCGTCTCGGGGAAGAAGAAGTAGACCACAGGGACGATGAAGGCGTTGCTAAGGGAGATATGTTAGCGAGGAGCCACGTATGATAAAAAAGGACAGGGGAACTCACATGACGGCAAAGATGATATAAGTCTTGTAGCCAATGTTGGTGAATGCAACGGGAGTGATCATGACGACCATGAAGTTCCAAATCCAGTTGGAAGAGGTTGAAAGAGCGTTGGCCGGTGCACGAATCTTCAGAGGCACAATCTCGGCCGGGTAGAGCCAAGTCATACCGAGCCAACCGACTGCGAAGAAAGTGTTGAAAACGAAGAGGAATACCGTCTGGGCAATACCAGCGCGAGTGCCCAGAGCAGTCTTGGGGTTGGCGGCGGAAATGCTATCGGTAACGGCCAAGACAACCATAGACAAAGACATGCCGACGGCGCCGAAAATCATAAGACTACGACGACCGAATTTCTCAACCGTGAAGACAGCAACCCACGAGGCAGCAAAGTACTCGGTACCGTTGATGGCAGAAATGAGGCGCGACAGCGTTGGGGTCAGGCCGACCTGGCCCTCGAGCAGAGTGGGAATATAGTACGTGATCAAGTTGATACCAGAAATCTGCTGGAACATCTGGTTGACATAGGCCAGCATAGTACGGTGGAAGTGGCGGTCCTCGCCCATGGTAAACATGTCACGGAAAGATCCCTTAGCCATTTCCAGAACGGTCGCCTTGATAGCAGTGAACTCGGTGTCGAGGAAGACCTCGTCGGTGTCATCGCCCATCAGGCACGCTAGGACATCGCGGGCCTCTTCCTCGCGACCCTTCAGAATGAGCCAGCGGGGCGACTCGGGGAGGAACATCACAAAGGCGAGGATAATAGCAGCGAAGAAGATCTGGAAAGCCAACGGGAAACGCCAGGCGACTTCGCTAGGATCGGCGAACATCAATCCAAAGTCGATCCAATAACTGATGGTAATACCGCAGGTAATCATAGCCCCCTCGATCATGACCATTTGGCCACGACGATGAGACTTGCAGCATTCAGATTGCCAGGTTGGGACAGTCGAAGTGTTGATACCATTTCCAAAGCCGGTGACGAGACGACCAACAACCAGCTGAGCGAGATCGTACGAGGTACACTGCAGTAGGGCACCAATGACCATAATGAAAGAGCCGATGAAGATAGCCTTGCGGCGACCGAGCATGTTACCAATCCAGATGGTTGGGATAGAGCCTGCGAAACAACCCAAATTGTACGCTGCGACAGTGATACCCTGGCGGGTCGATTGGGCACTCTTCTCGGCGGCTGACCAGCCTGCCATGTGGGCGTCGGTAGTATCGATCGAGGGGAAGTACTTGCGGAATGAGTCCAGCGTCAATAGACCACCGGTGACACCTTGGTCGTATCCGAAAAGTAGGAAATCCATGCCGGCCAGGACGCCGATAGCGACCTGGAGTCGGGTGCCATTGAGGCCCAAGAATTTCTTTGCCATCTTGGGCGGAGTAGTATATGCAGTGGTTATACTGTAAAGAACACTATACCAAGTATACTACACTGGGTGTAGTTGTAGTCCTCTCCCTCCCAGTCTATAAATTGGATATATAGACTTATGATAGCATACGAATGAGGACAAATAGGTCGAGGAAGTGGAGGGATGAAGGAGGAAGAGATAGGAAAAGTAATCCAGAGCAGAAGAGAAGCAAATTAAACTCCAATTGCGACGGGGAGGCGGCCAGATTTAAATCTGAAAACGACTTCAGTCACTCGGGGGGCCGTGACCTCGTTTCAGTGGTTTGGTTTTTAAAAAGGAGAATAATAATTATGTTCAAGTTTCAACACGCTCAGGACTTCCTCTTCTCAGCGTTGCCGAGCCGCGACTTGACCTTCCCACTGCAAAAAGACTGGTTAGTGATTCGAAGATGCGCCTGGAACTTGGATCCACCTGGTTTCTTTTCTTTCTCCGGGGTTATCTCCATCTCCAAGTTAGCAATTCCCCACCTCCACCTTCAGGTCCAGTATCGCCCAATCTCGGTCACTCTCTGGTTAGCACAGACATTCAACCTTCCATGAATGGCCCCTTTCCTTCCAGTTATGATCATATGGCCCCATAGCTCAAAATGATCAACTACCAAATCGAATTCATTCCCCTCATCGATTAATTTCGCAGCACTTTCACAGCCCTTATGGCCCTCACGCAGGGCGTCCAGACTGGATCTTTGGGCCACGCGAATCCAGCACGGCCCAATAAGATATGAACCTCCTTAAAGGTCAATCGGCGTCAGGCTCGGCTTCGCCAGATGGAGTTAGCCCCTACGACGCATCCATCCCCCCAGGTTCACCCGGTTCGGCAGCCTACCCGCCGATCACTCAGCCTGTCAGAGTGTGTAGTTGCCCGGGCCAAGTGGGGATCGACCGAAGCCTCTCAGCCTCTTAGCTGGCTGGGCAAAAGCTTTGGTACGCAACCCTCCCCGCGACCGGTTTCTTCCCACTCCAGGCAAACGTCAACTGGGTCCAGTGTTGCCCGCCATCTGGGGATTATTTTGTGGGTGAAGGCAGAACTTGCCCCGAATCTCCAGGATTTGCCCTATTGACTGGATCACGCATTACACGAGATCCTTTTAGAACCGGATCTCGCATCCAGGCATGATTTTTTGGCTAATCAATCAACCGTATTGTATACTCCGTACATAAATTGTGGAAAGTTTGATCATTATTTGCTGCACGGAATCCAGGCAGCCGCAACCGTGTGCCAGGAAGATCATATTCTTCTTCCGGAAGTACAAAACGACCAGGGTCTTGATGAAAGAATCCAACGGGATACGGCTGGTACAACACTCGCGTAACCCAACAGGTCCAGCCAACCCAGCGAAATGACCCATCCCCTTCTTAGTCGCGCCATCAGTGCGTACCAACGACGAATCAGACTCTATGGCGCTCGAAATCCTACGACAGCCCAGGAATCTTTCCACCCGACCATCGGGAACCCCGGGAAAGAATCGCGAAGCCGAAATTAACAAAACCCGCGTCGGCTGCTTGGCGCCCAGCCGCCGGATGCAAGTTAAGAAGTCCCAAGAGTTTTGAATAAGCCACTGATTAGGCTGGAGGCCTTACAGGATTTCTTGTCCTTCTCTTGGGAGTTTCTTAGAGGCGCTTTGAAGAACTCTTGGGATTGCTTAGAGAGTCTTGGAATTGCTTGGGCATATCTTAGTATTTGCTTGGCTAGACGTCCCTTGGTTCTTGCTTGTGGTTACTTCTGAAATGGTCGGCGGATATCTGCTCTGTTCGCATCAGTCCATAGGGGACAAATTGCCATGCAGGACAATGCAGTGACCCGCTTCCAAGGCCCCCGAATAATGGTACCAGGACAGGCACTATTCTGTCGGGGCAACATCGATAGGTCATCGTCAACAATGGATTCGATGGTGGCGGACACATTTGGCCATTTTCCAAGTTTTGATTCGCCTCCCCCACCCTGCTATCAACAGAATATGGCGACTGTCGACGGCCATCGTATCCTGTAGGAGTACCCACATCAACTATACCACGACCCTTTTGCGAGTGAAAAATTCCTAGAAAGTGACGACTTGAATCTACCTCAATGTCTATGCCGACCGCAATCATCACAGGCCTCCTGAAAGGGCGGCGCTAGCAACCCCCCTCGGCCCACTTGAGCCGGACGCCCAACAAGAGCCGAGTCTGCCCGCGGACGATATTCAACTGGCCAATAGCCTTTTCACAAAAGTCCCACAACAGACCAACTGCCAGTGCAGCCCATTATTCCCTTCTCGTCTTTCAATTCAACCCCATATGTCATGGTCCTGCCCCTGCTACCGTAAGTTGGTCTCCCCGCGATTACGACCGAATCCTGGGGGACAGACAGTGCGACCTACCCGAAAAGGCAGTTCCGGGCTGGCACCATCGTCGATTTGGGGCATACCGACGAGAAAGAAATGAAGATGACACTCGAAAACGGATGCTTCTTTTCATCTCCCGTCACATTTCACTCGTCTCCATCGCTCGCATGGCCTGACGCGCATCATAATATGATAATATGCATCAATATACTCTAGCCGGGCTTCTATTGCCCTCGAACGAAACTTCCCCACCCAAATCCTGTCAAACTCAATCAAATTATCCGAAGTTTCTAACCCACCCTCCCACCATATCCCCTTCCTGTACCTATCCTCTCGAAAGTAGGTTTCTAGAACGAGTTTTCCGCAGTCCATAACCCATGATACCCTTTGCACCACGGTGAGCATCGGCGCCACGAGGCGCCTCCCGCCCGCCACTGAGGTCATCCAACATGACTCGCTAAACCCTGTCCCGCTCAAGGTTTGATCGGGGCAAGTGGGCAAGCCATGGCGTGCGGATCACGGCGAACTGGCCGCTCGGGGAGGGATTGGACTTTGGTCCGTGCTGGTAATCCGGCGCAGGGGCCGAATAAAACCGGTTCCAGGATTATTATCGCTGTAGGGCCGCCGAGGCAAGGAATTTTCCCCCAAAGGGATTGCGCGTGGCTACGGTTGTCGCGTTTGGCTTCCCGGGCTGATGGGCATGGAGACTAACGATGGCGAGAGGTATCGTGGCTGCGCTGATTAGAATAACTCCGTTGGGTATATGCAATAATTTCGATACAAGCAGGAGGAATTGACCTAAACTCCTTTCTATCTGATCTGGAATAATTTCTCGTCTGACCTACAGTACATGTGTAAGCTGTGTTGATTCTGCTACCCCTGGGTAGTAATGCCGAAGTAGGGAGTACATATATCCCATACTCAATGAGGCTGCCCTCGTTGCTTTTTTGCGGCTTCAATAGCTGCAGCTGTGGCTTGCTCCTGATCTATCTTCTGTTTCATATGTCAGAGCTAGGGGCCGCACCGTGGTCGAGGTGCCTGGTTTCAGGGCGACGGATGTGATAATCTCATATGCTGCATACACTGGTAGTGTCCTCCTGCGATACGCCATCCTGTAAGAAGTAATTGTCCAACGAGTTCGTTCTGTTCTAGGTGGTTGGCATCGTAGGGGATGGATGCCCCGTGAAGCTATTTCAGCCTCAGCCACACACAGCGATCTGCAAGGCGTTAATGAGATCTTACCTTGCTTCATCGTCGAAGTCGACTGGACGCCTTGGTTAAAATTATAACGAGTAATAAGATCGGCTTTCTGTTTTAGATCATGATGGCGAGTGGATCGACGGCGGGGCAGTATCGAAGAACCCCAGAAAGTTCATCGTACCTCATGCAAGGCCCCCCACCAACAGTGGCTTTCAGGAGTGATTAGGGAAGGTATTTTTGAAGCTTCGAGGATTGCTCCTGTGATGTGCTATTATTCTCCACTAGGATATATTCTCCAGACCATTGATCGCCACCTGCGGGGAAAAACTCCTGCAGCGCTTCTAGAATCATGAACCTCATAATCCCGTTACTCTATAGCAAGGATGGCCTTGACCGACTTCCCATGTTTTCAAAATAAGAAACCCCTGCATATGTGAATGCAACGAAGATCTCAGCTCGTTCATTGCGGTGTTTTATCACCTTCCACGAAGCGGAAGATGGGTCAACAATCGTCCGTGAGGAGTACCGCCTTAGATATATATCACACATTATGTGGTGGTATCTCCAACAATTCTATTCAGTACCATGGATGTGGAGCACGTGCTGACTTCCTACCAAATCATACTCTACTGACTTATCTACTAAATCTAAATAGAAAATGTCCTACTGCTTTTCACCGCTCTCTCATTCCTATAACAATCTCTCTTCTGGGGTCGTCCTCAATCCCCAGTGATGATGTCAGAAGGATGAAGCTCATGGTCCAAGAATTTCTGTAGTCACATTCCTCGGCTATCTTGATATCCAGAACTTCGGGACCCCTTCATGATCCAATCCTTGCTCTCTAGATATTGTACGTATGTATGGTTAGCGTGCTGCACGCCATGTGACCTGCTTTATCTGTTGTGCGTGCACTATGTTGTCCAGATCCGAAGCTGTTAGGTTTCTCTGGCCCTTTGATTTGACATAGGAGGGGTCGGCCAAAGTACACTGTGCCTCTACATCTTCCGTTGAGACTCGAATATTTAAACTAATTTTCTCCACTTCTTGATCGACCCCTTAGCACCGAGACCTAGTATTGACTTCGGCAACTGACAGCCTCACGTCATGTGGTACTGGTGACAGCATACGGTCGTATTGTAGTACGAAAGTGATACATTTAGTTGCTTTCTAGATTGCTCATACTTTAGAATTGGGAGTAATACTATAAAGTTAGGTCACTGAGAAACAATATGATCTAATGATTTTTCCAATGTAGTACAAGAGCAAAGAGAGTCAAATCAAGTGTGTCCAACCAAGCGGATGTCCATTTGATTCATCCCGTGAGTTCAAGTTCGGTCTTGTCACTTCCGCGCATCTCTATCATAGATTTCCTTGCTATATGATGCAATCATTCGCCGTTTACACATTAATCTCCAACTACCAAGGCGCATTAGATAAATCCCCGGTTGTGGAATGAACAGACGCTCGTCACATAAAGTTTGATGGAGTAAAGAAAGGTTTGGTGGAGTAAAGAGTGTACTCCGAGGAATGTAGGGAGACCTGTACAGTATACCTATTAACAGCCCAAAATTTACCGTGCCGCTAAACTATCCAGGGTTGTATATTAGCTTCTCGTTATATAGACTAGCTGAAATAGATTTTCTTTCTCGCAAGCCAAAATTGTCTCTTAAATTTCGCGAGCTTTTCAAGTGTGTCTATCGCGAGGGTCACGTTGCGATGAGAATCGGTGCATACCGAACAAGCGCGAAGGAATGTATGGCATCAAGGACGGACTTTTGCAAGTACGAATCCCAAAAATACTAACCCCTTGCTTGGCACAATGGGGTTACAGCTAGCTTTAATGTTGCAATTGTACAAAATCAGCTCTCAAGCTCTCTTTACCTGTCAAAACTCTCCCTCATCGACACCTTGGTTGTTCCGAATGTTCCAAAGTACTTGACATCCAGAGGTTTTCAAGGTCTAGGAACGGACCGAGAAAACATTCTTTCAAGTTGATGGCAGAAGGCTCAGTGATGCGAGACAGTCAGGATGACGCATTTATTGACAGCCGAGACGATATCCCTCTCAAAGAATCCCCGAATGATGACAACCTTGACGAGGAGAGTAGAGAATATCCCTCAACACTACAACTGGTACCGATATTGGTTGGCATATGCCTTCAGTCCATCTGTATTGCATTGGTGCGTGGTTCGATTTTTCAACCCTACACTATTCCCATGCTAACTAACGCTGATGACTGTAGGACAACACGATCCTATCAACTGCAGTTCCGAAAATCACAGAGCAGTTCAACTCCTTGGAAGACCTTTCCTGGTATGCCAGCGCATATCTTCTCACAACATGCACAGTTACCCTCCCATTCGGCAGAATATATACCTTCTATTCCACAAAATGGACATATATGATTGCACTAGCATTATTTGAGGTCGGATCCTTGATATGTGCAGTAACACCAACATCAAAGGGCTTAATACTGGGCAGAGCAATAGCTGGAATTGGATCTGGAGGGATGTCACCGGGTGCATTGCTTGTGTTGGCCAATAGTGTCCCATTACATCGTCGCGCATTGCATTTCGGAATCATAGGAAGCGCTAGCGGGATCGCAACTATCACTGGGCCGATGTAAGATTGACTCGGAGTACGGGGTACGAGGACAGAAAGCTGATCAGAATAGGCTAGGCGGACTGTTGACTGATCGGGCCAGCTGGCGATGGTGCTTTTGGCTCAACCTACCCCTTGGCGCGATTACCGCACTCTTCATCACAATCTTCTTCAAAGACTCAAAAAAACGGGCAAAGGCAGAGCCTGGGCGCCTCAACAAGATTAAACAGATGGATCCACTTGGAATTGCTGCTTTCATTCCGGCTATAATCTCGCTGCTCCTGACGCTTCAATGGGGAGGTACCAAATACGACTGGAAAAATTGGCGCATAATTGCGCTTTTCATTCTGTTTGCAGTATTCGGGACATTATGGTGCGCTATACAACTCTGGAAGCAAGACGAAGCCACAGTCCCACCTCGTCTACTCAAGGATCGCAATGTGCTCGGGGCTGTAATACATGCCATGTTTTTGGGAGGCTCTTTCTTCGTCTTTGGTTACTACGTAAGTAACGCAGCCTCGTCTGCGAGGAAGCTCCATCCGACTAACGCCGCATGACAGCTTCCAATATGGTTCCAAGCCATCCAGCAAGTTTCAGCTGCAGAGTCTGGACTCAACAATCTCCCTATGGTTGTAACAATGATCGTGTGCTCTGCATTTGGAGGGATACTCGTCAATCTCCTCGGTTACTACACACCATTGATGTACCTTGGGAGCGCTCTTCTCACCGTTGGCTGTGGTCTTTGTACAACGTTCAAAGTGCATACAAACCACAGCCTTTGGATTGGGTATGAGGTGATCATTGGAGTAGGAGCCGGTGTCGGCTTCCAACAGTGCTACAACGCCCTCCAGACTGTCCTTCCGCTAAAGGACATTCCTATTGGCATCGCTATCGTCACATTCTCGCAAAGCTTGAGTGGTGCCCTCTTTATTTCTATTGCACAAAATGTTTTCCAGAACCGCTTGATCGAGAACTTGAGCGCCTATGCTCCGAAGATTGACCCCGAAGTCATCATCCAAGGGGGGGCAGCGAATCTGGTGGAGCGAATCCCCTCAAAGCTCCTCCCATCCGTACTTTTTGCATATAATACTGCGGTCACTCAGACCTTTTATGTGTCCGTGGGCACTGCTGCACTGTCATTCCTCGGAGCTGGCCTTGTGGAATGGAAATCCATGCGAAAGCCACAGAAATGTGAGAAGATGAAGGATTCACCATGAGATCGATTGTTTGTCAGTGGCGTTTTGATTTAGCATTAAGCGATACTTACAGTTACTAGTGCTTATGAAATTATTATACATAGTTACGTCGAATTGCATCTGCGAAAGTAGCGGCGTCAAGGATATACAACGTGCCATCGTAACAACTAAATGACAGATTTGTTGATGTAAAAGCCATGCGAATTGTTTTTGCTTGTCGGTCAGTTATTGTAACAGAAGTTCTGAGAGGGTTGAATCCTATTTCTACATCAAAACACATGATTCAGGTCGACCATTGTGCTCACCCCAAGCAGCTGCCAGAAGCCCTCCACCAAGATCAGAATCACTAGTAGTATTTCCATTTGACCCAACCCTCAGATTATGACTGTAGAACGCAGCTCGAAGCCACATCGCACGTTCGATCCAGTTAATCTCCTTGAAATCAGTCGAATAGTCGGTCAGGAGAGCCTGGATATGTGCTAACTGCTGGGGGTCTTCTGCCGCAGAACAGCCCACCACGAGGCACAGAGAGACGTAAGCAGCCCCAAGTGGGCGATAACGGCAAGCAATTTCAGCTTCGCGTATGATATGATCGCAAAATGTGTAGGCCTCGGTGATGAGGACAGTGTTATGAGGATCAAACGCTCGAAGAAGAGTGTTCAGAATGAGGGCAAGGGTGACGACCAGCGTGTATCCAGCCTGATAGCGACAGTGTTCAATGGCGGTTGAATCAGTGAAGGAGTTGGAGGCCGGGTCGGACCAATGAGCTAGGTACTGACCCATTCGGTCGGCGTCATCTCGCATTGTTAGATAAACGACTGCGATCTCGGGAATATACGGGTCTGGCCGTCGTATCCATTCAGGGAACTTGGCAAGGGTGCTCAAAGTGTTTGAAGATCTGGGCGGATTGGAATTTCGAGGACGGGGTGCCACGGAAAACCGTCGTGTGACATCTTCCCACCACTGAGAACCCATTTGAATGCGGGGGTTGACAACAGCCTCCAGGATCTATTACCGGATCAGCCAAGAGTACTTGCTGGCCAATTTCTGTTTTTCCTTCTTTTTGTTGATATCTCTCCAGCGTCAAGTTATGAATTGAAATGTTGTCAGGTGGAACCTACCACGGGGACGGTCAGCGTAATGATCATATCCTTTTCGAAACTAGTTTGACATTTGCGCAGATCGGCAATTTTCATGAGGTGGGCGATTGCTTCACCATGGCTCTTTAGTTTATCATCATATCTTCCAAGCCAGCTCTAAGAATGATACAGATCAGTATGAGCTTTTAAGGCGGGAAGCGAAGAGCAGATGCCGGACCTGGCAGATAGTAATTAGGTAAACAGCACAGAGAGTATTCGGGGACTGCGCTTCGACTGGGTCATTCAAGGACTCTCGAAGCGCCCGAAGAGAATTGCAATATTCCATGTAAGCATCTGGTGAAAAGTTTTGGTGGCGAAAATACGGATAGGCCGTGACCACTGCCTTCACAGACGCGTCTAAAGCCACACTACTGCCTAGACGTCGGGGAATTTCCTTCAAGAATGACCCATAGTATGTTATATCATACCTGACGTCGGTGATAGTCAGGGTATTGGCGAAAGAAGTGGCTAGCTCATTGCCGGGCATCTGGGTTGAGATCCGAGGGCAATTTGCTAGAACCTTGGCTGGGGATATCACGACCCGAGCCCGCTTCCGCTCTCCATTTGCCGTCTTCATCTGCTGTGACTCCGCATTTTTGAACTTAAAGCGCTGCTGCCCACTGCCAATACAGATGATCTGCAATCGTCGACATCGCGAGCATGGTTTTAGCTCGTCACACTGGCCTGTGTCTTAGCGAGGGCTCCAATAAAAGTAACCGGGGAAAGTTTCGTACTTTTTTCTTGACGCGTCGACAAGCATCGCAGCCTTTGCTAGACGGGACTCCGGGCATTTCGATCTATATGAATCGGCGCAACGTTTTACGCAAAACGGCAATTGGAAAGAAGAAAAGGGTATCGGCTCAAGGAAATAGGACCCCACTCTCCCTCCTTTCACGGGGAAATGCGATGTTCTCTGTGCAGTGTTGCAAGAAGTCGATAATGTTAATGATTTAGACTGCTCTCAGCAATATCACGGGGTTGAAGCGATGATATCTGCCAGCTTTGAACCCTTTTAAGGTCAAATGAGCTGAAACAACACACCAACGAAGCGTAGGAGGCGTTTTGAGGGCTGAAGCTTGGCAACAAAGCGGAGAGTCGGGCTGCCCTCAAACCAGTGCCAATCAAATGCCTGCTGACATTTGGCACCAGCGGCAAATGCCAACATCCAATGATATCTTACCTCCGATGATCCACTGAGCGCAACGTACAACCTAATTCGGAAGTAGGATCATTCGAGGCCAAACGATTTCATAACTCTCGGAGGACCCTGCCAAGCTAGGCGCAGCTACTGTTCGTCGTTTGCCCCCAAATTACTACCTATATATATCCGCCGATCATTCAAGGAATCAAGTTCATCTGCATGTTAATACATGATAGCCGTTGCTACGTAGGTTGCACCCAAGATAAATCACACCAGGTCAGCCTTGGCGAACAATGCCGCAGCTATAGAACCAATCAAATGGCTATGGGGCTCTCCGATTATACCAACCTCGTTTAAACTACGAATGATATTCAAGAACGGTTGAGTATGGTTAAGAAAGAGCTCTCAAGGAACTCTCGGCCCCCACCGCTTGGCTTCGTCCCTGGGGTTTATTTTCAATAGTTGACAGGTGCCTTTTTGTAGTCGTTTGGTGTTTTTATGTAGGTGATAGATCATAGGTGGGTTTCCTATTGCTATAGTCCCCAATACGTCATAATTCAAGCATCTTTATCAAAAGGACGATTGCTCCGAGGGAACTGGGCGCAGATAAGCTCGTGGTAATATGGGATAATGTGGCTAATAAGAGGACTATGCTCCTGAAGACCCCCAGTGCTTGTAATTACCCACTCTATTACTGGTCAAGAATACTCCACAATATATAACAAAGCTTTATCAAGTCTAGTTTAATATCTCACTCTCAATACTACACAATCCATGTTAGAACTCGCTCGTATTCAATATCCAAAAGGCTTTTCAATATGTTCGTCATTCATATTCAAACCGCGGATTTCATCATTGGTCGTCGCAGCGCGCTGAGAATATTCTTGCCACCAGTCGCCTTATGTTTGAAAGCTTCCTCGATTTCGCCCAAGGATCGACCTTTCGTCTCGTGCATAAATAGCGCACCCACAAATGAAGTCAAGAGAGAGCAACCACCGAACAGAAAATATGCACCGAAGCTGCTCTTTGACAACAAGATAGGGGTCGTCAAAGCAACTAAGAAGTTGAAGAGCCAGTTGCTAGAGTGTGCCAAGGTGGTAGCAGATGCCCGAGTTCTTTGGGGCTGGATCTCCGCGCTATATACCTTGACGGCGACTGCCCAGGTCAAGCTGTAGATGATGGCAAAGATGTAAATGCAAACAATAACAACCCAGCGACCAGCGCCGAAAGTTCCATGGACAGTGTTACCTGCGTAGAGTCCACCAATGAGGAACATTATAGCTCCAAGACCCACGCCTCCGTAGATAATGCTATGCCTTCGCCCCCAGCCATCGGCATAAATCAGACCGGGAATAGTGGCCGCAAAAATCACGAGTGCTGAAACACCGGATGCGAAAAAGCTCGCCTCTGATGAAGCAAGTCCAGCCTGTTGGAATAACAATGGAGCGTACTAGAATCATCGTTAGTTGATTCGGTTGTAGGGAAATAACCGAAGAAAGTTGAGAAGATTGTCACATACGTAGAGAACGCCGTCAATTCCACTTAACTGCTGCATACCCATTAAAAAGACAGCAAGAGCCGTCCGGGTACGAACGTCCTTGGAGAATATGTCAAGGAGTTTATGAACGGCCTTCTCTTTGACAGTTGCAACAGGTACTACAACTTCTGTCGTCTCTGACTGTAGCTCAACCTTTTCACGCTCAGCTTGGCTCACTTCTAACTTGTCCCAAGTCTCAGCGGCCTCTTTATGGCGACCATGTAGTGTCAGCCACCGAGGAGACTCGGGTAGAAAGAAGAAAGTGCTAGCGCAAAGGATCATAGAAAGTGACGACAGAAGAATGAATGGGGTCCGCCAGGACAGCGACGACTGGATGTTGGAGGATCCGTAGCAAGTGAAGAAGCCAACAACCAAGCCGAGGGTAATCAATAGCTGCGGTCCAGTTGTTAAAGGCCCTCTAGTGCTTGTTGGTGAGATTTCACAAATCAAAACCACCAGATTACCCAAGAAGAGGCCTTCCCCTAGACCTTCAACCACCCTGCCGGCAATGAACATTCCAAGGCTGACAGCACCTGCTTCGATCGCAGCCCCAACGCCGAAAACAAAGACACCAATGCTGATGCCTTTCGGCCGCCCAAGTCTATCTGAAAGATAGCCCGCAAAGAAGGATGACAGCGCTGCAGGGATGAGAATCGACGAAACGATAAGTCCATGAATCGTGGCATTCTGGCTACCTCCAAACGACGCCTTGAAAACTTTCATATCGGTTGCTGGGCCGATAATGCCGGTATCCATACCAAAAAGAAGTCCATTCACCGAGCACAAAACACAAGCCCAGATGTATCGCGGCGGCTTCTTCATATGTTCTGGAAGTAGACGCATTGTTGAGAAGGTAAGTCCGGTGCGAATAAAAAAGCCTCTACTGGAGTGAGGTCTCTTTTGAACACACTCCAACCAGGTTTTAGTCAATTAATGTTAACAAGATTGGCGATATAAACAAGAACCCTGCCACTTCAAAAGAAAAACAAGTCTCTCTGTGAATGAACAAAATTGTTCGCTAAGTCGCCAAAGTCCCCTCGTTCCCCCACGTGCCACCCCATCACCCCCCACTGCTCCACTAGATAACGTGAAGCTTTCTCAGTGGCCGTTTGACTGTGGGCATGAAAGAATTTTCATCGCTCAAGTGCGTTCGAGAACATTTTTCCGCACCTTTATCCCGGGACTACTAGCTATACCGGGGCGAAAAAAATGTCAAAGCCGAGAAAGCGGGTCCAAGCTTTCGGGTAAACCCCGCGATCAATTAGCCCAGTTCGAAAGGTTAGCCGAGTATGGTGTACCAGATCAGTACAAAATCTACAAATAATCATCTTCAAGCCTCAGCCTCTGTACAGTTGATTCATGAAATAAACAATCTATGATAGCCCCTCCTGTTATTGTTCTCTATCGCGGATGTATTTGAAAAGGCCATCAACACTCGGTGGTTAAACTTCGGGTAAATTCGTTCAAGGTGGCGCTTAGAACTACCGTTTTTAGCACCGTAGAACCCTCATAATATTACCAAATGAGGAACATTAACATATTATCTCTATCCTTGCTTCAAAGGGTAAGTGAAATTGACCAATAGAATGCTTAAACAAATTGTTAATAATTATTGCTCTATAGCGTCACGACATATCTGGTCCGTAGAATATAGTAGACTTGGCATCTAGGGACATACAAAGAAATAACAGCATCCCTAGATAGCCAGACGGGCATCTCTGAATATAAATACATATATGTCCAAAAACAAGAAGCGAGATGTATTCACGGTAAAGATCGAAAAACGAAAGGCGCGACCCAGTAGCAGCTATGCTACCTAGACACTCCAGCCAGTGGAACCAATCGCCTCAACCCGAATGCCCAGTGACTCCATCTTGGGAACATCAATAACGCATCGCCCATCAAAGAGCCACTTGGGAGACTGCATTTCAGAGGAGATTCGCTCCCAATCTAGCTGCTTCTTTGGGAGGTTGTCGGTGTTATCAGCGCTGGAGTCTCCATACCCAGTGCCCGATTGGCAATCCGGACAGTTGGCAGCGCAGTCTGGCTCGTCATTGAAGTGCTGCTTCGTAGAATCATTGATCTCAGAGTCAGCCGACTTTGTCTTTCCTTGTGAGTTGACGCTGGACGAGGCGCCACTTGAGGGAATAGAGAAGTTCATGAACTCGTCGAATTCGGTGACGAGGAGAATGGCATTCGAGCCGGCGCAAGCTGCGTATGCATCAGAGTACACCTTGATGGATCCACCATCATCACTCAATAGAGGAGGTCCATAATCTTGCAATGAACGAATCTCGTTTTCGATCACCACTGGGTTACAGCAGGGATCAAAGATTGCAATTTCACGGGGATTCTCATCTAGGAGAGTCTTGATGATCTCAAGTGCCGGTGCTTCACGTGTGTCCGAGGTGTTCTTCTTGAAGGCATATCCTAATACGCAAATCTTTTTCGTGACAAGAGTGCTGTTCAAGCGCTTGATAACTCGTGAAGTGAATCGGTTTCGTTGATACTCGTTCATCTCGACAACTTGGCGCCAGTATTCGCCAACTTCCTGCAGACCGAGGGATTCGGCAAGGTATACCAGGCTGAGAACATCCTTCTTGAAGCATGAGCCACCGAACCCGATACCGGCACGAAGGAACTTGGATCCTAGACGGGTATCAGCGCCAATTGCGGCCGATACTTCGTTGATTTCAGCACCCGTTGCCTCGCAAAGTGCAGATATACTGTTGATACTGCTCAGACGCTGAGCAAGCATAGAGTTGGCGACCAGTTTAGCCAATTCTGAGGACCATACATTGGTCGTGATTATTCTCGAGCGGTCAATCCATGATGCGTAAACTTTTGCAAGCGCCTCCGCGGCAGAGAGCCCTTCAGGAGTGGTCGCAGATCCGATGATAATACGGTCTGGTCGGAGAAGGTCCTGTACGGCAGTTCCCGCAGCCAAAAACTCGGGGTTCGAAAGGATCTCAAAATGAGCACCTGGTCTTTGGATACGAATCTATGTAGCGCGACGGCTATGTCAATAAAATTTCGAGAACAGCGGTGGAGAGAACTGAATTAAATGAGACGGATCATACCATTTCTTGGATCATCTGCGCTGTTCTGCAGGGAACTGTGCTCTTCTCAACAATGATAGTGCCATCCCTTGCATGGCGAACAACTTCTTGCGCCACAGCTTCGAAGCTTGTCATATCGGTGGCACAGCCTTTACCGGTACCGCGCATCTTTGTGGGTGTGTTGACAGCAATCAAGACGGCATCTGCTTCACTGATACACCGAGATACATCTGCTGAGAAGAACAGGTTTGGCTTCCGTAAATCTCCCGTCGTGCTCGCCTTCTGAAACTTGGAGGCCTCCCCCAACCCGTCTCGTGCCATGCGCACAACCTCAGCAAGACCCGGCTCATAGATTGGAAGATGTCGAGAGTTCCATCTTCGGATACGACGGTCATCGCGATCAACCACCGTCACCTTGATCGATGGATTCTTGAGTGCCAGGACGGCAGCGGTTGGACCGCCGACATATCCAGCTCCTACACAGCAAATGCTGCGTATAGTCTTGGGTTGGACTTTGGTCTCCAAGTCGCTGTCGGCTTCTGAGGTGGTCTTGGTTCCGTTAGATGCGCTATCATGCTCGTCTGTGCTCTCATCTAGTGCAGGGCTGCACGATGCACTTCGATCAGGCGTTGTCGGTAAGGTTGAGACATCTGCCGAAGCATATGTCTCGGAACCAAACGTCGATTCTGCTGTGGAGAGCATGGCTATGAGAGCAAAATAGCGCTCGAAAACAAGCCTTCGCAACGCTGAAAGAATGAAGACTGCGGAAGAGAAATATGGACCTTCAGGGGAAATTGCAAGAGTCCAATTTCACCCGGGGCAACAAGAGACTAGCCTCCGCGTTCTAGATACGGTGAGGAGAGCAAGAAAGACCTGCTTACCCGTAAACTTCGGTTGGATCGCCTTGGAAAAGCACGAAGTAACACTTGGCCAGTGGGGACGGAGGTGCTATCAATCACAGCACTGATCGTACTATAGAAACCAAGCCACGGAGGGCAAATTGTCCAATTGGGAAATCATAGTACCTGATCTCCGGTGTACTTGAGGCAAAGATATGTGTTATTACTTGTGCATACTGTATACAATCTTCATTACATACCACTAACTGCCAAATACGACACTGTATTTCGAATGCGAAAGAATTAATACATAATCCCTCTGTGATAGCCGAGCAAGTATCGTTAATGCTCGACCTCCAGGAATCCCCACCGTACAAAGGGCCTACTAAGCCTGGCCAGGGGAAATGATTCATTGAGATGCATTGCCTACAGAAAGGTATACGCGTCCTTATGAGAATTGATCTAAGCGTCAAGCAATATAGCGCCATCCAGGTCAGATATTCCGTGACCAGTTCTGCGAAGCAATGCGTTGCGGCCGCTTTTCTGCACGCTGCGAACATAAACCCAATATAGAACTGTAAGACAACTCGAAGGAGTAGCGATCATCCCAAGACCCTTTTTCGTACTCGTATTGTTACAATACCATCGGTATCGACAAGTGGATTTTGTTGAGGGATTCGTGTTTTCGGGCCTTGTAATTTAATTTAATTTCCAGTCCGGATCCTCGCCGGGGTCAATCTATTTTACTCTGTTCTCCGAGTAGATCACGTTCATGAACGAGAACCATATATTATGGATCGACACCATCGTTGGCCGTCTCTCTTTCTCTACTATGAACTAAGCTGAGCCAGCTTCACATCAAAAGCGCGCTTTTTTCCTATTCCTTGAATATGAGACGCGAAGAATCTTAATAGCTAGACGGCCTCAAAAATCAGGGGCCCGCTGGGATGACCCATCTGGGTACCAACCATCATGCGGGCCTATCGGTCTTTCAGCTTGGCATGACGGAAAGACTAGTGCTGATTGACGCTAGACCTCTCTGGCCAAGACCCAATGCGATAGTCCATGCGATACAACATAACCCATTGAGAACGCCAGAAAGGAGTGATGTTTACGGGGATAAGGCTGAATACGGGCGGCGCTGATGCGACCGACGAGAGCGGGATGCACAACACAGTTGAGTGGGCAAGTTCCGCTGCTTGGCCTCTTGGGAGGCCTAACACGCCATCGCCCACGAGGTGTTAATGGTGATAATCATTGGCCGAGACTAAAAGTTCAAATATTCTACCGAGTCTTCCGTAGACTGCGTACTTTTGTACCCAATTTTAGCCTGTTTAATGAGGAAAGTGGGCATCTCGCTCGGTCCTTGGCAGGAAACTCGATCAGCCCTACCTGACAAACCAACGGCAATAATTAGTATGTATGACGACTATATATAAGTGGAAATATGGGTCTTGTCACACTTCGAAACAAATTTCTCATCCAATAATGATGCACTACTAACTAGCTATGAACCCAGTTTTCATGGAGTGCATAACTACAAAAGTTGGTCACTAGATTTGGGAGACTCCCGGGCGATAGCCAAGAAGTACATCATTACCCTAGGACCCTGAGATGGATCTATGATTACTCCACTGCCTCTCGGCAGTGATCCGACTCACCCGAAATTATTGCTATCTGCCAAAGACCAGAATGGACAAACATGCGAAGATACTGTAGATGCTGGGTTGCATATTGTCGTAGTTTTAATTTCCGCTTAGTCCTCTACATTATCAAAGATGATAGGACTTCTACTTCGTTTTCTCTTACAACTTTCAGCTCCAGTGGAATGTCTCAGCCACCTGGGACTGCCACACAGGGTCCGAGTGCAGCACGACTCGCGTGGTTCACAGGGTCATTTGCCAAGAATAGCATTATTATTAGGGGGTCCTCGCCAGCCTCTTAGCCGCAGACTTACTGTACCTAATGTCGTTTCGTGTCCGCTCGTTTGCTCGCCTCCATGCGGAGTGGGGTGTGGTCCGGCAGGGTCGGGATTCTTCCTCTCCACCCAACAGGCTCTTCTAAATGTAGCAGCCTAGCGGTGCCCTTGGCATTGGATCATAAACTGAGTGATGGCCAAGCAAGCAATCTTCGGTATGTAGACTTTCAAGTGCGTATATTGTTATGGTAATACGAGATACAATGCGAAGGTTCCAGCGGGCGGCGGACCCTTGGCTACTCGGGAATCGACTGGTCGGGTTTATCGGGCTTACATCCGAGTTAATCGTAAGTTTAAGTGACCAGTACAGTAAGACCGAAGTTAGCTTGGCCAGAGAAAAGGCCAGATGTGAGTGACGGAAATAGGGAAATATTAATTATGTTCTTTATACGATTATCTGACCTTCATGATGATGAAGCCGCGCGCCTCTTCGAATCTAGCTCAACCTTGCTAAAGAATGCACACCCAGCAAGAACAAGGAAAATTCCCATCCCGTTAAGCAGATTGATAGCGAAATCCCCAAATACGATGATTCCCAAGGCTAGCGTGATGGCCTGTTTCAGATTTCCAGCCACCGTAATCGTAAGTGCACCAGCGATCTTGTTCGTTTGGAATGAAGCGATGTTCAACACAAGGGCAAGCAGCCCATTCCCAAGAATGAACGCAACGGTGCACATGGTACGGAGAACTGATCCATCGGCCGTGCGCTCAGACATGGCTTGCGAAAGAATAGGCAATTCGCCTGCCACGATGCCAAATATAAGTGATTGAACTGCAGCGAGAGGTGCCATTCGGAAAAGAAGCTCCATGGAGGGGAGTGCTAGGGAGCCAGTCATAAGGCGGTTTGTAGTGACGGTCTTGAGAAACACGAGGAAACCCCAGGGTCAGTAAATAGTGGAAAATAGAAGGAAAGAGCGTATACCATACCTTCACCGCTGCCAAAACCACACCCGAGATCGTGACGATCAAACCAATCAAGGAGTAATGGTAATCCCCCGCAGTGCACATTCCAGCACCCGCGACGATCGGGATCAATGATAGATATGTGCCAGTCGCATATGTGCGTGAGAACCATAGACGATAGATCAAAACGGTAAATAGAGGAACGGTATTGCGAATAATCTGGAAGAAGGCAAGCGAAACAAGAGACCTGTCAGGGACGGTAGCTATTAGTACAGAATCTGGAGGAGTTTTGGAGTAGCAAAGCTTCCAAATGGACACGCACAGTGACAAATTCGACATGGCGATGTTGGTCGTAAATAAAACAGAGAATGCCACCAGTATCAAATGTTCCTTACGACCCAACTTGGACAATTTGAAGTATCCCATCTTTAACATGGCGAATGTGCCGAGAGCGCTAAAAGATGTGTGAAGGCACGTCAAGAGCCAAGGTGCTTTGAACTATTGGGCTAGTCAGTCGTTGTGATGATGGCCACCATTCATGATAAACCTTACCGATCCAAGAATTAATTTGTTGTATATTGTCAGCGCCATGCTGAAGCCGAAGTAACATGTTAGCCATATGAATTTTACCGTCGTCGGTGTCTGATATTCTGGTTCTGTGTTGGCGTTGGTGATCGGTTCGTCTTTTCGATTGGCTTCAAGATCGTCAAGATCGGTGTTGGAGGCCGAATCATCCTCGGTGGAAAGCAGAGCCAGCTCTGCCTCCTGCTGTTCTTCGCTTTTTCGGAGCATCTTAAATAAACAGGGGACGCTCCGTTGGAGAGCACTCTAGGTGTTGGTATAGTGGCCAGCCAATTTCACTGCTTCCGAGGACTGGCGGCACGCGGGCAAAAAGAGTGTCGTGTGGGAGGAAACCGGATAAGCAAAAGGGAGATTGTCTACGCTCACCAAGACTGATCTAATCATATTTGCACGAGGGACGATTCATGCGGAGTGCACTTATGCATTAATGCTGTGACTCGAAACTTGATTCACGACCAAACGAGCCCTCGAAATACTGTACATATTACATCGGCGGGGCGTTTTTCATCGTATCTATACCGAGTATCTCGCCGTACGGGGTATCTCGTTTTCGCATACGACAGGTCCGATTTGACCCACTTAAATACCACCGATACCACCGACCTTTACAAATGTAAGACACGGTCGTAAAGCGAGCCCAGTCGTTGCGGCTTCGCATTGGGTGTCAGCAGTGGAATCTCTAGTGCCAAGCACGCCATCAGCCGCATCATTGGACAGACCCACGATGGACCCTTAACGGAAGCGTATCTTTCTCTCCCATGGCACCCCGTGGCGTCTGGGGGCGCGAGGTCTATCTCAGTTTGGTTGTCCATCACACGTCAAAAAAAGGGGGCAACGTTGGATGGCTTAGAAGGCATACGTAGACAATCCGCCACAGAGGGGCCATCATCTGTACAACGGCATCTCCCACTTGCAGTAGTTTCATGACCGGAAGCTTGCGGTCAAAGCCATTATTGATAGCATAAATTACCAGCCTGGTGGGGACTAGTAGGCTTGGCCTGAGGGTCCAATTACCGGTCATTTGCTTTTCCTGGTCGATGTGCATGAGCTGCCGTGTATATGTATGAATTCCTACTAGTCAAACATGAATTCCATCAGTCTCCAACTTGTCTCAAGAAACTAGCGGTACTCGGAACCCGACGGTAGTTGGCGCTGACTTCTCACCCTCCTGGCTCCTAGCCCTCTCGGGGGCTCTTTCAGTGACAGAGTAGCCCAAAAAGTGAAGAGAAAAGGACGCACCGTTGGGTGGGGGGAAGCGAGATCATGCAATTTTCAAATCTGTCAAATCGCTTGAGTCGCTGGCAGTGGGCGGGCCTAGGCAGCTTGTTCGTAATCGCATTCATCACACTCATTCAATACCCAACAGCAACGTCTCGCAGCGACCCGATTTCAGTATCGAAAAATGCCGACAAAATATCGGGGCCTGTCTCTAAATTCCATCTGCTACTCCCAGCTAGTGGCTATCATTTTCGACTATGTCGCGCCCTCGCCTCTGCGATAGCTTTGGGATACCCAGTTTCGGTGTTGAATGGCTGGATGAAAGAAGGCGACCTGGACGCGTCCAAGACACATTTGGCCAAAGTTCGCACTGTCATGCAATACCTGGACAGTTTGCCTCCTTCTTCCGATGATGATCTCGTTCTTATGATCGACGGCTACGACGTCGTGTTCCAAATACCGCCCGACGTTCTCATCGAGCGTTATTTTGACATTACCAAAGCTGCCAGTGCCAGACTTGCTTTGCGAGCTGGAGGCAACTCTACTGAATCGCTCACAGGAGACGAGGCGCCTCGACAAACGATCTTGTTTGGGCCCGAAAAGGTGTGCTACCCTGTTGATTGGGGACGTGTTGGTTGTTGGGCAGTCCCGCAGGATATTGGAATTCCTCGTGGAGCCTTTGGACCGGACGATGGGCAACTACACCATAACCTGCCTCGATGGCTTAATTCTGGCACCATCATGGGCCCAGCGAAAGACATGCGACTGATGTTTGCCGCCACGCTTGACCGAATCGCCCAGCACTATGACCCCAACCACGACTTCAGTGACTCTGACCAAATGTACATGAGCGATGTCTGGGGTGTCCAAGAGTATGCCCGCTCTATGAATGAACTGCGAGAGTATTTCCATGGCGAGGTCGACCTAAACGTCGCATTCCCAACATATGACGTGGAAAAGGTCCTACCCAACGTGACCCCAGATCAAAAAACTGAATACCATATCGGCATCGATTACCGATCGGGGCTCTTCCAAACGCGAGCCGGATCCGACCATATTCTCGAAATGCTCACATACAACGAGACAACGGAAGTAAACGGGACCACGACCTTTGCGACCGTCAGTCAAAATATTCCCGAGACTCCCAACTTCACCCCCTACAAGATATACCTACCCTCCAACCTCGCGTCCTCGATCGCTCGGATTCTCCGATTGGTTGAACCCGCCGTCGGCGCTATACCGAACGTCACAGAGCTCCGTCTCGAAACAAACGTCGTGACTAAGAACGTCTACGGACTCTTCCATTCTACCGGAGGAAAGGACTATATTGACAAACTGTGGACTCAATTATGGTTCTTCCCTTACGTCCGGCCTCTTTTCGAAGCGATGGTTCCCGCTCTGCAGTCTGGGCGGGCCATTGCGTTCGCAGATGGCCGCACATGGGTCCCCTCTCATACGCTGTCTACGAATTCTTCCGTTACCGAGGGCGTCAACGCTACTGGAGCTTGGGCAGACATCGATGGTGGATGGCTGAGCTGGCACGAGCTTTGTGGGGCATTTGAAGCGGAAGTGTTCGATGGATATACACCACCAATGGATGACTGATCCAATATTGTATCAAATACCCCTTTGCATGCCTACCTCGTCGATTTGTTTGTATATTATTGATCTATGAGTTTTAATAAAGACAAGATATACTAGACGACAGTTCACATGGTCAGCGACGCCCGGCAAGGACAACCAGAAACCCCCATCCCATCACAAGCCCTGCTCTTATCAAGATCTAGAGCTTCACAAGCCTCCCAACGAACTTTTTTCGGGATCCGATCGACTTGTTTCCTTGCTTATTATGCTGCATCAAAGGGTCTTTAGACATTCTAGATCACATGAATATTGAATCTCGGTGAGTCAAATCATACAAGAGCTTCTATCTCTAGCGAGCCGGCCCGGTATATCCCCTTGGTCTCGGATAGAATCGGAGAAGGATTAAGTTCAACAAGGCGCTCAATTGTGATAATTCAGACTCATCGTTGTTTTTTTGGGAACGTTTGTTGAGGTGATTATCGGGTTTACAGTGTATAATCCAGAACAACCGGGAAGGATCCCGATGCGATCCTCAACATAACATAATAGCATCACCTGCAGTCTAGGTTCTGCTATGTAGGAACGAGAACCACCACGAGAATCAAGTGACTCATTCAGCTTGTGTGAATCGAAGTCAAAAATGAGCAGGAAATAAGAACGAGACCATTTCCCTGAGATTTGTGACCAGCAATAGATATCATCACGGCAGTTATCGACGTGTTTACCTAAACAATAAAACAAATCTTCTACACCGTCGGCCTGTTTACAAATAAATCAAAATGAATCCTGTTATACTCAGTCATATGCGCCCTCTTCAACATGCTGTCCTCCGTAACAGCCATGTCATCTCACCAAAAGTTCTCATGGTCGCGAATCGACAACATACTACAAACACAAAACTCGCCAACAAGTCATCATGGACTCATCCTATGTGAGCATATGGTTACCCACGATGTTTCAACTCGTGCAGCAACCTCGCTAACAACCTCTTTCCCATTGCTCTAGATATACCCGAGAAGAGATCCTCGCCGTCCGAACAGCCCATCACAAAGCACACACCTGGCAAGATAAGGTAGCACTTGGCTCTGTTCGGTTCCTACGATGGGGCATGGACCTTGTCACAGGATATAAGTCACAGTCTTCCGTCGGATCGAACACAAAGACATACGCCATGTCGGAGGAGAAGTGGATTACACGATTTATTTTCCTGGAAAGTGTCGCCGGCGTCCCTGGAATGGCAGCTGGGATGCTCCGTCACCTTAAGAGCCTGCGAAAGATGAAGAGGGATCACGGGTGGTGAGTGCCACCATTGACTTGAATATCACTGTGACTAACAGAGTTGGTTCAGGATCGAAACACTTCTAGAAGAGGCCTACAATGAGCGCATGCACCTACTCACCTTCCTCAAACTGGCAGAGCCAGGGCCTCTAATGCGACTCATGGTCCTCGGCGCACAATGCGTATTCTTCAGCGGCTTCTCTCTCGCTTATATGATCTCCCCACAAATCTGCCATCGATTCGTCGGATATCTCGAAGAGGAAGCTGTGATCACCTACTCAAAAGCAATCACTGATCTCGACAATGGCCATCTCCCGCAATGGGAGAAACTGCAAGCTCCCCAGATGGCTATCAAATACTGGCAAATGCCCGAGGGCCAGCGGTGTATTCGATCGCTGCTGTTGTATGTACGCGCGGATGAGGCGAAGCATCGGGAGGTCAATCATACACTCGGGAATCTGAACCAGACGGATCCTAATCCGTTCTCGGCTAAGTTCAAGGTCCAGGATGCGCTGCCTCAGCTGCAAGTTGAGGGTGCGAAGAAGGACGTCTAAGACAAGCATGGCTGGTGCTTTCGAATCTTTTGTTTTCCTTGTTGTTGCTGTTCTTTTGTAGAGTTGAGATTGATAGAAAGCTTTCCAGACAGATAGATTTAATAATGATGCAGGTCAAGTTTCTCTCCTATTTCATTCCTCCGAAAGCCCAGTTTGATATGTCTATACCAATATCTAACAAATCCATTTCTAAGTCAAGAAAAGACTCTTGCTAGGAGCTATGTCACTCATGTATTGACTTGACGTGGACAGCCCTTATGAGATGGTTAGCAGAAATCTGACAAAATGTGCTGGTCATGTGCATCACAAAGTATATGACATCAAAAGCCCAGTGGCCCAGTAATATCTGCGACTCAGATGATGTACAGTGATGTTGTCCGCATGATCAATTCAAAGTGAACAGGGCCACGACCTATCAGAGTGCCCACAAAATCCCCGGAGGTCCCCAAAAGGACCAACAACATGAAGATGCCATAGAGGAGAGTGGGCAGAAGAGAAAAAAAAGACATCATGATCCGCCAGAGGCGGAGATCGAACCAGGGTGGAGTCTCCTCCCTCCTAACGGTTTTTGGGAAGACTCACTCTCGCACTATTTTAAGTGGGAATTATCCAAGGGATGTACCACTAGGTCAACACCCCTGTTCGATCTTGGCAAGAGATGCGTACACTGAGCTGTAACTTGTGAGGCGTTCCTTCCCTGGTGATTCACTGGAGAGGTGCGATCTTGTGATGTCATCTATTTGGCATCATCCTGCTTCCTTCCTTCCTCTCCACAAGCTGACAGCAAATTCTAGAGTCTAGCACACTTGTTGACATGAAAACAATCAAGCACATATCAGTCAACTAGGGCTCGACATACCTGACCTCAATGCTCACAAGTCGTTCTTGATGCCAGTGCATACCTTCGGCCTCGACCATGTCTCCTCCTCCACGTTCGCCTCGGGGCCCGCCGAGAAGTATTCGGGCCAAGCAGAGAAGCCACGAAGCAGAATGACAAGATATTCCACCAGACAACGGTGCCCACAAAAGGATGTTTCCTCTAGACCTTCCGGAAACCCTCAACTGGGATGCCAAGCCATACCAGGTTGATCAACCAACAGCGGTGCCCCTCTCCTCCATGATGCTCATTTCCTTGTCAGCATCTGCAGTTCAATGCTGACATTCAATCATTCACTTAGGTATCCTCAAGTAATCCATGTGCGACGATAATGCATATGACAAACCGTTTATCTCGAATGTCCTCAACAAAGCCAAGGAAAGCAACTGCTGGCTGACCATTCCCCCTGGGCCTTCTGGTCCTGCATGAGGGCTGCCATGGGATGTACCCGTCCTTGGGGTGTTTCGATGGATATCAGTACAGGTTACTCCGTGATAGGTCGAGCTCTCGATGTCTCAACCTCTCACCCCACAGCACGCACTCATGGAGCTGCATCGAACGAGCTGGCACCGGAGAAGCGTTGGTCATTGACCTCGAGCATATCTCAGTCCAGCTAGCAGCCTAGCCTTACTCGAACGGCTCTCGCTTCAGATGATACCGCATACACCTGGCCGGTTGTTGGAGGAACGAATAAGGGGCATTTTGAGAGTGTGGTTGTGGAGGATTCTGGGGCTTAGTCGGTGGGCCCTCTGGCACCAGCCACACTTCTACGATAGATCGGTATTTCAGCCACAGCCCGTGCCATCTAATGCTTCCAGTGGACGATCTGGCTCGTTATACAAAATGAACATCGTACCTCGATCTAGTTCAAGCTCTTTTGGGAACTGTATTGATTTTAAATGTTCCGATAGTCATTACACTTAATAAACAATTCATGATTCCCCAAGATCTTCCATCAAGCTCACGCCTAATCTGTACTCAAAGAATATCGGGACTCAGGCTTCCAAAAGTCTGGAGGGCTCAGGTTAGCCAAGACAGCCTTCTCATACATCTACATATGATCCTGATCTCGTGAAAAGTGTTGTGTATCCCGTTCCTCTCGAGCCTCTAGTTACCCTTAGCTCAGGAAATCGGTTATGATGGAAATGGGTCGGTTTCACGTCATGATATATTTCATTGTGTTAGTCTGGTTCCAAATCTCTTATTTTCCATAGATGCTCGCTTCATCACGTTGGAAATGGGTGCATTGAGCTGTACTCTAGCCACCAGGTCAGGTATTGAAACAAAAGCCGCGTGGGGACCCTACGAACCTGACCCGCGGCCACGACGGTTGCAGGATTGTTAAACCTGTCGATTAGGACGAGTTTCTCCGTGCGCAGAATCTCATCCCCTCGCATGAAGTGTGGCTTAATCTGCGTGTTCGTCAGACGAATCTTGGGGGCATCTGCTGATTCCAGAACTTCCCGCCTCGGCCTTTTGAGTGCGGAGAACCAGAATGTAGCACCGCACCTTCAGCAGCGAGAACAGTCGGACGAGACCGTGCAACTTGACGAAATTGACAGCCTTGCATGGAACTGGCAGGACTTTTCTGTGAAGCTCTGGTTGTCATGATCACAAATTTCGAATAACAGGGCCCCAAATGTTGTTGTTGCAGATAGACATCAATCATAGTCTGGGGGTCGTACTTGCTGTAAGGCAGAGATGTTATGTACATACCTGGAAATGAAATTGCAGGATGAATTGCCACAGAAGCCTCTAGAACTTCGTGTCAATGAGGAACTGGTTCATTTTCGGGGAGGCTGCCTAAAATCGAACCAAGCTCGAGATGTTAGAAGAAGGTCGAGGTGTTGCTCATCGTTGCAGCCCTGATGGATAGATACAGAATGGTAAACGTGCCGTAGAAATTCAGGCACCAAGATGTTTGCCATAGAATTTTCCACCGTGGCCTAGATCACAAGGTCCATGGAAGCAATCAAACAGGTATAGAATGACTCTAAATGGAACTTTGCGTGGCAGCTCACCCATAAATACTGCCACCCCTCCCTTTCACCCCACCCTTTCTTGAATCACTCGACCACCCTCTTGTTATCCTTCTGGCAACAGAGACCCCTTCCACCTCAAACCCGTACGAAATGACTCGCTTGCCTGCCTCTCCCGAGGCCGCCCCAAGACCCCCATCTCGCTACACCGTGAGTTGATGAGCACCGTCTAGCCTGAAGCCAGAAACTGACAAAATGTCAGATTAGCGTTGGCCATTCTGCCACCCGCCTACCCGAGGCCGAGGAAGACCCTCACCTTGAAGAAGCCAGAGCCGCAATGCGGGAGGCAGGCAATGTAAGATTGTCCCTTCAGGTGAATCCCAAAGCCTACACTGACAGTGCAGTAGAGAGAGCTGGCCCGTGGCCGTGAAGGACCTGACCAGCTGGTTAGAATGATTGCCATTACCGCGGTTGAGGGTATCAACCAAGCCGCCAGACTGAGCTCGCCAGAGGTCCAGTCCGGTAAGGATCTATCCGTCATGTTGCATGAGGTCTAGGAAATGCTAACTTATACAGCCCTGGACCGTGCAGCCACCGATCTCCCCGGTTTTGCCGACCTCTCCTTCCAGCAGTGTCTCAACCTGATGATCCTCCTAGCCCAGATCATTAAGGATAAGGAGGCTGAGGCTGACTCCCATTAGGAGCAGCCGTCCTGGCATTCGTTCGCCCATCTTTCGGTACAATCTCATGCGTTCCTTCATCACATAGCTTACTCACAAAGCTATCCACAATGAATATCAGGTCTTAATCCTGACATTGACTAAAGTATGATTTTTGTAGCCTGTATCAGTAGTGCTGTGTAGTGCCCATCGACGAAAACCAATGAAGTGATATTGTACTGCTGCCGATACGTCTCAAACTTATGATTTTTACGTCACATCTCTGTGATGCTTCGCACAAATCTCAGTAAGATGTGAGAGCTTTGGATCCCAAATCTTCAAGCTTAACAAAATTCTTGATCAAGGCGATGTCAAAAGTACCATATTCAAGAGTCATCATCTACAATCATGAGAGCCACTCTTGTACTAATGGGAAACGGCAATTCCCATGCCTCTTATAGTTGCAATGATGGGAGAAGTAAGCAATGCCTGCATTATCATGGTATCATACCTTGAATCTCGCAGTGGGCATGACAGTGAAGATTTCATGATGCCAGCCTCTTCGTTGGGACACCAGTGAGGCACCATCGCGGAGAGGCCAAGAGCCCATCGTCAACCAACAAGATTAAACGACTTCGTCTTTCCCCGCAGCTTGCCACCCCCATCCCGTGGTGTAATTAACTTTGCACTCCCCAGGTCGCCGCCATCTATCAAGCTCCCCAGCACAACCAAACACCAAACACACTCGAAAGCACAAGACTGACAAAAGGCCTAGAAGGCTCGTTCTGGAGGTGGAAACGACCCCTCGTCATCCCTCATCGCACAATTTGGCCCCGGAGACCGTCCACAAGAGCAACAAGAGGTGAGCATCTTACCCCGACATGTTCCGCATTTCCGAATATCACGAGAAGCCCTCAAGCTAACGTCTTCGTTAAATTTTAGGGTGAACCCCGATCGCCAGACTTGCGTGGCAAGAGCGACAAGGCGTATTAGCATAACCCGTGCGGAAGGCAGGCGCCTACTATAATAAAAGGCTACACAAGGTGGAGAAGACCAGAATGCATACTATCTTGTCCATTGGTACATACCTCATGGCTGATAATTTTGATGCTTGCGGTTTGTCGGGCTTTTCTTGCACCGTTAGGAGCAAATGGACAGGCAGTTGGATACTCTTACAAGGCTGTTCGCAGCACTGGCCAATTTGAAGCAGACAGAGAAGAAATATGTCTCTTGACACAAATGACTTTGCAGTGTTAAATGGCGGGTTGTGCCGACAACGGATACAAGGACATGATTCTTTTGATGCACAGATGGCCATTTTTCGGGTCGGTGCCATGGAAGACACATGTTCCGAGAATGGTGAGCAATTACTGCGACAGAAATATTCACACAAGTAGCAACTGGCTTGGAAGGACTTATATTCACTGACTTGCTGCCGCTAGCTCATCTAGAGACCACCATTTGCATCCGAAACCCCAGTGGTCTCTTTCACATTTTCTGGGTTCTTCTGCCTTCAATATGTCATAGTCGACTATGTCTTCAATATTGGAGCCGTTGAGGTTTTCAGGCCCTAGAACTGCCTAAGTCAAACTGCATAGTGGCTCAATCAATATCGGTCAAATCCTATGGCAGACGTTGCATGGCGTGATTCGGCGTACCACCAAGCTCATACACACCACGTCGAGTCCAGTCACAACTGCTACCCATCCTTCAATTCCGAAAGGCAATGGCTTAACGCACCAAAGTTAATTCACTTTCATCCCTCCAATCTGTAACCTTTCAAGCACTTGGCGTCCCTCGAAAGCTACTCTTCCTGAAAAGCTTCCTTGTGCGCCATGAAATGCCTGCACTTTCATCAAACTACTAAGGATTCTCAGATAAAGCTTAGTATTGGTGAGATACCCAAACTCGTTCCTTTTTGTCAATTTACCCGGGGCGCTCACGAATCACCCTCGTGGCAAAGATCGATTACATTCCTCGGGGTCACCGCCACATTTGGGAATTCCTGAGAAGCACAACACGATATTCCATATTTCCATTGGCCACATCATGATCAAGGGGTTCAGGGCATTACAGCATCCCAGGGATGGTATTTCGTTCCAGTTACTGATCGAACACCTTCAGATGCTACATACCTAAATCGGAGTCGATGAAAGTCGAGAGCCCAGGCAAGTTGTCCTTACCAAAGACTATAGATAGGAAATCATCCTTTAAACGCTGCGTCATAAGGGTACACTTCTGAAATGCTGGGAATTTATATCGGCGTTCTAAATTTATCCTACTGCTGTTCTAAGTTCACATGGAATACATACTCTTTTTTCTATGGACTTGTTCCTATCTCATGCTTTTATGTGTCGTCCTCTCCATTGGCATGTATGACTTTGGGAAGGTATTATTCTCAAATTCTGGTGTTTCAAAATGTTTTATCTTCTCACACTCTATGACATAAACCCTGTAGCTCTTTCCAGTGGGTTTGCCTGCCCAGTCAGGGCTTCGTACTATGAGCGCGCAGCTAACGACCCGTAAATAGAGGACCCAGTCGCTAGGAGTGATCTACTATGCTTCGTTTGTGGTTTTTAGATCACAATATTCTATCGCACGGTCAAGTTCTAGAGTTCTAGTATCAAAACCGGTGGTATCTTGTAAAGTTATCAGCAGTTGCCGAAATCCACCATACGACCTACTAAACGAATATATATTCCGGCCTCACAGGTCTAGGGACGCACTGCCTCCAATTTCCGAGGACAGTAATTTCGTTGACTGAAATCAATATTTTCCACTCTCGTATCATTGAAAATCTGCCATTGAACATCATGCGCTCATAAAAACTATTACATTTTACAAATCGCCCCTGAAGCCAGATCGTGCTGTACAGTGACCAAGACATCATATCACCCCCAAATTCTTGAGGCCATGTCATGTGTAATCAACAAAGGTTGATTGTTTAATTCTACTCCATCAACACATGATCTCATAGATGATAGTCTCCTCGGTTATATTGTAGTTTATTTTCAACATGTGTATGAAGGTTAAGGTTGATATCCCGCACTGTGAACAGACTGTTTCGCGACCCACTTGCCAGATGTTGGTCGCTCATCTACTCGAACATGAGCAATAAATAGTCTGAGGAGAACATTAAGGTTGACATTTACGCCGCTGATGGAGAAACAAATGGCCAATGCGTTGATGCTGTCAACGGTGTCTTATTGTTAGCGCGCTGCGAGGCAATTCTGTTAGCTCAAGCCTCCGGGTTATCGTGAGAACTTGGCGGTGGACAAAGCCAGATGACGATGATCGGAATCTCCCCTGTTGAAAATTTAGATCGTCAGGCCCAAGGAGATTAGTCCCAAATGCGTGGGTGGCTGGATTTCCACCGGCTTCACGATGAAGCAAATGACGTACACTTTGTGTTATGGGCAAGCTAAGTAGAAGCTCCGACCGGTCGCGAGTCATACTGTAGCCAATGACCCTAAAATCACCAAGAGAGTGGCCTAGAATGTGATTCAAGCCAGCCTCGCCGACGCGACATGATCAGTCGCGTCCGTGCGACCGAAAAAAGCAAAACAATTTCAATAATAACAACATTGCTTTATATCCACATTTTCAGATCCATAGATAAGGATACAAAGCAATGTATGCTTGATATGCATAGTATTGATTACACAAAGAAGCAAATCGAGTGTGGTACCTGCGGGATGCATCGGCAAGGCAAACCCAGCTGCATCCTCATCCTCCTGTCGTGATAGCCTTGCATAAGCCACCAATCATGCCATCACAAGGGATGTGCGTTGTCCACGCCCGATGCTCTGAAAATCTCGATATCAGCGTCCCATAGATATCGCTCTAATTTTGATGGATGTCAATATATTCACGTCTTATGTTGAGACACCAGTTTGGCCGTATCTGATCAATTGATGTTGGTCGTTTATACTACAAGGGTAGAATCGGGTGGGTCTACGATGAAGGGCGTTGGGGGCGCATTCTTGGGAGCGGCTGAGTAGTGGAGGATTTTTCCGCTTAGCTTAATTCATGGTCGCTTGAACATGGAGGAAATTGCTTCGTCTTTTTAGTCTCTAGATCATCCTCAAGGGGCTTTCCTCCACACCATTTTCCGGTTTCTTGCGACCGTGGCAACTCAAGCTTTATAGACTCTCCTGCTGGATATAGGTAGCATTGGGGTAAATCCTAAAACTGTCTCCAATTTGAGAGACCAAGTTCATGATGAGTAGAAGAACCATCACAGCCGCAATAGTCAGTGGCGCTCATGGGTTCGCATGGTCGGTGCTTGGGCCAGGCGCACGAGCAGATAATTTTCTAGTGGCATGTTTTTGGTTATTAACATTTCCTCTTCTTTGGTGTTCTTTCTTCCCCTCGCTAATGAACGGAAGCCCCTTTTTTTCCGAGCTGTCTGGACTCTGATTTTGCAACTTTTCCAAATTTAGCTAGGTAACTACGAGTAGTAAAATGTCATACATACTGATCTCTCCCACATGACGCCATTCTAGGGCCATGGAAGCGAGACGAAATAAGGATGAGCAGAGTCCACTTGGTTGGACATCACGAGCAGCTTCTCGGGGAATAGACGAACCAATGAACGAAGGGGTAAAGGACGGAGAACGGCGAAGAAAAGCATCCTGTGTCTTACTTTTACGCCTACGCTAGCGCGCCACGGGCGGAGGCGAAGGGTCAACGTTAGCCGATCAATTGAGCCTTCCGGGGGAGTAGACAGGAACATAAGAAAAAGATTCATGTGGGAGGAAGATGACGCATAGATCATGGTGAGGGGGAAAGACATTTTGGCTGGGCAAGTCACGATAATTGACCAATGTACCATAATCTACCCCGAGTCACGACTTTGTTCCTGGCTTTGAAAAAAAGCAACGCTCGGGGTTGGCTCCCTCGATTGCCATCCTCGGTCAGCATGAACCAACATAGCTAAGATCGGCGCAGAGTCGCATAGGTCGAATAATCGGTATCTCCACTACGTATTCTATATCCAATCATCATCCTCGGGCCGCCAGAAAAGCCCCGCAGACTAGCCCGAGGGTCGGGCTGTCCGGGGTAGGAAACACTGCCGTTTTGGGGGTCTGGCCGAACCCCCTCATTTCCAAGCCTGCCTAAGCCTGCCCAGTTTGTTCACAGTTGCTGTCCTCTCTCCGCCGATGTGGAGTTCATCCCCGCCTCGTTAGGGATTAGTCCATTGACTAGTGCCAAAAAAGCCCGCAGATGCGCAGACTCAGTGGACCGCCGCAACCCCATGGGCAAAAAGAGTTCCCTCCCGTACATTGCAAATTTAATTAACTGGGCCCTCAAAATTAAGAACATGTGAAGAGGTTCGCGCCTTTTCCCCTGATCTAAGTGGATGGAGCTTTCAAGGGCCCTGCATTGTGCCGAGGGAGGCCCTGTGTAGAGTCGTGACGAGAATGCTAAATGTTGTCAAGATTTTGCCCGCTCTCGAGCCCCAGCTAGACCACCCCCCCGTTATTATTATTATTCTTGAGAGAAGATCTCTCGTCTGCCAATGTAAATCACAGTAACGAGCACTAGCGGGTCCAAGCGATTATAATCCCGGAACTAACCTGCCTTTCTCCTCCCATCACATGGGTTGGCTCATCTCGGTCCCCATACCTCGGTGTCGATCCACCCACCGGTACGTGCCATAGTCCGAGGAAAGCTCTCCTTAGTGCGATGGTGGGCCGAGTGGAGGATTATGTCCTAAAAGGATACCCCGGATGGTCGATCACCACCTCACCAAAATAAAGACCTGGCGCGACCCCGGGGTAAAGAAGAGCTTTTTTTTTGTCTTCCCCAGGCTCTCTCCTCCTTTTTTGTCTCTCGCGGCTCTTCTCCATTTCAGTCCTCTGAAAGCCGACAATTCATTAAAAGAAGAGAGACGAAGCCCAATTCCGATAAAAAGGGGGAACCGATAAAGCGCACCCAACGACAACCCCTATATAGCCGACAATATGCGTTTCGTTCCAGTCCTTGCGACTGCATTGCTCGCCGCGTCTAATATCGTGGGAGCTTCCCCTGCAGCCGCCTCGTCCAGTGCTGCAGCCGCTGCTGCTGATACTACTGTCGCAGCCGCTGCGGCAGCCGACACGGCATCCAGCGCGGCTACTACGGCCAATGTCAATGCTGTCAATGAACCTGCTGCTACTACTCAGGCTGCTACTACTGAAGCGGCCAATACAGCAGCTGCTAGCAACAAGGAGCAGACCAACAATGCTGATTCTGCCAGCACTGCCTCCGCCGATACCATTGCCAACATTGTGAACAGCATTGTTGGTAACACGGCTGCTTCCAACACTGCCACTGCTGCTGGCACGACCGCTTCTGCTGCTTCCACTGCTTCGAGTGCCAAGTCCGCTACTACCTCCTCTTCGAGCTCTTCTTCCGATGTCGAGAGCACGCTCAACAGTCTCCTGAGCAGCTTGACTGGCAGCAGCAGCTCTTCTAGTTTGACTGGCATTTTGGGAGATCTCGGCGATCTGCTTGACGGTATCACTGGTCTTCTCAACCCTAGCCTGCTCTCTCAGATTGAGAAGACCTTCGAGTATTTGTCTACCGGGCTGGCTCCACCCGTCGACACCAACCTTCGTGTTCTTCTTTCCGACGACAACACCCAGGCTATTGCTTCGCTCCTCACCAATGCCAACACTTTGTTAAGCACGAAGAACACGCAAACTCTCAGCAACATCCTTTCCAAAGCCGACAGTTTACTCAGTGACAACAACCTCAACAACCTTCAGAAGCTGCTTAATAACATCGACAAGGTCAATGATTTGGTTGAAAATGCAGACACACTTTTGAGCAAGAACAACGTCAATGCCATTGAAAGCCTCGTTACGAATGCTGGCAGCTTGCTGACCTCGGACTTTACCAACAAGACATCTTCTTTAATTGATGCCGCCTCTGATCTCCTCACGACCGATGTTACCAACGCCCTCAAGAAGCTTCTGAACGCTGTCGTTCCTCTGCTTCCAGAATTGCAATCATTCCTCACCAAGGACACCTTCGATGCTCTTACAAGTCTATTGACCAATGGAAACGCCCTTTTGACCAAGGCGTTTATTACAAAGACGAACAGCTTAATTGATGCCGCTTCGAACTTGTTGACTACCGATGTCTCGAACGCCCTGAAGACTCTGCTCAATGCTGTCGTGAAACTCATGCCAGAATTGGAGTCATTCCTCACCAAGGACACCTTCGATGCTCTTACAAGTCTATTGACCAATGGAAACGCCCTTTTGACCAAGGCGTTTATCAATAAGACGAACAGTTTGATTGATGCCGCTTCGAACTTGTTGACTACCGATGTTAGCAACGCTCTCAAGACTTTGCTCACTGCTGTTGTGAAACTCATGCCAGAATTGGAGTCGTTCCTTACCAAGGATACATTCGATGCTCTTAACAATCTGTTGAGTGAAGGCAACGCCCTTTTGACCAAGGATTTCGTTACGGAAACCAAATCGCTCGTGTCTGGGGCATCTGCTCTCCTCACCACGGACGTCACCAATGCCCTCAAGACATTGCTCAATGCCGTGGTCCCTATCCTTCCTCAATTGAAGGGCTTCCTGACGGCGGAGACATTCAACGAGCTCAGCACTCTGTTGTCAAGTGGATCAGATCTTTTGACTCCAGAGTTTGCTAACTCTACTAAGAGTTTGGTGGAGAATGCTAACGACCTCTTGACCCCTGATCTTGTCAGTGGCCTGAAGAGTATTCTCAACGAAGTCACTCCTCTGCTGCCGTCGATTAAGTCACTTCTCACCAAGTCTACCATCGACGCCATTGGATCGCTTCTCACCAATGCCAACAGCCTCCTCACTCCTGCCAGCGTCAAGGAGATCAACAGTCTATTGAGCAGCGCTAGTGATCTGTTGACTCCATCATTCATCAACAGTACCGACGAGTTGGTTACTGGAGCCCATGATCTGCTCTCACCATATGTCCTCGGTGGCCTGTCTGACCTCCTGAATGCTCTTGTCCCAGTGGTCCCCACCATCAACGACGACTTCCTGAACAAGACGACTCTGAACAACTTGACTTATTTGTTGGGTAATGGTACCGAACTTCTCACTCCCACGTTCGTCGAAGGAACAAGCGACTTGATTACCGAGGCTGGCGAGCTGCTCACTCCGGATATGGTCAAGTCCCTCAAGGACCTGCTCACCGAAGTTGACAACAGTCTTCCGGAGATCAAATCTCTCATTACGCCCGCTTCAATCAAGAAGATCTCTGGTCTTCTGACCAACGCTGAGGACTTATTGAGCGAAAAATTCGTCAATGAGACCTCAACTCTAATTAGTGATGTTGCGGGCCTTTTCCCGCTTCTTGAGGGTATTCTCAACTCGCTGTAAGTCAGTCTTGATTGACTGACTTTAGGCGTTTGGGCTTTATATGACTTTCATGTGTAAATTCAATGATCGAAGGATATACGACCTGAGATATGAATTAATGCGTTTTAATGATACGATTTTTTTATTTTATTATTTACGTTCGATTCAAATTAGATCCTGTGTGTAGATCGATGTATCTTGAGGTAATCATATTAAAATTTGATTCGACTTGGATTTCCTTTGTAGAATACCGTATATTGGGGCATGTATTAGGGCAATGTCGTCGGTTTAGATTTATGGTTCCGTGGCCACGTGCAGCTGGACCCGTTAGCAGGACAACCCCGGAAATTAACCATCTTTCAACCTCGGTATCTATTTCCCCGCATCTGATCATCTGTATTTCAGGGTTTAATTAATTAAATTTGGTTATTGGTATCGGAAGTAATTCCTGCGCAGCCACGAGATCCAGCAGTGCCTGAACTCTGATGGTGTGGGCCTTTCTTTCCAGTAGCGGACCTCCCGGTGTAGATCAGTGGTGGGGCAGGAGTGCGATGCCATCATTTACTCGCAAGAATTAGTAAACACAATGCGGACTAGACATTCTCGCCATTGTTATATCTTGAAATGTAAGAATTCCTAGTCCACCCTGCGTGCTAGCATGGATGCTTGAGATTAACGGCCACTTGGAATATTTAGCCCGCCGGGTGGACTAGGAATTCTTACATTTCATTTCAATGATCATGGAAAAATAACAAATCCCCACGAGGGATCCTGATAATTCAATGCCTTAGTCTCAGCCTGTTGGAGACTACTGAATAGACTGTCATACACCGACGAAGGCATACATGGATCCCAATGTAAAACTCCCTTCGAAGACAATCAGTAATAGCAATCGCACAGAGCCTGGTATCTGGATGGCATATACGCGTAACCAAAGCAATGTGTAGATCCAATAGCAATCTGCAAGCGCGCAAAGAGGAAATTATGCAGCATACCCAATGCATTGCGGCTTGGATGATTCCAATCTTCCAAGGATGTCAAAATTTGAGCGTCTGGGCCATGATGTCGTGTAGAATGGCAAAAGTCTAGTTCTTGACGCTGGGAAAAAGGCCCGGTATGATAAAGGCGTAATTTGCGAGCCCGTTTCGATATGGCCTGTGTGTCAATGCTGGCCTAAAACCTGGTGATGGTAATAAATGCAAGGATACAGAAGAGGAGAAAGGAGAAAAGAGGAGTGCCTTGCTTCTGCTCCTGCCCACGAGGGGAGTCACCTACATCTGAGCCAGGACAATGACCTCCACGGCCTCCATGAATCCCGCGACCCCGAGTCCGGCGAATTCCTCTACCTGAACTAGTACGGCCCCTGTGGACACTGCGGGAATTACCACCATATACACAGGTGAACTTGGCGTGCTCCCCGATAAAAGCCCTGATGCGGGTGCGGGTTAACTCTACTCCCATAGACAAAAGATCAGTGCGACGATCTTACAACTCAGTCACGTAGATGGTGATATTCATACCCTGCAATTGACCGCGCCCTAGTGGTTGGCCCCTTTGGTGAGTTTCTCGACCACTGAGCTTGAAATGCTTCAGCAGTAGGCCTTGAATTGCCTCTTTGGTCTCCACGCCCATCTGGTGCTCCTCATCCCCCCTGGGGAGGGCTACATAATCGGCTGGCTGCCGACAATGCTGACCATGCCCCGGGGTTGAAGGCTCATTGGTTGGTGTTGTCCCTGGCGCAACCGCTGAGCGAGTTGTTGGGTGTATATCGATGGTGCATAGTGTGTTGTCTAGACTGCGAAGGAGGTGAGCTCGACAGTTGGCCAGGTGTGTGAGGTTACCCATTGGCCTTTTGGAAAATGAAATTTGTTGGTATGTAACCCCCTGGCCAGTGGTGGGGCTCTCGAGGTCTTGCGAGAGGACGAGATCGCTGGAAAGACCCGTTGGTAGACCTTCGTTAAAGGAAATGCGTAGAAAGTGGGTAGACGCGCAGGGCACACGAACGTACAGGTAAGGCCGAGCAGTAGTGAGTGAGTGATCTGGCTCATAACCTGATAAGAGGCGTGGTGGGTTGTATTGGTGGGGAGAATGTTGGCAAGATAGGAAGCTCTGGTGAGTAGGAAGAGCCCTGGAGAGGCAAGTAAGCATGTGACCTCTCAACAATAACGATGTCGAGCATCGCTCTGTATGTTCTTCGATGGGGAGAAACAAATCGAATACGTGAATTAATGGGTACCCCGCGGGGTATCTTCCCTCACTGAAGGGCCGAACTTGAAAAGGAGAACACTACGGGAATATGAGAGACTCATTACTATTTCTCGTTGCTCACATGCTAGAAAGATCAGCTCGTACGAGAAGCTAGGACATATTAGAATAGCCTCCATTTTACTCTTTACTATTGCTTGATCACCTTCCAAAAGATAGCCGTAGAGATAATTCTAAAGCTGTTTTTGAATCAGGTTTCGGTTTGCATCGCGCTTGGACTTTCTTGGCGTGGCAAGGCCCATAAGAAAAGTATGTGGGGCCCCACAGTAGATCTGCTACCCGCCTACACTATCAGCGGTAATTCACGCGGAAACCAAGGTGTCAAGTGCATGATGGTCAAGTCAGCCACGTACCTTGCGGTCAAGGAACGGAAATCTTGGCAACGAATTCTTCCTAATCTCATACACGAGACAAAAGCCCATTTCGATAAACCCTAACCTTTCGTCCTCTCACTCATAGATTATGCCTTTTTGTTCCTAGTAGGCCCCACAGCCGTGTCCCCCTTTCTCTTCCCTCCTCTCCGACATTACCCTCCTCCCGTCTGTTCATCTCCCCGGTTGGTCTAATGGTAGGGAGAAATTTATTATTGTTTATATCATGACTGAAAGCTTGATAATATGTAATAAGTGGGTGGTTATCAGTACTTGAAGGATTATCGTATCACATAGGCAAAATTGATATTTTGGATTCGAAAATTAAGGGCTCGATTGTGGTAGACGTGGTATCTCGTTTTTGAAAGTATTTCCACGGGAAGGTAGTCTATTCAAAGGGTGGTCGGTTAGGGAATTCATATAAATTGAATCATCAGCCATGAAACATTGACCTTGTGATTGCAGATATTCATTTCCTCAATTCAGCCAAAGATTCATCTGTGGATAGGCTCATATAGTCGGTTGAAAAAGGAAATATATAGAAATCGAATGTTAGATAGATGCTGAGAGGTCGGTTTCTACCGCTTTCACTCTCCACTCAAGACTGGAATCATTGAGCATGGTGATCTAAGCGCCCATTTTGAAGCTCGGTTGAATGATGCACATTGGTCAACATTGATATCGATCACAATCTCATCAACTGAAGCAAAACACAAGGGTCATGCAGAAGGGATTGGGAATCAAAAACAAGCACAAACAAGGGAAGGGTATAGTCACATATTGGGCTCGATCCTCACCTGAATCGGGATATTGAAAGAAACCAGGGAAAGTGCAAGGATTGACGCAGGCGACTGATGTGAGCAGAACTTTTGCCTAGATCCGACAGTGTGACGACCTCCCGCGTCAGAACACAGGAACGATGTGGGTCGAATGGGTTGAATTTCAAAATCGAGCTTCTGTTTTCACAGCTGCACAATCGGAATCGGAGTAATTGGATGTTTTATCAAGCTCAACATCAGCGCGACATGCATATTGATTGAGGGCGACACGTATGTCGAATCCCCTGTAAGTTTGCGTTGGTTTTACCGTAAGAACGGCTCACGAGGGCAAAAGCCTTTAGGCCTGTTATCGATATTACACTTTCGGCCGACATCGACTGGATCAAGTTCAAGGTTCAAGACAGTGCAGTTCATCTCTCAGGCTACGGCGTGCGGATAAAAACGATGCGCGCCTTAACGAAAACTCCTTAGCTTGAACGGTATACCCTTGGAATTTCAATGTTAAACAAGGTCATCACAGACCGTACTTTCTGGGGTTTTCCTATTTCCTAGGCATGCTGGGGCCGGAGAATTCTTGAAGTAGCTAATATGCTTTCGAGTCTCCCGTATTTCATCAATTAATTTTCTGCGCCTAATTTGCCTGAGCATACAAGATCATTTGATGATGCCCTGGCGTTAATGGCAATAAGCCATCGGAAATTCCTCCTGCCCAAATTCAATGGAACTAATTTAGTGCTGGTCGGGTTATTAGTAAAAAGCATAATACACTCGATTTTAACTTTATCAGTACACTTCGGTTATAAGCGCGGGAATTTGGGGCCAGGCGTCACTCAGCCGCTTTCCTGTGGATATCCTCGACTTTCTAAATAGATATCACGGGTTGCCTTGAAATTAGCCACGAAGTGACTTTTGAATCACAGTAGTGCAAAGGATATTGAATACGTGGAAAAAATTGATAAAATAAAAAGACGAGGAAAAAGACGAGGAAAAAGACGAGGAAAAAGATGGGATCAATTTGTTTTAAGATCAGTAGATCATAGCCCCCCTGATAGCCATACTATTCAGTAAATATCATGAAGCGTGTGGCGGCCTGGCCCCCACAAGATTCAGGGGATCTAGTTTCACGCTAAGCGCAACTTGAACCCGAATAAGGCTAGTCGGATGTAGCCAGACCCAATTAAGTGCCCTCAGCCTCACAAGATCGCCCTCGCAGTGCGGCAATACCAGTAGTAAACATTGATGGATCAAAATATATAAGAAGTTGATCACCCAGTCTAATTCTCTAACCTGTGTTCTGAATTTATCTTTGAAGCAAGCCCGCCATTCGCAATGTCTCAGACCACTCTGCATACCACTCTTCATCCTGTTTCCCAGCCTATTGCAATGTTCCAGCAATTCATCGCAACGGAGCAGCAGACAATAGTCCTAAAAGAAAAGATTCTCTCTCTCTCAGGGGACAGCTTTGACATTAAGCTTGAGAATGGCGCTCCGTTTCTGACAGTGAATGGCAACCGGTTATCTCCTTCTGGGCGTAAGAAGGTCAACGACCCGGATGGCACTCACCTTTTCGATCTTCGCAAGGAACACTTGCATCTCCATACGACCTATATCATGGAGGACCTGAACGGAGACAAGATTTGTGAGGTCAGGAGCAGTCACAAACGTAAGCGCTATCTTCTAGGATCCAGATCCATCGCGCATGATCAAAGGTCAATCTTTGTTGTACGAATAAACTAACGATCATAGTCATCGGTTCCAAGGCTACTGCCACCCTTACCGATGTGTCCGGCAAGGCTATAACTTTGGTCATGGAAGGAAACTGGAATGATCGCACAGCCAAAATTGTCGATGAAGAGTCTGGTCAAGCTGTGGCGACCATTTCCCGGAAACGTTTCACCGGTCGTCATATATTTTTCGGCCAGGACACTTACGTAGTGACGGTGCCGCCCGGTGTAGACATGGCACTGATCGCTGGCCTATGTATCTGCTTTGATGAGAAGAACAATGATTAGTGGGGGAGATGGGCAATAAACTGGCGTACGGAGTCTAGGATTCAGCCAGAAGAGAATAGCGATTTAGTAATACCATATATTTTCTTATGTTTTGATACCCACTATCATCCAGGAAGTGATCGCGGAAATTCTGGATGGCATTCAAATAAACAAAATCATCAAAAAATCTTTCATTCGTCTCTTGCTATTAAATTGAATACATCAAAGTGGCTAGTGTCATCATGGCAGGGGCACAGCAGACCAATGAGCTGGGATGGAGTCGAGATGACCTCTCGGCGAAATTAAGTCCCCTCCGGAGCTAAGGCATTTACCTTCTCTATCACTCATAACACAATCTTTTGTCCCTACATCTTCCATCTCAATCGTTCTTTTGTTCTCGCTCCTCAACTCATTTTCTCTCTACCCATTCCTTCTCTTCCTCCTCGCAACCACTTCTCTCTCTCCCTCTCGACCATCGTCGGGGGGAGAACAGGGGGACCACAGGTCCCCCAACAAGCATACCACAATCCATCATCTCTCTATTAAAACTTCATTCGAAACAATGACTGACGTCATTACGGCTGGGACAAACCCCCCGAATGACCCTCCACCACCGGGTGATGGTCGGCGTGATCAGCAGCCAGCTGATCGGGTGGACCTCCCAATGGAGGACCTGGAAGAGGGCCAGGAAGGCCAAGAGGAGGAGAACGTGGTCGCAGAGGCCTTAAATCCACAGCAACAAGTAAGGTCTGACTCTGAGTAGCTTGATCCTGCGTTTATTAACATTTTTGCAGGGAGTTGTTCCGCCGGCCCTCGCGGGTCGAGCTCAAACGCGTGAGTTTACCCAGAGCTGCCAAAGTGCGGGCCATGAGACTAACCCAGATGATGCAGCGCCGTCGCCATTCCCAATGCGACAGACAAGTATGTTATCCTCCCCCCCCCCCTTGAACATAGTGAGAGCAAGTGCTAAATGTCCGGTGTAGCGCCATATAATGGCAATTGAAGCGGACAACCTCCGGCGGGTGGAGCAGATCGCCCATGCCATTGTAAGTCAAACCAACTTTCTTGACTTCAACTCTCCCTTTTCCCCGCGTTTTTCTTCACAAGTCTCTGTCCCATCGATCGAGTATGTCGATCTGAATGTTTGCAGAAGCTCGGGGATCATATCACTGCGATGAATTCTCTCCTCTGTGACATGCTGTCATACGGAGCTTTCACTGTACTCTGGCGTCCATACACTAACCGTAATATAGAGCTTCTCCTACCAACCCCTTTCGGCCTCGCTGCGAACTCGCGGCGGTCGCGGTGGTACTGTCCTGGGAGGAGTGGGAGATCCCCAGGCACAGCAGTAGCAGGGAATCCTGTGTGATCTTTTGGACCATACTCTCATGGTACTACAAACGTCTTTCATGACCCAATGACCCCAAGCCCACTTTCGGGTGTTCCTTACGAGCAGAACATGGTATATCTGACTTCTACATGATTGCCAGATAGAAGGAATGGCCTAGCTTGACACGCTTTCGGCAGTCTCTGTTTCTGGAGCTCTTTCGGGACGTCTTTTTGAACATCTCTCTAAACAGTCTTGGGAGTATTTCTCTATTTGTCCTTGGAAGCATGAAAAAAAAGATAATCTAAAATTCAAGTCAGGGGTCTTAAATTTGGTTATAAAACCCCACTTTATATGCTCATGTATAAGCATTTCCCGTAGCTGCACTGGAGGTTAATCGCGCTGGACCATTTAATACTTATTAAGCTACGTTTCCAAGTCTAAACTCCTATTATCGTCCGATGTCTAAAGGGTATCGATTGATAGGTTGATTGGTAAGTTGATTTATCATGTTATTATCATTTATTTTGACGAATCTCCCCCCTATGAATCTTGTTGAAACCCTCGCGCGTCGCAGAACGTAGCCAAGGTAAGATTAAGAAGAGCGCTCGGGCAAGAGAGGAGAGTTTCAAAGGAAAGATTTGGGCTGCTGAGCTGGCTCGGGCTGTTCATGGTGGGCTTCTGCAGACTCACCCTCCTCTACCTGGGCCTCAACGGCCTCCCGCTGCTCCTCATCCCCCAGGGGTGGCCATTCGGGGGTAACGCTCCGGAAATAATGACGTCCGCCATTGTGTAGTATGAGGTTTTGGTAGAAATTGAATGAACTTGAGAATTTTTGATGGGAGTTTTTGTGATGGGATTTTTTGTGATGGTAGTTTTTGTGTACTTCGAGTATTAAACAATCACGCTCCTACAAGACGTAATCTTACATAGAACCTACTTTGCCTCGACAAGAAAGGATTCTTTTGTGCTATAGAGCGTAGCAAAGTTTATCATCTACTCATGAGTCTAAGAGATGACACGTCCACTGTGATTTGCTCTAATGCAAGATTCTCTTGTATGAGCTGTTTCGAATTGGAATGAATCACTCTAGAAATAATCATGAGTTTTCCTCAAATACATGACTAACAACCTAAATGCCGTCCAGAGTTCACACAATCACTTCCTGGACGATAGTTATTATTGAATCTAAGCACAGATAGGTTGTAACTACAGGGCTATTTTCCTCGGACCGGATTCTGGGATTTGTACGCCAATTTATTCGCCACGTTGGCTAGCCATTGTTCCTCTTATCGAAGTACATGAATCGTCTGGCGTTCACAACCACTATCCCGGCCATCTCGACGACCCCGACCTCCTCTCCTCCACCCGGACCGCCACTAACTCCGACAAGAGCCGCCTGTTGGTACACATAGGCGTCTATGCGCATCCACGCAAATCTCTACGTCGTCGCTATAATACGTAAACACAAGCGTCAGAAAACGACCTATAGTCGTACGAAGGGGGACTTTACATCTTGCCGTTGAGCAGGACGCAGCATACGTGCTGCCACCCCCCTGGCGAGGGGGCTTCTTGGAGGGGCCCTTAAAGGGGCCCACGTTGGCTGCCTATATCACCATCGTTGAATGGTTGCAGCGGCATGTCCTGTTGCATAATGCGCAGACACAATGGCTCCGCAAGTCAATCCGCCCCGTGAGGAAGCAAGGCATGCTTCGAGGCCAGGTGTATGGCGTTCCAATACGTGGAGCACACTGTTTCACGTTTTCACGTAAATCGGGATTGAGCCGGACACGCTGATCCACATGATGGCTCGATGAGACAGAGTCCCGTGAATAAACGCAAGCATGAGTGAATGGCTCACTGTGGCATGATCGATCATAGCTGAAACTTTGCGGTCGTATACGGCCTTGGCCGTCTCGTGACGTTATATCAAAATTTAGTGCTTGCTCTCATGTATTGTGCGATGGAGATGAATAACATACACTTCTGTCACGCCGGGATTGGAGATGTCGCTGGAATTCATGTGAATTAGGCTCACGAACATGAACTTTGCGGGTTGAGTGAACGATCGCGTTTGAGCTCAGCCCGTGAGGGCTGATGGGAGAACTGAAAAAAAGGGTCAGTAAACGCGTGGTGGCGTGAGTCAGACACGAATCTTACCTATGGTCCTTTCCTCGTCCAAGGCCTCCTCGGCCTTTCCCTCGAGGGCTTCTTCGACGTCCTCCTGCATGGGGACGTCGGGGCGGTCGTGGCGCGCACCCCGATCATCCCCAGGAGGAGGGGGGTCGTTCGGTGGCTGCAGAGCGCCAGATATCATGGGTTCGGCCATTGTTTTTAAGAGGTTGATAGACTTTTGATGAAAATGATGGATTCTTCATGATTTCAAGAGGGAGGCGAGGAGGAGGGGATGAACTGGAGGAGGAAAAGAAAAGAAGAAAACAAATGTTTGAACAATCGAAGGAAGAAATGGTCTAACCAGAACCACATTAATCTCCTTAGTTCCCCAAAAGATGTCCATGAATGCGTTTTCGAATATCTTTTCAAGAGGTCTTTTTAGTTAGCTTCTTAATTGGCTTCATGGATACCCTAAGCAATATCTCTTGGCGTATCTTCTAGAGCATGACTGGCCGGAGAGCTTGGAAGACTGATTGAGTATTAATTATGAAGTTCCACAGTAGAAATGGATGACAATTTCTGTCGGCAGATTGAAATCCCAACTTGACGATGATATCTCATTATGATTACTATGGGCCTCCATTCTATGTGTTGGCAAGATGATTCCTGTTAACTTTGACTCCTGGAGACTATCCGAAATAATCAATGGTGTGATTTTTAGCCCTCTCAGATGGGCTGGGTATCGATGCTACACTAAGATGTGGTTATGCTAAAAAATACATAGGTAAGAATGAAACAAAAAAGAAACTCCAGCAACACTACTCCTACTGCTGTGGCCGGGGATCACGCGCTCCCCCCGACCCTCCCCACCCCGACCAACGCCGCCACCCCGACCTCTCAGGAGCTCCGCCATCAAGGCATCTATAGAACACGTAAACGAGATGATTAGTACAACGATGCTATAGCTGGGGTCGCAAAGATTGTAATATACAATCTGGTGCCTCGCCACGTTGGTTTGCGTTGAAGAATAGTCTCTATAGTACAGTTAGTGCATGGACTCTCGAGCACAATGGGAGCTCCGCATGAAGGCTTGTCATAGCGAAGACAGTGGCCCACGGCAACATGATCCGCGGGCTTCTGTACTTCGCTGGCCCGGCGATGGTGTGGTCTCTGACACAATGTACCTCAGAGCCAGTGCATGATGTCTCAGTGTGTGAGCCACACTGTCTCAATGCAAGTCTCAATCGAGGCACATATGTCGATCGACTTCATCGCTGGATGGAACAAAGATTCGCGAAGACGGCCACAAGGAGAAAGTTGAATGAAAGTAGAAGACTTACAGCTTCCTGGGTCATTGCCTCGAAATGCTGCTCCTCCAGTGCCTGTCGGTGTCGCTATACCGTATATTTAGTAATGCTCTCGCTTCTCCCAGAGCCTGATGATAACATACGCGCTTATCTCGCTGGGACTGGCGACGACGCTGAAATTTTGATCTGAATTAGACTCCTGTTCCTCGATTTCGCAATGTAGAGTGAACGAATGCGTCTCATTTCTGCCTGTGAGGGCTGCTGGAACTGCTTTCAAATAAGTCAATGAACGCGCGAGTACAGGCTAGTTGAGAATGAAATCTTACGCGCTCTGGCGCCTGGTGGGCTTGTCCAGCCTCAAAGTCCTGCATCCGGGCCTCTTCGGCCTGCCCCTCATCCTCCTCGCCCAAGGGGAGGTCAACACGATCACCATCCCCCGGGTTTGGAGGCTCCTTCGGGGGGAGGGCACCGGGCATCATGACCTCAGTCATTGTTGAAGCGGTATTTGAATAGAGAAGTTGATTATTTTGATTACTTTTGATGGGAGGGGGCAGTTTGCCAGGCTTGAGAGATGAACTTGGAGAAGGAAAAGAGGAAAACACCTGGGGACAGGTGAGACTCATTACTATGGCTGTTAGATCGGTAGGCTAGTCATAAAGAGGCTTAGTGTCCGTCGATCGGGGATTTTATTGTGGGGTCATGTGGTCCGTTCGGAACCCCTGTCACGGTACCTGGCACGTGACAGCCCCGATCTGTCAAACACAGATGGGGCATAATACCGCTAGACTAAAAATGCACCATGGGCGACATTCTTAGTCTATACGGGCTTCTTGTTGTTCCGACACGATCTAGTCTACTCGAAAAGCAAGCAACAATGTTGGTATTAATAAAGTGAGGTTATATAAGTAAGAAATGAGTATTTATAGAAGGCAAATTTGGGCAAATAAAATGTTGGAATATTATAGATTAGTAGTCAGAACAGTTTGGGAAAGAAGAGTACTATGCCGCCCAATCGGAGATCAATCGTAGACATCACGCAACCTCTGCTACATTTCCACCCACACCGCAACGAAATCGTCCTCTCAATCGCATATTCGCATCTAAAAGGTGGTACACGCCGATCTGGTGGTATAGTTTAGGGGAGAAGTTTGTCACGTTTAGTGTTTTTTTATCGATTGTGTCCGGCGGCTAGGGTTGGGCTCTTGTTCTTCGTCAGACGTACGCAGCTTTTCGAAGGGGAGTATCATGGATGTATCGCCTGCGGGGAGGAGCAGGAGGTCCCGGATCGTTGTTTGGAGGAGGTTATTGCAGAAGTCGCGGCATTGGATGCAGATTGGAGGGCCTGCTGGTCTTGTCTGGTGTCAGGTAAGTAGGACATAGTTCGGAAGATTTTCTTTGCTTTGCTTACCCGGTACTCAATTCCCGCCATGAACCGTCACGTCCGAAGGCGAGCCTCCCCGACGGAGTCCTGGTTCCAACTGTTCGACAGTCACAGGCTTCGAGGTATTGTGATCTGAGAGCTCAATATCGACACAATTGGTGAAAACCAAGGAGAAGGAACGCAATGTAAATTTTGACATCCATGTCGAATTCCTGAATTCCAAATATCAAGACAAGGAGAAAAATCTGAGCAGCTGACGAGCGCTCAGAAAGTAGCCGAGAGCACCATGGAGGCTGTGAAAGCAAGGAAGGTCATGGTGATTGTTCTGATTAAAGCGGCCGTGTTTGTGTAGTTCCCGTGACTCAGTGTTCTGTGTTCATTCCCTTCAGTTCCAGTGGTATTTCCCCTATGAACACGTTAAGGTGTTATATCAAGGGCCCCATTATGAGCTTTTTTGATGTGGACTGGGTAGCAATGATACTCAAGCCATGTCGATGCCAGTAATACAGGACTAAAGAAAAATTAGAGAGACTGCGAGACTGCTGCTGTTACTGCTCTCGGGGATCACCCGGTCCTCCCAGCTAACAGGAGTAGGACTTCCGGCCCCATCCCGGCCACACCAGTCACCACAAACGTCATCACGGTCCCTCTATCCTCCCTAATCACGGTCTTATAGGCCCCGTTGCCCATCCTCGGGCCCTTGGGGGTGGTCGAGACTAGCCCGCAAGGCAAGCGAATATGGAGGGAGTCGTGGTCCCTCATCGGCGATGGTGGAGAGCCAGAAATTGATGGCTGTGAGTGGGAGGGAGGAAGAAGGAAACGAATGGAAAAGGATTTCAAGAGGAAGGTAGAGGAAGGAATGGAGCAGTTGGTGGATTGAGGATTAGAGGTGGTGCTGGTCAGAGTTGCGGAGGAATAGAATTGTGGTGACTTCCGTTACCTGCTGACAATAACTGCATTGACCATGATAGGACAAAGGGCCGAAGAAGCGTTAAGAGGTAGTGCTTGAAGGGTTTCAATCGCTACCTATCTGTTATATGCCATACTCCTTTTTCGCGCGGTGGTGATGGTAGCAGTACTTGCTCTCATTGTCTCCAGGAGTGGGATGAGAACGAGCTGATCGCGCTGGGATTAGTGACAACACTGGAGTTTTCCATCTGAGCTAGCCTCCATGATACTCAATCTTGCAGGGCTGGCGAGTGAATGAATGCGTATTAACTAAAAGAAACAAATCCCAACACGACCTACATAAAGACCAAACAGAGACAAATATGTCATACTTCTCTGGCATCTTGGCCCTGTCTATATCTTAACAATAGATGTGACATATCCCCTATTCGTGAGAATTTCTTTTGCTATGCCGGTCCATCGGCTAAGGTCCCCGCGTGATTATTCTCCCACGCTTCCCACGCGGGGAATTTGGTACGAGCAGAATCCTCCTTGGTCACCAGAGAGACCTCTCGGCGAGCGCAGATACCACGCGACACCGATCGACCCACAGATCGCCCTTAAATTGCAAGTGTCTACGTCGACTCAGACTCCGGCTTCCAACTCCGATATTTTCGCGCTCTTACGAGACCACATGCTCCGTAAGCAGTTACAGGCCACACATCAGCCTATTGCCCCATAACAGTTCGTGCACACCCCGCAAAAGCCTTCTGGCCCCGTTGCGCCACAGCCTTGGTGCTCCGCGGTGATGAATTCTCCGCCCGGGATTCTACCGGTGTACAGATATAATTGCACAAGTATGACTGGACGAGGGTTTTTACATGGGATTCTTAATATTGAACTAAGCAATTTCAGTGAGAGGATAGTACGTTGTGGGATACTAAGACACCTCAACCGCTGGCACAAAAGTTGGTACGTGGGTTTCTGGTACACCGATTTCATAATGGGTCTGACGAAGTATAGCCTCGTAAGAAATATTGGCTTGGCTAAAGACATTCAGATAGTATAGCATTTCATCAATGCTTTCATTATCGTCTTTTACTGTAGCGTGTTATAGTGCTGTACCGCACACCATTTACGGCTACAGTCGCTATATTGAGCCACAAACCCGGAACGCTTTCCGTTTTACCGGCCAAAAGCATAAATACACCGACATCACGGACGCTGTTAAGCTGTATTACGGAAGTTAATTATCTGTGGCCGAAGGAGCCGTGTTTCTCTTGTTCTCTTCAAGCAACTCCATAGCGCTCGTCGAAGCTGTCACATTGACCCGTGTCATTTCGGCCTCGTACGTGCTTTACGCAATGTCTCTCTCATTTCGCGGTTGAATGAGTAGTACATTGACGGCCATTCCCGGTTATCTGCCCAATTTTTTCTAATTTATTCAACGTACTGAATTATTTATGTATTTATCAGTGTGGCCTTAGGTAGGTGGTGGGTAGATCACGGGGTGCTTCCCAAAAGTTGAGGTCGCTCCTTCCCAATTTGTCACCTGCCCACAATGCCCACTGCCCTCACTTCACCTCCCCCCCCCCGCAGAATATTTTTCTCTCACTCTCTCTCACTTCCTCTCACTTCCTCTCACCCACCCACTTGAACACCAAGAGCACCAGCTTTTCTTTCAGGTGGTTGATTTCTTGACTCTACCAGAGTTATATACTGCTGACTTCAATTCCAGACACGATGCCTGCAACGCGCAAGTCTGATGAGAGATGAGCCCTCGGGTTTGACCGATTCGAAGAAGAAAGCCCTCGCCGTTGATCCCAGTCAACGCTGGCTTCGATCCTTCTTCAACAAGGTGCAGACTTCAACCGCAAAAGCAAGCAATGACATCGAACAATCGTCCCACCTCCCTCATGCCTGTCGACAGTTTCTCTTACAGGGGTCCCCATTTAGGGCCAATGTGGTGTCGAATGAAATTGCGCAACTGGCTTCGGGTGTGCCCAAGCCGGTAGCAGTTCATTTGCCCAGAATTCTACTCCATTGGTGAGCCTTCCCAGGAGATGTATTTCCTCCACGGGTTCTCATCAAGCTGGTCTTGAATTCCATCCAGTTCGTTTCAACATGATGGCACTGCTATCGAAACAACCAACTCATGGGAGGGCTATGCACCTAGTGACGAGAATACATCGAGTTCTACTCGAACATCAAATAGGGATGGCAAACCGAAGCCGAGAACTTCGGAATGTGATGAGAGGGATGAGGCTCGCTTCGATGATTTTACAATGGTTGTCAACTGGAAAGGAAAGTCAAGGAGACCCCCTTTTCGCTTGCGCAAACTCACCTTTTTCTCGCAGAGACAAGGTGCAAATTTACAGACCCGCGAGTCATATTCTTTCTCTTTCTTCAATCCCTCGAATTCCAGATGATGGCGAAGGTGACTCTGTCATCGAAACCCCAGAAAGGCCTTTCGCTAATGAAGAGGAACACACCATATCTTTGTCCTTGACTGTTGTGGATAAGGAGTGCTGTTTTCTGGCAGATGCTGCCCCTGTCAAAGTGCCAAGAGCATTTGCAGAGACGAGTCGACCATCGTTGCCATTTGGTCGATCTTTAAGGAGTCAATTCTCTCACTTCCATGTTGAGGAAGAATCCTTGGAAAGAGGTACGTCTTGCAAGTTGTCATCATTCAGAATATTGCTGATTTCACTCTACTTTGATAAGGTTGAGAATCCTTTCGTTGCGTCTTGCGAGACATCACAGTCAGGAGACATCACCGAGTTCCAGGGCTGATATGGAATGTGGACGTTCACCTTGCTTTGCGACTTTGGTGTCACAAAATGTCCAGAACGCCTTTCCCCTGTCGGTATTCCAACCGGTATACCGTCCACATATTACTGGGAAAGTTGAGATGCAGTTGGCGCGGTGGGTGGGAGGGCAAGCCACTGCAGGTTGTCTGTCAGTCGTGGATCGATTTGAGTTGATCAAGTGTTGTGATTATCTCATTTCACCGAGTCCATGGGTATCCAGTGCCATCACTTTCGCCATGTTGCTTGAAGACCGGCGTTGCATATACTGGTGTGGATTTCCCCCAGAATTGCCGGGAACAACATCGGCCTGGTCACACTGGTGGATCTGTTTGGTAATGGACGAAGTTTTCCTGATGGATTGTTGCCTGATGGATACTTTGCCTCTGTTACAGACCACATTGTTGCTCTTGCGTTGGGAGCCCAGTGTCGACGATCTACTTGCTGTGTACAGCAAGATACGCACGACCAGAATTGACGAGGTACGTTTCTTGATGTCAATGTGGCAGCGGTCGACTGACTGTTAATCAGAGCTTATGGACTGTCAATCTGTACTACGTGCGCGAATTATTGCCACTGACATTTGCTGCTCGGTACTTTCAGCATCGCCGTGCAACCTGAGAGACATTCCGGCAAATCAGCATCGCGAGCATGGTCGGTTTTGTCACAAAGACGGAGGATGTCTATCTTTGTGGCTGTGTTGACGTGAGTTGATTGCCATCAAACCCTTCCTTCGAGCATATTAACATGGAATCTAGGACCGTGAGATTACCCAACCTTTGTGGATGCATGTTAGGATCGAAATCGACGATGAAAATGATTTTCATCGAACTTCGAATTCGGCAGATGAAAATCTGCAGACTTTCTTTTTCCATACATCCTCACGAGATGTGGCAGGGTGGGTGGGTATCGGCTCAAAAAACTTCATTGTTTGGTACGTTGCTCCGCTCGGTCGATATACCATTTCATGCTGGTATCTGACAACTCTTCTCAAACACTCTCAGAACCTCGAGGAAACGGTTCCACTCGGGGAATCACCTCGTGTCACGCCGATCAAGATCGACGATGAAAACGGCGTTCATCGAGCCTCGAGTTTGACAGATGAAATTCTGCAGACGTTTTTTTTTTCATACAGCCCGTGAGCTGTGGGAGGGTGGGCGGGTATCGGCTCATTCTTCATTGTTTGGTACGTCTGTTCGTTCGATTTATCCAATCTCAACCGGAGGTCTGACAACTTTTCTTTCAAAATCTCTTCAAACCCTAAGGACACACTTTCCCTCGGCGAATTGTCTCGTCCTGTTGAGCGACACCACTGAAGACCTTTCCCAGAACAGACCGCGCTTCGCAAACGACGCTGTGACCGTTCCATCTACTCGCCCGAGACAACCGCGCAGTCTTTGGCAATAACACCGTTTTTACTGTGCAGCCAGGCAGTCTCGGTGACAACTTTGGGCAGGGTTTTGGTTCGGACTGTCGTTCTTTGGTTTTCTCTGGTCTTTGAGGATGTCAGGCTCTCTCATGTGGATAAAGCAAGGTCCATCTCTTCTGCCCTTCTAAGAGAGTTCAATTCAGTTAGTTCTCTCACTCTCTCTCTGCAGTATCCCTTCATACCGCTCAGATTAGCTCCCCCAACCTCAAGTGTATGGCTCCATTTAGCGAACATCCTTGTACGGCGCCGGGGCTTGTTCGGATCGAGATTGATGATGTTACGCCATATGGACTTGATCCTCGGGTGATCCCCGGACACAGCAGTAGGAGTGGGTGTTTCTTCTTGTCTTTCCCTTATGTCAGTCAGCTGTTACTTGCGCGCAAAATTGGGACACAGTTCATACTTTGAGAATACCATTGTCCCCACAAGCTCAATCCACTCATTTTCTCCCGCAACGCTTTCAAATCCTTGTCCGTGGTTTTCTTGATCACCAGAAGTCCGTACGTAAGGCTCCACAACACCCTTGTTCACAACATCAACGCCAATCAAACTATCTCCATCGAGCTTCTGCCCGCAATGGGCATATCACTCGTAGAGTATGAGTCGGCATTTGGGTGGGTATCATATTACACTATTTTATGATGAAAATATAGTAGTTTGGGTAATTCCTGGGTTTATCTGAGATATTATCTCTTATTGACTGTATACATAACGCTAGGTTAACTATTGATATCTCGTTGATATCGCGTCCGGATCGGGAATACCACCGCGTCTGGATTTTCTCAACTCTTAACTCCCAACTCCTAACTCTCTATCTCCCTACCTCTCACCCTTTATACCTCTTCTCTTCGTATTGAAAATCATACATTTCTAAATCTATCTAACGTGAGTGCTCGATACTACTAATTACGTTAAGTACGCGATTTTTTGGGATAAGTCTAGGTCTTACTAATGTTCGTTAGATAGATCGATCCGACCCGACGCTCCCCACTATTAGACCTAAGAAGTTCTACAGTCTCGCTAAAACTACGGTAAGTACTCTATTATGACTTTTCTTTTGCTTATTACTTATGTCTATTATGCAGACTACTCCAAAACGTGTCTCAACAAAGAGTGGGACACGCTCAAATCCGAGGACCATCACCCCCAACACAAGCTCCTCGTTAAGCCAACAGACGACAGATAGCCGGACTGAATCCCTGTCGTCTACCAGCTTTTTCAACTTGGTCGACCCGGCTCTTGAGAATGAGCAGGAATTAGATGAGACCCTATGCCATATTAAGGAAGGTATATATCTACGTCGCTCGACCGGGGAGTAAAGCGTGCTTTTTCGGCGTTTTCAAATCTCCGTTCTACAATTTTCGGAATCATGTGCCTAGGAATGACCTAAAAGGCCTTCGATCTTCAGAAGACCTCACCGGAAGCAGCTCTTCCTCGAGGTGTTTGATCTCGCTATCTATGCTTTAAATCATGCAGCTGGAGTCGTTGATCTGAGGATCCAGTCTCTGGCTTGTTGCTTGCAGGACGAGGGTCTGTTCCTCATGGTCGGAAACTTGATCTTTCACAACATCGATCGAGGTCTACCTCGTACTTCAGAAGCTGTTTTCGCAACTGGCTGGGCTCGCTGTACGTATAGCTCGAGTCGTTGATCCTCCCATTCAAGATCACTGACCACACTCTGCACAGCGGACCTCGTATACTCCCACTGGCTAAAATCCACGTGTACCACCTTCCTTGGTCCATTCATTTTTTGCGAGTTGCTCAGTGTGAGAGATATGGAAGAGGGCGAGCAGAGAATGAGTCAGAGATATGGTCGAGTTCGGAGCTATATAACAAGCCAAATTCCATCGATTCATATAACGCATGAAACCTCCAGAATGTAATCATGCTCTTATGTTTTTTCTTTCAATTCCCTCCCAAAAGCCCTGCATTTGCCAACGCCGCGCACGAGAAATCCGATGGCACGAGTCCTCACCAGACTCCCAATATTTACAGTGAAGCATAGCCATCCCAGCATCAACGTCGACCTCCAACGGTGGCTTTAAGTGCCATGAAAGATTAAGTTGTCGCCAAGGCATAGGTCCATCCCAGCGATGGGCAAAATTTAAAAGGTCTTGCTCTGGCCACATATGGCCGAATATGTCAGGCTGAGCAAGGATCGCAAGATAATATTGGAAGAGCTTGTCGTTAGGAGAGGATAGCATCACACCGGCATTAAAGTAATCACGATGCCACTCATTATCGACGTCCGGAGGGAAGATCTGTTTCCGCGCTGGAATATCGGGCGTTGCTGCAAAAGTATAGCTATCTGGGAGCTCGGGTAAATCTGCCGCGGGTAATTTTGAATTATCAACCGGAGAGAGGGTAGTGTTGGTATCTTGAAATAGTGCATCGAGAGGTCGTGTAACTACCATATCCGCGTCTATCAAGGCGACTTTCTCAAAGGGCATCACGGTTGGATCAAAAGCTCGAAGCTTATCAAACACTTCACGGTATTGTGCGACACCAATTTCCAAAGAGTGGTTTAGTCTCTCAGTATCAACCACGATTGCTCCATCTGCTCTTAGTCTCTGGCGTTTGCTTTCGCGCACTGCTTCAGTGGCTAAGATTACGACAGATACCGGACTTGTAAACTTGGTTTCCGGTGCATAAAGTAGCTGATAGACTAGTGTTCGGGCCGCGACATAATAGCTATCAATGTCATCGCCGTCGGAGTCTTTTTCGTCCCACCATTTGCCGAGAAATATAGCGACGGCATATTGGCTTGAACTCGCGGTGGGAATAGGGGTAGTACCAAAATGCAGAAACGATTGATCAATGTTTGCTTGACGAAATGTAGAGAAAATGGAGCCCCGAGAGTAGAACCAGATTCCAAAAAGTACGCTAAAGCTAGCCATCAATGAGATCAGTCGTCTCTTGCGGCTACCTTGACACAGTGGTTTCAGCAAAGCCAATCCGCTTTTCCAGCTTTCCGATAAAGAGCCGGGGCGCATCGGTCGAAAGGATGGAGAAACTTCAGTCGCCATATTAGTGGGAGTGCTGAAATTGATCTGAACGCACTCTATCCATGAAAGACGATTCAAAGGTGGTACCTCTCACAATTTTCGCAGATGATCTGGATTCTTTAAAAGATCCCATAATTATTCTAAACCTTCGAACAGTGGCTTACTTGCACTCTAGATTCTTGCTCGAAAACTCATACCCATGGTTACGGCCGCTATACACTGTCACGTTGGGGTATAGACGTACTTGAGCTGAATATTGATGATGACGCTTGGAACAAACTTAAAATCACAAGAGAAATTTAATCTCACCTTTTCGGCTTCTTTGAATATTTCTAAATGGCTTCTTTCGCTAATTATGGAAGGATCCGATAATTATCCTGGGGAGATGCGCATAGCTGTCGGCAGCGGAAATGGTGGACATATGACATCACTACTACTGTCCGGTCTTCCTATCGTTCTAGATTCGATCCACGACTTCTATTTCGTTCTTAGAATATACATGAGATTTAATGCAATGTCGGCTTCTATTACCAAAAGTCGGAGACCGGTTTTAGGTTATACTTAATGAGGACCAAGTTCCCATCGTCTCTTAAGAATCATCAATTGCTAGAGCTTAACCAATCTGTTACCTTATATCCATGATACATGATATCCTCTATATATCATGAAATATTTCTTCGATTAAACCGTTATCTAGCCTTGACGTAGCACTGGTAAGTTACTCAAGGTAGCCACACCACTGATATATCCATCAACATCCTAATCGCTTTCAAAAAGTTTATATTACCAGCACTAAGAGTCTCCAGCCGTAATTATGAAGCGTAAATTTTAACCACTAATTACCTACTAGATCAGCATACTTAATTCAGTCTACCTCACAATTCTTCATAACATAAAGCAGTACTCTCTAATTTCCGTTTTATTTATTTGTCGAGTTGTAAACTTGATCTAGAGCGTCCAAGACATGATATATGCTAGTCTCTTGCTCTAATATCCGAGAATATCATCGGGACGTCAACGCATTATAAAAACTTCATAAGCTGACTAGAAACCTTCTCCAGTCTCCATAGCACCCGTATTGGCGGCTACAACAACCTCCTTGACAGTAGTGAGAGGAGAGGTCTGGTTTGGATGTGATGATACAGGAAAGTGAATTATTGAGCTTTTTCAGCTGTCATCTCCAGTGCTATTCACTAACACCGCACCTGCGTTCAGAGCCCACGATGGAGCATCCTGGAGGTTCACGTTGAAATTAAGGCGGTTTGTTGCGTAGCAGAGGGAAGAACGTCTTTTCAGTCCTTAGCAGCACGGCCTACGTTCAGTGAGACCACTTCGGATAATGATACCGACCATGCGTCGTCTACAAGCACGAATTTATCATTCGAACGGCGAGTTTAGGCTCCCATGTCGTTCTTGGAATCCATGGCTGAATGTTCTTAGATAATTGCGTCAATAGACTGTTCCAGCCTGCCTATCTATGATATCGGTGCTTGAACGGTCGTTCTTAAGGACCACGGTTGATAGCCGAAACCATGAATTGACTTCCCAAGGTTGCTGCCCCACATGATCGGAAGGGGTGCCGGAAAGAGAAGGAATAAGATACAAGATTAAACCTTATCGTGAATGCGTAAGAACAGGTCTGGAGCCGCTTATCCAGGCTATAGAACCCGACCGGGAACCATTGGAATTAAATGTACAGTGGTGTCTTTGCATTGTATGCTAAGCACATAAGGCATAGCATTACTCAAAACCAGAGACTTATCTATTACACGCTGGTAAGTAAACTTAGCACTGGATGATCTACTTGATGAAGTTCCATGTATTTTACCTCATTCAATCCGGATGCTAATGAGAGCGATAGACTCAAAGCGACAAGTTGTGTGTAGATAGTCTAAGAGAGAGAGAGAGAAAAAAGAGCAGAAGAGTTCAAATGGCCGGCAGGACAGTGGTCATGGCCAGCAATCAGTTTCACGCCTATAAAGGATGGTTGCAGGTATAGGATAGGAATGGTAGGCTCAGTCCTTGAAATATCCTATAACTGCCCCAGCCCTTCTTGAGACCTACTTCGAATCTTTTTCTCTTGTTGTGGAAAAGTGGAGACGTGCAGTTTAGATACCCGACCGGTGTCGGGTGGAAAGCCAAACTGCCCCTTTTCCCATTCGTTCGAGTCCTTTCCCTTCTTCAATCAATCAACTTTCTCTATATGATTCCGAGTGTGCTCATTCGCCCATATGCATACTAGTCTATACCAATTTACCCAGTTTTGATATCTCTTTTTCTGATCTGTAGGCCTTCTATTCCGTATCCCGAGGCAATTTACGAATACTAGGAATATGATGCTTTCTCCCACTAGTTAAAATAGAATAGGGACCTATAGCATTTTATCGGTCACTATCGTCTAGCTATCGTCTAGTGACGTACTCGACTCATCCCTAATTATATAGTCACTTCGCGTAAGTATTATAGTACTTATGACTTCCCACATATCATAATCCTACAGCAAAGAATGCAGTTCCTATAAGGTGCTCGAGGGACCCTCTATGCCTGAAATCCTTGGCACGTATCCTAACTATTTAGGTTTAGCTTGAGAGATACCTTAGGTAGAAAATTTTCTTGACTTCACTATATTTCCTTACCGCCCTCCTAAGTACCTTCGTTGCTTCTTACTACTTCTAAAAATCCCCTACCGTCTACCTAATTAATCATTACGGAAATCTCACGTAACAGCGCTAATACGGGGGAAATGAACACTGATACCTAATCAACTTATATTTGTTAGCAAGGAATAGGATTAGATGACGTTATACGAAGGAAATATGTTATAAAGACCAACACATGATCACGTGATCTCATTATAACTAGGATATAATTTGCAAATAACGAGACTATCATAAGATGTACCCACGCTATGATCGGATAGACTAGATGTCAACATGTGGATTTTATGTAGTCATGCGACGAAAGACCCAATAACCCCTCACTATATCTAGATCTCCTCTATAAGATCTATCATATTGATCCTCAACGATCTCGCACCGAATTGCCTACCTAGGTAGGAGACTGTCTAACAGTCCAAGATGATTACTGATTTTTTTTGTCTGTTTATATGATCTTTTATTATGTATCTTGAGATATAAATATCGTCCTATTTCCTAGTTAAATTGAATCAAGTTTAATATCCCTTTTAATCTTCTCTTTTGATCAGTGTTATTCTTTCATGATCGTGGCACTTCTACTTCTAGAAGTACGTACGACCTCTATACTTATAACCATGTCCTTATACACTACATCAAGTCCTATCTCACTTATACATACATACGTTTCTTGTGTGCACTACCACGACTTTATGCACTCTGTCTAAAGTCCGACACTAGATATATAAGGAGGCTTATTTTACACGTATATATTTAGTTCTTCGCGGTTAATTATATACTATTACTTAGTTACTACCTTTAGTACTTGCTACTTTATAGTTCATCTTAAAGACAAACTGGCCTATGAGTAGGGGAGCTTACCTCGTGGTAACACTCGGTAACTAACTTACTTAGCGCGTACTCCTTGCAAAATACTTAATAGGACCCGAACTCGTAATGAGGCTTTATATAGTAATGGTATAGTTACGAGATACTCTTAGAATTCGTAGTGGAACTAGGTAAGTATAACCCTAGGACGTTCTAACTCTTAGTGACTAGTCGGCTCCGCGTAACACTTTATACCGGATTAGATCTTCCTGTTCGCATTTAACTAGGAAGATTCTTCTATCTTATCTATCTTCCTACCAACGTCAAATCCTTTGACTTCTGAGCTTGCTCAGAGACTTACTAGAATAGATTCTAAAAACGAAAGATAGCATATCCTAAAAAATAATTTTATTAATAGACTAGATCGCACAGATAAAATGTTGGACTTTTCGGCGGGGTTGACTAAGAAGTAGAGTAAACTCCTCCTAGTTAGTCGTGCGGGGTAGAACGTTGAACAGCGCGCTGGTGTACTCGGTTTAACAGATCAATTCGGTGAGAAGGAAGAGAGAAGACTTTGCAATCTAACAATCCTGCAATCTGGGTCTTCTATCTTGAAAACATAACATTCTTTTTAAAATTCAGATCAGATTACCCCGCTTCTAGGAAACCATATTCCCTATGAAGCTTAGTAGGTTCACACACATGAGCTAATAGCTCTTATATGCCAACGTAAAACTCAATAGAATAGATGCTATAAATAAAAGAGAGTATACCCCAAAAATTCTCTATAGAGTATTCTAATAGATTTATATAGATTAAACTCGATAGAAATAATTCTATAAATAAAAGAGAGTATATTCTAAAGAAGTATCCTTATTTAAAATAATAGAACTTCGCACGAAGGAGTATGTTAATTTCATAAGGGATTCTACGGTCGGAAGATAAGTTAAAGATATTATATATGTATTCTGTAGTCTAACTCTATCAGAAATATATCTCTAGCTCGACCCGCTTATGGGCGCGAAGGCACGGATACTTTGAGCTAACAACCCGCCCTTGCTAAGACTTCTTAATGCGGAACTCAGCGGCCTTCCCTCCCCGTTCTTGTGCAAGATTGCACTTGGGCACAAAAGGAGATAAGGGACACAGTAGTGGTATCATTATGAGTATAAACAACTTCAGGAAACCATTCGGCGCAGATCACAGAAGAGCAAGTGGTGAAGTCATGACTCTGATGTACAGATCACTCGAGCTCTGAACTATGATGATTCAACTCAGGGTAACGTTCAGAGTACTGGGCTGACCGAACGCTCTAGAACTTACCATACATGATTTGAAGAGTCCAAGACTCATCACGGCTGGCAAGGTCAAGGGTCTGGGTCAAAAACTGGAATCTCGCGGGTATTTTCAACTCTAGCCTTGCCGATAAGCGCTAAAGGCTAGAGCTAATTTAGTTCATCCTCTTTCCAACATCAACTTTTCCACCTTCTTGCCTATTCGCATTCTCCTAAATTCTCTTTTAACTCGTCCTCTTCTCGTTTCGTAAGATTCAGAGAGGTTTTAATTATGCCGATGCATAGGATTTTCATCGTTTTGACTGGAAATATAATTTTTGTTACTTTGATTCTGGTCGCTTCCCGCAGTTCATACTATGGCTCCCGTCTAGGCCACACCCAAGTGACTCAAAGGCCTCGTTACATTTTCATTGATATCGGTGCCAATAGAGCGGATACCCTCGAAGTCTTTCTCAAGCAGAAGAGTGCAAAATTTGAATACGACTTCCCTCGCCCCGATTGGGCGACTTACGATCAGGCAGGTGAGCATGCTCAAAGTAATCTCAAGTCTTATGGATCTGTGAATATTTTGACTAAGTTAAAATCTTCCTTGGAATTAGAGATTCATCTATTCGAGGCGAATCCGCACTTCAATGCCGCCCTTCTTCATGCTAAAGAGCGTCATGTTGAACTTGGCGTTCAGGTTGAGATATATCCATCAACTGTTGCTGATATCAAAGACGGTACTAGGATATTTTATCTGGATACTGTTAATACCGCCCATGATTTCTGGGGTTCATCCATTTACGCCTCCCACCCGGATGTTGTTCGATCAAAAAACAATGGAACCGAATTGTCTACCGTCAACCTATCGAGATGGCTACTCATGAATACTTTACCTCGCGATTTTGTCGTTGTTAAGATGGATGTAGAGGGGTCAGAGTACGAGCTTGTTCCACACATGGCGGAAATGGGGGTTTCAGCGGTCTTGGATTATCTGCTTGTTGAGTGGCATCCATCTGTTATTGACAAGGCCGACTTACCGGAAGATGAAGTTACCTTTCGACATGCGAGGATGAAGGCTGCAGAAGAAAAGTTGAAAGCAGAAGGGGTAAACATGCCCCACTACGACTCTTCAGCTTGAGTACAATAAACCAGATCCATTTCCTACCTCTGAGCTTGGAATAATTCCCATATATGTTCTCTCCCACACTATGTCACGCAGCATCCAATCCAGCAAATTTTCCCTGTTATCAGCAAAATGAGGCACGAGGAATCCACGGACATTTCATTTCCTCATTCTTTTCAGCTATATAATGCATAGAAAGGGGCGAATATTTACACTCTATTACTGCCTCCTTATAACCTATCACTACCCAATTTTACTCCGTACCCAAAAGAATCAAACAATAGTGTAAAGCGGTCGTTGATATAGGTTATCTAAATTTTCGGAGCGGCGAATTCTTACTACAAAATGCCTTATAGGACAAGGTGCGAAAGAACCTTGTGCTGAAGGTGTTGTTGTACCTATATAGCACAGTTTATAGAGTGTAACTCATTTTCTATTGGATAGCTGACGCAGATAAAATTCTGCGAGTATTCGAGATACCTCTCGTCACCATTAGAACTCCCTAAAGTTTAGTCAGGCGATCTGTTATACTTCACAAGATTTCTGGCCCTTGAATCTATTAAAGGGAATAAATATTGAAGGGGTATTCTAGCATTACAGTTGAGAAAATTCTCTTTGTTCGTCGCAAAATGGTCATGCGGCGGTTGGGGTTCCCCATATAGTCTCGGTAGTTCGATGTACCTGTTTTTCGTCCTAATTTGAGTCGACAAAGAGAATGATGCTCCAGGGCCGAAGGGAAAAGGGGACGCGATTCAACTCCAATGGGCCATGATGGAGGACTTATTATGCCAAATTTATCCAACGTCCTGAGATAGATCCAAAGTTTCTGACCTGTCCCACAATGCCTGTGAAAGAGCACGCGAATAATTACTCCACCAACCAAGAACCCATCTAACCCAGTGATTACTGGACCTGCTCACCTTCCCACCGAAAATATCTCGAATAAAGTTAGGAAGCTCCGAGACTGTATCTCTAATTTCCAGATACTCTGACTGGCATTTTCATTGACAATTGGCCAGGTGACCAGAATCATGACGTAGTGGGCCCAAGTTCGGCTGTGCATACCAGAGCCCGTTTAGATGGCATCGATCTCGTCGAGACTCGAAACCTAACAAAAAAGACTTGTCTGACCACCCTGTATCTCTTGATCAATTATATCTGACAGGGTGGACCTAGGCGACCGTGGAATTCTCATCCGACAACTGATTTTTCGAGGCATTCGGCCGAGGGGGGAGGGGATAGGGGAATAACACAGGTTAGATCGAGTTGTTGCTTCGGTTGCAGGAAGGAACTTTTAGATGGAATAGGTATAGATACCAAATTTCACTCCAAATACAGCCTATGATCGTAATTTGTCAATTCTTCCAGGTTATCATTACTCACCTCTCACAGTCTAGACGCGGCTCCCCATGAACAGATCAATTCCCTTGGCTAAGATTTCCGAGCCCAGACGCCGCCACCATTCACTAACGGATCCCACTGCCGACCACAACCTATATACTCAGTTGATTCGCACTTGAAACATCCGACAGCTATGATATATACTTCCTCCCTGACCAGATTGCCACTAGTTTATATACCTTGTCATATTTGATTATAGTTACCGTTTCTATGGCGATCTTGGTGTCTGCACTCTCTTCTCGCCGAATAGCTGCTCATCGCTCAGTAGACGACGGACAAGCGCCAGAACGGACGATTGGTCCCAAAATAGCAGGATGACCACTAGGCGGCGTCTAGACTCGGTACAACCTGAAGCTAGGCACCAAAGTCTTTTGATGAAAAGCAACCCACCAATAGGGTTCAGCCGCTCGGGTGTATCCTCTGTCCGAGTTGTATGTTTGCCGGCTCTACAGGTTGATACAGTTTGGTATGAAGGTTCACCCCGCCCACTGCTAAATTGTGCGTAATTTTAATTGGATCTATTCTAACCAACACCTGGATTCCAGTTGTTTCAATACAATACGTCTAATGATGCTCGCAATAGTGTGGATGCTAAAGTCAATTCCAGATCCCTTTTAGATGATTCATTAGAAGGTGAATGCAAGTTTTTGCCTGCTTAAATCCCGTACTTTAGAGTACCAATATCGCGTGAACCATTCTATTGCTTTTACTATATCAATGAAGCAATGAATGAGTGATTTTGAATAATCGGCTTCCTGATGACTGTCGCCGTTTGCGGAACAGGTAGAGTTTGCTTATGTATTGAATTCAATCCACTAACGTCATCATCGTGGTCTTGGCCGCTAAGTGTATAGTACAAGAGGGTTATTGAAAAATGAAGCCAAATTCACACTCATATATTAAACTCCTTAGTCTTTGATTTCTACGGATTTGAGGCTCGACATGGATTTCTATTTTATTACCTTTGGTCTGCTGGCGGTCACGTGCCTTTCTGTGGCTGGTTATCATCATAAGGATGATCTAGGTATCAGGTCATCAACTCATGACAATATTGAAAATGGAGAACGTGATGATATTGAAAGGAAATTCTTAAAAGAGTTTCTTATAGTCTACGTGCTCGTTATGGGCTCTGACTGGCTTCAAGTATCGTTTTCATAGCCGACAAAGTCAAATATACTAACATCGAAATAGGGGCCGTACATATATACTCTATATAAAGACGAAAAAGGGTTAACGGAGAGCACTGTTGCAGGCTTATTTACGTGTGGCTTTCTTTCTGCCGCCATCTCTGCACTTTTTGTCGGGTCACTTGCTGACAAGTATGGCCGACGACTCGCATGCCTTTGCTTTTGCGTTGCTTACGCGGTAAGCTGCCTGATAAAGATCTCAAATGATCTAATTTTACTTTTTATTGGAAGGGTTCTCGGTGGAATTAGCACCACCCTTATGTATAGTGTGTTTGAGTCTTGGATGGTGACAGAATACTTTGCGCAAGGCCTCGAAAAGAGCCGCATGAGACTTGAGTCCGTCTTTGGAATCATGTCCACACTAAATAGCATTGTTGCTATTATTTCAGGTATCACGGGCGAATGTCTGGTAAAAGCAACCAAGACAAAAGTCAGCCCATTCCTGGTGGCTGTTCTATGTTTGAGCTTCGCGTTTTGGTATACGATGAAAACCTGGGTCAGTGATCCCGCGTGAAGAAAACCGCAATCGCACAGCAATTAACATCGAAAGCAATAGAGAGAAAACTACGGAGCAAGTGCTGAACTGAAAAGACTTAATATTGCGGAAAAGTCGGTTTTCAAGATTCTTTTCCAAGGTCAAACCGTCTCCTCTTGTCCTATTTTTGTGCATATTACTGACTGATGTGAAGAGAAACGCATCCTAGTGCTCAGCTTCATATCGTGTTGTTTCGAGGGTTCTATGTACATTTTTGTCTTCTATTGGTCTGCTGCCATGAAATCAGTCCATTACGTCGATACAAGGGTACATAAATCTACCAGCGATACGGAGATACCATTTGGCGTGATATTCTCCACTTTCATGGCTGCAATGATGCTGGGTAGCCTCGGTTTTACCTATATCTCGTCCCAAAAGTCTGGGTCAGTCGTCTTGAAATGTCTCACACCATCAGCACTCCTTGCCCTCTCTATCACGGGAGGTTGTGTTACAATTTTGGTTGCGGCCGTTTCCACATCCGAGAAGATCACTTTTTGGGCCTTTTGCCTGTTCGAGGCCTGCATTGGTGTCTATTACCCATCCATGGGTGCTCAAAGGGCTTTAATCGTTGAGGATTCCATCAGGGCCAATATTTATAGCATCATTCGCATCCCGCTAAATATTTTCGTTGTCTTGGCGCTCTCAGTGACCGCTGAAGGGGACGAGCACCGTGGCAGGGTTTTTTTGACCTGTAGCGGTTTGCTATTTTTGGCAACTTTAGCTTCACTGCTGTTAAAAGATGACAACACAACAAATGTTGACGAGGAGGATGGCGTTAGGCGAATGGAATGAGCAGAGTTGGATACTCTGGGAAATTATTCGGAGGTGTGGTTCGGTATATTGCTCTCCTGATCTCCAGGCCTGATTTATCAATTATCTCTACCAAATTGTCTATGAACTCACTATAATTTATATAACTAGTATTGAGCATCTTTCATTGGTATATACTGTTGGCTCAATCAAGCTACCAAATTGCTTCATTGAGTGAATCTTGACTTTCCAATTATGTATGGACATGATTCTGCAGAGTATCTGTTTTAACGTTTCTAATTTGACACCGGTTGACCAGTCTCGTCTTTTATCGTCGAAACTTCACCTGGAGATGCCATTCCCGTCTAAAGACTTCATAAAGGTTGTATTCAATCGAACACGTGGGTGATATATCCAAGTGTGTGCATTCACTTTGGTGTTTCGTAATAGGTAGGCAATATAACACTAATTTTATATGAACTAGTTTCGCGTTCCTTACAACTACGCTACAGAATAATAGGTACTCCGTGTCTCCCAGATGCTTATAAAAGAGCAGAGCAAGCAAAAATATGCGGCTGAGATGACGATGTCGACAACATTAGTTTCCTCAAAGCGCATACACATCGTTTTACCAATAGTACTAATTTTTAAACCAGAAGCAAACTATCTTCCGAGAATTTTGGTCCTTCAAGTTTGAATTTTTATGCCCCACCGTAGTGATAACAGTGACAATAGCTCGCTTAACCTGTATACACAATCAGAATTAGTGGGTGTTGTGAAGTTAAAAGAGGAATTTATATACGATATACAATGTCTTCTGGCTGAAATCCTGCCTTAAGCTATCTTATAAAGAGATATCAACCCGCTTTCTAGAAGCTTTACATTGAAAGCAACGAAATACAACTATCTAAGAAAATACCGGAAAAAAAAAAGATTTACGTAGGTAAATTGTAGGCCATCAGGGTTGGCGATATATGAGAACAATGACCGCTAGCTATGCACTGCTGCCCCAATTTGGTTATTCATACGAAATCGGGGCATAGAAAGATTGCCGGAGGAATAGTCATGTAAACAGGATGGTTCAATTTGGGTACCATTCAACGAAGTAACTAAATTTGGAGAAACAAGGAAAGAATGTATCTACTGCGATAAGCCCCTTCCCTTTATGGGCGAAAACTTCCATCTGGAATCCCATGTTAACCGGTTAGCTCTCCGTCCGTTCCCCTAAGCCGCTGTAATTCGTAACAAAAATCTGGTCTTGCCATTTTGCACCATCAAGGGGGAGAAGACAAGATTGCTGCGCTGGAACGCCGGGATCGATTGCTTACGTGGCCAGCTTGGCATTCAGAGAATAGGGGTTTGAGGTGAGCGAGCGAAAATTGAAAATGACGAAGACGATAGCCAAGATAGCCAGAAAAATATATGGAAGTTTTGTGTAAGAGACCCGACACAATCTTGGGATAGCTAAGGTTGGGTAGCATATTCTTTAGTTTTCGACAAAGTGGTGGCATTGCAGATTCCTGGAGATACGTCCCTAACATTGCCCGGGAAGTTTCAGTTAGATTCCGCCGGAAAGGAACATGGAGTAGAATGACATGATAATAACGACGTGGAAGAATCAACAAGAAAATCCAGAACATGTGTTATGTCTCTCTACATTGTATGATGGATTACCAAACCTCAATTAAATGATGAATCATGAACTTATGCTGACGAGGAAAATCTTGGCATAGCTTGTCCAAATGCAGGTTATCTCATTAGCCGGTTTTCGTGATCACTGGTGTAAGTTGTCTTGGTTGCTTGTACTTGCTCGCTAGACACCTAGCCATGACAGGGAAATTTGAAGGAAATTTTAACGAATAGGAGACAAATGTATGGTTTGAATTCTAGAACTTATCACATTAAATGCAATTTATTTTAGTGAAAGCACCTTACAGATTGAACCACGAACTGGTTGCCCAAGGCTCGATCTGATTGGCTCGATTATCGGTAATTCAGAATGAGGTGGTCGCTCCCAAATCGATCCTATGGAACCTACAGAGTATATCCGAGGGTGTCAGTAAAGAGAGGAGTTGTGGGGTAAGATTCATTCCGTCCACGGACGGATTAACTATGCAGCCGAAACCTGATTACTAGGCCCCACATAAACCACTTATGACGCAGGGCATTTGATCTAGATTCTCGAGTCTCGATCGAGCCGTCAGCATCAAGAGTTCCACATTTCCTCATATTCTATATGGACAACTTACCGTACAAAAGCTGGCTCGCTGGTCCTCTTTTTCTCTTGAAGATTAAACGGATTTAATTACGACTGACCACTTTTGAACGGGGAAAAATGAGCTGCAAACCCTCATCCACTTCCACCTCTCTTCCAACTAAAGAGAAGGATGTCGAAACCGGACAGGCTTTAGAGCCTGAGTTGGAACAAACGGATAAAACATTCTCAACTGCAGGTACATCGATCTGGATTATCATAAACGTCCTGGCAACTGTTGCAATTGTTAGTCCTAGTCTGGTCCATATTTGCCATTCACGTCCGCAAGCTCTCATTTAATATAGCTTTCTAACCAAGTTACAAGGTTTACGTCAATAAAAAAATCCTCTCGGCATCTTCATTCTCGAATTGCTATTTCAGCTTCGTTGCCTATCACTTCACAATAACTGGCTTGATCCTGTATATTGCGGGACGCCCCCGGATCGCAATATTCAAACCTGTTCGGACCTCCTTAATGTCGATACTTCCGTTGACAATCCTTACATGTGCTAATGTGATATTAACTAATATTGCACTTGCACATAGTTCTATCTTATTCTATCAAATTTTTCGTATCCTGCTTACTCCTGCTACGGCTATTCTCAATCTCTTTGTCTACGGCTCAACGCTGCCCAAAGTTGCTTCATTGGCTCTTCTTCCCGCCTGCATCGGAGTGGGTTTGGTGGCCTATTCTGATGCACTCGCTCCGAAATCTCAGAATCTAAGACAGCCTCCTACCGTGAGAGCCACCTCCAATATTGGAATAATATTCTCAATCGCTGGTTTACTATGCTCCTCGCTATACACAGTCTGTGTTGCGCATTGCCACTCCCGACTGCAGCTCTCCAGCATACAACTCCTTTACAACCAGGTTCCCTTATGTGCTCTTCTCCTTTCAGTTATCTCCTTTATTACGGATGATTTTCCTGTCTGGACAGATCTCACATCTCAGCAATGGTGTCTTTTGTTACTAAGTGGTGGATGTGCTTGCATGATCCATTTATCTACGTTCTTCATCATTAATGCTACTGGCCCAGTTACCAGTACTGTTGTTGCGCAAATAAAAAGCTGTCTGATTGTGGGTTTGGGGTGGATAGAAGATCCTCACAGAGCAGGTAGGGAAAGTGTCCTGGGGATATTCTTGGCGTTATCAGGTATCATCTGCTATTCTTTCGTGATGCACAGGGATAAGGCCAGATGACTTCTTCCCCCCCTTCCCCCTCTAGCTTAATTCAGAGCTACTACATTTGACCGTGATTTTGGGTAAAATGTAGAGCCATGCCAAAAATTCTCTTTATCTCATTTATTGAGGCGCTTTACGAAGACCCCCTGCTACAAACGTAACAAATGGCCTTGCTTAATAAACTTCCAGGGTACTTCATCTATCCATGAATGATTTCTTTTAAGCAAGCAGAAGCAGGCACGTAAGAGTGACATATCTTGCAGGCATCTTAATGATGATTAGATACCCACTGATAGACATATGGATATTACACCGCCCAATATTTGCTACTTCTTAAGCAAGAGAAGTTTGTATCTAAGGGGGCAGAATGGTGGGTTGTCGGTACTTCACCTGTCATTCATAGTTCACGTAATCGAACAAATTGTTCTCGATAATCCTAAACCCTCAAATCCCGAGAGCATGCAAAGTTGATTGGGCCGTTCCATTTTGTGTTGTAATTAGGTCTATGACAGCACCTATTCCATGTATCCTTATTTTCTACTCCTATACTACGTGAGGTGATTCGATTACGTCACGACTCGCCCGGGAACCGAACATATACAGAGGTGGCCTGCAGATTGCCGTTAGATGAATACGGCGCGAACCTGCTGGTCCTTCACATGAATGGTTTATATGGTCAGCGAGCGGCTGAAAATTAAGATTTGTTGTGTGCCATTCTGCTTTTTCTCTTTTTCTACAGCCACCTTACAACATATTGACTTGACTATGCAGCCGCGGCGGTTAAGATCAACTCTTTTATTCTCAACATTTCTTATTCTAGCTCTATGGTTCCTTTATGGGGGTGGAATCGTTTCCACACAACCAAAAGATATAGCCCAAAGACAAAGCTATCATGAATTTTTGCCAAGACACGAAGCACAGTCCCTCTGTGCAGCATTTGGTCTTGATCCTTATCCAGACCGAAGTCAACCTCGCAAAATATACGACCTATTTCTCATCAGCACCGAGCTAGATTGGCTTGAGATACGGATGCATGAGCTGGATAGTTCGGTCGATTATTTTGTTATCGTCGAATCTACCGAAACATTTACTGGAAAGCAGAAACCAATGGTCTTCAAAGACAATTTTTCGCGATTCGCATCGTTCTCGCCTAAAATTCTCTACCGTGCGCTTGATCTATCTCATCTCCGGGAGAACAGTACCTGGCAGCGAGAGGCTTATACACGGAATGCACTCTTTACTACCGTGTTCCCCTCTCTCCTACCACCTGCTGCGCCGTTGCCAGGTGATGTACTACTAGTTTCCGATACCGATGAGATTCCTCGACCTGACACGTTGACGATGCTACGAAACTGTGCCTTCCCGGACCGAGTAACTCTACGAAGCAACTTTTACTACTATTCATTTCAGTGGCGGCACGTTGGCAGTGACTGGCATCATCCGCAGGCTACATTTTATGCCGGTTTGAATGGGACAGTCCTTCCTGAGGATCTAAGAATGCACGGTGGAATGGACGTCTCGAACGCTAGTTGGCATTGCAGCTCTTGCTTCTCCACAGTGGCCGAGTTGGTAACGAAGATCAAAAGCTTTTCTCATACTGAATATGATAAGCCTGAGTTCTGTGAGCCTAGTGAGGTTGTGAGAAGAGTTCGCAACGGACTTGACCTGTTTGATCGTGAGAGTGAGAAGTATGAGAAGACGCCCGTGACGGACGTGCCTCAGTATTTGAGAGAGAACGGAGAAAGGTTTGCTTTTTTACTAAACAGGGATCCACCTGACGGGAATTTTGAGGATTATACACTTTAAAGCCTTGCAGGACCTATTTCGGGGGGAGCTTACAGTTTCACTATCTATCAATCAATATTCGTGGACCCAATCTAACTCTCTTCACATACAGGTGTTACGAGGAGATTTGTAGTCTTGCTTTTTCAGCAGCAGATACAGAAGAAAGCTGAGGGACCGGTACCTAGCCTAGAGATCCGTTCTAGGGTCTAAGCGATTAGGCTGCTTAGCTAGCTCGCTATTAGGCCGAGGTCTTTGACAGGCTACATAGCTAACTATGGTAAAAAGTACGGACCGCAAAGCACCTAGCATTAAAAGGGTATAGGATATACGACGAGTGCGAAGGCATATTAAGGGGTATGATATCGCTTTCTGCGTAGATCCTATCGAATTAGGGCGTAAGGTGGCTACTATGGCCATCAAGAATCAATAGGCGATATCTACCACGCTTGCGGGTATTGGTATGTGGTATAAAGATCTTTGGTAACTAGCGTAGACTAATCTTTTCGGTAGTCTAACCGTTAGTAGAGACTTTAAATCGCTAATCTTTCGGTGGATTATCAAACAAACTTAATATATAGACCTTAGCCTAAAAGACTATACATGGCGGAAGCGAATAGCTATCTACGTATATAGATTCGATCGCAGTAACCTATTCGCGATTACTAGGTTGTAGGATAGACCCCCGCTTATAGTATTCTGCCCTAGTAACCACCTTCTGCGTAGAGATTAGGCCTATTATAAAGCCGGTCTCATCAAAGTTATAGATATCCTCTAGTTATATACCCTTTCATCGATCGTGCGTTATGCGTAGTAAACCACTGCCTGAGGGACTTTAGATCTTCGTTGAGAGCTCTTTAGTAATCTTACCTTCGTGAGAAGCGTGTACGAAGCTTAGGGTGGCGGTTAACAAACGTTAATGACCAATTCTTACTAACGGTAGTCAGTGGCTGGTTACCATGCGTAGCTAGTAGGATGTTGGCTATATCTCGCACTGTAGAGGGCCTAGGGGCTATTCCACCTGTATCCATAGAAATTATCCAATCAGTAAGCGAATTCTCTTCGGTTTGGGTCAATTTCTGACCAGATAGGCGGGGATCTTCGCGAGAGTTCTGTCCATGTAGACGCGTCTGCAGTGTAGAGCGAGGTACTATGTATACGGCGGCTGCGGCGCGTATAGATTTAATTCGGCCATTTTTAGATCGGAAAGGGATAATAGAATCTTACTTTCTTGGTTGCCTGAATTAGGCGTAGATTCAGTGCGAATTGATGGCATGGTAGTTGGTTGAATTAACTACGTAGATTGAAATGGGAGATTTTGGATGGGGTGGCCAGGACGGCCGGGTGGCCAGATTGGCCAGGAATTACGTTATCTACTGCCCAAGACATATTCAAGTCGAAAATTAACATTGGGTAACAATTGCTCAAAACTAATTTTTAAGGCAGAAATTTCGGCAGAATTCACATGATCTACAGAAGAGAAAAGACAAGATAAAAGACAAGATAAAAGACAAGATAAAAGACAAGATAAAAGACAAGATAAAAGACAAGATAAAAGACAAGATAAACGTCACCCTGGTCTAAAGAAGAAGGCATCAGGGCAAAGACGGGTATGAAAGCGGTCGATAAACTGACCAATTATGGGTTTTGAGCAACTGGCGCTTATCGTCCGCCCCACACTGGGCCATATGGATATATGTTCACTTCGCTTTAAGAGGAGAGAGCGATTTTTTATTTTTTTTGTCTTTTTCAACGTCCATGGTTTATCAGAGGCTCCTTGCTCATTTCAAATGACATGCCTAGTCATTTTCTATCAGTAATAATAGCTTTTTCTCTGCATTGCAGGGTGTGACCAACCAGGGAAGTCTCTCAACACAATTACCGGGTTTGTACCGGGATTGTTTCGGTGACGCGGCGTTTGCCACCGGCGTCATACATCTACTGTGCAAGTAGACTCCGGGGTTGTTTTTTTCATCCCAGTTAATCTCGAAAAGTCTGTTTTACCAACACTAGATTCTCATCGAATCAAGGAATCAGCCTTGAGTATGAAGCATGCGTTCTAACCGCCAACCACCTACCAGAGCAGCATGCCTGATTTGGTCTGCCTCGTGAGCCCTTGTAACACAAAGTACTTTCTAACTTCACTCGCTTTATAGCCGGGAGGCTAAAATTCGTTGCGACGGAAGACAGCCTTGTAGCAGAGTAAGACCTCGCACCCATCTCTTGAGACTTGGACCACCCTTATTCACGGTTACTCCAGTGCTCTGCCAGAGGATTGGCGTGTACTTATCGCCCGAGTCAGCGTGGTGGTGTCCGGCGACGGCCTGTGAATAATTCAAGTCACAATGCTTCACCCCACCTCTCAGCTCAATCACAACCGTTATTCCCCGCAGTTATATATGCGCCTCGACAAAGGCCACCCGTGTTGGGGCAGATTTCATCACTTACGGACCGGGTGACAGCGACAAATAGTCTTGGGGACATCATCAATTTACCAGCCCCCGGCATTCGAAATGTGAATTTATTCTCAAGCACGGTCGGAAAGGATGGTTTGATTCCAGCCCCAAACAACGGCGATGAGCATCTGACAGAAACCTCGTTACTTCGGACCTACGTTTCAGATGAAGACATGTGGGTGTCCCATTATACTTTCATAAGTGATTGGCGTAACGCTCTCGTTTATAACACTGATCTTCTAACAGACTAAATGCCTATTACACACACATCCATACGTTTCTACCAATACTACCGCCTCCCATGACGATGATATGTCGCGATGTGCCTGTTTGGATGAGCCCTGAGAGCATTACGGATGGCGTACTAGATAAACACTCCCTCCCTCACTGGCCAACATGCTCACTTACGCTGGCAATATCTGCAATTTTGGCCTTGATACCTCTTTCTCGGCACTCACATGGTGACTCGAACATGCCCTTGAGACGATCACAGGGCCATCTCTTTGCCCAAGCAGCATACGATGAGGTCCACAACGAGATTGACAGGGTGATCAGAACCCCCTCCCGAAGCGGTCCCTCCGGAGGGCAAGTAAACTCAAGCGGATCAAATCGGCTTTACCCTGTTTTAGCTCTTTCTTTACTGAGCGTATATGAATACTGCCAACGAGGGAGCATTTCTCGGATGCGTAGTCATGCAAACCAAGCACTAACTGCGGCTTTGGATTTATCGCTTCATAGCCTTGATGAAACGTCAACAGAGGCGGAGCGCCGGACATGGTGGACTGCGGTAAGTCCATTATCAACATCCTGGATTTCGTTTACTCATTAACTGTGCAGATGCTGGTTTCGTATTTATCGTCTATCGACCACCAAGCCGTAAGTCCTCCTGAATTGGGCCTCTTTGCACCCGCTAAATGAGATCAGTTACCAATCATCACTGTTTCCGATTCAAGAATTACGACCCCACTACCCTCATTTGAAGGTTCATCAGAGGTATTCAGCATCCAGGCTCTGTGATTTACATGAGTTTATCTCTCGCTGACCTCATTCTAGCCGTGGTCATTATTCCTAGAAGCTGAACAAGGGCTAATGTCCGTTCCGGAGCTCTTGAACGAGACTTCAGGGGACCTTTTGATGAGCAACTCATCATCTGATTCTCCTGCGGAAATCACGCGAATTCAATCACATCTTTCAAGCCTGATTAAGAAGTCTAATCTTCTTTCGCGCCTCCCGTGCAAGGAAGGGCCTGACGCTTTTGCCTTGAGGAACATGCTGTCAATTTCAACGCTTTTTATTCATTGGTAAGCCATTAATTTCATTTATTATTCCTCCTTGATTTACTGACGGCCAACTCTCAGTGCTCGCATACGATTACATCGAGCTCGTGCTTTCATGGATATTCCCATGTTTTTGAGGAAATACTGCGACCTTTCTGGAATCGAAGACCAAGGAACAAGCACGGTTACGTCCATGTATTCCGACGATCGCGACTCAAACTTCCCCTTTACAAAAGAGGAATCATCTCTCACCTGCCTCAAATCTGCACTAGCAATATCTCGTGGCATCGAAAGCCTGACGCAGGCTCCATCAAGTCCAGACCTTTCCCAGTGGGCAAATGTCGACAATGCAGCAATGACAGATGACCCAGTGGTTTGTCTACTGCCAATATTTGCATGCTCAGCTATACAGAGCTCATACGTATTGCTCATGTGTCACTATCGCTTGCAGGCCGCGTTAGTGTCAGGGAATTTAGCATCATGTCATTACCTTCTCAATAACCCGGAGGCGGACTCGGAGATTCAAGATACAGAACGGTCAATGCGGGAGATTCGACATGGACTTCAGTCAATCCTTGGCTCAATGAGAGCGGCTCAGATGTTTGAAGGTGTGGATAGCATGATGAGAGAGGTTCACATTGCGTGCAAATTGGCCTTTGGGGCGTTTAACTCTGATTCTTAAAGGATAAACGGAAAGTCTATTAAGGCTTTGCGAATTTCAATAATCAAATATTTCATCTCGACACTATTATCTACCCTTCTTGTTTGTTCAAAGGTCGTAATATTGTAGGATATAGACAAGACTGCTTGAAGACAGTTCGCTATCAAGACGATTATGGTAACAACATGAACAACGATCATTCCTGACACTTCAGGATTGTGGTATAGTTTTTCCAGTTACCTAAGGGCGAGGAAAACTCAGGGAACAAAAATGATAGCGCAACCCTCACTCACAAAGAGCACGGAACCCTTGCAGCAGATCCCACTTCAAATCTTGAGGATCTTCTACTCCACAGCTAATACGAAGTAACCTCTCATCGCATGTAGAGTCACTCATAGCTCTCCATTCAATCAAACTCTCCACATCGCCAAGGCTAGTCGCGTGCTGGAAGATATGCAGCTTGCTCGGCAATCGTTTCGCATGATCAGGGGTCTTAAGCCATATCGCAAAGACTGGCCCAAATCCTCCTGCCATTTGCCGCTTTAGCCATCCATCCTGAATATTCTTCTCCTGCAGTGAAGCGTGACGAATAGACTCGACTACTCGAGAAACTTCGGAAGAGGCATCCCGCAACTCATGGTGAATCCAGGAGACGAGTTGTTGCGCGGTATCAGACTGTCGTTTGACACGAAGTTCAAGAGTCCGCAGAGAGCGGAGGCCTAGCCATCCCTCAAGATTTCCCATGACATTCCCCATTACAAGTCTCTCCGCGTAGAGAGTATCAATCCATCCTTCAGCAACTCGGTCAGGGTGAACCACAAGAATACCACACATCATGTCAGAGTGCCCTCCGATATATTTTGTCCCGCTATGAAGGACGACATCAACGCCAAACTGCAGTGGGTCTTGCAGCGGAGGAGGTGCAAATGTTGAGTCCACGGTGAGATAGGCCCCGACGGCATGCGCTTTTGCACTGTAATAGGAGAGGTTTCGTGCTTCCCCTGTTGGATTGAGTGGTGTCTCAATATGAATGATATCGCCTGGGCCGACCTTATCGAGTTCATCAAGCGATAGTTTTTGAACACCAGTGAGTTTGGTCATCACATCAATATTTCCATGAACGCCATGGTATCCATCGCCGATGAAAACACGCTTCGGATTGAGGAGGACCATGATTGCGTGAAATGCGGCAAGACCCGTAGAGTACGTCATGATTCCCCCATGGAAAATCCTTTTGAGAACCGCCTCGAACCGATTGTTGTTAGGTGAAGAGTAGCGGGAGTAGACGAATGGCTCCAAGGGCGAATTGGGCTATACCAGATCAGTTAAGGTAATTCAAACAGTTGGGGTTATCTGTGCTGACATCGATGTTTTCCCCTGGGACCAATTGGTCTGGGTCCCGTGCATATCTATAGTTGACGGCGACATGCATTGCAGGTGCAATAGCTCGGTGTGAGCTGACAAAATCATCTGCGTGTATAGCCTGAGTCGACATGGCCATTTTAGAAAGAACTTGGGCTAGATCTTCGGATGCCACAAACTGGGGGTGCATCTTCGTGGTCGACTCGGAGGACATCTTTAGGATTTGAGAACGAGCGTCGTGAAAATAAGAATCAAACAAAAGGAAAGGAAAGTCGACGTGGAAGGCAAGAGAGAAATATCTCATGCTGAGCTGGGCCTGATGCTAGTTCTTAAAAGATCCCATCTTATACAAGGTGGGTCTGGCTAACAGAAGAGGCGAGCCCGGCTTTCCGGTGTATGTATCATAGCCCGGTAATAAACAGCAGTTTTCACCGCCAGTCCGGATTGCCGGAACTGTAGCCAATTACGATGCTTTGGCTTCAAAATCTGGCTCGTCAGATCACGATTTGTGATATTCAAAGACAACATGAGCATATTACGGCCAACGCCTGGCAAATCAAGTTCGAGTTACAAAGGACCTTATCGCCACTACTGGCCCGTTTAGGACAAGATTCTCAACGCTCTCAGCATCAGCATGTTGTACGTCTCACTAATTGTTCAAGTACCTAGGGTTTTCCTTTTTTTTCAGGCTTCCACTCGTGTTAGGCTATTAACTACTAAACAGTTCCCTACTTAATGGGGCAGATTTCATGGGCAACTACAAATAATCTTGTGCCCCGCCAGAAGCCTTAGCTAAGTCAATGTACTATGCTACGCAAAGGTAGACATAATCCCAGCCCGAATGTTCCGTCAAAGAGGAAATCCGCTACGCGATCTATATCGATCTCATGTGTATCAGCGCTATCGGTGGAACCGAAGCACAAAGGTCGATAGACAGTGACTGTCGGCCGACAACAAACGTCAACGATCCGATTCATCAAAAAAGCCAGATAGCCTCCAAACAGCTTGCCATCGTAATAACACATTTGTTGCGAGGGACCCAGCTGCTGGACTTCAGAGATAGCCATGGATGAATGAATTCTTACGGATTATATTGGAAATAATCACTGCATAGTGCGGTAATGTATACCTTCCTCTAGGACTACTATACATGTCTCAAAGAATCCGGCAGAAAATCATTAGCCCGGGATACTAAGGATCCATATTAGGACTCAGGTTCTTTTCTGTGGCCAAAATCTGATTTTGGGCCCCAATTTCTTTTGTCTGCCGTATGCAGGGTGCAAAAGCAATTATGCACCGCCCCAATTGGGCCGAAGCGCCTAAGCGGCTGAAGCTCTGAGTCTCCCCACTTTTCAACTCCTCGCGAACAAGGCAAAGGCTATTTGCAGGTTGCAATATCGTCGGCATACATCTTCCTAGGGCTACAAGATGCCTATACCGGCCCCTTCGTCGCGTCAAGACTTCAAGATGGCCATCATATGTGCGCTTCAGCTTGAGGCCAAAGCTGAAGCGAAGCCTTATGTGCGTTTCATCCATGAGTCCGTCCGAGATTTCCTACTTCAGAGGAGTGGCTTCAGCAGAATTCAGTCAGAGAGAATCGATCCAGTAAACTTTATTGGACAATCTCATAACCGTCTGAAAAAATTTTGTTTTAGTTATATCTCTCTATTCTGCCACAGTTCATTGGGCCAGAAATTTGCAAAAATGAGAGAGCTGTCGCGCCGGTCAAGAACAGACAGATCTATACAAATGTCGTTTCCTTTCCTTGACTACGCTATCCGCAATGTCCTTGAACACAGCAACTTGGCCCAGGCAGGTGGCGTTCCCCAAGAAGAATTTTTACAAGCATACTCTAGAGGGCTTTCTGATTTCATATGCATATACAATGCTGTTGAGAAGTTCGCAACACGTCAGTACAAAGATGACTCGTCACTTCTTTATATCCTGGTCAGCAGCGACCTCCATGATCTTATTCCCTTGGAAATGCTTGGTGAATCGCACCCTTGGGATTTGTGTGGCCAATATCTTTGTCCTATAGGGGCTGCGTTTCGCAAAGGAAGTAAGGCTTCTGTTCGGGCTCTTCTGGGGATGCAGATTGATAGAGCATCCTGCAATTTTGAGCCAGAGCCGATCGCTCGTATGAAACAATTCTTTGCCGAACTTGGTCAGCACACAGAAGGGTCGCGAGCAAAAATCAAAAATACGAAGCTTCTACTGAACTTCGCTTTCGACAGTGGCCGCTCAGGATGAAGACGGTAGAAATGCTGTTCATTGGCCAACCCTGGCAGGTGACAACTTTTCAGTCAATCGTCTAGTTAGCCATGGATTCGACTACGAACATTGTGACTCCTTTGGACGGGACCCGCTGTCTTATGCTGCTAAGAGAGGTCATGTCGATATTTTGAAAGCTCTGCTTGAGATAGATGAAATTGAAGTTAACAGGCCTGACCTACCAGGAAGATCCCCAGCCTCATGGGCAGTGGAAGGTGGTTGGACGGAAGAAGGAAAGGCCGTGATAAAAGCATTATTCAACACAAGAAGAGTCAACGTCAACGCCAAAGATAAAAAAACTCAGATCTCCCTTGGCCTGGGTAGCTTTGGGGGCGGGTGCTCCTCGGAACATTTACATTCTGCTCAACCAGGATACAATTGATGTCAACAGAAGGGACCTATATGGGCGAACACCCGTGATATTGGCGGTTATGGCAAGAAATCCTTCCCAAGTCAAGTCTCTTCTAGGATGCGAGCATGTGGAGATTGACGCTCAAGATGTTGATGGACGGACTGCTCTATCTTGGGCCATTGGGCTGCTGAATTTTCCCAGCAGTATGAAAGGCAGTTTTAGCGCATCTGGCCTTCCCTCGTATTCTCGGGATTATGATGTCGTTAAAATCTTGCTGGGTTCGCGGACACCAAACACCGAGCTAACAGACATCTGGGGGGCATCCGCCAACATGGTGGGCCCAGGCTCATGATATCGTTCTGGCTGAGCTAGGAAACAAATCTGAGGAGTCCTTGTGGACGAGGCCTTCCCTCAGATTGCTCATAAAAGTTTATGCTTCCAGAGGTGCTGCTTTAGTGCCTATTGACTCGGAAATCATTAAAGCCGAAATGCAACGTTTTCTGGAGGGAGAATATCTCATGATGAATCCATGTAAAATTCAGCTGAATTTCTGCAATGTGAAATTTGGGGTAAATGGGATGCTCCAAGGAACAGTGAGTAAAACAAATTCTCATTGGGCGTTATATTGATCATCTCAAATGTCACTTAATTTCAACATGACAATCACATTGAGTTACTTAAAGAGAAAGACTACATTATCAAGGCCTAAATAGTTTGTTCTGAATACGTCGCCAGGTCGATATAGAAGATGAGCATTCGCAAATTTCGGGTAGTTTGATTATATAGCAGAGGACAAGGTTCTATCGGAGCTTCGTACGGTAAGTTTAAAGCTGAAACTATTGACTCTGATTCTTGTGTAGGCTGCTGAACTTACTGATATTAGAAGTATCCAGTCTCCACTCGAGGAGCAGCATAACTATGAGGGCTGTAGCAGGATTGATTTCATTGTACCGGGCCAACATGCTGGTTACAGCAATCCCGAGAAAAAGGAAGGAGAAAGGGACAGAGTCAGTCTCGGTCCTTGAGAATGCCAGTTTAATTTCGGGATGCTAGAAGTATAGTGGAAGTTCGCGAAGATTGACACAATCTTTCAAGTGCTACGGATGAATTCTTATAGATCCTTAATCCTCGGCAGCGGGCGCCTCCCCTACCAACTGCTACTCCCCCCATTTTTGGACAGAATCACCCTTCTAATAGCATAAATGTTAATAAGAGCTGACTGGACGGACTATGCTAACTAGAGAGGAAGACTAGCTACTCGCACGCGCTCCTAAACCTTCTAATACATCGCCGTATAGCTATAGCAACAACCGCAAGGACGACTAGTAACACCACCGGGGCGGGAGAGGCGGGCTCTAGCCATAGAACTAAAGCGAACCTGAAAGGAGACCCAGGGAAACAGTGTGGGAAACGTGCATGTACTTTAGGACAAAATTGCAGAAGCTTGACAAGTGGGATTGGAATATACACTAGAAATTGGCACAGGACGGCCTGGGCTTTCGGCCGTCAACGACTCAGTCCCGTTAGGAGCTGTACTCGAGTATAATGCATATCTACCTCTCTTCCTACCCCCGCTCCCCCTATAGATCCTACGGAATGATACTGTTGATTAAAACATCAGCCAATCTAGACTTGAGCCTACCCTTTCCACATTTACTCCAATCTAATAAAAAAACATTAGTTATAGTCATGTCATGTACTATATGCTGTCTATCTATAGATCGATATCGCCCGATAGCCAGCCCGATAAGCCCACCGCCTACCACCGCCTTAGCTTGAGATCTCGATTCTCCGCAACTTAACTCTTCCTCAAATCCTGGAACTCTTGCGCTGCAAGACCACGCCCCAATTCTACTCAAATCTGAGCTTCAATACATTCACGAGCCATGTAAGTATCGTCTGTCACGGACCATCTTAATCCAGCCACGAGACAAAAGCTAATAATACCCAGAACATCTCCTCCTCGAGCTATCCAACACGACCAGTCCAGCTTTACTAGCACGATATTACCACAAGAAGACAAACTTTTCCTCGATCCACGACACAAGACCTACCTACTCACGTTAATCACCCTCTCGAAAACCATACCAACTACCCAAAATGTCCACACAAACCCTCCCAATCAACACCCAACACTGCCGCTTCTGCAACCACCTCCTCCTCGCAACAACCCGCACCCTCAGCACCCTCCCCCGACGCAGCACACCAGGAGCAGACGCATCCCTAATCCTACCACTCGAGAAACTACACACCTCCAACGAACAACAGCCCGACTCCACCACCACCACAAGCAAACACGTCACACTCCTCCTCTCAACGACGATACCAGATCGGCGGGCGACGCTAATCCGGCGCGAAGACGGGATCGAGAAGAGGATTTTACTGCGGTGTGGACGGTGTAGGGTTGTTGTGGGGTATTATCTTGATCGGGTTCATTGGGGGGAGAGTGGGAAGGGTGGTAGCCAGGGTCAAGGTCAGACAGGAGAAGGGGAGGGGGAGGGGGAGGGGGAGGGGCAGGACGGAGAGGAGAGACCGCCGGCGATGTATGTGTTACCTGGTGCATTGGTGGAGACGGAGGAGATGGGTGGGGAGGGAGTTGGGGAGAAGGAGTGGAGGGTTTGGGGCGGGGATGCTTGAGGAATGACTCGAATGGTTGGATATAAAGGATGTACAGAAAAAAGTCTTTACGAGTGCTGTCTGTATGAAGGCATCTACAAGCAAATCATAGAACGGGATCTATGCATAATACATTCCAGTTGATAATTGATCAAATACGTCACAGGAAGCTCCTCGCGCCGAAAGATAAAAGTGAAGAAGCCGTGCCAGTTGTATCCCGATCAGGGTGTGTTCCTCGCAGTAACAAAAAAGAAAAATAACCATGTCCATAACGTAAATTCATCAATCACAACGAAGCCACCAAGGCAGAAAATGGAGAGAAAGAGGGTTTCGAGTTGCGCGTAGCGGGGTATCAGTTGGCCAAGATGGTGCGGACCAGATCGGTATAGTTGATCTCGCCAGAGCTAGTATCGACAGCCTTGAGGAGCTCATCGACTTCGTCATCGGACATTTTCTCGCCGAGGTTGGTGAGGACTGTCGCAGAAGAGATGGAGTTAGCAGGCGTTCCATATTCTCCGTTCAAGCGAGGATGATGGGTAAACATACTGTAACGCAACTGTCCCACACCAATGAACCCCGTCATATCCTTATCAAACACCTGGAAACCGCGACAATACTCCTCGGGCTCACCAGGATCCCGGAAACCACCAGGACGGTTGAGGACCTTCAAAAAGGAATCGAAATCGACTGCACAGAAACTGGTGTTAGCGCGCGATCATCACCATAAGCACTACCCCGCCGAACTCGGGATAAAAACACGACGCAATACGTACAATCACCACCGACAGTCTTCTCCAGATCACTAATCTCCGCAAGCGTAGGATTCTGACCACAAGCGCGGAGCAAATCACCCAACAGATCTCCGGAAACGCGGCCGGTACCGCGGCGATCGAACAGGGAGAAAGCTTCCTTGTAGTTTGTCGAAGCCTGATGATCGTGCTTGTTAGCCATGATGAAAGGTTGGAAAGAGTGTGGATATCGCGAGGGATCAGATGCGTGGGTGCGTGGATGCGTGGATGACAAGTGTAGAAGACGAAGATGACGAAGGGGGTTGTAGTGCGGAGGTTGAATCCAGGGATGGGGGCGGAAGCCAAAAGCGAATCACGACCGAAGTTGGTAATTCGTCAACAGGGGGAGATGACGGAGGTCGGACGAGAATTGGGGTGTCCCTGGATGGAAGTTGGGTGGGTATCTGGGGTGTGAGACAGAGCTTACCATGGTGGAATTCTGTTTTTGTTTAGAGAATGGAAGTAGGGATTGAATGTTTGAAAGGGAGGTGATCGTTGAAGGTGGGAGAGGAAGGGGAAGTTGGAAAGGGAGTTGGCCGGAGACGAAGATCATCCGCGTTGGTCGGGCAACCACATCAACAAGCAGAGTGGGGGATCCATCAGTATGATTTCATATAGATAATAATCTAGAACGATAATACATACTACTAGATAGTTAAATATAGATCATCACTGTAACTCATCTACAGGAATACCATTCATCATCATATCACATTGATAGAATACTCTCCACCATAATTACACTCCTAACATCCTATCTTCTCCTCTTCATTACACTATACATCTGCTATCACATCAACTACGACTGCAACTTCGCAATGCAACTGTCCAGCAGCCGCGCCGCCTCCCCAAGCAACTCCCATCTCGGATTCGCAAACGAATCTCTCAAAATCATCAACATCCCCAAACACCCATTCCTTCCTTTCATCCCCTCCAAATCATTCGGCTCCCTAACTCCTCCAACCCTCAACAGAAAAGCCTGCATATCCCGCCGACGGTCCGCATGCGTCGCCAACGTAGGCGGCGGTCTCAAGGGCCCATCCAACGCGAACCCATAACACCACACCACCAGCGCGGCAAAGTACATTACCCACGGCCGATTAAGCAGGTAATCATCACGCGCGACATACCCAGACTCCACAGCCGGATCCGAGAAACACGCCTTCAAAAACTTGAGCGCGTAAAAGGTGGCGTCCCGGGCAGATGCTTTAGTCGCCCAGCGACCAGTCTTTTCCCTCGCGGTACTATAATCGCGCGCCGTAATAGATCGACCCATTAAGCGGCCGGCGCCAGCAAAGATCTGGAGATCCACGACGTCCACGTGCGAGGCCATATGTGCGAGGCCGTGTAGGACGTCGCGGGATTCCGACTCGGTGGTCGTGACGGAACCGAGGGCTTCGTCAAAGTCGCGTCGCCAGTTATCGTACGAGCGGAGCAGGGCTGTTCGCCATTTATCCCGGCCCCCGAGGGTTTGGCCCACGCCGAGAGAGCTCACTTGGAGATCTCGTTGATTCAAATGCCAGCTCACGCTGAGAAGTCCAGCCATTAGGATAATCCGACCAAAGGTATTCGTCCGGACGGGTTGGCCGTTTAGCGTGCGCTTGAGTCCGTCGAGGAACATGATCGGTCGGACGCCGTGTGATTGCAGACTGGATTGGACTCGGGCAACCTCGGCGGCACTCGTGGCGGCCCACAATGCTTCATCGCAGGGTAATGGTAGTCGTAGTTCATGCGCGACCATCTTGGCCGAGTGTCCAAACATAGTCGCATGGGTCGAGTCAAGGACGAATGCCGCAAAAGCCACACGCCTCGTTGCCTCCGCTTTAATCCAATGCGTCCACGACTCATCCTCTTCTTTAGACTCGGGTGTATCAAAAGAAGACCGACCGATGAGCGAACTCCCACGACGCATAAGCGTAAGCGTCGTATCATGATGAATATGAGCCCGTTCATGCAACGCCCTCGTAGAGAAAGATTTCTCATAAACCTCCAGCAAGAGTAAAGCCTGGAACACCCATAACCGGGCCGGTGGCCGGAAATCAGCATCCATAAAGATCTCCCACCGCAAATGCCACGCAATGAAACTGGCCAATTCAGCAGCAGTCTCCGTAGCAGCTTGACCATGCGCCTTATCCAGCGTAGCAGCCCCAATAGCCATCACAGCGAGAAGCAACAAATTCGGCGTCCGATCCGCAGCAAAAGTAGGCTGATGCAGAATAGGCATTTGCGTATGGAAATGGAACCAATAAGACCCGATATAAGCCTGCATCATCCGCAGACTCAACACGTGCCGATCACTATCCAAATCCCCATCCATAAGCGCATCCTTGCGCTTCCCTTCCGCCGAGTAGGCCGCCTCATTAAACCTAGTCGCCATAAGATGCAGCAACTCCTGCCGCTTCTCCTCCGAGATAATCGCCGGCAAAGAGGTCGAGTCCAGAATACTAGTCACGCTCATGGGGTGCTGTGGAATCACCGTACAAAAATTATTATACGAGGGCTCGTTCATGTAGAACTGATTCTGTACAAACGGCATCATCCCGTACCCCAACGGCGCGAGCGGTTCACTAAACAGCCACGCCGCAAAGTCATCGGCCATGGCAAAGGGGGAGCGATTATACGTCTCGCCGCCGAAAATCGGGTACGCATTAGACATGGAGTCGAATTCTAGCATCGGGTCTGGTTGGCTGATGACGGAGAAATCAGTGTAGCCGGATACAGGCACGCCGGCTGTATCGATGGTAGTGGTGGTAGTAGGCAGGGAGAAATTGTTCGTCGCATTCGAAGGGGATTTGGAACTTGTAGCAGGCGCATCCGTCATGAATGGGTACTCGGCGGTTGTCATCGAAGGCGACGACGGCGAGGAAACCGGGATAAGAGATTTATGCGGGGATTCATCGAGACTGTCATGAGCGAAGCTATCGCGCTTCTGCAACTGCGAGCCACGGGTGGTATGGCGTTCGCGATGGCGAATACACAAATCCTGACGAACGAAAGAGCGATAGCAATTAGGAAAATCGCATCGAAAGATTTGTTTCGGGGTATCTGCAGGGTAAAGCGAGGGAAATGGTTAGCCGTGCCGCGCGTGAAGCACACTGCAGAGATCGATCGCATACGGTTCAACTGGTGGCGGTACAAATGCTCGGCGCGCGAATAACTCTTCCCGCAACCCTCGTGTGTACATTCGAATTTGCGATCGGAGGGAGCGCGCCGACTGCGTCGGCGACGCTTGGAGGGTTGTTCGTCGGCCTCGACCATGATGTCTGATTTAAGCGCGGGGAGCACCATCGGGTGCCATGAGCACGAGGGCGCGCTGCGATGATCGCTGCAGGTGGAGATGCCGAGAAGCGTGAGCCACGTGGGAAACCGTTTTCCAAGTGGGAGGAGAGTTGCAAGAAGAGAGAGGAAGAGAGGAAAGGAGAAGGGTGTGAATGTGAGGGAAAAGCGCCAAAGTCAAAAGTCGTCCCGAAGTCAAATGGCCCTTGGGTCTCCCCGGAAGTGCGGAGATGCTCAGTGGGGTCGAGCTAAAGTTGGCGGAGCTCGGTGAATATTGCCTGCGCCAGTACTGTACCTCTGGTGTATGTATACACTCTTGTATTGAGAAGTTGAAAAGAATGTTTTGGATAGATTGCTCTAGTGTATGCTTTAATTGGAGCGGTATTCTTCTTGTATACTAGCCTAGCATCCGAGGATGCCACTGGGCCGCCACTACCTATGGAAGCGCAAGCACATTATTGCAGTGAATAGCTTCACAAATTTCATAAATCTAGAAATATATTTTTAATTTATTCTATGATTGAATCAAGGTACTCAAATTAATTGTGTGGACGAGATGGAATTGCGGGGTCGCAAGCCTCGAGTGTAGCAGTGTCGGCTGGAATTGCCCCGATATATATATCGACCTCCTGTCTGCTTGGCACGATCTAGTTCACTAGGTCAGAATACGGGCACCTAGTAGGTATCCCTAAAGTACGGGATGAGTACACCTAGTTGGCCGTGAAATACCACTTCAAGTACTTAATCTAATAAGCAAAATCTATGGATTCATTCGTCCAGGCTATGCCTAATCCTCCCCCCACACATAACAATACCGGAATTCTAAAACCTGCCATGCCATCCCTACAAATGCAAACGCAATCACAAACATAAAGATAGACAAAACGTGTCCACCTAGGATTCTCTACCTATCCATCACGGTGCGTGAAAGGGGCGACATGCATAACCGAGGTGTTTTCGTCGAAGCCAGACAGTTGGACTTGAATATCCCATCTGGCCGTCTGGCACTATAGACCAGGCCAACTGATCATAAATCATCGCAAGACCTCACATTCCAGCGATTATACCAGACGGCGCGTGAAGTGAGAGCGGACCCAACACCTGATGTGTAAAACGCTTCCGGGGAGGCCTGGTGCGGACCACGAGAAAGTGAGGATCCAGAGAAACGGAGAAAAATGTACACGGAGAAAACACAGGAGGGTATATTTTTTTAGAGTTATGTTTCTTTTCACCCGCTGAATCGGAATCGGGTGGCCTCCAACCGGCCCAGACCATCACGGGGGGCCACATTGCGGCGGCGGTAAGAGTTGGTGAAGTCTAGATAGAGATGTCAGTACGGTAAGCAAAGCGCTCGCGAGGTGTTGACTCACCCTGCAGCAAAACACGAATCTTCCGGATTTCACCAGACTGCACCTTCTCGGCAATGCTCTTCAACAACCGCTCAGCCTCAGCAGGCTTCATTGAACCCGCTGGCAGCATCTGCAAAGTATTCTGGAGCCAAGCACCAGTCTCGTGAGGAAGCAACTCGAACATGGTCATCATGATGGCGGAAGCATCCGGGAAGCAATCACCGGGGAAGGTGAAGATCATGCCGGCAAGCACACGCTGGGACAGGACTTGACCCTGGGAGGCGATCAAGTTCTTAACGGCCTCGCGCACCTCGGGTGGGTTGATATAGGGTTCCTCATCCGGGCTTGTGAACTCTGAAACCAAGGGCTTTTCAAAAGCAAAGCTGAACAGGTCGCGGTAGTAGTGAAGGGTAGCGATGAGAGGGTCAACCTGTTGCAAAGTGAGGGCACTAAGAGCTGCGGAGAAGATGGGAATGGCCAATTCCGAGGAAATGCACTTCTTGGGGTAGTACCGAACGGCATCGGAAGATAGACGGAAGAAATCCTCGATCACTAGAAAAAAGTTAGATAAGTTATGATACTAGATGATTCTCCACTTACCATCGGGAAGGTTCTCCGGAGGAAGGTCATTCATAATTCGGAGGAAAGCAGTGGCTTGTTGTTCGTAGAAATGGAAAACGGCGTTACTGGTCGCCTCATCAACGTATTCCGCGCCATGAGAGAACTCGCGAACTACCGCATCAGTGGCCCATAGGAAACCACCCTCGCGAGAGGCTTGGAAACCATTGGCAATGCTTTCGGCCAAGGTAGGCAGCAGAGGAATCATGGCAGTTCGGTATGAGATGATCATGTTTCGCCAGCAACGGCAAACACGCTCAAGGATAGGGGTGGAAGACGTGAAATTCATAACGATCGTAGTCATGATAGGGAGAATCTCACCGCAGTACTTCACAGCGGGGTTCTCCTCTCCGGGGGCAACGATGGGAGTCACCACCTGGACAAAGATAGAGATCAGTCCGAGGTGATCGGCCACTGCCCGCTGTCCCTCTTCGTCCTGGGCATTATTGGCAAGGGTCATGATTCGTTGCATGATCGGATCACAGAACATTTTCATCGAGTCGTAAATCTTTTCCAAGGGCTGGACCGACACCACGGCCGCAACACCTTCGGTAACTTCTTCCTGGCTGGCCGGCTTGAGCTTGTCCAGGACAGACTCAAAGAAGGAGTGGAGCTGGCTAATGTGACCACCCAGCAGCTTTTGGCAATCAGTTCCCAGGAACTTGAAGGCCAGGGCGGCCGCTTGCACAACCTCTGCAGATGGATGCTGGAAGCCAGAGATCACATAGTTGAGTTGGGCTTCAAGAGTCTCAGGGTGCATCGATGTCCACTCCGTGTAACGGGCGAGAGCCATGATGGCTTGGAATCGAATCTTCTCCTGCTCGGGAATCTGCACAATCAAAGGAATCAACTGACCCAACACGGTGTTCTCCACAGGGTCAACCATGCGACCCATGGCCCGAAGACCAAAGAGGGGTGCCTCCAGCTCTTGCCAGTGTGGGACGTGCTCGTTGGTCGCTTGCGAGGCGTATTTGCCCACCCACTGCTGAATCAATTGATAGATCTTGCCGAGACATTCGGTCACGCCAATCACAGAGCAGCAATCTTTGAGAACGTCGCCCATGGCGTGACGGAACTGGCGGAACTTTTCTTCTTGCTCGCGGTCACCACCAAACAAATCAGTCTCGCCTTCTTCGGGGGAGGGGAATTCAAGATGTTTGACCATGATGTCCATCAACTGTGACCAGACGTCTTGATAGTTGAGGCGCGCATCGTTGTATCGTTCAATGGTGATCGACTGCTTCAATTCGTACCAGAAGATGAAGGTGATTGAGACAGCCTCACGTTCCCAATCCCGCGCACAGCACTCGAGAATAGCCTCGACCAGACCACGGAATTCACCAGGCATGCGCGCAATGAGCACAACCCAAGCTTCACCGGCTTCGGCGAACATCCGTGTAATTCCCTTGAACGCTTCCAAATCTTCAGCTTCGGCGGTCTCGGCAATCTTGGGTCGGAGAGCCATCAGGCGGGGGTAGAGGGCTTGAATGATAGGGAGGGACTCGTGGACGTCCTTGGTGTCGCGGTAGAGAGTACACATGCAGTCGACACCGGCATCGAAGGAGACATCATTATCCAATGCCTTGAGAATCACGTCCATCAATGGTGAATCGATGACCTGAGCGGCCGGGATTTCGCGAAGCCATGAGGTAATGCAATCGAGGAGGCGAGGGTTGGTGGCGGCGGTAGCTGTATCGTTGTCAATAAAAATCCATGTCGGAGGATTGTGAGACTTACGCGATGATTGAGAATACTGAATCATCAGCTGCATAACCTGTTCCGCATTGTCCTCCAGTAGCTCCTTTGTCCGTTCGATCAACTCGTCCTCCTGTTAAGCTGTCAGTAACTGTAAGAACACTCTAGCCAAATAACCTACCCCAAGGTTAATCTTGCGACCCTCTGTCACCTCCTCGGGCAAGATCTTCAAAAATTCGAGCACACAGTCCCCCGCAGTACTACCCAAAACCGACCCCACCGTGGCCAAAACATCCTTCCAGGCCAGCATCTGAATCGCCAAACTTGCCAAACACACGCATAGCTGAGTCTGAATGGGTCGCGGGCCCGAGGCAAATGCAACGAGTAGGTTGAGGACGGAATCGCGAAGCGCCACTATAGAGTCTGGAGGCAATTGGTCCAAATCGAAGATGATCTGTAATTATCAGCGTCATTCCTCCATCGCAAAAGAAAACCTCCAATTCGTACCTTTCCCTTCAATGTAGTCGCCGCGAACAGTTTAGCTTCCACGGGGACATCGGAAGATTGTAATAGAGCATGCGTAGTTGTCCAGGCCTCGACCTAATTTTGGGCGAAGCGGAAACACGTCAGTAAAGCTTGAACCTCAAAGCAAAACCTCCCGCCAGAAACGTACCGACTTCTGGAACTTCTCAAGGAATTCATGGGCCTGGGTCTTTTCGGACCTAGGCACATTCCCTTGCATGGTCGCGACGGCCGCCAGGACCGGGGCAAATGCCTGCCCACCATCCTTGCTGGCCATTTTGGGAGGAGGGTGAGCGGTTTGAAAAAGGGAAAAGAGGGGATTGCAGATCCAGAAATCTAAATGCGCATCCAAGAGAGAATTAAGGAAAAGAGCGAAACGCAGGCAAAAGCGTGGTAAATAGAGGTCGTGGAATCGCAAAAGATGGCGGAGGAGGGAGAGGAAGGTGGGATGTTGAAGCCCGTGACTCTGGGTAATGGTATTACCATACAACAAATCACGGGACGCAGAGCTTTCGGTCTTCTTCCCTCCTTCGCCGCAAACCCGCGATCCCGCCCTTCTTGAACAACGTCCCACCTCCTCAATTATCACCATCATGGCTGGCCGCAAGACTTTGTTGGCGCCGATCCACTTTATCTTCAGCCTGTTGCAGAAGCGCAGCACTGTCTCGATCTGGTTGTACGAGCAGCTCGCCTTCCGTATTGAGGGCAAGATCAGGGTAAGCTTGGGGGTTCCTTAGGAGCTTGCGATTCCGTGTCTCTGTTAGAGCTTACTGATGCGATTACCTCTAGGGCTTCGATGAGTTCATGAACCTCGTTGTCGATGACGCGGTGGAAGTGCGCCTAGCTACCAAGACTGAGGAGGAGAAGCGGAGGCCTCTCGGTATGGATCCTTGATCAGTGATATCTGGGGTGGAATGCATGGACAACTGTACAGAATTCAAGACTAATCTACTACGCTCTTCCAGGCCAAATCCTTCTCAAGGGCGACAACGTCTCCCTCATCCAGGCCGTTTGAAGCGAGAATACATCTCACGCCACGACACCTCGCATCGATCTCGTTTCCTTAATACCTTTCTGTCGATTGTTCGACCTACGACCTGCGGTCCAGGTACCGCCCATCACCCACCACGATGGCATCGATCAGCCAGTCATGTTCCATGACGGGAATATCCTCGGCGAGCAGCTGCTCCTGGAGAGACATGGCCACTAGAGTAACGGAGTTTTAGCTTTTTTTTTTCTTCTTTTTGGGACAATGGGAAAAGAAGGTCTGGGGAAATTTATTTTATCTTCATCTTTCCTGGCTGAGGGAGTTTCCTTACCTAGGAATGGCATCTTGCTGCTCCATTGAGAATACCGCTTGAGAAAATGGTCATAATATCCTTTTCCATGTCCAAGTCGTCGAAAGCCCGAGTCGAATGCCATACCCGGCATGACAATTAGATCCAGGCCTTTGGCAGAGAAGCAGTCTCGCCGACCGGGAACCTGCGTAGGCTGTAGAGATGGGATACCCCATTTATCAGGTTGTAAAGACTCGAAGTCCGTGATAGATTCGAGGGCTAGCATGTCCATGACGGAGACCTTGTCGACCGTGTGAATGTATGGGATGTAGACGTCTTTCCCACGCTGGAATGCATCTTGCACGATACTGCGGGTTGATAACTCCCCGCTGGGCATTGACAGGTAGACAGCAATGCTTTTTGCATTCTGATACTCGGATAGCGAGAGGAATTCACTCGTAGCGACGTTAGCTATACAAGTAAAGGCGTGATGTTAGCTTGGAGCGAGCGGATGACTCAAGACGGGGATGCGATGCGCCCGCATTGCCAAAGGAAAACCAACATTGCTGTACAATTGAAGTATTCGACAGTGCCGACAAAGTCTCGCGCATGCGCTTGCGCAGGTCGCGCTTTGCAGTCTGAAGAGCCATCATTACTAGAAACGAACCCCGCGGGAAAGTCGAGCGGAGGGAGAAGAGGAGGATCATTCCAGACGATAAACCCGATAAGAGTGGACCGCGCATTGCTGAGGTCCTTGTTTAGTCCCCACTTGAATGTAGGGATTGAATCAAGCTGACCTGTTCACTCCTGTTTTTGATTCTTGATTTATTCATTGATTAAGGAGTGTTCGTCTCTTTGGCATTATTATTGACTTGGTCGGCATTCATTATGTTGTGGATTTGGACTTTGCTGGCTACGACGGTAGCGGCCAGTATGGATGAGCTGGTCGGGACATGGACAACCAAGTCTCGGAACGTTTTCACAGGACCAGTACGTGTTGTGATGAACGATACAAGAGAGAGGCTAACATGAGTTTATAGGGCTTCTATGATCCACTTCAAGACCGACTTCTCGAGCCTAATCTAACGGGCATTTCATACTCGTTTTCCGCCGACGGATACTATGAAGAGGCTCTATATCGAGCCCTAGCCAATCGTGAGTTTCCGCATCTATACAGGTCCCCAAGAGACCAAGAGCAGCAAACTAACCACCCACTCCCCCGTTCCAGCTGCCGACCCGTCATGTCCGTCCGGAATTATGCAGTGGCAACACGGTTCATATGAACTGCTAGCCAATGGCTCCCTCATTTTGACACCGATTGCAGTTGATGGGCGCCAGTTGCTCTCGGAACCATGCAGACAGGGCATCGGCAGTTATACACGATACAACAACACCGAGCATTTCAAGGGATACTCTGTTCAAGTCGATGATTTCCACGGTATTCAACGCCTCGATTTAACCCAAGCCGATGGCAAGATCATGCAGCCCATGTATCTCACCTACAACCCGCCCAAGATGCTTCCTACCTCGACTTTGAACCCGATGCCTAGGGGTTCTCGCAAGAAGCGTGATATATCTGGGTCAAACTTCCATCTGGTCATTAAAGAAGAGCTCATCAACCCGGATCGATGGTGGTGGTTTGGCGTTTTGATGACATCTCTGGGAGGAGTGGCGTTTTTCTGCTCGTAAGAGAGAATGGTTTCTCTTTGAAGGTCTCTGGCGTTTATTTCTGGCGTTGAGGTTTCATATATTCCCCGTGTAACTTTGAATAATCAAGTCTCTTGTTCTTCCTGTCGCTCTTTATGCCTCGTCAAATGAATGGGGATATCCAAAATATTGTAACAAAACTATTGTACATGTGGAGCATTTTGTTTGCCCCAATACTCTCTGCTCTCTCAAGCAGAAACGGCCTTCTTGACCAGCCCAGCAACCTCTTTTCGGTCTGCGGGCTTGCCATCAAGAGCACCACCGGGGGAAAACAGAGCCTTCAAGACCTGTCCAACCTCCAGCTTCTTGCCGGCCTCCTTAATAGCAGCAATCTCCTTTGAAATCACGGCCTCCACTTCCTCCACCGTCAAGGTCTTGACGTGGCCTGCATACTCCTCCAAAATCGCAATCTGAGCATCTTCTTTCTCTTTCAAATCTGGTCGGTCGGCTTCAGCAAATTGTTGGGCAGCCTCCTTAGCTGCAGAAGCTCGTTTCCGAATCAGAGAGAGCAGCTGAATATCGGTTTGAATGGGGGAGGCAGTTTTGGCAGCGTTGTTGGTTTCGGAGATCAAGGCACGGAGAACGTTAAGGCTGCAATAGTAAGTATAAGGTACACTAGAAGCGCTGTTGCCTAGGCGCAAAGCGAACACTAAATGCCATTCGAGGTTCTGCCTACCGAGAAGTATCTTTTGCTCTCATTGCCGTCTTAAGATCATTGCGCAGAGTGGCCATCAACGGCGGCAGAGTTGGACCAGCCGTAGAGTTCCAGCGCACCGAGCGCAAAGGAACTCGAACGGAAAGGCGCATAGACTGGAACATTGTGAAGATGAATGAAATTTCTGCCTAGAGGAAAAAACAAAGACAAGATTGTACGTCAATGGCAAAGTCACTGAATGCAGACGAAGACGAGGAAGCTCTCTTCAGCCTGCAAAAAGGCGGAAGATCATCTAAAGTGGTCCGTGCGCCTTCCAATTGTTGACTCTCGCTTTTCGCAAAAGAAACTTGAGAAGCAACCCAACCCTACCCTCCGCCTCTCTGCTTATTTCTACCCATCGCCCCCTCCTTCCCAACTCCACACTCTCCTTTGACCGTTCCTTTCCATTGATTGATCCTGCAGCTTCTTGTGTGCTTTTTTGCTCGGCCGGGGAGTCGTGCCCTCTCTCCTCCCATCTCCTCCCCAGCTGTGCACCTACGAATCCGTCGCCATGTCGTACCCGACTTTGCCCACCAACTTCGCGCCCCCGACGCCTCAAAGGCCACTTCCCGGGGCATACTTGCAGACCCCTGCTGTCGCTCGTAATGGATCGTTCCAATCGCCTCCTCAGCAGCGACAGCCGCAGCAAATGCAGCCGCAGCCGCAGCAGCAGCAGCAGCAACCGCAACAACCGCAACAACCACAGCCTCAAGGCATCGCGTCACAATCTCCGCTCATGCCTAGAATGCCACCGGTGGCTTCACAAGCTCAAACCCAGACCTTGACTACCGAGGAACGTGGCGCGCGCACCATCAACGAGACTCTTTTGAAGGAATCGCGGTATCCCGACCTTGACAGCTATCTGTCTCGTGAGTTTTTCTTTCCATTCCCTTCGTGCCATAATTGTTCAAATCTAATATGACTTGCGCAGAGGGCTTCTCCTCCGAATATGACATCCCCGTTTCCCAATCATGGGCTCCCTTCCAAAAAGTCAAAATGTACAATATCCCCGACCAAATCTTCGATCAGTACAATCGTGCCCAAGTATCGACGAGCATGGGTCTCTTCGCCGAGTTGAATCACGCGTGGGTGGCAATTGATAATGCGCTGTACCTTTGGGATTTCACACACCCGAGTCCGCAATTGGTTGGCTTCGAGGATCAGCCAAACAGCATCAACGCGGTCAAGTTGTTGAAGCCGCGCGCGGGAGTCTTCTTGCCTGCAATTACTCACTTGCTGGTGGTCGCTACGACTGCCGAGGTGATTTTGCTCGGTATGGGTGTGGAATCAACATCCAATGGATCCAAGCAGGTCACTCTTTACCAGACTGGAATGTCGGTGTCGGTTCGTGGACTCGATATCAACGTATTTGCCTCGTCCGACGCTACCGGCCGCATTTTCTTTGGAGGATTATCTGACAACGATGTTTATGAACTTACATACCAACAAGAGGAAGGATGGTTCCAAAATCGCTGCCGCAAGATCAACCACACCAGCTCCCGACTCTCCGCCTTTGCGCCATCTCTGAGCTTTTCTAACCTCGCCGCTTTGTCTCAGAAGACCTCGGAATATGTGGAGCAGATGGTGATTGATGACAGCCGAAGACTTCTCTACACTCTGTCCTCCACCTCTACTATCCGAGTCTTCCACATGAAGGAGGATGGTGCCATCTCTCTTGCAATCACTAAAGCGGCATTGGACATCTACTCCAATATTGGACATATCATCGCATCTAACGAGACTTTGAATCCTAAAGTGAAGATCGTTTCTATCAGTCCTGTCCCCGCTGCGGAGGCATCTCGGTATCACCTGGTGGCTACCACTGCCACTGGTTACCGAATCTATCTCAGTGCCACCAACGCTTATAGCTGGGCACCGGCGGCCAACGGCAGCAATGCACCTACCAGCATGCAGGCCCAACATGTCAAGACACCCCCTGTCGACAACACGGCCGCCTTTGCCGCCGTATCAGCGCCCACCGAGTATGGGGTGTCCCGACTGAACGCGGCCGTCACCAAATTCCCGATTCAGTCATTGTCCCCGACCCGGATGGCGACTCGATTCCCACCTGGATTTTTCTTTTGCTTCACTTGCAAGGACACCGCTCAGAGAATGGATACATTGTTCATCTCCTCGCCTGATCCCGGTCGTCTTAACTACCAGCCGGAGAGTGTGAACATTGCCAAGACTGCCGAGTCGGCCGTTTGGTTGAATTTGGGTGGACGTGCGGAGGATATTGGTCTGTGTTCCACTGGGCCTCTCGGAATCTCGGGAGGCGGATATGGCAACGAGCTGGCGGTTCAATTTGACCAGGGAGCGGCTGAAATTGCAATCCTGACCAACAGTGGCATTCACGTCATTCGTCGGCGACGTCTGGTCGATGTCTTTGCTGCCTTGGCGCGCAGTCGTGGTACTGCCGATGGCGAGTCCGGCCTTGAACAGGAAGTTGTGAACTTTATCAAGGCATATGGCCGCAACGAGACGGTGGCTACTGCACTTGCCGTGGCTTGTGGTCAGGGTGTTGAAGTTTCTCCCGATCAGCGACTTACCCAGATCAACGACCCGCACGTTTTGGACTTTGCTCGCAGGGTCTTTATCGAGCAAGGTGGACGCCCGGTTCCTGATGAGAATACCGTTCAGGACAACATCACTCCGGCTATCGATACCATCCACCTTTCTCCCCGCCATGACGGCATTGCCTTGTACATTTCGCGCCTCCTGCGGTCGATCTGGAAGAAGAGCATTACCAAGGTGGGCAAGGGACCGAACGGTGCCATGTCCGTGTCTGCTTCGGTCAGCGCCGCCAAGCTGCGGACCATCCAGCACGATCTGTCCTCTCTTCAAGAATTTTTCAAGGTCAACAAGAGCTTTATCGAGGGTCTAACTGGACCCGAGGAGTTGGCTCGAGTGTCCAACAAGCAGCAAGAGACGGCACTGCAAGCCGAGCACCGTGCTCTGCACTCCCTGGTTCAACTCGTATCCCACACTATTGAAGGCATTTCCTTTGTGCTGGTCCTCTTCGATGAGCGAGTCGACGAGATTGTGGCTACCTTGCCTGACGAGTCAAAGGAGAAATTCCTCAAGTTGACTTTCGAAGAGCTCTTCAGCACGAGCAAGGGCCACGATATTGCCAAGGAGTTGGTCAAGGGTATTGTCAACCGCAACATTGCCAAGGGATCCAATGTTGAGACCGTTGCGGATGCTCTTCGCCGCCGGTGTGGTAGCTTCTGCAGCGCCGAGGATGTGGTTATCTTCAAGGCGCAAGAACAGCTCAAGCGTGCGACGGAAGCCGGTGCTAACTCGGAGTTGGGTCGCAACTTGCTGAACGAGAGTTTGCTTCTTTTCCAGCAGGTGGCCGAAAACCTTCCTATGGATTACTTGGTTTCGGCTGTGGATAACTATATCGCTAATCAGTTCTTTGCTGGTGCGTTTCCTTCGCGTATCCTCTTTGTTTCTCTGCTAACACTCGATAGGCGCCATCTCACTCGCCCTTCACGTTGCTCAACGCTCCGACAAGGCCAACATGGCCCTTTCATGGATCATGGACGGCCGCCCCGAACAGGTGACCTTTCCCTCCCAAGATGGCTTCCCCTGGCTTAGCCATCAACCCTCGCTCATATCTCGTCAGGACCCCCGCAAGCAATACTTCCTCTTCCGCAAACAATGCTACGATCTTGTTTCTAAGGTCATCGTCGCCGTGGACACCCAAGCTGCTTCTGATCCCAAGGTCATTGATGGTCAATTGACTGTGATTGCCAAGCGACAGAACGAGGCTTACGGTGTCATTACCGACTCCTCTGACGAGGTATTCTTGACCAGTCTGTACGATTGGTACTTGGAGCAGGGCTGGAGCGAGCGACTCCTTCAGACCCAGTCGGCATTCGTTGTCAGCTATTTGCAGCGCAAGTCTAATGACGATATTGCTCACGCCGATCTGTTGTGGCAATACTACGCCCAGTCCCAGCGGTTCTTCGAGGCCGCCGAGGTCCAATTCCAATTGGCTCAGAGCTCGTTTGCGCTACCACTCGGCCGACGCATCGAGTACCTGGGCCGTGCTCGTGCTAACTGCTCCACATTAACCCGCGATGTCGGCCGTCAGGAACGTCAGCGCCTACTCCAGGAGATTTCCAACCTCATTGACGTGGCCAACATTCAGGATGACCTCCTGCAGCGTCTCAAGGATGACGATCGTATCGCTCCTGAGCGCAGGACCGAAGTTCTCCGTGATGTAGATGGCCCCGTCCTGGATATCAGCACGGTATGTTTTTATCTTTCCTCGCTAACCCACTGTTTTCATTCTAACACTCGCTGCAGCTCTTCAACCACTACGCGGACCCGGCGAGCTACAATGACATCTGCCTGCAGATCTTCTACATCGGCGATTACCGGAATGCGGCGGACATCAAGTCAACCTGGCAGAAGCTGATCCAGGAAGTGCACCAACGCACAGTGGATCGCGGCACACCGCAGCCATTCGAGGCGGTCGTCGAAAAGGTTCGCAGCCTTGGCAGTCGACTACGGATGTCGGAGACGGTCTTCCCCGTCCGCGAGCTCCTCCCCATGCTGGAACGGTATTCGCTAGAGTTCCAACGCGAGGTTGGCGCGATCTACTGGGTGGTTGATCTGTTCCTGGATCTGGGTGTTGCCCACGACGCACTCTTCACCGTTTTGGAGGCGATGTTCTATACCGACGAGGCGCCCTTCCACGGGTCGAACCGCCGGTACATTGCCAAGGATTTGCTGTATCTGTTGGAAGGATGGTTCCGGGAAAGTGCCCGACTGGGTGGCATGGTCTTCGGAGGAGACAGCCAGGCCGAGCGAGTTTCGGAGATCTTGTTGATGATTATGCAGGCGGGAACTGCGACGACACCGGAGATTACGGAGCGGTGCCAGGAATTGCGGCAACGCATTGAGGATTTGCTACGGTGAATTTAGTTTTGGAGGTTATGGTGAATAGGTCATGGTAAAAAGAGAGCCATGTTTCTTTGCTTGTTTATTCGGATTTTTCAAGGACTCATGGTTTTTGTTCACTTCCCCTTGCTCTCATCTGGACAGTTTCGTCCTTGTTTCTGTAACTCTATTGAACTTCCCGAGGGCGTTATGTATCTGGGGAAATAGTAATGAAATGATTTCGTTGTGCAGGAAAAGGATATCTACGTGGACATTTCTTCCGAATCTCAAAGAGCAAGCCATCATTCATCGTAAGAGGTTTTGGTCATGAAATTGCTATTAAGTGGTCGTAGTTTTCAACCATCCCGAAACGAAGAAAAATATAAGCATTCCCAGAAAGCACGCGGTCTAAACCGAAACACCCAAACACTTGAAAGACCGTCTATCAGATAAAAGAAAACCCAAATCGCTTGCATAAAAAGGGACATGGTCGTTTTACTCGAATTCGTCGTACACGGGGATAGGCTTCTCGCCCAGGGCAATCAGCCGGAAGATATGGCGTGCCTTGGCACCGTATTCTTCATCGAGATAATCCACGATCGCGGAATCTATGTTCATTAGTATCTTCGCATAAAAACAGCGGGACCAAACTCACGAGTAGTCGACCGATTATCAAACATCACGATCGTCCGTGGCTGCCACCGAACTCTCGCCTGGAAATCATGACCGGCAATAATATGATTCATCAAGAAATCCAACATCCACTTAACCTCGGGCTCCTTCATGCCCTGAATCTTGGTAATAAACTCCGCATTCAAGAACAAGCACTTCTCCCCAGTAACGGGGTGCACCCGAATCAACGGATGCACGGTATCAACGGGATCCTTGCGCACCAAACCGCCCGTCAACCGAGTATGCGCAATCATCTTGGCCGAGGAATGCACACACTTCAACGTATCCAAGAACGAGCGCAACGTCGGCGACAATCGCTTATACGCCATATCCGTCGCGGCAAAGACGGTATCCCCGCCGACCTCGGGGCCCTGCAAAAGACCCAACATGACATAACCGGGCGGCTGGATTTCATAACTAACATCCTGATGCCAGAGCGTGGTCGTAGTGCGGGCGTCCAAAAAGCGCGCAATCTCCTCGCGATTGCCATCGCGATGAATAACATGGAAAGCAGGGTGATTCCGCACCGTGCCCGAGACAGGCTGGTAATTGGGTTTACCAAAGTACCGCATAAACGACTCCTGGGCATCGGGCCCATCATCGATCAGATCCTGGTCCGGGAAGGCCAGGACTTTGCGCTGGGAGATGAGCAGAGCGAGTTCGTCTTTTGCGGCGTCCGAGAGCCGGTTTAGCTGGACGCCTTCGATGACGGAGCCGATGCTGGGTTGGATGTGGTTGACGGTTACGCCGGGGGTGAGGAGGTTGCGCATGGCGGGGTCTTTGACGCGCAGGGCTGGATCGAGGTATTCGAAAGGTGGGAGGGGGTCGAACCAGATTGGATCCCAGGTTGGGAGGTATTGGGGGTATGGGGTGTTGATGTGGGAGAGTTTGTCGACGTCGACGTAGGGGATGTTGATGTCGTAGCTGATGGGGATTTCGGGTTTATGGCCGTTGTGGCCGTTATGGCCATTGGCCTTTGAGCGGATGAGGGGGGCTGAGGAGGGCATTGTATAGGAAAGGAACAAGGGAGGAGAATATTATCGTAAAGGTTGAGTGTAGTGTTTGTGTATAGTTGATGTATGGATAGACCCGCCAAGTTCCACTGGGAAAAAGAAAATATTATCAGATCAACCGAACGTTCGTCTAGCTTTTTATATAAACCCACCCTAGTAAGTAGGACTAGTACGTATATCTACTGTGTATATCCCAAGCCGATATACAACCGACCAACTAACTCGGTCCCACACGACCCAATGGAAAAGTGGGTTCACGCATGATCTGGGAATCATATTCTCTTGGATAAAGGTAAATAAAAAGAAAATAAATGCAAAGCAAATGTGCATCGTGGCCCCTCCCCGACCTGCATGATAGCTTCAAACACTAGTCCCCCTTCATCTCCGAGTGGGATAAGGAACTGGAAGAACGAGGAAGGAAAAAAAAAACAAAAATCCGGAATTTAGTATCTCACAAGAGGGTTTAGGGGCGGTAACAGATACGTTTGGGAGGCGATGGAGCTACGAGTTTCTGGAACTAACTAACGGTAGTAGCGGAGCTAACAGAGGCTAACAGGGGTATGGGAATTTGGAAGGAAAAAAAAGAAACAGAAATAATTAGAAAAAAAAATGGGAATTCAAAAAAAAGTGGTCTGTGTGCATCGGTTCGCTTGCTCGGAGAAGCGGTCAGCACAAATCTAGGAAATCAGCTCAAATCATTAAGGAAAGATGAGGCAAGGCCCGATCCCGGGGGGTTCCGACCTGTTAGAGAAGGAGAAGGAGAAAAAGAATGGGGAACATTTTAGGACAAGGGATATGATTATGGGGAAAAGGAAGGAGGGGGGAGGGGAAGGGGAAATGGGGGAGGTGTAGAAACTAGAATTAGATTGGAGGGAAAAGAGAGAGAGAAAAAGACAGAGATGTTGTCGTGGCCCGTTTAGAATTTGGGAAAATTTAAATTAAAATGATTAATTATTTAGGGAGAGTGATTACGGAGTACAGTAGTTGGTTAACTAAGTTATAGAATCAGAAAGAGCATAGATAATCACGGAGTCAACAGTCCCCATTTCCCCGTCATACTTCCGTTCTGGAAAAAATGGGAGTTTTCACCGCTCCCCGAAGAGATACACAAGTGGTAGAGATACACTGCAATGCTAGAATACATAGTTAATTGCGATTATCATCCTCGGTACCGAGTACGGGCTGGCCGTTAAGCTACCGACTTGTTTGTACAGCTAGTTACTCCGTCACTACCTAGGGTCCCTTATCCTCGCAGTGCCGAGATATGTACCCTAACCAGGTAAGCGCTTCGAGTACCGACGATGACACCATGAACTAATATGAACTAGTCAAGGACTAAGAACTAAAAAAGAAACCTAGGAGATCATGCAAGCCTCGGCCTCGAAGAGCCGGCTGGTTGCTTCCGCTTTAGTGGCTTTTTGGCTGCTTCTACTCCGTCCTGTCTGTATAAACGCAGCAGCTTCTCATCCTGCCATGGACTGTGCATCGATAAGGCAGCTGCAGGCGGAATGCCAATGTGCATTATCTGCCGTGATCTGTGCAGACCAGAGTTCGAGGAGGATTCTAATTTTACTGATAGTCCAATTGACCGTAACTTGGTCGTATTCGAAAGGGTTATCTTTGAAGGATCAACTGTTATAGTTCATTCTACTCGGTAACGGAATGAGATCACAAGTCCGTTAGGCACCGAAGACAGAAGTACTCCAGTCCTAATGATATGCGATATCCGATTTCGTACTTTGTAGCTTCCACCGATCAAGCGAAGAAGCACAGAAAATCCCGGTGGAGGTCCCATCTGCCCGGGATGATGCCCGTTTCAAAGCTCTCTCCCCACTTTTTCTTTTCTTTCTTATCCTTCGAGCTTCTGCGTCTAATCCCAATCAAATACCCCTGTTCGCCCCTAATCTTTGCCCTTTTAACCCTCCCCGGTCTATCCAATAATCTCCTTCAATTCCTCCCAAATCACTCCAATCACTAACCTTCCATCCACCATTCCCCCTACCTCCACTTCTACCCCTTCGGCGTCCACGTCCGTAACTCATTGGTTCCCCCCCAAACATGCGGTCTGCTCTAATCCCGCCCGTTGACCTCATCGATGTCGTCTGCTTTCTCCATCAGACCACGTTGCACATGGAAAATAGTAAAAAAGAGAAAAACATACCAGCGCTTGTCTCTCGGCGAACTCGAATCCCGACCGGGGGCACATCATACGAATCGCTTTTTTGTCCCACTCTTTCTTTCCAACTGCAGGGCGTACCTTAGGGAGAGACAAGGATAGTAACCCCGACCGAGCCTATAGCAACACTGTATACAACAGTATGAACGCGGGTCCTTCCATGGTGCACCTCCCAGCGCCACAACAATCCTGGAAACGATACGATGCAATCCGACTCCCGGGTTTCCCTGCTGCATCAATGACGGAATCAGACTAGCCCACTCGACTAGTCTACACTTTCCTCCTTCCCTAGTCTCCTGTCTCCGTCAGGATGCCGAGGGACGGAGCGATATTGATACGATCCATCTTTCCTCCGTCCAGTTAGCATCCACGACGCCGTGACGTGATAGGAACCCGCTCTTCCGTTGCTTCAAAGGTCCCCAGTCCCGTCCCCAGGTCTTCAGGTTTTTTTTTCATTTCGCCTCCCCTATGAAGAGTAATCTTCGTGCGGATAGTCTCCGCGCGGAGGAGAACCCGGGGGAACCGACTACATTAGCTACAGTAGTCTGCTAGTCTCCTCGCCTGATAATCGATAATCGGGCAGGATACCTACCCAAGGTAGTAGTAGACAACTCACAAACCTGTTAGTCAACGATTGCTTCTCCTTCCAAATCGAAAGCCCCCAAATTTCGGGGAGAACGGGAAAAGAAACGAGGCAATTAATTTTTTAGTTCGTGACTGTGGATCACGTCCTTACGGTCGTTTTTTGTCACCATCAGGGACCGGGCCGGAATGTCCACTCGTGCCAGACTTGCGTCTCCCGTGGTTCACCGGTTTAGGGGGGATCCATAGTATCCAGGATTTCTAGAGGGATTGCAGGGGGGGATCCATCGTGTGGCTTGTCGACGTTGTTCGTCATCCGTAGCGTAACGAGCTCGATCCGGGAGATTGACCATTCAAGCACCTAAAGGAGATGTAAGCTGGAAATAGTCGGTCGGAATGAAAAGTCCTCCCATGTGCTTGACTCGGGGGACAAGATGATAATATTCATATCTAGTTCATCTCATATCTCTACTCCCTGCTCTACTCTAGAATCTACTCTGATATCTCTCTTGTAGAGGCCAGTGGACCAGATTCCAGATCTCCACTAAGCTTAAATCCGAGAAAAAGCAAACATGGTCCCAGATCGCCGGTCGAAAGCCCCCACCTGATCGGTCCTTTTTTTTCGTTGAGGCGTTAGTCTTGTTTGTGTCGCTTAGCTGCTTACTGTAGTTGCTGTAGTTACCTTCGCCAGTTGACCTAGTCTATACTGACCAGTTGACATACCCCCTTCATCACCTCCCTAATAATATTCCACTCGAATTCCCTCCCCTTAACCCACTCATCCACATCCACACAAGCTCCTCCAACGGTCCTACTCTAACCCTTTCCAGCCCCTCCGACCTCGGCTCTCGGCATCCCATCACCACAAACAGCACCACCAAGCTCCAGCTCCAGCTCCAGCTACAGCTCCAACACCACTCCGCTCCGCTATCTCCAACCCTGTCCTCCCAGGCCACGATGGCCCCCCTATCAACCCGCAAGCGCGACTGCGCCTACCTCCTCTTCTTCATCACCCACGTCCCCATAATCTTCCTAATCGACACCGTGCCCCTGCAGCCCTCCTGGCTACGCACCGATCTATCGGCGCAGTTGCGGGGGTACTATATCGCGACGTATCGGGATAAATTCTTCGAGGACCCTGCGCCCGTGTGGTTTAGCGCGTTTATTTGGATGGAGTTGCTTTATCATGTGCCGGCGAGTTTGTGGGCGGTTTGGGGATTGATTGGAGGTATGTTTACACCAGAGAGTAGAGGGGAGTATAGAGTGGAGATTGGGGATGGAGCAGATAAGATCAGACCAGATTGAATGGATGGATAGTCTAGACTCCAGATAGAGTGTCCCTGTGACCTCCTGCCTGGAATGATCTGATAACCGCGCTTATACCCTCCTCCATTCTCCCACTATCTCATATCCTATCCTCCTTCCCATCCTCTATCTCAAATAGCATTCGCCATCTACACCTCTCCCCAAAACTAACAATTCCAATCCAGACCACCCCCTCATCCCAGTCCATCTCCTCATCTTTGGCATCCAAGCCTTCGTCACTTCCCTAACCTGCCTAATCGACGTCTGGAGCTGGCCCGATCGCACAACCTCCGAAAAACAACAAATCACCTCCCTCTACGGTCCATACGTTGCACTAGGTGAGTAGCAGACAAAAACTCTACAAAAAGAACAAAAACAAAACAGTCCGACCCTCGGAGCCTTCAAAGCCCGAGCGGGATGCAATGCGCAATTCGGGACACTCTATTCCAATTCCTCCCTTCCGTGTCGTCTTTTCTGCACGAATAACACACATCATGAATCGGACTGACGAGATGCAGGTGCGCTTATGGCTTTGGACATGGTAGTTCGATTGCGTGCTCGGTTGATGCCAAAGAGCAAGCGCGAGTGAGTACGTCATATCCCGAGCTTATGGCGAGCGAGGAGGACAAGACTAGACTAGACTAGACTAGGCCGGACTGGGACCGGACAGGTCCAGTCTAGTCCAATCTAGTCTGGTTTGCATTTGCAAAGGGGTTGTTGGTTGTACATAAGGAGTTCCTCGATGCCAGAGGTACAGGCACATGCAGATCCGCATACACTGTGACGCAGAGGGGATGCAGATCGAAGGTATGAAAAGTACAGGAATCTATGGTATCACTCCTTGCTACGGATCACGGATTACGGATCACGGATTACGGATTACACGATCACACGATCGCCATGCCGGATGCCACCATATAATCGTACATTGCGCTACGGACATGGATACATGACGAGGATATGAGAAGAGCTGGGCAGAAACGAGGGTACTGGAACGAGTACCGGAATAAGGCACAAGGCACGAGGCATAACGCGCAATGCGCACGACACCAAAAAGAAGAGAAGAGAACAGAAGACATGATACAGTCCCGCTAAATACAATATCCAATACCTGGGCCCCCCGCCGCTAAACGCCTGAATATGTAGAAAAAGAGAGGGAAGAATCACGAGACAATGCAACGGCTGTTTCCAACACCAAACTCGATTCCATCATTTCGTGATCCATGATCCATTCTCAGAGCAAGAATCCAATCGCCCTATCTAGATCTCCATTCGCGGCGTCCAGCGCCCGCATCGCCTCTTCACGAGTGAAGCCCAACTCCGTGAGCTTCGCAATAGAAGCCTGTGGCCACCGTGACGCTGGCGCAGGTCGAATGTTGATCCTGGGCGCTGGCTGCTGCTGTTGCGGCTGCTGGGATTGTCCTGAAGAACCACTAGCTTGATGCGTGACCGCACCGGTGCGCGCGCCAACTTCCGCACCATCTGCGCCCTTCACGGTCGGCTCATCCTCAAACTCCTCGGTCAGATGCTTGGGAATATCAGCTTCACCAAGGAACGGCACGGCCTGGTCCTGGATCACCAGAGCACCGCGCTGCAGATCGATACAGGCTTGGTGCCGGCGCAGCATGTCCAGACCTAGCAGCAGATCAATCTGTTTACCCTCCATGACGGTGAAAGAGCAGGGCAGGAACATCTCGCCGATCTTGATCTGCGCCGAGTGTACGCGGCCCAGGATAGGTGCCGTGCCGACACCCTTGGCGATACCACCGTATCGTCGATCTACTAGGCGCATGATGTTGCAGGCGACAGCGCAATCGGGGGACATGATGGTGACTTGGGCGCCGGAGTCGACGAAGGCGTTGAGTCGGTGGCCGTTGACTTCGACGGGGATATAGAGCATGGTGACACGGCCGAATGCTATATAAAGAAGTTAGCTTAGCTGGTATCCCGGGGACAGTGGCGGGCAACGGAGGATCCTGGGTCTTCAACTAAACACACATTCAGGGTGATGCTCCATGGCATTGTGTAGATTCTCCGTAACCGCATTCTGGCGAATAATCTCCTCAATCTCGCGCTGGTTCTCCGGGTTAAACGGGTCAGCATTCAGCATCGCAATACGAGCTTCCTTCTCGGCCTCGGCTTGCGCTTCGCGCTGCTGTTGCGCGAGTAACACGTTCCTGAACTGCTGCGCATTATCCGCCGCCGCCGCCAACTCGGGGTTCTGTCTGCGCACAGCTTCGCGTACGCGTGGATCACCCAGAATGTGTAGTCTGATCGTCTCCGGGTCAGGCATGCCGGGACGCGGGGCGACGTTTTGGCGAGGCGCAGCACTGGGGCCTGCGGCGGAGGGGGGTGCGGCGGTGGCGGAGGACCGTGAGGGGGCTTGAGGACCACTGCGGATGTTGACGTGAACGCCGAGCATATCCCCCTCGCCGATCCCGACCTGGTCGAGAGTCTGTGAGGGGATCTGCAGGAGCTGGTTGTTGAAGACGAGCTGTTGGACTTCGGGGGGAATATCGGTTTCGCTTTCGACGATGGCTTTGAGTAGCTCTATCGTCATGTCGCCGCCAACCTCGAGGTTGATGATATCGGAGTCCGCCTGCTCGGGGCGGATGACGCTAACGGTGATACGCCTGGATGGAGGGGGTGGATGCGTTAGTTTGAAGATCATTTGTAAGATAGCAGGCTGCATTTTATCTCCGAAACTCACATGGTGTCGGGGTGCGGGGAGGAGGAGCTCTAGAGAGGAGGAGGGGGAAAAATAAGGTGCAGGTTTAGGCTGCTCAAGACCAAGAGGGCATTCAACAGGGCCGACAACGAGAGAAAGGGCAACCAGAAAGTAATCAGAGAAGGCGATGGTTAAGAAGAAGAAAGAGAAAGAGAAAGTGGAAGAAGGTTGAAGGAGATGGAAAGTGGTGCGGGTCAGGTAACGCTGGAGCGCTGACTAGGCTCCTTACATACGCGCGCTCCACTATCGCCTTCGTTTACTTCCTCCCTCTTCTACCAAGTCTCAACTACGTATTCCCCCTCCAGTCTCATCTGCTGACAGCTAATTCTAGACCAGCTGCAGGTCCAACGACCCACTTGCCTAACGGGATGATGGTGATGATGATGAGCACAAAGCCTTGCTGGTGGATCCGAACTCCCCGCAATTAGCTCCGGGCTCCAGTTCCGCTTGATATCGAACAGTAACGGCCAAAGCAATTCTGAAACTCGCTTCTCTGCGTCTGTGAAAGATCGGCATCGAGTCACCAGATATCGACGAAGAGGCGGCGCGGCCAGCAGAGACAAGAATGGGAGCCTCTCTCAACACTATATCCTACCTCCTCGGGTGGACAGGCTTATCATGCTAGCGCAAACGTTCCCTCCTCCGTGATGTCAACGGGATGGAACGCAGCCTGTGTCTATCCATCCGGCTGCCCCCGGCCATGTTCCTGTGCCTCATGCCAGTTCTAGCACTGGTCCAGTGAAAGGGCTGAACCCAAAAGTACTGACTAACACCGTTGGGGCCATCCTGCCTTAGCGTGTCCCCATGGGCCGTCCCCTGAGCAGATCTCTGAAACCTGCCAGCTGCCCCTCACCCCCTTCTCGCCCAAGGTGACGGGAATGAGCGACCTCGCATGATCCTAGAGCGGGTCACTCGGCAATACCGTGGATAGACTCGGCGTTTTGCAGCTCGGTACGACTTTCCAGCTCCAAACGCTCAACACTAACGAGCAGAAACTGCTAGTCGAGGATGGGAGGTAGACGGGCGTCACCGCGCACTAGTGCTATGTGTGCTTTGTTCGCTGTGCTCGAAAAGGCAACTCACATAGTAAAGCCCCCTTTACCACCAAATATCTCTACCGATGCCGTTTTTCCTGGAGGTGAGATGCTTACGAAGTAGTAGTGCTGACGCTAAAGGTCTCGGCATCGGCGCGAGCCCGCAGCGGGCGTTCCCGCTCGGATCGACAGCTGTCGATGATGACAGCCTCATCTACGGTGCACGGGGACCACCGGCTATGGCGGTGGCTGCGGGGGACCCCTCTCGATGATGACATTCCTCTCTATTTACCGCGTGGGCCCTCGTTCTCGTCTGTGAATTCAGGCTGCACTATATAGACACGAGGTTTTGGAGTGGCAGGGATCTGGAGAAAAATGCTCCGTCTGTCATATCGTTGGTGCCATCTGTCCCCCACCGTTTAGGGAGACAAGTCTTGAGGACAGCCAAGCGTAGTGCCTCGTCACGAATCAACTAGCTTTCCATCGTGTCGGGTCTACGGCAGCTGTCATGCGCCTGTGCGTGCTAATGCCGATTCCCAAAGGGACGTCCTGCTGGGCTCTAAACATGGATCATACTGCATTCGGCCCGATACAGCAACGGCGACGTTCCCCTAGCGGAGGATTTAGTCACGGCTCTTATGCATGGGCAGTTATCTAGTCATTTATTGAGTACATTATTGGGAAGAAAGACAACGTACCTCGCCCTCTCCATGCTAACAATACCTCATTAGCTACACATCTATTACTTCAACTTGATTTTGTTGATTCAGTCATGGTCTTCGTTATTAGATTAAGAATATGCAATATAGTCGAGCTTAGCTCATAGCGACCCAGAAGTGTTACCGTCCCTCCGCAACGTAGAGCGCAGACTGCGCAGGTACCGATGCAATCGACCGTGGGGCTGCGTATGCCGAGCCTCGACGTCTGGCAATCCAACTTCAATATCATCCGCATTTTTAGCCATCTCAGTGGTTTGACTTTTCCCAGATGGCGTGAGTTCATATCGACTATACGAATTCATTAGAGGACTTGAACCTATTATAAAACCAAATGGGGTGAGACTTACCATGTAGGACATGTCCGCGACCTTCTGACCAGCCATTCATCAACACAGTTCTGATGAAATAAATGCCCACAAGGCAAGACTCGCACGAGTTGATTTTTGACAAATTCATCCGTACAAATAGCACACATAGACATCGCCGTTTCGACAATAGACGTAGTCTTCCCAGAGTCGTTCGCTGGCCGAGCCTTTCCATTCAAAGCATCATTTTCATCATCATATTGCACCAATGGAATAGATTTGAGCAGTGCTTTCGTCATACTGCGTTGTCGCGGCTGTCCCGAGGAATGAGCAGTCCATGGTCCATCATGGCACTGTGTCCGAAGGACGGCGATCGTGATACCCACAGTAATAAGAACAGCCACTATCGCTGCGATAACATACAGGGTGACTTTTTCAGCGCTTGAGAGTCCCGCGCCGTCGGTGGCTGTGGATGTTGACCTAGCCGAGAGCATGGCTGTATTGGAGACGATGTCGGAAGCGAAGCGCACGTAATTTGAGCCCATAATAAACAAATATGAACTCTCGAAACACCCAAATAACTTTAGAGGGTATAATTAATGTCGATATGAATTGTGTGCAAAAATGAAAAGCTTCAAAACATTTCTAAAAAATCTCAGCGCGCTTTTATTTAGCGAGCGGGTGAGTTTGTCACACTCGCCCGCATTCTACTCACCCGCGCCCCGCAAATAGGATCTGCAACTAAATACAGCTCTTGCGTAATTGAGGGGTGGAATTCGCCGAGTTTCAAAACTCTTTTCGAATCTGATTTGCCCAGAATGAAGGGTGTGTTCTGGATGGTGGCTAGAAATGGTATGTTGATCCATGGAGTATAGTTCGGGATCTGAGCGAGTCAGCGGGAACGGCTCGGCGGAGGTGGAAGTTCGGAGGCCGAACTATAATGTCCTGAAGAACTGTTGATTATGGTATAATATCAAATGCGGGGAGCTTACCTATACTTGGTGACGACTCGCCCTCGAGAATTCGACCGTTTGGTTGTGCAGTCATCCGTTTGTACCTGCATAGATTGCTTCTGCAGGTTTGATGGGTTTCTCCAGGATCAGGCCTTAGTTATTTAGGCCCTTTCCTTCTTCTTTTCCTTTCTTTCTTCTTCATCATCGTCTAGATAGACAATTGACTCAGATTCCCCTCTTTGCTTCCTTGTGTAGGTGTCGATGACACCATTACTTGGCGTTCATTGCCACCAGAAATAAATCTACCTTACGCGGCGTGGTTTCCCCCCTCCTAGTACGTTCAAGTCGGACAGTACGGGTGTACAAAGGCCATTAAGTCCGAACGTAAACAAGGGTTATCACCAACTTCCAGTTATTCCAGGCACTCTCCCCCCTCATATGGCCTAGTTGGTCAACCAGGTTGGCGCTACCTGGTTGGCCAGTGGGTGTGCCCCGTGAAGGAAAAATTGAGGGGAAATATGGTTGACTGGTATCCGATGTCGAGCACAACTCCACGGATGACCGGGCACACCCTAAGGGGGGAGAGGGGGCGGGTGGGATGCGAGCGACGTAAGTGAAAGTACCTCGCTCGCGGATATCTTCTTCTTTTATTTTTTTATAAAAACTTATAACTATCTAGTACTCTCTTACATCTTCTATTTTAAATCTTGAATGAGATATTTTAAGGTATTATAGTGGTATAGAGCGAGGTTCTTTGGTTAGTGTGGTTTAGGTGTGGGCCGGGCCAGCCTCTAAAGTATGGACTTCGGCATCGTGGGGTGGTGATTGAGCATTTTGGTGAAGTATATAGGGAACGTGAAGGTCGCGAGTTCGATTCACGAGAGAGGAGGTACTTATAATTCTTTTTGCCCTCTCCCCCTTGCCCTTGTTTTACAAATTTGGCGCGTGGCCCTTATTCTAAAGAGAAATGGGGCAGGCCTATTCGCACGACTGATCTTGAGGGTTTAGCCCCCATGAGGTGACACGATATGATTACTGGGCTGACGCCAGACTGATGGGCATAAATGCGACTTGGGGCGGTCCTGCGCCCGATCAGGCAGACTTCGAGTGGTAATTAGTGACTGTATTCCTGCATTGCTCTTGCTTTCTTGAAAAATCAGGGTTAATACCAGGTAATAATTTGACGCGAGATATACTATGGCGAAGCAGAGGAACTAACTTGATGCATCTTCATTTTCAAACATGGCATACTTGTGAATTGATCAGTAGCCTTCAATCCACTCAGCTAGAACATGAAACTTGAGATCTCCCACGTGGAATCCTTCTACGTTTCCTCGTCGTGCAGACACATAAGCACTGCCAGTCCGTACTTCCAATCACACAGCACCAAACTACAATTCGGCCCCTGGCCCGACACTTTCTTTTCTCTAATACACCCCAGGGCTTATTTACAGCCCCATCAAGTGTATTCCATGCAGAAAATCGGGGCCAAGTACCACACTTTTGTAGTGTCTGACCTACTCATTGGGGGCGGCCCCGTCCCAGCCAGCGGGGGGTTTCTCACCAAGAAATGTTAGATGCACAAGTAGCGTTTCTTATAATAGCGATAATTCACCCTGAGTTTGAGTTTTGATGATAGCTAGCCCAAATTGCTGCGTGTGAGGCACTTCTCCCTCTCTCGTATCATGGAGAATCTCATGAATACATCCATCACGGCTGTGTTGGGTCCGCCACCAGCAAATGTTGACCTTAGGCAAAACCGGACATGGAGAGACAATGCTGCTGTTATCACCATCTCCGTTATTGCGGTAATCGCCGTTGCGATCAGATTTATTGTGAGACTCCAGAGCCAAAAGCCAAGACCCTTTCTGGACGAATGGCTTATTGCGGCGACTTTGGTGAGGGAACCCATTTTATTTGCATGTTAAGCCTTCAAAAAGCTCATCCATTTCTAGGTTCCTATGTTGGCCCTTTTGGCTGCCTCATTAGCCGGTGGCCATTATGGAATGGGAAAGCATGTCTGGCTTGTGACAATTGGTGCCATGGTGAAAATGAAGAAGGTATATAGATGCACCTCCAGAAGCGATGATGTATATGACTCACGAATGTCCAGATCTTATTCACCTATCTTTTCGTCTACCTATTTGAGCTGTTCCTCATCAAGATCTCTATCTTGGCCTTTTACCGCCGCATCTTTGGGCGAAACTGGTCGATTTGGATTTGCCTGTTTCTAACAACTGGATGGACAGTGGGAAGCATGATTGCCCTCCTGGTTAGCAGTGACCCGGTTGCTTATTTCTGGACATCAACCTACAACTCAAAGGGCGGTCATTATCGATACAACTTTTACAACTACTATATCGGAAATGCAGCCGCCAATGTCGTTATTGATGTCTTGATTCTTCTCATCCCGGTCCCGGTGGTCTGGAGATTGAAGTTGCGAGTTACTCAGAAGATCATGATAACTAGCGTCTTCTTTATGGGTGTGTTGTACGTGACCCGCCAATATATATTCTGCGTGATTATTTTCGACCCCGACTAATATTCACGTTTTAGTGTCTGTATCGCCAGTATCGTGCGACTCCACTACCTGACATATCTCAAGGGAACCCTAGATATCACATGGGTGATGAGCAATGTCTACGTCTGGTCCACCGTGGAACCTTGCCTTGGCATAATCTGCGCGTGTTTGCCAGCGCTCCAACCACTCATCCAATCATTCATGAAGGCAGAACATCTACTTTATCTTCGAAAGAGGATACGTCACAGCAAGAAAATGAGTCAAGTCAATCGGTTGCGAGAGCATATCAGCAACACTAGCAGTAGTGACAACAGCCATAGTCGATCGGACACTATGGATTCTTTTGACGGCAAGCCCGAGCTGGGCTTGCGAGCTCATGATGATGAAGTTCATCTTACATCGTGCGTGGCTCAGGCCGAGTCGGATAGGTGTCGTAAGGAAAGGGAGAATTTGGAGGAGTTTCTAGGTCCTATGTTTATTCGTGTGGAGCATGAAGTTGAATGGACGGTGGATCGCTCATAGTTTTGCTTTGCTTTATTTATTCATAATTGGATTAAGTTTCAACATATTCCAAAGTACATGTTTTTGAAAGAATCTAGGCAGAATTTATCAATGTCTATGTACAGCACGTTGCTCATCGCTCCTTTTTTGTTGCTAGCTAAGCGATTAAAATGCTGGGTGGAGGTCCGAGGTAGCACTCTTTCAATCCACCAAGATCTAACACGATTTTCTCCAACAGCAAATTTGAGTGATTTAACCTGACTCTGATGATGTGAGCGCCAGGATCAAGCTTGGTGAGAGCGTGATCGCGTTTCCAAACGCAATCCATGACAGCGTCCAGCCAGCCTTCAGCTGGAAGTTTATCTCTTTTCTCTTGAGATTTTGGCAGCAACAGATGACTCTGTGTGGGCTCGTTATCAATTGCAAACTCGTAGGACATAGGATGAGCGGGGTCGATATCAAGAGTCATGTTGAAGATCAGAGTCAAGGTTGGCGAGGACGTCGAAAAGGTGTAGACCGGGTACTCAAGGCATGGCACAGAAGCATCGTCTCCAAAGCCGAGTCCCGCAATAGTCACCGCTCCCTCGCTTGAACGGCCAAGTTCTGGATGATGCTGGTATGGTGCGTTAGTCTCCACCCCTGAAGCGGGGATAGATACACAGCCCTCCGATTCGACGAAGCCACAGAACGATTCAGGGGCTTTCTGACCATTCAGAGGCAGATGAACATGTTCAAAGTCTCCTTCCTTAGATAAAACACTGATCAAAACCTCGTCATCGAAATCCACCGGGACCTGCTCCCAGTCAACCGTTATCCAAACGCGCACATCACCGCCATCGGGAAACAAGGTGCCTGCTGTTTCAGAAAGCTGAATCCAGGAATGAGGAGCAAAGACGCTCCAATGAATAATTTGCGTGCCTCTGGTAAAAATATCAAACCATCTCTTGGTCGGACCATATCGACTCACGGGGCCAAGTGTGAGCCCTGGAACAAGATCCCGTCGACTTGGATGTGTTCGCTCACTCTCCTCATTAATTCGTCCAGCTCTAACACCTTCATGACCCTCCACTGCAACTCCCATCTGCCCAACAATTATATTGCTATTTTGATGTCGCTGCACGTATGCGAGACCGAAGATGGCATCACGCGAAGGCGCGTGCCATGTATCTCCATATCCCATGTGCGGTTGGCATAGCATGTAATTCCACTTTCCATCGAGGAGCGAGTGAAACTCTTGAGATAGCTTGAAATCCGCATCAAAAAGGTCAAGGGCTTGACGCAAAAGTTTGTTTGCTGTGTTCCGCCGTTGGCGCGCATAAAGCTGGTTTCGAGCTTGAACTACCCTCAATTGGGTGAATATAGAGCTTGCCTTTACCGGGTGAACGACAAGCTCCCAGAATGCCGGTCTCTGCTCTTCAGATACTTGTTCGTATACTGACTGTGCCTGTGACTCCAGGTTCTGCCATCGAGTCACAATGTTGTCGGCTTCATTGTAGTGTAGCAAGGCAAAGCTTTCCGGATCAATGTGCTCGTGTTTTCGCATGCGCACGAGTCGATCGTATTCATGCCAAATAGAGACAATTTCAAGACTCAAGCTGGATTTGAAGTAACTGGCCGCGGTTCTTCCCAAAAACTGAGGAATGGTATTCATTTGGACCGAGTCGATGTTCCATGCCATCTCCATCGCAAACGTAAGGGGGGCCTCGATTGGCTTAATATCGCCAACGTTAAAGACCCAGATCTTTCGGGCATTTCTCTGATATGCTTGAGACAGCTGGTGATAGATTTTACCCTGTTGTATGCCACGTCAGTTGATCAAGCTCCGGATGTGTATATGGCAAGTTGTAACATACCAATGAGTTTGAGTTGATCCACTTGTAGCTCCGTGGCGCGCCAACGTATTCAAAATGGTAGTATATCTGGTCAAAGTGTCAGCCATTTCAGATTCAGATTATTCCACATTTTGGTCAGCTTGTCAAGTAATGTGTGGAAATCCACATGCTCCCATAATCTTCCCCTAGATTGAACGAATTCTTGCACTTACTCCTGCACCTCCAGACCTGCTCTGCTCCTCCCCTGATGGCAGGCGACGCAAAGATCCAAAGTTGTCATCCGCGAATAAAAGCGTCACATCCTCTGGAACTGTAAATTCTCCAGCTTCATAGAGATCCTGCACCTCCTTGTACAGTGCCAGTACCTGAGGTACCGCATCTTCACGACCATGTACTTCCTTGAAAAGAGCGCGCTGTTCTCGCAGGACATCTCGCATGACAGCACCCGGATCATCAGTAACCATCTGCTTATCATATTCACCGCGCATGCCTAGAGTGAAATATGATTCGAGGCCCTTTTGCACGCTGGACGCCTTCGCGGAAGAACTGAACAATTTCATCACGGTGCGTGAGCCAGTTCCACGTTCCATCCGCGTGTTTTTGGAACCACTCAGTCGAAGCACGCTGCATTGGCTCGTGATGGGAAGTGGAAACGCAAATTCCATATTCATCTGCGATACGTTGATTCTCTGGATCGTCCAAGAAGAATACAGCACCAGGGTTTGGATACCCCGGCCACATCGCGGGCCACATGAAGTTTGCTTTTAATCGCAGAAGCAACTCGTAGACTTTCTTGTAGAAGTTGCTGTTGTATTTTCCGAAATTCTCCAGCACCCAGCCTGTTAGTGCCGGTGCTTCGTCATTGAGGAAAATTCCACGGAATTGGACGCTCGGCTCGCCCTGAGTAGTGCGTACTGGACGCGCATATATCTCCGGATGGAACTGCGCAGGGACATCTGCCCACCAATACCAGCTTTTCGAGGAAAAAGTATGTCAGTGAGATCATTACAAACGTAATCAACAGTACGACATACGGTGATACTCCAATTTGGCTTGAGAGGGTGTATGTCCCAAAGATTGCTCCTCTCTTATCACTCCCAGCAATCACCAAGGCCCTAGCACATCCAGGAAGCGGGTCATCAACAACACAAGTGATGAAAGATTCCCACCTGCCTCGAATTGTAGCAGTTTCAATCTTCCCCGCCTGCTCCAGCTCCCGAATCATCCAGCATGATTCTATGCACCCGATGATAATAGCGGCCGGTGCTTCTAGGCGGCCTTCTTGTACCAATTCAAATGAACTTGGTTTGCCTCGTACAACTCGACCAAAGTCCTCGGCTAGTGCCCGAGCTGCATGATGAACGCCAGCGAAATCAGCTGAATCAGCTATAATCTTGGCCCCGACAAGATTGAGAAGACCAGGGGAGTCTTTGAATACAACAAGAGAGTCTTCAGACATGACTGTGACACGCAATCACCGCACAGATGCCGAAAACTGCAGGTTGAACAGGTTCATGTCTTACTATTTGGAAGTCGCCGCCTATTTACAAGCCCACTCTCTTTTCGTAGAAACCGCCCCGCTCGAAGTGTAGTCGCGGGGTAATTGCTCCACAACAGGCGGCATAACAGGCGGAACATACCTTTTCGGGTCGTTGTCTCCCCGAGCAGTTCCCGTCAGAGCCGCAACCATTGCGAGTATGGATATTTCCGTTGCCGATATAGCAGTCACAATTCCGAGTTGGGAGCGTCTTATGTAGATGGTCCGGCGAAGCCCGGAAGGGTTATGGAGAATTCAAAACCTTAGCACGGTCTCATTGGAACAGACGAGAATTGGTATACCTACTACGAGACATGAATTCCATTCCTTTCGCAGCCGCTATGGATAGTTTCTTTTCGTAGCTTCTGTAATTGGATAGGAACACCAATCTTGCGATGATAGGGAGACGAACAAGTCCCTTCCGGTGTGTAACAATGGTAGGACTATATGATTTGGGGCTTTATGCATCTAGCTTTGCTCCATGAGTTACTCATAATGTACGACGCATGCTAAGCTATGCATTTTGCGAAGACTGGGACTCGGAGGTCAATCCAACCGATGCGGGGCCACCGTTCATCGACTCTGTTCCAGAAGACGGGGTTACAATGAAAGGCCTTCGTAGAGGTAACGACCATAGGGGCATTTGTGGTCAACATTATGGTCACTCAAATTAATTTTGCTTCTCGTAAGAGCTATTTTCATCTTAATCTTTGGACTCCATGGCGTGTAAACAGATAGGAAGCTCGTTTGAGACTTTTTGGTTGTGGTTTATGTAGTCATTTGCCCCCCTTCTGACCAATCAAATGGCGGTTTGGCCGAGTGGTCTAAGGCGATTGACTCGAATGACATTGAATGATTCAATGTACGTAATCAATTCCCTTCGGGGGCGTCGGTTCGAATCCGACAGCCGTCGATTAATTTTTTCCCGACTATCTTCTATATACTTTCTTGTTGTCTTTCAAAAACAATAATCTAGACGACTAGTACCTATCAAATGAGTCTCCAAATATGGAAGTATACAAGCTTATCATCACTGGAACTGCTGCTAGAAGCAGTCTAGTAGGGCCATGCTAAAGCTGAGGGTCCTGGAACCTCCTTGTGTCATACTCACACTACCTAACTGCCGTAAGAGCGGTATTAGAAACTAGTGTATAAACAATTCATCTCATATTATCTTCCTGGAATTAGTTAGTCTTGCACTAGTTACTCATCACTCTTGTATAATAACACCGTATATCCTTAACCAGCTTTTAGCATTTTCTATAAATGTTCATTGAGAGATTACGATTAGATATCTCTACTAGGTCGAATGATTATATGATAGTAGTCTCTTCCTTCAAGATCCACTCTTTGTATAAAAATAGACTAAAGTGAAGTATAGTTCTTTGTGTGTTATGAATGGTGAGCCGCATGTTGATCATGGCGTTTTTGAAAAAGGTCAAATAAACAAAATCTTTACATTTAGACAACAAAGCAAAAGAATTTTTTAGCACCGTTAAGCCTAAAAGAGCACAGTAATTCATATAAAAGGATAATAATCTCTTTCACCGCCGAAATTTGGTGTGAAACTATTATGCTTTAGTGTGACATCACTTTGCTACATCCTCGAACTGTAATAAAGTTCGGTTAGATACATGTTTGCTTTTGAATCTGGGAGGCTATAATCTAGTAGCATTTCTGGTCGCTGATAATTATCCAATGGCGGTTTGGCCGAGTGGTCTAAGGCGATTGACTCGAATGCTTCCACGTTTGTAATCAATTCCCTTCGGGGGCGTCGGTTCGAATCCGACAGCCGTCGGTTGTATCTTTTTTGTTCACCATTTATTTCATCTATAGTTATGATAGAGAAGTGACAAATACTTTTTGGGATTTATTTTTCCAATGGTTAATTGAAACTAAGCGATTGCATTGTACGTGCTGGAAAGGAGAACTCTAGATGTGATGATGTTGTGTGGCACCTGGCTGACTCTACAAGGATATACTAGAAATCTGCGAAATGTAGCTTCAATGCCACAAAGAGGGGTAATTCGTGCCAATATCTTTACAGAGAGAATATCCCAAGGGACCATCTCGCGAATAATACCACACAACCTGAAATTGAATTACGATTGCAACTCTAGTACGCAAAGGGAGGATAAGAGAAACATATGCTACCCAATTTATAGTATCAAGAGATATCATTCTCCTACGTTCTAATACGTATCATTCAACAAGAAGTTATCACCATCACCCAAGTACAAGGCTATAATGCCAGCGTGTCATCTTACGCAAGCCCCAGCTCTTGATAAAACGCATCAGTACGAGGCTCACGACCCAAAAACTGCGTAAGCGTAGTCATCTCATCCTGACTACCACCCTTCTCCAGCACGGTATACCGGTACCGACGACCATGCTCCTTGTTCATAGGATCATCCTTGAAGACAGTATAGAACATATCAGTCGAGTAAACCTGGGAGCTGAGATAACCATAGTAACCAGCATCATAACCACCGATCAGATGGCCAAAGGTGGCTTCGCCGTGGCCCCAGTCGTCGCTGGCGCCGAGGGCTTCAGGGCCGTCCATTTGGGTGATTTCCTGGCGGAGACGGTTGTAGGTCGCTGAGATGGGGAGGGCGGTGATATCGGCGTGGCTGGAGGGTTCGTGGACGGTCATGTCGAAGATGCCGAAGTGGAGCTGGCGCAGGTTGAAGAGGGCGTCGTTGACGTGCTTGGTGCGGATGAGGTTGTCAATGACATCGTCGGGGATGCGCTCGGATGGAGGTGCGGTGGCGGTCTTGCCACCGCTGCGGGCTTGGTGGGCTTCTTGCCAGCCGGCGAGATACTCGGGAGAGAGGGTGGAATAGTGACGGCTCAGGGCACGGAGCTGCGAGGGCGTCCAGCACCAGTTCTCGAGCATCTGGCTGGGGGCCTCGACAAAGTCCCGCACGGTGTTGGTACCATGGAAGCGGGAGTAGATGGTCTTGGAGACGAGGTCGTGGATACCGTGACCCAGCTCGTGGAAGAGAGTGACGACTTCGTCGTGCTTGAGGAGACTGGGCTTCTTGGCGGTGGGCTTGGTGAAATTGCACACCAGCGCGGTGGCAGGATAGCGGCGGTTTCCTTGTCCGTCGATGAAGCCCTGTAATGGGGAGAATGATTAGCATTTTAGCATTCCCTTGTGTGACTCTTTCAACATACCGGCTGGAGGTTGAAGTTGGCAGCGTGGCCATACTTGCCCTCACGAGGGAACAAGTCCAGATAGAGATATCCGACAAAGCCATTGCCCTCACCAGCATCATCCCACACGCTAAACACCTGCACGTCCTCATGCCAGACAATATCATCACCCTTGCCAGTGGGAGCCACAGCCGCGCGGTCCTCACCAACAATCTCAACAAACTCCAAACCGAACAGCTCCTCGAAGATCTTCAGCATGCCCTCAATGGTAGTCTGCAGCGGGAAGTACTCCGCAATGAGCTGTTGGTCCAAAGAGTAATCCTTCTCCAGCATCAAACGGTCATAGAACCGGTGGTCCCAGAGGTAGTACCGACCATCATCCTTCGGGTCCGTGGCCTTCTTCAGCTCCATCAGAGTCTGAATCTCCCGCTTACCGCCAGCGGTAAGACGAGAACGCAGATCGCCGAGGAACTTGTTCACAGTCTCAGGGGTCTTGGCCATCTTATCCTCAATGCGGAAGGCAGCGTGGTTGGGGTAGCCCAGTAGCCGAGCAGCCTCATCACGAAGCACAATTGCCTCCCGGAAAAGCGGCACGTTCTGGTTGCACTTGTTCTCGTTGGCGGTCATGACCTGGCGACGAGTGTCCGGGTTGGTGGCATACTTCATCGTGGGGAACAGATCGGGGTACTTGAAGGTCAACCAGAGCTTGCCGGCATTCTCACCCTCGCCCTTCTTCAGGCCAGACAGGACATCATCCGGTACACCGTCCAATTGCTCGGGGGTGAACCAGATACCACCGTTCTCCTCGTTCAAGTTCTTCTGGAACTCAATACTCAACTGACTGAGACGCTTCTTGATCTCCTTGAAACGGGCACGCTTCTCGCCCGCAGGCAGACCAAGACCATTTCGAATGAAATCCTTGTGCTCCTTCTCCAACAGCCGGCGGGACTCGGGGTCCAAAGTCTCATTCTTGTTCAAGACAGCATCCACCAGCTTAAACACATCCTCCCGCATAACGGACTCAATGAAGAACTCATCCATGAGCTCCTCGGCCTTAGACGAGGCATCACGGAGCTTCTGGTCCGTTGATACAGCCTGGTAAAAGCCAATGATATGCGCTTCCAAAGCCATCACATTCTCATCCTGAGACAGAGGACCCAGCACGCCGGCGAAAGTAGCCGACTCGGGCTTCACCTCCGCAACAACCTTATCCTGGACAGCACGCGAGGTCTTGATGAGACGCTCCGCATCGGCGACAACGGACTGCGGGGTAGCAGTGAAGACGGGCGGGGCCTGCGGCGGACGCCGGAGGTGAGCGGGAGCCATGCTGGAGGTGGTCAAGTATCGGTAGTAGACTGGAGTCGTAGTACGGAAGTGACCCAGCACGGAAGAGAGGCGGGCGGGGAGACGGAGGAAGGGCGCCACGATGAGGATGGCGAGGAGAAGAATAAGAAAGTGGAAGCGAGCGGTGAACGCAATGCTGGGCGGAGGAGAGGGGGAATGCGGTGTGTGGTGGGGGTGTTTTTGAAACAGGGCGTACTGTAGTAGTTGGCCGATGAGGTGCAGCTGTACCTTCCGTCGTACTATGGGGAACTACGGAACTACGAGCGGGCTGTTTGGCCTGAGGCAGACATCATGTATATAGTGTTGTAGTACATGACACGTGATGCAGACCCGCCCCCGCGTGATGTTGACTTTTTTGCCCGAATTTGGTGGCTTCTCCTTTCTCAGGCCTCCACAATGATGAAAACGATCGAGGACGACCTACTGCCATCGGTTCTACCATCTGATAATCTACTATCAGACTGATCTACTAATCTAGGAATCACTGACAAGGGATATAGGTATCAAAGAATGGATATAGGTTCGTTTCTAGTTCATGACAGATTATTTAAGTGCCCAATCGCTTTTCAGAATGAGAAGAAAAAAGAAAAAGCACTCTTGAAGAAAGGAAAGCACATGAAAACGCCTAATAAACACCACAACCCCCGAGGCCCACGAGAATGCAAAGTATGTCGTCTAGAGCAAAACAGAAAGGACATCACAAAAAAAAGTCTAAGCGGCATCCGCAGTGGGGATGGGCTCGGGGATCTTGGTGACCTGCTGGCCAGCACGGATGACACGCTGGCCCATCTCGTCACGAACATACTCGGAGTTCTCCTTGTGGCTGCGCTTCCAGATCTCGACCTCACAGCCACCACGGATCACACCGACACGCATGGTGGACAGCAGGTTGTGGGCAGCGTTGGAGTGGTAGTAGATACCACCGTTGAACATGGCGGTGGCATCCTTGCCAATACCAGAGCTGATCATGGCCTTGCCACCGGGGTGGTCCTTGATGAAGTCGGTCACGTCGTGGACAACACCGGCGATGGCAATCAGACCACGGCCGTTCTTGGACTGCTCGACATAGTCATCCCACTCCATGACGGGGAGCTGGTCGAGAGGAGTACCCCAGTCCAGACGAGCACGCTTCTGGTCAATCTTCTTCTGGAGCTGCTGGACACGGCCCTTCTCGATCTCGTTGGCACGGAACTGCTTGAGATCGTAGGCGAGGCCGAGCTGCTTCCAGGTCCAGATGGTCCACTTGGTGGGGTCATACTGGTGCCACTCGATGGCGTTGCGGTAGTCGGAGGGGAACTCGTGGTGGAAGTTGTGGTATCCCTCACCAAGGGTGACGAGGGCAGTGATGACGTGGTCACGGGGAGAGTTGCGGTCATCGAAGGGCTGGTCACCGAGCCAGTGAGCCAGAGAGTTGACGCAGAAAGTGGCCTGCTGGACAAAGAAGATGCGCAGGATACCGGCGTACACGAAGCCACCGAACCAATCACCCCAGCCGAGACCAGCAACGAGCATGGGGGCGATCAGACCCATGCCAAAGACGACCTTGAGGTAGTGACGGTGCTGCCAGATGACGACGGGGTCCTCGTTCAAGTCGGAGATGTCGGTACGGCCAATGCGCTTGGGGTTCTGCTTCATGACCATCCAGCCGAGGTGGGAGTACCAGAAACCCTTGCGGACCGAGTAGGGGTCCTTCTCGGTATCGGTGTAACGGTGGTGAGCACGGTGGCCGCGAGCCCACCAGCGAATGGAGCCCTCAACGGCACCACCACCAACAAGGGCGAGCCAGATGCGCAGAGGCATAGTTGCGGAGTAGGAGCAGTGAGCCCAGAGACGGTGGTATCCTATGGAAGGTGGCGAGTCAGTACTCAATTGTCCATTGGGGGGATATCTGATCCGATCATAGATATTGGCTTACCTGCAGTGATACCGAGACCAGTGAAGAAGTAGTAAATGACGGCCCAGATGGCAGTCTTCAGCTGAAGCGGCACCCAAAGGGATTGAATGCAGCCATAGGCCGGGATGCCGAGAATGAGGAAGACGTTCAACCAGTTGACGTGCTTGTACCAGTTGTTGCGAGTCATGGGGGTATCAGCGATATGGACCTTCTTAGTGTCCGTCGCCCGAGGGCGAGAGGACTCAGCCTTGGTCGACATGGTGTGTGTCTCGCTGAATGTGTGGAGGAGGGGGTTGTGAAAAAAGAATGAGAGCGAAAAAAGGCGTGCCAGGGAAGGGGGAGCTTTATTTTTTTATATGAGGAGGCCCACCTGAGACCAACGTTGGGGGGAGGGAAGGGTTTGATCGCCAACGGATGTATGGGGAAGCTCGGCGCAAGGCGAATCAAAAGGCCGTTGCGGTGTGGAATCACAAGATCCCGAGGTCTACCAGGGGGAAAAGGGCAAATGGAAAGAGGAATTGAAGGTCTGAAATAGGCCGATCAATTTCTTTTTCTTTTTAGACCTTTGCCATTCGGTCTTTTTCTGAGTGGCGATCTCCTTCGTTCGTACAAAATTGGATGTTGGGTCCGCCCCAACGCTTTGTGGCCTGAGGCAGCAAGAGGCTGAGATAAGCATATGGGAGGGCCGCCATTGGCTAAACCGGGAAAATACGGGGCCGTCAGGCCAGTCAGGCCATGCTGAGCTAATCCCATTGAAAAACGTAGATGGAGTTTTCGTATGATGGCATGTTGTGTAGTTGCATGTTGCCACAATTCCATTTACCCCGGCATTTACATTCACCCGTCATTTACAATTACTAGTCAACTGTAGTAGTGCTGTATACCTACATTTCTCTCTGCTTGAAACTTCTCGTGCCTTTTCCCGTTCCTCGTTCCTGTACGGAGGAGGCTTCCGCCACGATAAGCTCCCGCCTTCCGTTGGGGCACGTGACACTGCAACATTCCACGGGCCTAGAACGCCATTTCTGTTGGCGGCTCCTCCAGTCACGTTGCTCGGATTATACCCTCATACTGTGACTGTGACTCGGTCAACTGTTCAGTTTCAGCAGCGCCGCTCGAATATTCATCTCCAGCCCTGTAACATGCGCGTCCATAGCGTGTATATCACATGTTCTAGAGAAGGCTTTCCTCACAGCGAATGGCTACCCGTATGGTCCTGATCCTGCGTCACGGCAGTTATGGTGGCAAAACAACACGAAAACTAATGAACTCAACCATTCCGACAGCAATAGCCACCAAGATGGAGCGTCATGGCTACGTCGGCAGAAACTGATCATCAGATACAGATTACGATTGAACAAGAAGCAATGTTGTCGCGACCAATGCTCCGAGGGGGTACTGCCACTCGATCTGCCTCTGGCTCGTGTCAATATCTCTGCCTGAGGCTGAAGCCGAAGCCGAGGCTGGGGGTGACAAGTCGACAACCGCTACCGGCAAGTACGGCCAGATCATTGAATGACGAATGTTGATGGGCAATTGAGATATCTCGATCATTTTTCACCCTTTGAATCATCCATAATTTTCCGATGATGCGGTTGCTGTCATCACCGCAATGCGAGTCCGAGGCAGTCCCATTGACCAGATACAGTGCCCCCTCCAACACAACATTGCAGCACCAAATCGCTTCATGAACAGACCTTTCCAAGACACAGCTTACCTTCCGATACCTTCCTCAAACTAAGAGCCAAGAGATTCAACTGTGACCTCCCCCGCGTTCCAGAAAAACCCGCAGAACCCCCTCCAAAGTTCAAATATAGTTTGAACTTCGCAAGCCCGATTTCCTGGGGTACCGGCTACGGCTACTTCTTATAGCTTCCACCCTTCAGCCACCTTGTCTGAACCCCTGACGTCCTGATAGGCCACTCGGCGCCTTCCACCTCCCACGGGCACCTCCGTCGGCGCCCCTTTCAAGATAAACGATAAACCCCAGATATACATGCAGCGGTAGCGGCAATAATCTTCCCGGGTATCCCGAGTTCCCACGTGTTGCCGATAGGGCGACACCGGGCCTATGAGAAATCAAGGATTGTATGTATAATGACTGCGGAATACTTTTGTATGGATCTCTATGGAGTCCTGTGCACAACATCGTAGCCTAGGACAAGGGGGATCAGCGACAAGCGTGTAATGAAGGGATCCACCAATATCCAATATCATGACTCGGTCATGCAAGATGGTCTACGAAATAGTAGTAGACTAGTCGTACAAGGTGATCGTAATAGCCTCGAATAATAAGCGGCTAAACCATTTCGCTTGCTTATCTCCCCCACCCGGGAGAACTGGGGGGCGGAGAGCCATCTTGAATACGTGATTGGGCACTAGCAATGCAAAGTTGCCCCACGGAAGATAAGAACCAATCCACCCTCGAACGTCCTCCAGCGAAGTGAACTGGACAGTTCGGAGTTAGTTATACTTACCCCGTAGGGACTAGTAGCAGTGCTTGCCTTAGTCTAGGGAAATCCAGTTATGCGATGCTCTTGGCTAATGCCAACCGGAACCAAGCGATCGAAAAAGCATCTTATCGCCCTCCCCGGCTGGCCCTTCTCCACACGGATTCGGGGCCACGAGTTAGAGTTCGCGACACGTCGGGTTGCTTTGTGAGAAGCTTGGCTTTTAATTAATTTTTTTTCGGTCTGGGTTTTTTTTTACCTTTTCTTCCCGAGTAACGACAAGTCTTCGAAGTCGCTTGCTCACGCGATCGAAATAGATATATAATACATTCCCCATCTCCGGTGGAGAATGTGATCTAGTCTTGGAGTGTGCAACGATCATTTGAATACATATCCGATCCACGATATTCTGACACGATGGACGGCCCCGACCAAATCGGTCCTGACCATGGACCGCGAAAAACTGTTGGCGACAAGTTTCGTCGTTTCGTCAAGGCTTTTACTACGAAGTAAGTCTTGTCTTTGCCTGTCCATATACAGCATCACGATAGATGATTCTGGATACGGTCACTAGTTACACACGCTGACTCCTTAAACAGAGAGGGCCTCATCGGCAGCTACGATTATGCATACCTCTTTACCCCGCGTCTCCCATTCACGAAACGCGAGCGCAAGTCCACTCCTTTCTTCGGGCTGGAGGATCGCATGCCAATTCTGTTGGCCCTGATTCTGGGTAAATCTCAACATTATACTCGACGTATTTCGAACCGGAACTGATCCAAAAACAGGTCTTCAACATGCTCTTTCTATGCTGGCTGGTGGTGAGTTTGATATTGACACGCAAACTATCTATATGTAGATGGAATATGGCGAACACCTTGCTAACGTATACTGCAGTCATTTCACCACCCATTATCCTCGGTGGATCCTCCGGTGTCAACTTTGGCGATGAGATCTATCAATACCTCGTGTCAACCTCCTTGATCGTTTCAGGCCTTTTGAGTGCAATGCAAATGGCCCGTTTCCATGTCTACGGCACCAAGTACTACATCGGTACAGGACTGCTGTCCGTGGTCGGTACGTACATCCCCATTACCCATTCAATCCAATCCACGCCTCGATCAATATAAACTAAGACCTCCTCTCAACAGGAACATCCTTCTCCACCATCACAGTCGCCTCCGGCGCCTTCACCCAAATGTACAAATCGGGCTACTGCCCTCTCGACGCAGACGGAAACCGACTCGCGTGCCCTAAAGGATACGGCGCTCTCCTGGGAACATCCTGTCTCTGCGCACTCCTCGAAATCGGCCTCTCCTTCATGAGCAGCCGCATCCTCGCACGCGTCTTCCCCCCAATGGTCACCGGCCCAACAGTCCTCCTGATCGGCGCCTCGCTCATCAAAACCGGTATGCAAGACTGGGGCGGTGGTTCCTCCTGCGTTCCCGATTCCTCGAGTTCAGTTCGGCCCATGTGCCCGAGCGCTACTGCCCCGCACGCACTGCCATGGGGTAGTCCCGAGTTCATCGGATTGGGTTTCCTCGTCTTTGTGACTATCATTCTGTGTGAGCGCTTTGGCCCGCCTATTCTGAAGAGCTGCGCCGTTGTCGTGGGTCTGCTGGTTGGATCTATCGTTGCGGCAGCTTGCAACTACTTCGAAACGTCGGGTATCACTTCTGCGCCCGTTGCTTCCTTCGCATGGGTACATACCTTCCCATTGTCCATCTACCCACCCCTCATCCTCCCATTACTAGCATTGTACCTGGTCATCATGATGGAGTCCATCGGTGATATCACCGCAACCTGCGACGTCTCCCGCCTAGCAGTCGAGGGACCAACCTTCGACTCGCGCATCCAGGGCGGCGTCCTCGGCAACGGTATCACCTGCCTGGTAGCCGGCCTGATGACAATCAGTCCCATGTCCGTCTTCGCCCAGAACAACGGCGTCATCGCCCTGACCAAGTGCGCCAACCGCACGGCCGGTTTCTGCTGCTGCTTCTTCCTGGTTATCATGGGCATATTCTCCAAATTCGCCGCTGCGCTGGTCGCAATTCCCTCCGCCGTACTGGGCGGCATGACAACCTTCCTCTTCAGCAGTGTCGCTATCTCCGGTATCCGGATTATCTCGACGATTGATTTCACGCGTCGCAACCGGTTCATTCTCACTGCGACTTTCTCGCTGGGTATGGGTATTACGCTTGTGCCTGATTGGTGGTCGTACGTGTTTTCCTACAGTGGAGATAACCATTCGTTGGAGGGATTGTTGAATGCTGTCGATCTGGTGATGGAGAATGGATTTGCGGTTTGCGCTATTATGGGCGTGTTCTTGAACTTGGTTATCCCCGAGGAGCCGGATGAGGTTCCTGCGGTTTATAACGCGGCTGAGTCTGAGGATGGTCAGACTCAGACTGTTACTCCGGAGCAGGGCTCTACGGGGAAGAGGGAGTAGTGGATGAGTGTGTGATTTGTTTTTGTGTTGACCATGTGATACCTTAGTTTCTTTCTAGCGTTGTTGTATTTATAGCTAATTTCGAATTGAATCTCGACTATGATGAATTGTATCTCCGTGTAAATGAATAGACATTCGTCTATTCTCTTGAATTAAGATAGAGCTCTTCTTATCTTGGAAGGTTAGCTGGTGGGCACATAATTATGTGAGGGAATGGGCCAGCAGTAATATCAAGTATGGAGAACAACTCATGGCTTTGGACCCCCTTGATGGATCCTGATATCAAATACAAAAGGCATGGAAAGTCTAGATGTGTATAGCATCAAATCCAAGACAATGAACAAGCATTTTTCTAAAAGAGGCACTCAAATAACAAATACCGATGTTTGCCACGGTCCCTTCCGCAAGAACCACCCCATCAAACCATATACTTCACTTCAAACCCTCTCCCATCAACCAACCCACCCCCTGTGGCCTAGTCGGTAACCGTAACTCACCCTGGGTGCTGCCAGACCGCGCCCCTTACATAGGGTATCAGGGTTACGGGGCTAGTTCCCCTGGCGTGTCGGGGTGGATCTTCGGAGAAGCTTACTCGGCGTACTTTGTTGGATTGATTCCTCGCTGTGGGGCTCAGTAAATGGTACTTAGGTTTGAGTCTTCGAGCTTAACTGGGGTTCCTTTTATTTTTAGTGTTAGTAGTTGTGTTTTTGGTAGGTTTTGTTGGTGGTAGGCAGTGAGGGCACGAGGATGATGCTATTCAGACCCGGAATTTGGGACGGGGTGTGAGAACATCAAATTTGGGGTTAAGGGTTCGAATACTGCGTTTGGCAGTTTGATTTAAGGAGGACTTCGTTCTTTATATCACAGGAAACTTCGATTTTGTATATTGTACATATAATACAGGCCAGTCATTCAATCATACACCCTCAACCTTCTCCCCAGGCGCCAGCATCTTAATATACCGATGCTCCCCCGTCTCCAAAACCCGCACCTCATCACCAACAGCAAGGGAACACTCCTCAACAGCAGGCACGAGCTGCAACCCCAAACAAGCATTCGTCGGATCACCCAGATCAACCCGGCGATAGGACTTCAACGTCCGATCCGGCTCTGCCTTGTGCCGATCCCCAGTATCAGGATCCACATTCGGCAGGCGACATCTTACAGTGCGACATGCGGCATATATCTCCGTCTCCCCGATCATCATCCTCTTCCACTGATCCTCAGCAAAAGCCTCGGGACCCTGGACGATGATATTCGCACGGAACCGTCTAATACTCAAGCGTGGGATCGCCTCTGCACATCGTCCAGCGACATCTCGATGGCTGGTGATATTGAGGAGGTGAATCGGGTATGCGTCTGCAAAGGCTGTGTTGGGCTGGAAGCCTATTTGCTCTTTGCCAGGTGCATTGCGGAAAATCTCCCGGTTGTGCGATGGGTGGGCACGGAAGAGACTCAGAGTAGACTTTGAGTGATCGAAGCCTAGATAGGCGTGCAGGGAAGGTGGGATGAGACTCCCGTAGTCGTAGGCGAGAGGCTTGTCCTTCCAGATTCTAACCGGGACAACTGGATACTTGCTGTTCTTGGCCGGGACGAGGGGAACCTGGAATGAACGTCGAGACTCGAGGAGGCGGATTGCCATGGCTATCTTAATAACAATACCCAGGGGACATGACGGTGCGACTCGCGGGTATGAAATGATCATCACGCCGTCCGACTGCATCTCCGGTCGACGGTCGTCGTACTCTGGCGAGGAAGGGTCGGGAACCCAGATCTCCGTGTGGATCAATGCCATACGTTGGAAGCCGGCATTGCGAAGAGTACGACAGTTCCATCCGTCGCCCGTCTCCTCGGCAAAGGCGAATTGGCGATCGAATTTGAGGCCCGTACCTACGACATCGGAAGTCTGTAGTTCGATGCCGCCACAGGATTTGAGCGGGTAGGTGAAGAGGGCTTTGACGCGCCAAGAGGGGAGGCCATTCTCCTCTTTCTGATCACCGGGCACACCATCGTTGTATTTAGAATCATATTCATCGGTAAGATTGCTCTGTCCTGGAGCAAGACCCAGTCGCCGACATCCTTTGGGTTTTTGGTCTGGAGAGGCATGCATCAGAGCTAGCAAGGGGAATACGCCGATGGCCACGATCCAGAGGAGGCCAAAAATGAAAAATGCCCCGAGGGACGAGATTTCGAATGTCCCACTGGTAGAAGACATCTTGATGTCTTGATTTCTTGGGAGTTGTGAAGGGAGTATATTCACCACCTGCAGGCCGAGCCTCTTCAACTTTTTCCGACGAGTCGCCACGGGACCCACTTTGATCGATCCTCCCCACGACTGTCCCGAGCAGCAGTAGAGGGCGACGCCACGAGGACTGGCAACAGGCAACAGGCAACTGGTGATCGAGTCTATAATGCCCTAATAGATCAGAGTCATACTCGAATATGTCACATCCATACATGCCTTGTTTTCGACTGATGCGCTAGCGATGAGCATCAACAAGGACCTGCTCGGCCTCGACAGCCTCGACACGCGTAAGTCGTCAGCCCGTGAGAGACGTGTTTAGCAGCTCAAACTAATTTGTAAATCAAGTCCCCGTGATCTCCATATCCGCCTCACAGTCTTTAAACGCGTCGGCTGCGTTTAGAGAGCCGATATCCACAGGGCTTGCGCGTCTGGACGAGGCATTAGATGACTCGCCTGCCGACCAACGCCGATCTGGTGGGATACTCCGTGGCCAGGTCACCGAGGTCTTTGGGCCACCGGGAGTAGGGAAAACATCCTTAGCGTGAGTTTCTTTCGTCGCGAATACATGAATCCTGAATTGACCCCTGAAACAGACTAGGCGTCGCATCGAATGCACTCCGCGATGGCGGAAAAGTCATCTGGATCGGTAGGATATCCCTGTCATTGTAATCTGATATCTCTATTTTCGAGCCAAAACTGACCATCGTCAGATACTGGCTCACCAATCCCAACATCCCGACTCAAATCCATGACCCCAGATCTAGACAATCTAACCTACTTCCGGGCCCCAACACTACCACACCTCCTCGCCCTTCTCACCCGCCCACCAAAAGGCTTCCCACCTGAGGAAACAAGTCTCCTAGTTATCGACTCCATCTCCTCCCTCTTCCCAGGTTATTTCCTCAGCGCGGCAGAACTAAAAGACCGACTCGCACAAGGCAAAATCACCGACAAAGCCCAGCTACAGTGGTTACTAAACCGCAAATGGAACGTCATCAGCGACGTAGCCACGCATCTATCGCGTCTGGCGGCGCGGAATATCGCCATCCTAGCATTGAACCAGACACATACTAAGATCAAGGGCCAGCCACGCGCGACACTACATCCCGTCGTTGCGGGTGGTACGTGGGAGACGAATGTTCAGACGAGGATTGTTCTGTATCGAGATTTACCTGATATGCGGTTTGCGGAGATTACGAAGAGAGCGGGGAGGACTTTGCCTGTGCGGTTGAATGAGCTGATTGTTCCGTTTTGTATTGGGGAGAATGGTCTTCATGAAGTGGAAGAACCGAAGATTCCTGAAATTCTTGAACCGACGCCTAGTCGGAAACGGAAAGCCGAGAATGAAGTTGCGGATAGTCAAGATGAAGATTCGGAGGAAGAGTATGAATGGATGGGCGAGGCCTTGCTGGATGATAGTTGATCTACCAGCGAAAGAAGAGAAAGACCGGACATGAACAGACTCATGCAAATGCAAGGAATCAATATTACATTATATTTCATAATCATACTCATCCACCATGAATCCCCGGTCCAACCTCCACAAAAACCCTCCCCTCCACAACCCTCGCCCCATCCGGCGTAGACAAAACCTCCTTCGACTCGGGCGTACAAGGCAAATCATCACTCCGATCCGGCGTCTCCGGCGGACGCTGAAACGAACAAAGCGGCAACGTATCCGCCATAGAAATAGAAATAGGATGCCGCGAACCCTGAATAAGATCGACCAATCGTCCCAACACAGCAAACTCCAACTTCAACTTGAGCGAGTAAACAAACCCCTTGAGCGTAATCTGCACGGCATAAAAATTTGCATACTCAAGGCCCAGCAACAATAAATCCATCGCGATAATAGCACAATTGATCCCAATGAGCTGATACATAATCGACCTTGCATCCGGTCTAGCCGTAACATCGGCACCCAGACGAAGCAATTTCACAGCCTCGATAACATACAACGTGCCCAGCAGAGATTCCTGAATGGTAAAGCCCGTAAGTTGAATCTTCTCCATGATATTATACCCCTTGATCCAGGCCCTATCACCGGTATGCACAATATTCGCCCCATACGTCAAAACCGTCGTGGGAATATGCAAAAGAAAGAAATTGGCCACAATCAACCACAGAACCCGTCTCAGTATCTTCTCATCCCTTAACACCAGATGCAGACGCGAGTACAACACGATCGATTGACCCGTCACCATCGTCCACCACCCCACCGTCAACACGGTAACCGACAAGACAGAGTCGGCGCGGGTAAAAAACTTCATCAAGAAGCCGATCGAGTACGGGACGACGCCTATACAGCCTGATGCGAGGAGGGACCAGAAATAGAGGCCGCGCCAGCGGCGGAATGTTGATGGGACGAGGACGACTAGTTCGGCGACGTTGTAGCATGATAGCCCGATGAAGGTGACTAGGATCATTTGCAGGACGTCGCCTTCTGATGCTAGTGCGCCGGAGATACCGTCCAGCAGGTCCTGGGGTGGATCGGACATGGTGGTGGGTGGGAATTGGGTGGTGACTGCGCTTGGCGGGGGTAGAGTAGAGATCTGCAAGAGCAAGAGCAGATATAGAGGGAAGCTCGGTGTACGATATACCTCGGATTGATAAGGTTAAACGGGGGCGAGAGCCACGTTCACCCAGTTTGATACGCGAACATATCTTGAGAGAGGAATGGAGCGGAGGGTGAGAAGCGAAGATGCATGAACGAGGGAGAGAATAGCGCGTCAACGAGGGAACGAGGGAGGGGGATTGGAAGAGTAGGGTTATAAAAAAAGAGCAAGTCGGTATCGCAATGCCAGCCGCGTTGTATGTTGCACAGCGTCAATCCTGGGCGATACTGTGCAGGTCAAGGTAAAGAAAGACAACACAGCAACGGGCTGTAGGGTACGTATGGTAGAGTCGAGTAGTTGGAAAGGAAAGAAAAAGACCAGACAAGTCTGCAACAGAAAAGACAAGACCCAATCCTTCAAAAGAGCTAGCCAATGAACTAAACCCCGAGGATCCCAAGGGTGGAGGATCCAAAGTACAGTAAAAAATGCAAGATGCAACTCCACCTCCCCCCGTCACGTAAAAGCACCGGGAAGGGAAATCGCGATTAAAAGGCACCCTCGAAAATCCGACACAGACACGGCAGCCAAGAAAAGGAAATAAAAAGTAGCGAGTTAAAAGACTGCCCTCTTTTCTGATACACCCTTAAACTTTTCACCAACTACGGAAAGTTAGGAACGGGAGCAGGACTAACAGTCACAGCTAGCACTAGCAGCCCCTAGCGAGTTCCGGGGGCCAAAATCCCGGGGTAGATCGGCGCCAGCGCCAACGCCATTAATTCAATAGTCTGGTATTGGCGATGGGTAGACCGGGAACCCCCTTAGTGTCATATTAGCATGTGCCTCGGGATTACTCCAGAGGGGACTTTACAGTACTACACACTATTCTAGTCTCAAGTTAGGGGGGCTACCGTACGTACGTACTCCGTACAGTATACACTGGACTGGACTGGATAGTGAAAGGGGTCGTAAGTTTTGCGGTTTTCCGTAAGAGCGGGGGTCCGTTTGGTCTGCCGATTGGGCACTCGATTACTCTGTTGTTTAGGAATATACGAGAAATAAGGATGGGAGTAACCGGGAGGCAATAGGCATGTCATACTGTCAGGGAATATGACAGGATGGTCACAGACCACCCTGCGCACCCCCTAAAGGTGGTCCGGTCGCTCCTATTGTCCGCCGAACAAAGCAAAGGTTTAGCCCCAATACCATAGAGTCGAGATTACGTCCGTGCTGTGATAGCGTACCGACCGACATGAGTTACTGGTGGGAAATGAAAATACTGGACAGTCCAAGCAAGGCTACGCAAGTACCCGTCCTGCTGTGGTTGTCCTTGAAATCGATTCGTTGTCGACTACACCGCACTTAGCACCTCCCGTGGACAGTGGACAGATCAAAATAAACAGTCACAGGAGCTAAAAAAAACAATTACAGCATGAGAAGAAAAGGGGGTGTCATTCGAGTCTAGTTCATACTCTGGGCCGGATTAAGCTCGCTCTCTCTCCATCCCCTCATAGGTTGGTCAGGTAGTCCTCGATCTGCTCCTTGGTCAACTTCCTGAACCGCGGGCCTTGAGCACCCTCCACACCCTCGTAGCCCAACAGGTGATCCGCAGGTGGGCCCACAATACCTATCAAGCAAAATTAGTAGTTGATCATACCAGCAAATCAACGCACACTTACCAATCTCTATTGTGTCCCCGTTCATCTCACCCTCAATAGTCTCCTTGAGCGTCAACAGCGCAATGTGGATCGCATCCTCCAGCTCCAACCCCTCAGTGTACCGCTTCTCCAAGAAAGTCTTGGCGCTCGTCGCATGCTTGCCAATGGCCGTCGCCTTCCACGGGTAATAGCTACCGCTAGGATCAACCTGGTACAGACTGGGACCGCCCTTAAGGATTCCACCAGTCTTGCCGGCAGATTTAGCAGGCGAGTCCGAGTCCTTCTTCATATCGGCCGCCTCGGGCTCAATACCCTCATCCCAGCCCGCGACCAACAGACTAACACCGTATGGCCGCACACCACCGGACTGCGTGGCCTCCTGCACCACCCGGGCAACGTCCTGCACCAGTATCCGCGTCGGCGGGTATTCGTTGTAGATGCGCTTGTAGCCCGTGTGCGAGACCTTGCGGGCCTTGTCGACCAGCACGCGGTAATCGGGGCCCATGCCGGCGTAGACCATGCCGATGTCCGGAGTGATCAGGGAGATCTTGGAGAGCGAGGGAGGGTCGATGAGCGGCGAGGAGGATTTCTTTTCGGTGGCGAGGACAATTCCATTGGTGGCTGGAAGAGAGTAGTTAGCTTAAGTTTACACAAGGAGGGTTGTCTGATGGTAGAACGGAGTTCGGTTCTCGTTCTTACCTTTGATGCCCAGGGCCGTGACACCCTGGTTGACCGCATTTAGAGCATATTCTGGATGGAGCTCATTAGTAAAGTTGATTCCCACGGGGGACATCACATTTCGAGTTCAATGTTTGCAGTACTTACCAATCTGCACCAGCTTTCCACTGTAAGACGATGCGAGTTAGCTTCCGGAGCAATGGGGCTTGAGATCAACAAGCTTCAACATACCTGGGCGAGAACGTAGTCAGGGAGAAGGAGTAGCGGTCCGCCATGATATGATACTATTATCCAAAGCACAGCTTGATATGACCGCAGATTCAAATGATGGAGGGGGAAAGGAAGAAGGAAGGGCGATGGAGCTGTAGGCAGAAGACGGGTGACGTTTGACGCGGTAGAGCTTCGGCCATCGCAGCTGTGCTGTGGACAAAGGCGGTGAGTCCAATGTGGATTAGCGGCCACATAAATTGGTGCCTTTTCTTTTCCATCTCTTTCTCTTTCTCCCCATCAGATCTCGACTCCGTACAACACTCGAGGTTAAATGACATGACCCCGTCGACAATTACCTCTCATGGACTCCCCGAGCAATGAGTCGGACTCGCCGGGGTATACGGCCCAAACTCCCCCTCCACCAGAGCCCGAGCAGAGCTATTACCCCTCGCGAGTCTGTCGCATCTGCCTAGACACGGTGCTGCCCACCGTGCAGCCGTCCGAATTTCTCCAAAAGCCCCGCGTGGTCTACGAGTCCACCGACCCCGAGCTAGGTCGACTGCTCCGTCCCTGCAAATGCAAAGGCTCCTCGCGATATGTACACGAAGGATGTCTACAAACATGGCGGCACGCGGATCCCAGATATGGCCGGCGGAACTACTGGCAATGCCCAACCTGTGGCTTTCAGTACCGGCTGGAACGGCTTACTTGGGCTCGGTGGATTAGTAGCTCCGGCACTCAGATTCTGCTTACCATTGGCATTCTACTTTTGACTATGTTCTTACTTGGATTTGTTGCTGACCCTATCATTGAATTTTTCCTCGTCGATTTAGACGACCTCCCCTTGGAAGTGGAGGATCTTGACACATCACAGGCATCGTGGGTGGCACATTTTATCAAGGGACTCGCCTCTCTCGGACTCTTGTCCTTCTTCCGGGTCATGTTTATGATGTCGCCGTGGAATCTCCGTGTTGCAACGGGAGGAGGTCGGTCCTCTAGCCGGGATCGGATGCGTTGGTTGATGATTGTGATTGGCGTGGGCACGTTCCTATGGGTATGTTGGAAAGGAGACTGTCTCCTCGTCACATTTTTCTTTACTTTTGCTAACTAAGTCACCAGGCTGTCTACAAGGGAGTTCGGTCATGGAGTAAACGAACACTAGAAAAGGCGGGCGAAAGAGTCATGGACGTCCCTTTACCAGACGACGAAGATGACGACGCTGCCATGCCACAACCTCATGCCAATGATCATTCCAAGACCGATTAACCTTGCTGTTTTGTCCTTTTTTATACTCTTCGACTCGCACTACTTTAAGTTGCCGTGCTCCTCTCCATGACACGCTGATTAGTCACTGTGCGAAGAACGATTCTCGACCTTCATTAACTCTCAGCTGTTCTATCTGAGACTCTTTGTTGATGACCTCTGGAACGTTTTGTTCCATGTTGTTGACATGTTGTCGCTAATCAGATGGACTTTGAGGGGAAGGCAGAACCATCCCTCGATTAGCAAACGGGAAGCATCCATGATGCTATACACTTTGTTTTACATTACGTTTTACATTGTGTTGTACATTATCTTCTACGCGCTTTTTGGAAATCGAGGAATGGTACATCTTCATGTTCCGTATTCTTAGGGGAGGCGTTGACCATCCAGCGTTTATCTGAACTCTCACTTTCCGTTTATACCCTACGACTCACGTCGAGCTCGTCCACTTAGGCAGATAATCAACTCTCTTCTCTTCTCTTCTCTCTCCGTCTCTGTTTTTCTCTCCCAACCCTCCCTCTCTCAACTCCCACACACCCAACCTTCATTAACACCATCCCTCTTCCCCCTCCGTATTTCTTCATTCCTGCTATTCAGCGCTCCCCACTCACCATGTCAGACACCGAGCCTCTCTCCCTGCTGGACGCAGTCCGCTCTCAACTCACCATCGACTCCGACTCGGAAGGCTCACAGACCACCGCAGTCAACATCACCCACAAAGACACCCAGACCAGCCCCCCAGACAGTCCTCTCGACCAAAGCACATCCACGAACTCAAGCCTCGTCCTAGTCCAAAGCCCCAACGACCGCGAGCCCTTCCCAGAATACGACGAGGGGCTCGCAGATATCTACGAGAAGTGCGATCGCGAGTACACCGAAGCAATCACAGCAGCCGTGCAAGCGGCGATCCGCAAGAAAGAGATCGACCCGCTCATCATCGCGCCACCGGGCCAACCTGAGGGCAAGCGCGTTGCCCTGGAACGCATCAAGGATCTCCTGGCGAACCCGCAGATGCGCAAGACGACCCGCAAGCGTTTCGTTACTCTCACCAATCTGGTCATCCGTCTGGACCATGTCCTCTTCCGACGCAGTGAGGTGTTCCTGGGACCGCGGGATACTGCCGATGCTGCGGCGATTGTTAAGCAGATGCTGCCGTACTTGCAGTGGGCTGATAATATGCTGCGGGAGCTGGTAGCCGTGGCCGACAATGTCTTTGGGATTATGGGATATCTCGCGGAGGAGAACTGTTCTGTTATCCACAAGTATCGACACATGTCGATTGTGGTAGCTGCGTAAGTGATTTCCTTGACAAGCCCTGGCAAAGGTCAATTTGAACGTATCTAACCACTGATATCCGTACAGCCATCTCCGCAAGCCCCGTTTCCTGGAACAGCGCCTTCTCTCGTTGTACCTCGAGCTGTACGATGAGTGGATCCACAACCGTTTCCTCCACATGAGCAACCGAATGATCATGAAGGAGGATAAAGTCGAGCCGGCGTGCCTGACTTTGACCGGTCACCTACATGAGATTTGGGAGATTCTCTCGCGGTCCGTGGACAACTACGCCACATACCGCGTACGCCTGGACGACATTCGCAATGAATATGTCGTGCCAATCCTGGAGATGGTCGAGTTGCCCAACTCGTCAGACGTGGAGGATTTCGTCGTGGAGGAGCTCCCACCCATTGAACTCAACTAGGGAGATGGAAGGACCCGTCAACGACATCTACTCTCTTACACCCCTCTCACGAATCTATGATTAACGAACGATACCCTGATACAACCAACGAGCAGCGTAGCCTCAAATCTATCATCATATGCCATAGTTTTCATATTCATCAGTAATAAAGAAACAAGTAATATCTGATCTCCACACATAACCACCGCCTAAGCATTACAATCCTTATACTCCCCCAACTTAAACAACTTCTTCGCATTCTCCCTCCCAATCTTCAGCCGGTCACTCTCATTAATCGCCATCCCATCAAACCAATCACAAGCATCCTCAAACGTCTCAAACGGATAATCAATACTAAACAAAATCCGATCGGCCCCAACCTCCGCCAAACAAAAGTTAAGCGTCGTCGTCGAGAAATGGCCCGAAGTCGTAATCCAAATATTCTGCGCAAAATACTCCCGAATCGTCTTCTTACACGTCTCCTGCAGTCCAAGCATCTTCTTCCGATCCTCGAACCAGTGGTTAATCCGCCACATGTCGAAGGGGATGTGCTCGCCCAGATGGCCCAGGATGACCTGCAGCTTTGGGTGGCGGTCGAAGACGCCGTTCGTGACCATGCCGAGCGTGTGCAGGGAGACGCCGTGGGCGAAGGAGAGCGGCGGGCCGACGAGCCATTTCCGGTCTGCCCAGAGCTTTTCGTAGATTGTGCCTGTGGGGTTGCGCGGGTGTAGGTACAGGGGCACGTCGAGCTCTGTACAGGTGGACCAGAAAATGTCCCATTTGGAGTTGTCATAGAAGATCATCTTGTCGCCGTCTGGGCCGGCTCTTTGTGTGTCGTTGACTAGGGCGCCCAGGAAGCCGTACTGCGTCACGCAGCGGCGGAGTTCGGCAGCGGCTTCTTGGGGGTCGTGCATGGATAGAGTGCTGTGCAGAGAATAGCATTAGATACTGGTATACCCATATTGACACGGGAGCTTGTGGTGTGGGCAGTACTCACGCAAAAGCCGCAAATCGATCCGGATGCGCCTTCACCTTCTCGGCGATATAATCATTGATTTCAACAGCGAGGCTCTGCGCATCGACCGGATCCCAAATATCCTGTACACCGGGCGCGGTATAAGAAAGAATCTGCAATCCGACACCGTGCTTCTCGGCAAAGTTCAACCGAATAGAATCGACATCGTTGATCTCGGCGACATGCTTGTCGACATCAGTCGCGAACAGGCCCGCCCACCAACGAGTCTTTTCCTGGAATCGGGGCAGCGCAAAGGCTTCTTCGAGGGCGATTTTTCCCAACATGATGTATATGGGTAGACGGTGTATGTACAAGGGTGGAGGGGTATGAAGGAGAGAGGAAGAATCGTGACACAGCTAGAGAAAGAGAGTTATCGACCGGTTTATATGATTTCCCCTCGTCTAGCCCCGCACTTTAGTTTTCGGGAATCGGCAAGGGAAATTGAGTAAGCTTGTCCTTGTCATTTGCCCTCGTTGCTACCAGAGCTAGGTTAATATTGGAACAAAGGTAGAGGCTCGGAAGCTGAGAATCGGAAGCGCGTCATTTACTACGTACTTGCTGCTGCAGCCGACGGGGGGCGCGGACCGCAACCTCCTCCGCATTTAAGCGGGGCGGATCGGCTCGGCATTGGGGGAGTGGGGCATGCGATCCGACGGCGGCGCTTGTAGGTTAAAGATGAGGTAAGTCAAGTGAATAAGAGTGAGAGAGTACAAGAAATGTTTTGAAGTCTGCAGTAGAGACTGGAGAAATGAACGAGTTGGATAAATTGCAGCCCTTTTTCTTAGAGGCCTTTAAAACCAGGCTTGGGTCGTGCCCATCGATAGATAGGCAAGGTATTGTCTCAGACATTTTGATTCGACATATGACTGATAGTATTCTTTTGAAGTGTTATCTGGGGTACCGCAATCATGCCTTATCGATGTGGGTAGGAAGCAAAATAAGTATTTCATGTTCTGGACATCACCGCAAGCTCGACCTTTCTCCTTGGATCCATATATTCGAGATTTACTTATCAAGTTCAATCCAACAGACTGATTGATTCATTTAGAACTTACATCATAGATCTTTTGAAGTTATTTCATTCCCACTATGAAAACTCCGAGGTAGTACAATCAGCCCTCCATGTCGGCGGATTAGAACTATGCGAATGCACAATCGAAACCAACATGCCCAGCACAGCAAACTCAAGCTTCAGCTTGATACTATAAAACATAGGCTTCAGCTCAATCTGGGTAAAGTAATACCCCAGATACTGCAAGATAACAAGTGTCAAATCCATCACAATAGCCGCAATATTGACAGCCAACAGCTCATACAAAATCTTATGCCGACGCGCATCCGCCTCGGGACTCAATCGAATCAGCCGTATCGTATCCACGATATAAATAGTCGAAATGAGTACCTCCTGGGCCGTGAACCAAGTCACCTGGATTCTTTCCATAGCCTCAAACCCATTCACCCACCCAGCAGACTGCGTGAGATAGGACGAGCCCACGTTCAGTATCACTGTGGGGATAACGATCGCAATATAAGCAAACACGATCAACCACCGCACAAAGCCCAGCATGACCGGATTCTGCGAGACCAGGTGTAGCCGCGAATACAGCACGACAGATTGATTCGGAACGAGAAAGACGAACCCGAAATTCGAGAGGAACATGCTCAGCCACAACGGCGCGAGATTGAAGAATTGCAAGCCCTGCCCGATCGTTTGGGGAATCACGCCTAGCAAAGCGGAGGTAAAAAGTGCCCAGAAGTAGAGGCTTCGGTAGCGATGGAAGCTTAGCGGGATTAGCACGGACAGTTCCACGGCATTGTAAAGCGCGATCGACATGAACACGATAATGCTGATGCCAATCGCGGCATTGCCGGTCCCCGAGCTGAGAGCCTGCACCGTCAAAGAAGCCTGCTCGGCCTCGGACATGATTAAATGGCTGCAAGAGTCGTGCGCGGGCGAATGGACAGATCGGTCGGCATGGTGGGCAGAGTTGGTTACGCGCTTGACACGGACGAGCGCGTAGAGGAGGACTGGGGGAGGAACGTGGCGGTGGAGGGCTTTGCTATATAATAGTTTTTTTTGGCGATGTAATGAGCAGGACAATTAGAGAGTAGAGTTTTTCAAGGCGTTGGAATCCTCACTTCTGGTTTGTTTTGGTGGAAAATGAGGGGAAAGACTTTCCCCCGCAGAGTTTAAATCGAAGCGTTCAAGTCTCGAAGTAGATGTGGGTTCCGTGGGTCAACGAGTGTCTATAGCGTGGCTTGAATTTTAAATATGGTTAGTTTGGGTATTTCTCGCGTGCAGTTGCCCATGTGATTCCTTGTCAGGAAAAATGGTGGAAGTTGTAGAACAGGTGGGCTGTTGGACTTGAGTTTGGTGTTGAAGAGGCGGCAAATTTGAACGAATCAACCGCCACAGGTGGCCGACTACTCAAGGTTGGCCCACGTAATGTATTTTAGAGGCAAACCAATAAACTTGGGGAAGAAGGCTTTTAGTTAATGATGGAATAGTTCTGGAAGGGTTGGAGCCTCGTTCCTGTAGAAAGACCCTAGAGAGTAATACATGTAGTAGAAGATCTTCTAGGCTTCGGGAGGAGTCTAATCTTTTTGGGTACCGAGTCGCATGACGAAGACCCCACGGAGTTCTATAACATACTAGCACTAAACTGCACCTATGATAACTGTATACTATCTATATAGCTAGGCGAGATGATTGATATCGATGGTTGCTATCTTCTGGAGATATCACCCACCGCCAAATGCTCTCGAAGGATTTATTTAGGCTTCTCTTGTATTGCCAAATGTTGCTTTCTTAAATAGACAGTTTTGTTCTCCTGGCAGTAGCTTGCTCAATACTTTGATGTTCCCTCCCTCTCTCCACCTACTTTTCTATCTTGCTTCCCCTTTGCTGTCGTCTGTGGCCATCAACATGGACAAATTTGAAGAGCAGGTATTAGCTTATAGGATTCCAGGAAACAAAATAGAACAAAGAGCTCCCCCTCCATGAATCGAACCCTCGACCTCTGTCTACCATACAAACTCGTCGAGAGCCCAACATTCACATCCTCCAAATGCCGCACATAACATACCCCCCAACCCATCCAACCACCAACACGCTTAAAATTTAATTAAAAAGAACAAAAGGATTCTGCTAATTCTTCTGGTTACAATAATGTAAAAATATCCCATAAAATTGTAAACTATCGTTGTGGCAGGGTAATATAAAGTTTTATAAACAAAAAGGAGGCACCCCCGCGCTGAACCTTCCGGGACAAGATACAGTCAAGCTGTCTTGCACCCAGATTATGGAATCAGGCTGGTCAGTTCCAAGTCTTGACCACTAGGCCAAGCGCGGGGGTTACTTATTTTGGGGAGGAAGTGAATGATAACTCTCATTCATGTTATTTTCTTAGCTAAATTATTTTCCTTTGAACTAAAAGACCATGGCCCAGGAATAATAACCCGGACCCCTCGATTCACAAATCAATCCACAACCGAGCCCCAAAATCGCATTATATTTCTCGTCTTAGGATTTATTTGAACTATCGAACACTGCCCTTGTGATTTATATGCCGAGGACGACAGTAGGATATTGTACTCCGCCAAGACAGACAGTCTGACATGCGGCTGTCACGTTGTCTAATCCCGAAAGAGCCTAGCCCCGTAGAGGGGATGGACCCTGATGACGATGCTGACCCCGGACCTAACCCACTCACCCTCTCGACAGTCACGAAAGACCTGAAAGGACTTTGCATACATACTAAGCTACCAATATCTTTCCGAATTTAATCAACCATGGGCGACGCAGGTGGTGGGTTCGGATCTGGTTTCGAAGTCGTCACCGCGAGAAATCAAGAAGAACGCAGCAGCGGACCGGGAACAGGGTCTCCCACTCCCGCACATCTGACGAAGATACTATACATCCCTCATCATGAGGAGGGCACCTCGCACGTTTCGGTCGCGGAAGTCACTGCTCAGTACAAAGAGAGTGTCAAGGAACGTGGGATGGGATCAGCCTCGTATGTCGTCGCGCTTGGACGAATGCCTAAGCCCCAAGCGGGTGGCACTGAACAAGCAACCGAGGAGAATGCGGCTCTCTATAATGTCGAATTCAAAGATGCGGCGTTGACCTTGAAATCTGTCGCGTCATCTTCAAATGCGGAGTCGCTCGTGGAGGCAAATGTGTACGGCCACTCACCCGACATCAACATACCCCGCTAACTGAACAATAACAGGACCATTGAATCTGCAAAAGATAAAGCCGCTATAATCAAATTCAAGTCCCGGGAGAAAGATTCAGTTGACCAAACAGAAGACACCGCGATATCGATGTCGATATCCTCTCCAATCCCCCCAACCTCATTCAGGAAGAAAGTCTACGTGTACCCGTTTTTCGCTTTCCAGATTCCCGGGGAAGACAAGACGTACCTTGAATGGCAAATTCACCCTGTTTCGCAAGGACGCTTGCGATATACTCTCGTGCGCGTCCCACAGAAACATGAGACCGTTGAGGGTGCCGCTCCCAGCATCCCCTTGGAGAAAGATATTCTTGCTATCTATCACCATATCGGGGATACAGTCTCGTTTCCACTGCCGACCAGCGAAGGCGCTCTACTCCTTTCCACTGACATGAGCCCGGAAACCGAGGCTATTGTGCTTGCGAGTGTGCTTGGATTGCTCTGGCAGCTGCGGCAGATAAGCAAGTCTGGAAAAGGGCCTGGAGCTGATCGCAAGGTTTCTAAATTTTTCAAGGGCTTGCTTAACAAGAAGTAAGTTTCAAGGGTTCGGAATGGTGATATAGGAGAAATTTTTATTGGGGAGGATATAACCCAGAGAGGAATCGTGATGTTACTGGATATTTAATGAGAAATGCAGCAGTAGATTTAACTTTCATAGCGCCATAGACGCCTACAGATAGGAAGGAGGAGTCAGTATATAAACCTTCTACTCACGGGAAATAATAAAAGAGGGCCGACTTTGATTGAATTTGAACCTAAAAGCAGACTTTGTAATTCATGCATCGTTGCATCAGATGGTCAAGAACGATAACTACAAAGCTCCGCCTCTCCTCGACAACCGCGGGAACAACTTCATCGCATTCCCAAAGTTGATCATATCCCTCAACTCTGAATCCATTTCATACGACTCAAGCGCCTCAAGAAATGCCGGATAAGCGGTTATCGGAGCATACGGGAAATCGCTCCCATACAAGATGTGGTCATGCGGAACCATCTTCAACAGCATATCCAGGACCTGCGGCGACGAGCTCAGCGCCAGGTCAAAGTGGAAGCTACGGAATGACTCCATTGATTTGTCATGTGTCGTCCCCATACGATGCGAGACGGCAAAGTCTGGTGCCTTTTTCATGGGGGTCGTAACGCGCGAGATTATATAGGGTAGAGCTCCGCCTGCGTGGGAGAGTATGACTTTGCAGGCGGGATACTTTAGTCGAGTTCCGTTGGTGATCATATCCATTGCAGTACGCGTCGTTTCATGGGGGTAATCAATAGCTGGCTGTGGTAGCTTTGAGTTCACGGGGTTGGTATCGACTGGATGGGTGGGATGGACAAAAACCACGCAGCCTCGTCTGTTCAGCTCTGCCCAGATGGGTTCAATATCAGGATGACCAAGATAGGTGTTAGATGACCCGTAGCGAGTGAAAAGAGTGACTCCATCTGCGTGGAGGGTATCTAGCGCATATGCAATTTCCGCGAGGGCATCCTCGGTATCAAGAATGTTGGGTAATGATACAAAAAAGGCGAATCTCTCCGGGTCTTTGTCACGGAGATCAGCACAATATTCGTTCAATTTTCTCGCGAGCTGAGCGCGTGCTTGACGATCAGGCAGGATACAAGCTCCAGGGGCAGTAGTTGAAAGAACTGCTGTTTGAACTCCCACGCGCTTCATCAGCAGCTTGGAAGCCAGCGGGCTCCAATGGGGAGTTGGCCAGCCACTTGGGTCGCCTCCCTGATCTTCAACCGCTGTGGTAATGTTAGTTCTGGGGAACTAAGAGCTTGGCAGTTATCGAGATCTTACCATTGGCATAGAATGGCGGCACACAATGATGATGAGTGTCAATCTTGTTTACTGAAGGTCTGTGGCTCCAGCCGATTGCCTTTTCTTGGAGCCAATCTAGGCCGTGTTCGCTCATCGTGGAGAAAATAGCGGGCTTGTAAAAGTAGAGAAAGAGGAGTAGTCCAACTGGGATCGAAATCAATGTCAACATAGTGAATAAGAGAAATCATTCATGCACATTTTGCGCATGCCCCGTTCTAATTATGTTCATGGTGGATAGTGGCTTCCTCAAGAGGGGGTCCGGAACCATCCCGGTGACGAGTCCGGATCACTCCGCATAAGCCCACATTGCCGTATTATCCGTAGCACAATTCAAATGGAATAGCCTTTATCCATTCAAGATAGCAGTAGACTCTAGATGATGTAGTTTGGCTCTTGGACCGCTTGCTCGCGCTCGCGTGTGGTGGTATAAATGTGTCGGAGACGGGTAGCAGTGGAAACTATACCAAGCTCATCAAAACAGGGTATCTCACCATGAGTACATCGGTTCATTCGCATTTCTCTGCTGCAGCAAACAGATATCCAATCCTTGCAGCTTTTTTCAGTATCATCATATTCCTAGGAACAATCTTCTTGATCCTTCAAGAGGTCTTCACACCCGTCGGAAAACGCAGACCACCCCCGGGCAAGAAATGGAAACTTCCTCCGGGTCCTCGAGGAATACCCATATTTGGCAACCTTTTGGAGCTTCGGAACGCTCGACAGGAGCAGGGTCATAAAATAGTGAGTTCGATGTCTCTGTTGTAACATGGATATCATAGGCTAACTGTATGTAGCACACTGAGCTTGCAAAATATGGCGAAATGACCACTCTTCACCTCGGATCCAAAACTTGGATTTTGCTCAATAGCAAGCGTGTGGTCGCTGAGATTATCGCAAAACGTGGCTCCCTCACAAATGGCCGAAGCCCAATGCCTATTGCCAGTGGAATTGTTAGCCGCAACGGACGATCCTTGCTGCTTCCTCCTTCGCAATGGACTGAAAAGCGACGAGTGATGCACTCCCTTCTGAGTGGAACGGCCATGAAGCAGTACGGCTCATGGCAAGAGCTTGAAAGCACCCAGATGCTTGCAGAATATTTCTTTCAGCCAGAAAGGTGGTACCGCCACCATTATCGATATGCAAATTCGGTGGTCCATCGTATTGCACTGGGTGAGCGGCTTGTCAAGTCAGGAAAGCAATTGGCTGATTTGCAAGATGTCGTCACTCTTTTTGTTGGAAGCATTGGGACTAGCTTGGTCGACTGGTTTCCGGAATTAGATAAGCTACCTCGCGTGTTGCAGCCATGGCGAAAACACTGGGAGAAGCTTGGGGACTGGAATGAAGAGGTCTACAAGTCGTGGTGGGTTCCAGTACGAGAGAAGGTGGAGAATGGGACAGCACCCCCATCATGGGTTCGTGACGTTCTTTTACATCCAGACACAAAGTTCACGGGTAACGATCAGGAGGCCATGTACGTTGCTATGCAGCTTCTAGAGGCAGGATCGGATACGACCAGGGAAGCGCTGAATATCTTTGCGATGGCTGCGCTTTGTTATCCGGACAAATTTCAAAAGGCCAGAGAGGAGGTTGATACTCATTGCGGCACCGAGACGAACTTCCGTTTACCTGGCATCGATGATCTGGAGCAAATGCCCTACATATGCGCTTTTATCAAGGAAATTCTTCGCTGGCGACCTATCTTCCCTTTCACTCCCGACCACGTGCTTACGTCCGATATGGAGTTTGAGGGATATCATTTCCCAGCAGGGGTGGGATTCGTGATTAATGAAATCCCGGTATGTAACGAGTGCGAGGACCCGGAGGAGTTTAAGCCCGAACGGTGGTTGGATGGACATGAGACCGACCCTGCACATGGACTTTGGCAGTTCGGAGGAGGTCGTCGTATTTGTGTTGGTTACAGATTGGCATTCCGGGGCCTATTTATCAACGTTGCTCGCTTGGTGTTCTGCTACGACTACGACGCAGTAGGTTCATGACTAAACAAAGGAATGATCTTGGCTAATATTTAGCAGGCTGAACCCTATGACTCGAAGCAGTTGAATCACCACCGAACAGAGGAACCATTTCCAGTTAAGGTGACCCCGAGAAGTGAGCAGCATGTGAACTTGATACTGAACGAAGGAACTCGACTTGAGGTATTGGAAGATTCTAAACGCCAAATTTGACAATATATCATCATTTGATCCGTTCTTAATTCGTTTTGCGAGGTTGATTTCTAATGGTTCGGCTTCTGCGAATTTAATATTCGTCTAGATAAAATTCTAAATGCACACCTTTCTTGATGAGAAAATGGGTTGAATGATTTATTTTCTGAAACTCGATATCAAAAATTCTGTAATGGTTTTGGTAGTTTGACTCGGAAGCCTGCCTGCCGAAAAGTCCATCAATGGTCCATCGTGGGTTTCATTGCCCATATACAGCGTCACATCGCCAATACTTTTTCTTTCCAGCATCTGGCCTAATTTTTGTATATGATCGCTGAAGACCTCTTCATAACCACCAGTCACTAGAACATGATCAACAGCACTGAAGTCCTCCCACCAGCTTTCCGGCACATCAAGTGCCATCCCCCAGCCCTTCCCTGCGGAAACCTCCTCTTGCCAGGGAGAATTCTCCACAAAGTAGAGGCCCCATTTGTGCACGACCTTCTTACTCAAAACATCGGCACTAAACCACCTGTGATACGAGGGGGTATTGAAATTGAAAGATGTCAGAGGAGATACAAGGAAACATCCTCTTACAGCGCTGCAGCCGTCAAAGATATCCTTTGTGGGGTGATTCATGGGGCGGGAACGGTGAAGATGTGCCATAAGACTTAGAGACAGATGGCCACCTGCAGAGTCTCCTCCAAACACAATCTAGAATAAAACGATATTAGACCTCCTCTTGATAAATCTCGGATGGCATATTGGTACCTCTGAAGGTCTGTATCCCGAGGCTACGAGATGTTCGAGTGCGAGTATGCCCTGTGACATTTGCCTAGGATATGTATTGTCGGGAATCAAATCTTGGAAATCGGTCAGAATATTTGTCTTCCCTTTTCAATCAAAATTCTTGGACCGACCATATGCGAGAATACACACACTGAGCTCGACTCCAGCATTGATGGCCTCATTCCTCACATGTGCCATCCAGTCCAAATGGCCTTTAGAAAGAGGCATCACATAACCGCCACCTAAAGAGTCAGTACATTTCGAGAGTTATAGTAGTGTCTCATACCATGAAAGAAGAGGACCACATTCTTTGCCTTTCTTGGTCCAATCCACAGTAGACGAGTTGAGTTGTCGGCCGCCAGAACGTCTACAGTACGAGCGGAATTGTGGGACAAGACCCATGCATTATATGTCTCAATTGTAGACGGTAGAACGGTTTGAAGGTCTCGAGGATGGGTGTTAGCCATCAGGGCTCCAGCAAAACCATTCCATATGGATGGCCCGAAGGGGAGGCCTTTTAGCCATGCCCGAACAAAGGCTCTAGAAATTCTGAACGCTGCACTTGGCAAAGTCCGGAATAAGAAGGTTAAAACCACGCGCAATTTTGTGCGGGCTGATAGTTTGCGTGTCATTCTTCCAATGCAGAATGGGATCGGGCCAGGCGAGGAGGGTGATGAGCCACCTTCTCTCCTGGGTATTCATAGAGACCAGTATAGGTCAACAAGCAGGCCATAGCCTCGGTTTTGTGCACATGTGAGATAATGCTGCCTCGGACTGTAAAGAGGAGTTAGAGAACCCCCGGTTTCAAGAAAAAGAGGCTCGGACCTAGTAGCTTAGCACTACTATACGGGCCACCTACGCCTACGGTCGGCTGCCCCGGAAGGATCCGAGAGATGGTTTTGTCTTTCGTTGACTCCAAGCGGGTCCTAAATACTATCATTGGACGGGGTAAACTTAACCCCCACAAGCGTGTAGACAAAACCGGAACAGACCCGGGCTTAAAGACCCCATTGTGCCGGAAAGCTCCTGTCACCTACTCACCGTTCCTTGCAAGTCCACCCCTCCATGGAAGGCCTCGCGAGTTTAGATACATCCGCTATTTTTATCGAGTCATCAAACTAGTGAAGCCTGCTCTTACAGGATGCCTCCAAAAGCTGTCGGAAACCCAAAAAGACGTGCTAGAATACATCCTAAGGTCGCCTTGGCCTGCGACTCGTGCAGGGAGAAGAAGATTCGCTGTGATGGAATCAAGCCTATCTGTGGGCCATGTGTGAGACGATCATATCGAAATGATCAGTGTGTTTATAACACGGAGAATTCCCGGTCTACTAGCAGGGACGAGTAAGCCTCCTGCGCATGTACGGCTAGTGACGATTTACCACTAATGCAAAATAGATACGTCCAGGCTCTGCACCAGCGAATCAAAGAACTGGAAGACCTCTGTTTGAAGGCTGGAGCCCATGTTTCAAGTTCCTCAACTCCACAACGCCGGCTACACGGTGATTCCACTAGGCAAGAAGAAATGACACCACAGGGGCCCAGCGTCTCCCCCAGCTCTCGTCGTTCACGTCTGGAACCTACGGAACAGAATCCGACCCCTCCAAGCTCCACGACCAGACTAGCCCCGGGGCATATACTACCACGTACCCAAAGTGGATGCGAGGATAGACACACTGGCTCAGTTGAAGAAAATACTGCCGATGTCTATGAATCGCCATTGTTTGATGAGGGTCAAGACCACATTACAGGTATGGGCCAGGTGATCTTGTCAGGGGCGGGGAGGGAAGACCGAAGGAGATCAACCCGATTTCAGTTCTATGGTACTTCATCCACGGCCTCCCTCATGCGCTTTGCCTATCAAAGGATGCCGTCAAGGCTGGCGGGTGGTTCGCATGCCGAGGCCGCATACAACAGGCTTCAGGACACATCCACCACGTACGGAATGGATGATTTTTCATTACCACCGCGAGCATTTGCAGATCACCTCGTGAAACTTTTTTTCGAGAAAATATTCATTCTCTATCCATTGTTCCACCGTCCAGCCTTTGAAGCGGCCTATCAAAATCTTTGGCGTGGAGAAGACGAACCCAATGTTCCCGCACCCACGGATTTGCAGATTGGAATTGGATCAAGGACAGAATCGGAGCCCACATCGATTGTCTTCCAGTGTGCCTTGAATTTGATCTTTGCACTAGGTTGTCAGTTTGCAGATATTGCACCAGAGGAAGCCGAGTCTGTCGCCAATTCGTTTTTCCTTCGGGCGAAGCATTTCATCGGGCTCGATTTCTTGGACATCAACACGCTTGGCGTGGTTCAGACTTTACTTATTACGGCACTTTATCTGCAAAGCTCTCCATATCCCAGCCGTTGCTGGCACTCTGTCGGGAATGCCTGCAGAGTTGCTTTCGGTTTAGGACTGCACAAATCAGATATTCTTGCTACGTTAACACCCCTAGAGTCTGAAATTCGTAGACGGACTTGGCATGGATGTGTAATAATGGACATGTAAGTCTTCAAATCCTCTGTTTTGTGTGGTTATCATGCTGATACATAGCTTGTAGGACTTTGAGCATGACATACGGCAGACCAAGCATGACCTCGCATCTCGCCCGTGTCCCCCCACCGGATGGTTTAGAAATACCCGGGCGTCAAGGTGGGACCAGGGAACCTTCCTTGATGGCATTTTATATTGAAGCGATCAAGCTTTATGATATTCTGGACATGATTCTAGGTGATGTCTACAATGCCTGGCGTGGCCGGATACGCCAAGATCCACTTCCATCCTCAACCATGAGCCTTGGGAGCCTTGGCATTGTTCTCAGAATTGAAAGAGAGCTGGTATTGTTCAAGACCAATGTTCCTTCCTTTTTAAAGTGGACCACTGGATTACATTCCACCCCTTCCTTTCCAGACTCAAATATGGCGATTGCTCGGCAAAGAAATGTTCTACATGCTAGGTGTGTTGCAGATTGTTACAGCCTTAGTCACTACTTTCTCACCTCTCTATGCAGATACATACACCTTCAGCTCCTCCTCTACCGTCCTATTTTTACTCAAATATATTCCAAGCGAGACTCATCATCTGGACCAGAGCTACAGAATGACTCGTCATCTCAGAGCATAGAGATGCAAAGCACTCTGTATTCTTCCATGTTTAGTAAATGCGCTGAGGCATGTGTGACAGCTGCCATTGATCTCACACTCCTAGTCCGAGAGACTCATCAAACCAACTGTTCCGATGCATGGTGGTACAATGGGTTTTGTATGTTACCGATGCCATTTATCTCACTCTACTTATCATACTAACTATACCACTCTTAGACGTCTCAACCGCAGCAATAGTTCTCCTCATGTCTATATCTGCCCCACCCATCATGGATCAGTCACTTTTGGACAAAGCACGAGATGCTTGGAAAGAGGCAACAAGTGTTCTGGAATCCATGTCATCATTTTGCCGCTCTGCAACCAACACTCTTCAATTTCTACAGGCTGCTTATGTTCGAGCAGTCCCTACTGGTCAACATCAGACCGTCGTAGAATCCGATGCCTCACAGATGCTCCAACCTGATGATCAATATGATCACCTAGTCAACGACTTGACCCAGTTCCCAGTATTCGACTGGGAGGAATTTGCGGAGAACATGGCACCTGAATTGGATGATTTGGGATTTTTGACGGGTTTCAATTTCCATGATAGTTTTGCATGAGATTTACAGGCTTTCCTTGATTAAATACCAGGCCGCAACATCATCCCTGGGCGCCAATACCCTCTTTGAGAAGTTAACCCCTCTGTAATAAAAGCCAACTAATGTACATCAACCAACCCAGAGCCCCAGTTATGACAAATATCGTGTTAAGTTCAAAATCTTCTGCGTGAAGCGAGTACGATGCCCGAGTGTGTTCGACATCTCATGGTCATTCATTCGCTCTTTTTACCTTCCCTCCCTTCGGCCGGTCCCACCCCACAGTATCAGTTCCGTGAATCCAGTCCATCAAGCCGATAGTCCCATAGTTGACACGAAACTTCTCGTGATGTAGATCATGCAACTCAGCAGGTGGAAGTTTCAAAAAGTCATACCCACTGTGGTCAGCCGCGGCCTCCCAGAGCTCGAAGGTGACAAAAGCCATAATGGAGAGGCCATGCGCGCCTTTTAGATACAGAGGCAGTGTAATTGGCAAGACATTAGCCAGAATATGCTCAATCGGATGAGCATACTCGGCTGCGAATGCCACTGGTGTGATGTATTTGTGGTGCATCTTATGAATATAGGCATATATGCTGGGATGATGAAAGGCGCGATGGACATAGTAGAATAAGACCTCTCGCGCCAGTAGCGCAAAGAAGAAATCCCCGACAAAGGTCTTCAGAGAGGGTATGGTTGCGTCCAAATTCATAAGTGAATTATCAAAGCCCACTATGTAGAGCATCATGCCGTGGATGGCCAATGATAGAGCGTGGTTGAAAAGGGAAATCCTGATGCAATGCAGAATTTGTTGGCGAGTCGGCTGTCGGCGAGCGCCTTGTATCTTGTGGCGCTGCGAGAACTTCGGGAAAGCAACATCGATAAGCATGTAAACAGTTGCTGGTATGATGAATCCGAAGATTTGAATCAGAACATTCGCCACAAGTTCGATGAAACCAGGCCTGTATCTGGTTGTGATACTAGTCCAAGTAGTTTGTAGCTGCGAGTGGAGATACATGGTTGGTTCTGCTGTTTGGAAAATTGTGATTCGGGGCAAAGATGCGTTTGCCTCTGCGATTACTAGCAATATTATAATAACTGCTCATATCAATAGCCACGGATTTGTTCCGCTAACTACCAAGACTTTATTTCCAAAATGAGTTTCAATTGATGTCTTCTTACCATGTCATGAAAATTCGGAACAGTCCCGATTCTGACGGACCTCGGAGGTTGACTACATTGACCCCCTGATCACACGACACGACACCCAGTTCCGCTTCTCCGCGTTGATCTACACCTGGTTCTTCCTAGATAATTTATGAAGAAGGTCTCTTGAGCACATGCCATCCCTCGTTTCGGGTGCATTCCGTAGTCACGGGAGTGGTCCAACGTAGCGTAATTTGATATTCAGGGATAGCCAGTGATGGTACTTAAGTTAAATATGCATCCCGCCTAGGGATAAATCATAATATTTTCTATTGGTTTAGTGATTATTGCTGTCTAAAATGGCTTCACAGTCAACCGAAGTTCCAACCTATAGCCAGATAGCCTGCGTTGGTGCTGGATTATCAGCTGTGGCTCTAGGTGCTACATTACAGAGGTGGTACAGCCTTGAAGATATTCGTTTCTTCGAGCGACATCCCACGAGTGGCGGAACATGGTACATCAATACGTATCCAGGTCAGCCAGCAACTACACAACTTTAACTTTAACTCTGAAACTGACAACCGCTAAGGATGCGGCTGCGATGTCCCAAGTGCTCTTTATAGTCTTTCCTTCGCGCAAAACCCGAACTGGACCAAGCTTATGCCATCTAACACTGAAATCAAGGAGTACGTGGATGATGTGGTAAAAACCTACAACCTCCTTCCGAAGATGACCTTCGGAACGGAAGTCGTCCGCAGTATCTGGAGAGAGGACGCAAATCGATGGCTTCTTTACCTACGAGATCTGAAGACAGGACGCGAGTATACCCACGAGTGCCAAATTCTTTTCGCGGCTACGGGGCAACTTGTGGAGCCCCGTCCATGCGAAATCCCTGGTGCGTCGGATTTCAAAGGGAGTATCTTCCATTCAGCGCGTTGGGACCATAGCGTCGATCTCGAGGGGAAGAATGTCGTTGTTATTGGAAATGGATGTAAGTGTCAATTTTTCTCATTTTCTAGGAAGTTTCTGATACAGTTGTAGGCACTGCTGCACAAATTGTGCCGGCCCTGGTCAAGAATGGAGGTGTGAAATCTCTCACCCAGATTGTCCGAACAAAGCACTGGATATTCCAGGCCCCAAACTTTACCTATCCGAAGCTGCTGCAGTGGATCTTCCGCTACGTCCCACTTGCCATGAGGCTCCACAGGTTCCACATCTTTTTGATTGCTGAGAACGATTTCCGCTTATTTCCAATGACAAAGAGCGCAGCCAAACTGAGGGAGAAGCGACGAAAACAGGTGGAAAAGTACATGTGGCAGGCTAGTCCGGAGAAATATCACGATCTTCTCATTCCAGATTTTGACGTAGGCTGCAAGGTACTTCTGCCCTCATTTATCATCTGGTGCATCCTGTTTGAAAGAACGAATTGCTGATCCCACCCTTAGCGACGAATCTTTGACCCCGGTTATCTTGAATCTCTACACGATGACAAAGTCGTCTTGACAGATTCGAAAGCCGAAAGAATAACTGCCGAGGGGATTGAAACCAACAAGGGCTTTATTCCAGCCGACGTTATTGTTCTCGCAACAGGCTTCCAAACCAACAAATTCATCCCCTACATGGATGTTGTTGGACGCAACGGCCAAAACGTTTCACAACACTGGAGTAAATACGGCGGTCCGGCGGCCTACAACTGCTCTGCGCTGAATGGATTCCCCAACTTCTTCATGCTCTTAGGCCCTAACGCTGCGACTGGTCATACGTCGGCCATGATGGCTGCAGAGAAGTAGGTTGCGATTCGATTATTTATTACCCATTCACGAGTTTCTAACCGTTACAACTAGCTCCATAAATTATGCCCTACGTGTGCTCAAACCAGTTCTAGATGGTGATGCTGCTTCCATCGAGGTCACTGCCAAAGCTGAACATGATTACGTGTACTGGATGCAGGACGCGCTGAAAAAGCGCGTTTGGAATGCTGGATGTCTGTCGGTAAGTTAGTTTGATCACTGTCGTCTACTGCCTCTTCTCTGACAGGGCGTGTATAGTGGTATATTAACGACAAGAGCTGGAACTCCATGTCTTATCCCTGGACTCAAGGTCATTATTGGTGGAGAAGTTTGTTTCCCACGTGGTCTGACTGGTCTATCAAGGTTCGCTTTTTAATATCCCTGCGATCTAGCTAACATGTCATGCTGACACCTAGCAGCGTGTGTTGAAGCCGTCGACCCGTTCGTCGTCTTGGATTCTGCTCTTGGCTTTGTTTTGCGTTGGAATCCTGGCAGGTAATCAGTTCGGTGATTCTCGGAGCATCCCCTTCAGCCAGTTCAGGACCTATTGCGCTATAGCGCTGTCCAAGATGCGCATTGGGAAATTAGAGTGACAGGAACGGCAGTCAGAGCTGAACTGTTGGAACAGGCAATCATCTGTATATTCGTTTTCATAATGTATATTTTATCGTTTTTTTGTTAGCTACCTCCATTCTCTTGAAAGACATTATCTAAACTTAAGGGATTTATTTCTCAGGCTAAATATCCAGGAACTCAGATACGCAAGAAAGATGCCCCTTCAAGAATATGAATTCAAGTCTCGTAGAATAGGTGTCTCAGCATTTGACCCTTAATCAAATCTGTTACAGAAAGCTATTCTGCTCTGAAACCACTGAGTCAAGTGGGTTCATGGTTTTTGTGGATGATGAACACACAAAATCTCGTAATGTTGAACTTTCGGCCAATATCTGTGCCATGGGCGTTTTTCATCTTTATCTACACCGTTTGATTGCCAGTTTATCCTCTATTATAAATAGAGCGTCTCAATGAGATATAATAAATATCAAGAGCTGGAGTGTGCTGGCTTGTGCTGTCTTCTTGACAACGAGAGGGGTATTTTTTACATCGCTTCTCTGGTGGTTGCTTTGAGCCAGCGACTTCCAGGCACCATGCAAGGCCCATAATGCCGGTGATTGAAAATACCATCAAGTGTACCATATAGCCTGGATATCCCTAGTGGGGGTGATTCATATGAGCCCTTATATCGGAGCGTTCCGGTTGTCAAGCGAAGTCGACCCTCGGATGGATATTGTGCAGGCATACCGCCATCCGGGTACCTTCCGGCTGAGATACGGAACGGTTGCCAACTTTATATGATATGTCTAGAAAGTCTGAGAAGATGACAAACTGCAAGGAAATTTCAAGTTCTAAGTTCAAGTTGGTTTCGGCAACGTCTCCGGTTTCCACAAGTTCATAAAGAAGTCAGTCGGGATGAGACTTCTGCACCTCCCAGATCGAACATTATTTACGCCCAAATCTGGATTTTGACGATGGCGACCAAACGAACGATCCTTCCCCGTGAAGGCCTTTATATTGACCCAATTTTCAAAGGGCTACGGCAAACACTGCTTCATCCGTTATTCACTTTGGCATGTCTGTACTTGGTGCACGGGGCCAAGTTAAGCGCTGCTGCGCCGTATGAAAAGCCCGTGCAACTGATCGCAGGGACCAGTATCTTCCTGTGGCTTAACGATTGGCTGAGCACCAAAAGTCAAAACAACTGGGTTATAGATGATAACTGGGATTGGAAGAAGGAGCTGGTGGTGGTCACTGGTGGGAGTGGTGGGATCGGCGGTGGTGTATCACAACGTCTCGCAGCTATGGGGGCTCGGGTGATTGTACTAGACATCATCCCTTTGACATATGAACCTGGTATCTCGAGTCCACTTTTTGACAAAAGGCGCCAAATAGCCCAGTCTTTGCTGATTAAATCTCAAGGAACCAAACGCATCGTATACTATAGGTGTGACCTCAGCGACGAGAAGGCAATCTCATCTGTCTGCGAAAAGATAAAACTCGAAATTGGTCATCCAACAGTTCTTGGTGAGTAAAAAATATAAGATAAGACGTAGGTTTCCGGCTGACATTGGTAGTCAACAATGCTGGTTTATCTCGAGGTCGGACTATTGTCGAAGGTTCATACAGCGACAATATCATTACCTTGAAGACTAATTTACTAGCACCTTTCCTACTCTCCAAAGAGTTTCTTCCAACTATGATCCAGCACAACCATGGCCACATTTTCAACGTTGCGTCGATGAGTGCTTATATCCCTCCGCCAGGGATTGCAGATTACGCAGCTTCGAAGGCAGGGTTGATTGCGTTCCATGAGGTGTGTATCCAGCGATACCCTTTTTTTCTCTTGTTCCAAAGTGCTTATTTCTTAGTGTCTTACCGAAGAGCTTCGACGCCAGAATGTGCTCAAAGTTCGCACATCGCTTGCGGTTTTGAGTTTCACAAAGACGCCTCTTTTTAAGGGAGAGACAAATCAATCCCAGTTCTTCATGCCTCTGTTGCATATAGACACCGTCGTGGATAGCATCGTGGATACACTTGATAGTGGACTTAGTCAGACTATCTTTCTCCCTGGTATATTTAGGTTGTTCGCAGGCTTAGTAAGTTATTGTCCAATTATAAAGAGCTACTATTAACGTATTACCTAGCGAGGAGCCCCTATTTGGTTACAAGATTTAGTTCGAGGTGGTAGCAAGTCTCTTAGAGTGGATTTCAAAGGTCGTCAGGAGATTGATCCGAAGACAGGAAGACTTAGGGCTTAGAGGCTTGACCGGTAGCCCTTCCCTGTGATCGTATTTGCTAATAGATGTCCCTTCAATGTGCGTTGGATGGCACAATACAGGATTGACACTATATATAGCTTCTTCTCCCCTCAAGATCAATCAGAAGCCAATTTTATTCTCATGAAAACAAAAATCAGTCTCGCGGAGTTGTGACCTGGACAATCAATGTTGGGATGATTCCGCCTACGACGACGATTCCACTCATTACCCCGGCCGTGCCAATGAAACCTAAAGCACGGAACATGTATGGGAAATAGAAAGGACCGATCTGGAATTTCGTTAGCCGAAGGGTAGATCATGAGGCCGAGGAGAACGAACAAAGCCATAAAGTAGCCTAATGACGTTAAACAACACACCGATCGAGGCAGAGTCATCGGGCGAAGTATCAATGGCATACGCAGTGAGAATGGTAGATTGAATCTGATTGCCAAAGCTGGCAATAGCAATTCCCACGCACGGAGTGATATTCCAACTTTCCGCTCGCTCAAGTTGAAATCCCCAGACCAGAAGCCCAGCAACAATAGTGAGGAAACCGATATAGGTCAGCCAGAGGCGGTCGGCCGGACAGACACGGCCTTTGCGCTTTCGATAGACCTTCATGAAGTAGTCAGACATTGGACCACTAATCTGCTCTCCAATTATGCACCCAATGACTATGGGAATGAACTGGAGACCAGTTTGTTGAGCATTGAGACCGAATTTCTCCCCGAATGTTAGTGGCATTTCGACCACAAAGACGATATTTACATAGCAGAATGTGATAGCAGTGGCTAGAGCCGCTACCAAGATTCGAGGGTTCTTGGCTAGGCGGAATGGAGAGACAAAGTCCGAAATTTTGATCGAACGCTGGTCAAGTCTTTTGGGTAGTAACCGTTTCAAGGACATCCGCAAATTCGAGATCTTTTCCCCGGCGACATCATTCTCAAGTCCCGAAACACGAAGGGTCTCCCCGCCGAAACAGAGGTAAGCCAACGCTTGCAAGAAATTGATAATGGCATAAATCCAGAATATGAATTCCACCCGAGTGTGCTGCACCACGAAGCCCATTATCAAAGGACCAGCTGGGGTACCGAGGATGGTCATCAAAACCCACCAGCCCACCTTCCGGGCATATTCATCCGGAGTAGACAATTCAGCCACAACTCCACTGCCAATTCCTATCGGTGGCGAGATGAAGGTTGCAGTCAAAACACGAGTGATCATCTGGCCAGCGTAACTTTCGCACCGCGCGCCTCCGATGTTGCACACCATACTTGCAAGAACAGAAAATATAAGGACGTAATGGCGGCCATATCTTTGGGTGATAACAATCCAAAAAATAGGCGCAATTCCAAGTAACACGATCTAATTTGATGTTTGTCAACAAAACCGATTTACTCTGGAATCATAGTGAAGAAAAGACACTTACTTGAATAGACACCAGATAGCTTGCGTCAGCAAGGGACACACCATACGATTTTGCCATTGAAGAAGCTGCTGGAACAATTCCTGCTGCCATGAACACAGAAATCATGGAATGAAATGAGACCATTAGAATCATAGCATTTTTCTTCCATTGTGGCCAGTCGACAGCATCACGAGAAGTAGGCTCTATTGAGGATGAAGTGACCGCTTCTTCCAATTTGACAGGAGAGGGCGGTTCAATTGACTCCAAATGTTGGAAGGAGTTCTTTCGCTGAATGTTACCAGAGCCCAGGCCACTCATAGTTGCGGAGAAAGATTGAACTGGGTATGGGCAAGATCTATATTTCTAGGAAAATCTCAAACCGTGGCTTGAATCACTTGCTTCTGATATTTTGACTGCTAGAAAGCATCCAGAACCTCCTTTTATATCCATATCCTGGGTACTTCATTATGTATTCTAGGTTTTAATTCGCCCCAGGACTAGTATAACGCGGGGAAACGGTGTAATACCCCACAGAAATGAGTAGCTATAGTTTCGGTTCTCATCCCGGATTATACAGAGGCTTGATTCCCCGCGTTTCGGGACTGGTTCCGGCGTATCTGGGAATAACAGGCCCTTGATTGGGACAGAAGGATCAGCAAATCGGCCTAGTTCAAGGTTTGGGGTCCGTGTACGCGGGGGTCGGCTCTTCGCCCAACAAAATGATGCCTGGAGCGATAATCGTATGCCCAGATAAACTTCGATGGGGGCTATCCCGAATTCTCGGATCCCTCATGGTCAAGTATTCCTTGTTTACTGTTCACCGCAATTGCATTCTAACCACCATTGACAACTGTCAATGCAGGATAGTTACAGTGGAGTCATGACGCATCGAGTTCAGATACACCCTAAGAACGGCTACGGGTATGGAAGAGCCTCTTAAAAAGATGGCACATGTATTCTAGTCATTCATGATTTCAATTTTAACATTATCTCCAATCACAAGATGAGCCACTTTTTGGGAAGTTAAGACTACGTTCCCACCCCAGAGCCATACTACTATGGCTTTCCAAAAAGTTTGTTCGCATTTCCAAAGTAGATCTTATCCCGTAGCTCCTGGTCAAGGGGGAAACCGTCTAGAACTTGCTTGAAGCCAAGTGATTTGTCGGGGGACGCGTAGGGATAGTCAGAACCTGCATAATACATTAGCAACTGCAGAAGCACAGACTATTGAGAAAGCCTTACCATAGAGAAGATGATCATGGGGAACAACGTCGAGGACCAATCTGAGCACGGCCTCCGAACTGGATAGAGCCAAGTCAAAGTAGAACGACCGGAAGTCTTCCATGATTTCCTCCGAGGTTTTCCCGTAAATGCGGGCGGTTGCAGCGGCTTCCTTAGACACCGTACTAATACGCGTAATCAAGAAGGGCAGGGTACCTCCAGCGTGCGAGAGAATCACTTTGCAATCTGGATAGCTTCTCTTTGTGTTCGTGATGATTATGTCGACAGCAGTTCTCGTGGTCTCATGGGGATAATCAATCGCTGGTTGTGGCAGGAATGGGTTGACTCGAGTCGTATCAGCGGGATGAGTAGGGTGAATAAAGACTACAGCCTTTCTGGAATTCAATTCCTCCCAGATAGACTTGAACTCAGGGCTGCCAAGGTATTGATTTCCAGAGCCGTATCTTGTGAACAAAGTGACACCTTCGGCCTTCAATACATCAAGGGCGTATTGTATCTCCGCCAGAGCGCCCTCGGTATCGAGAAGGCAAGGCAAGGCTGCAAAAAAGCCCCATCTCTGAGGATTTTCATCGCGCTTGGTCGCAGCGAATTCGTTGGCTTCGCGGGCTAATGCCCTCCTCTTCTCAGTCGTTGGGGCGATGACTGCGCCAGGAGCGGTTAGTGACAATATAGCCTTGGTCACGCCGATTTTTTCCATGAACGCAATGTCGCCCTCGGATGACCAGGAAGGTGTCGGCCAGCCAGAAGGGTCACCTCCGGCCTCCTCGACAGCTGTGAAAACAAACGTGTTTAGAATCATCCATTTGTCGGGACGGGAGTTTTGTACCATACCTTGAGCATAAAACTCGGGGACAAAGTGGTGGTGGGTATCGATGAGACTCATTTTGACTTGCAATTTTGGTTGCTGTTTGATAATTTATTTGATCATGGAGAGAAACGAAGACACGCAGAATTTATAACCTCGAAAGTGCCATACCTGGTGTGAGATAATCCCCACATGGAACATGCCGTGATTCCGGCTGCCGATCTACCCGGGTGTATCGTGGAGAAAACAACTCGGTTGATCATTCTACCACCATTGTCATATACATTTTCAAGGGCCCATGAAACGATCTGTCCTGTTAATACACAAGAAACCAAAGTTCTGAAGTCCGAGGTATGTAAGACTATAGCGCAGCGCATTGACCATCTAGATCAGTCGCATCACCCCTCTAGTTGCCTTACAATCGGGAATAAGAAGTACGCAGCAACGGGAACTGTCCCGGTGCCCTTCCTTCCATATCTCATTCACCCACTCCTCTTCTTTGTGTCTATTACGTGTGATTAACTCTAGATTGCACCGTAGGTCTGACCACAGCTCGAAACGGTGCGCCCAAACCCGTATAAAACGCTTCAACCCTCCCTGGATCCTGTTGAACACGCCATTTCAATTAATGAAAAATATTCCCATACTGCCCTTTTTTTCATTATATTGCCACGTATCTAGTGCTATCTATCATACTCTCTGGATGTAAATAGAAGGCAGAAATGCTATTTTAACAGAGCAGATGATGAGAAAGATACAAGTGGAAATACCTAACTTGTACAAGAACCCCAAAGGCCAGCTGGCTCTAGTTCTTTATGCCAGTCCAGCTCACTTTGCACAGAATCAAATAAGCTATGCAAGAATTGCCAGGCAAGAGCTAAAAGGGGCCTGGGAGTACACTACAAGTCAAAATGCCAAGTCTTATTGGTCTATGGTTCGCCACCCCGGAATGGATCCGAGACCGGCCGGGATGCTCCGTCTTTCATTGACGACTTGATCTAGAGGCCCAAGCTTAGTGCTTATTTAGCAATAAGCTTTTAGCCCCTCACAGGGTGGCAGAATTGTGTAGACACCGAGTCAGAATATGGATATGGCGGACAATGGTGGCCACATGAAATTTTCATAATAAGCAGGTCTTGAGCGCATCTTGACAATAACTCATTCACTTCAAGACACATAGCCATGCGCTCCTTAAGGTAATCAGCTAAGAAAGGAGAGTCTGACGGGTGTTATCACCCCACCCCCTTCTTAGCGAGTCTTTATTTTCTAAAGTATACTACAAGTCATCAATCCTCGTCGGTTACGTAGAGCGGCTACACAAATACTGGCCTGCCACTATCGCCCCCTTCCTTGGGAGAATAGTAAAACATGAACGGGAGAGAAGAGAGGAGGAACGAAAAGCAAAGTGATGTCGTTGATAGCTGAATCAAAGAACGAAAGACGTTACGACTGACCACTTGATGACGACCACTACTTTCAGGTCGTCTGACCTGGTGAGATCGACTTGGTCAAGGTAGCCGAAGGGCTCTAGCCTGAGCGAGTGGCATCATTGCCCAAGTCATTTCCCTGGACTTCTCCTTCGGCACTGTCGGTTGTAGAGGGACCAGCGGGGTGGGCACCGGCGACAGAGGCGGAGCCTGTCGGGTGGTGGCTATGGGTGCTGCCGTTGGCATCCTGGGTATCTGAGCTTGGCTCTGGCTCATGCAAACCTTCCAACTGAGGAGACAGGGGACGATCGCTGGTAGCACCAGACCACGACATACTATGAGCCTGGCCGTTTTGAGACGCGAACACGCTTCTGCTGGATCCATAGAGCCCGTACAGGCGCTCGAGGCGTTCAGATTCGCTCAATGGAGAGCGGGATCGTTCGCGGGCTTGGCGCGTGTAGCGGGACTCGACGGCGGAGGAGCCACGGTTGTTCGATTCATGCTGGACCTACTCACATATTTAATTATTGCAGACATAACACCGTAGAGAAAGTGCTTACACTCAGAACTAGTCTGCGATAGAACTCCTCCATATGGTTCAGCTCACGGTCGTGATGCCGGCCCAGAGATTCCCGGACCATTCTCATGTAACAGTTGGGACTTTCAGCGTCTACGGTTTGTTAGTCGCGGCACAAACTGACGGGAAGTATCAAACAACGTACAATGGCCCGGGCGATTACAATCCGGGCAATGGCCATCGTACGCAGGGGGTCGGCCCGCCGGGCAGCCAGGCCGTTCGGCCATGGTGGATGAGAGGAATGGGTAACAGCAAATGGAATCAGAGGGAGAGTGGCTGCGTGTGTAATGCAGGAAGAGATAGAAGTGGAGGAGGAGTTGGTAGGAAGGGAAAATCAGAAATGGATGTTGCAACACATGTATTTATAGGCAAAGTGGGTCCTGAAGCTATTCCCAGATCACCAATCTGGCATATATGATTGGCTAGGCAAGAGGCGTTTGTGCCTTGGTGGATTATCCCGGAAAGTACCATCCTTTTTGTGTAATGTTTGTTCGTCTGCCTATACTTTATAGTACTGTACTATGAGCTAGAATACGCTAGGAGCAAACTCTTGAATTCTGCACTTCTATTGGTTGGGTCTAGTCTTCAGGGTCCACCTTCCCCGGAATAGTGGAGCAGATCCTCCCAAGGCTGGGAGATCTACGGTAGTTGATGCTCGCGGCCACCAACAACCAGCAAGTTCTTGCGCCGAAGGAGTGCTTGAAGACATTTCCAGAGGTAAAGAGACCTGTATGGCCACCGCTATTCTATCGGGATCTTCCAACGACTCCCTTACAAGGCAGCCAATGCTTATCGCCTTATCTCCTGCTGAAGAAGCGCCTGCCTAAATTGAACAACCATGCTCAGGATCAAACCTAGAATTTCCAGAACGTTATGTTAATAAATAAAGATGGGCGGCAAAAATGTGCTCCGTATATGGCAAGCTCACTCTGGAAACCCCAATAGAAAAACAGCAAATTAACTCCCACAAGATCAACCTAAACTTGACACATCCGGTCAAAGTCAAAACTATTCCTCGAAAGGGGCTGCTTTCGTGCCACTCAAATTACCACATGCCACAGCTATACACTCCAGTAAACCCGCAAAATGGTTCCATGAAACTGTGATAAAATTGAAGAAAGCCGGGTCGGGGGTGCGGATCGGGTCTTCGTTGCTTAGTTTCTATTCCTCTTCCTGTATGTTTCCTGCACTCGCTCTTGGCACTACCAGCATCAATATGGAATTCATTGCACCGTCTCACAGAAGTACATTGGAAACCATCAAACTCCCGTGCTGGAATTCGACTCTTCATTATATTCTTTCCCTCTGCCTTTTCGCAATCATTCTCCATTCTGCTAACCTGCCCTTCCTGTCCACCAATTTCCATCTTCCCCACGGTAAGGGTAAGATCTGTTGTGGTATGGAGTAAGATAGATTAAAGTAAAGCGAATGTATTACGATAGTACCGAGCTCTCGAGCAATTATGGGTTCTAGTCTAGTGACCGGTCACGCTTTACAGCTTCTTTCTCCAGAAAACCAGCAGTCTGGAATTATAGTCCCTGGGCAAACTAAAAGCGACTAACTGTATAAGAGTGTACCTTGCAAAATCATTAGGAGCGGAACTTTGAGGATGCTTAAGAGAATTACGTAGGCAAATACTTGTAGATCACCCAAGCCCGATGTTGAGTGGAAAGTCCAGCAAGACTAACTAAACAGATGATTAATCACTTCGCATACATAAAATAAAATAAAATCAAGGGTCCAAATATGCATCGATCTCTGGGCTCCCGGAACTTTAACTGAAGATCACGTTGATCGGAATAGAGTTAGCCCCCACGAGGCTCAGTCCGGGGCAATTTTGAATTTCGGGGGAAAACGTCACACGAGACCAGCAATTTTGATCAAGTCTACCTAGTTGAGTCGCCCGAGTCTTGTCGAGTCTTATAACCAATTAGTCAATCTACTCACACCGTACTCTGCCCAATAAACTGCCAATTCAAATTCCGCAGTCTGCCAAGTGCCAACACTCGAGCTGCGCCCTGCACTACACTCAACCAGCCACTCAGCCTCCCCGCGCGGATCGCCTTTGCCCCGAATGGAAATACGACGACAATTCAGCCCGCTTCTTTCAACGGGGCGACCGTCTGCTTACTATTGACCCTTCGGGCAACTCCTAAGACTCCATCATCCAATCACCCGGAAGAAGAAAAGAAAAAAGGGCTCATTTCAGGCCCCAACCCCCAGTCTAACGACTCTACCCTGGCACACGGTTAATCGGAAAAGGCCCGCTATGATGATGGACGGGATGTGATCCACCGTGCACCTCCACCGCAAGATGAGCAAACTCGCTGCGATCGGTCATTCCCACTGTCATGCGTTTGCTAGCCTGCATTGCTTTGTTGGACTCTCTCTCTTCTCACCTTCTCACCTCGTCTTCTCTGTCATCCTCAAAGAAACAACAAACACGAACTCGGAGCGTCTCCCTCGATCAGAACCAACCCCGCCAAATGGGACTTTCTTAGCTCCGGAGAAGCGGTGCCCACCATGTCAATATCCACACCCAAACCGATCCCCGATAAACTCGATAGAGGCCTATTCGAACAAGACGAACACATCGCCAACTCACCACCCCGCGACAAATTCATTCCCCAGCGATTAACACTAACGGCCGCCGAACGCGCACGGCGCAATCTCAATGCGAAACTCTCGAATCCGCTAGCGGGGTTTAGCCATGCCGAGCTACGCAGGCAGGGTCGCAACTTTGCGCTTACACATGAAATCGGCGATGACGAGGATATCCGAGCTTTCGAACTCGGCGCCGTACTGGCTCAAGCGCCGGAGCGATATGATACTGTAGCTGGATTGAAGAGTGAGGAGAAGGATATTCTACGACGGGAATTCGAGCATCGCTGGTCCCAGCCTTGGACGATGTACGCCGTTATTGCGCTTTGCTCGCTCAGCGCCGCAGTACAGGGCATGGGTAAGTTTCCACCCTTCAGGTCACGAATTCCCTCCGTCCTTCCGCAGCATCTCTAACAATTGCGCGACCCCAACAGACGAAACAGTCGTCAACGGCGCCCAAATCTGGTACAAATACCAATTCGGCATCGCCGGCACTCAATCCCGCGATACCTGGCTAGTCGGCCTCATCAATTCCGCGCCCTACCTCTGCTGCGCCTTCATCGGCTGCTGGCTCACCGTCCCGTTCAACCACTGGTTCGGGCGCCGAGGCACAATCTTCCTAACATGCTGCTTCAGCGCAATAGCCTGTCTCTGGCAAGGCTTCGTCTCAGCCCACTGGTCCATGTTCATCGCCCGGTTCGCGCTGGGATTCGGCATCGGCCCCAAATCAGCAACAGTCCCCATCTACGCCGCAGAAACGAGTCCCCCGGCCATCCGCGGCGCGCTAATCATGCAATGGCAGACCTGGACCGCCTTCGGGATTATGCTTGGGTACGCGGCGGACTTGATTTTCTACCAGGTGGCTGATACGCCGGGGATTGTGGGGCTGAATTGGAGGTTGATGATGGCGTCGGCGATGTTTCCTGCGCTCGTGGTTTGTTGTTTCGTTTTCTTTTGTCCCGAGTCGCCGCGCTGGTATATGAGTAAGAAGCAGTATTATCGGGCTTATCAGAGTATTTGCACGCTGCGGTATCATAAGATTCAGGCTGCGCGGGATCTGTATTATATGCATACCCTGTTGGAAGCGGAGAATGCGATGAAGCTTGGGCAGAATAAGATTCTGGAACTTGTTACTGTGCCGAGGAATCGGAGGGCTATGATTGCGTCAACGATTGTCATGTTTATGCAGCAGGTGAGAAGTTTCGCGGAGAGACGGAGCTGTACAGCTCTATTTTCATTGACATCTACTAATACCCACAAGTTCTGCGGCGTGAACGTCATCGCATACTACTCCAGCGAGATCTTCCTAGTACGTCTCCCATCCCCAGACCGGTCTTATACAAAACCATCCTAACAACACCCAGGAAGCAAACTTCGCACCGGCCGCCGCCCTCGCCGCCTCCCTCGGCTGGGGCGTAATAAACTGGCTCTTTGCCATCCCAGCAATCTACACAATCGACACCTTCGGCCGCCGCAACCTCCTCCTAACAACATTCCCGCTAATGTCCCTCTCAATGTTCTTCACAGGCTTCAGCTTCTGGATCCCGGAGTCCCACCACACAGCGCGCACAGCCTGCATCGCGCTAGGAACCTACATCTTTGGCGTCGTCTACTCGCCCGGCGAAGGCCCCGTGCCCTTCACCTACTCCGCAGAAGCATACCCGCTGTACGTCCGGTCGTACGGGATGGCGCTCGCGACGGCGACGACGTGGTTCTTCAATTTCGTGCTCGGCGTGACGTGGCCGTCGTTGCGGAATGCGTTTACGGCGCAGGGGGCGTTTGCGTGGTATGCGGGGTGGTGTATTGTGGGGTGGTGGTTGGTGTTGCTTTTTATGCCGGAGACGAAGGGGAAGACGCTTGAGGAGTTGGATCAGGTTTTTTCGGTGCCGACAAGGTTTCATGTTAAGTATGGGTTGAGGCAGATTGGGTATTTTGTGAAGAGGTTTTTGTTGAGGAGGGAGGTTGAGCCGGAGATTTTGTATGAGAAGGAGGATGGGGGTGTGGGTGAGGGGGGATATAATGCTTGATATGACGGGAAGATTTGATATGATTTATGAGATATGACATTGTTCTTGTATGTTTGGAGTCTTGGTGGTACATAGTGATATCATAGAGGTCGATAATGCCATTGGGAAAACGCTTTACATGGCTGATTGGTGCGTCTACTCTTTATAGTCTTACTTATTAGATGCTGACGTGTAGTAAGCAATTCAAACTGATTACAGTCATTTCGATATTTGAGAGCCTCCGTGGGCGTGCTGGCAAACTTCACTCAAGTCTAGCTTCTGATAGCCTTACTAAGACCTTCCTCATGCATAAACCGCGTGGCCGAGTACAATTGCCTGGTAATCTAATCTTCGGCTCGTGGTGCTGTTAGTATTTCCAATGATGGTTTTTAGCCTACGAGGTGCGTATGCGGGTAGAGAGGTTTATGTTATAATATTATTCTTCTATTTTTGGTCCAGTGGTAGTATCACCACGTTATCTATTTTCTAACCCAAGTGATAAACATGATTGGTTAAATTGTAAAACATGAATGCAGATTTACGGTCTGGTCTGGCCTTCCCATACGACCCATCCATCCGTCTCGCTTCGCTTCATCTACTCCGCACCGTCCCTCCTTTATTGCTGCTTGTTGGGGATACTCCGGAGACCCTTGTTAATAGAATCAGTCACCTCATCGAGGCAGCCGGCAGCGGCAGCGAAGAAGCCCAGGAAGGCACGGCTAGGTGCCAGGACTCGGCTGAGATATTCGGGGTGGAATTGCACACCCACGAACCAGGGGTGATCGCGGATCTCAACAATCTCCATACGCTCGCCCTTGTCGTCCTTGCCGACGAATGTCAGACCGGCCTTCTCGATGTTGTCGACCATCTCAGGGTTGACTTCGTAACGGTGACGGTGGCGCTCTGAGATCTGGGAGACATTGGGGCCATACAAGGCGCGGAGGCGAGACCACTCGGTGCCATCTTGGAAGATTGATGGATGTTTTCCAAGACGCATGGTACCGCCCATCTTATCCTTATCAACCTGTAAATATTGTCAGCGCGAGTCCATCTAAGACCAATTCAACGGGAACACCTACCTCCGGCATGTAAATGATGGCGTGGTTCTTAGCCTCGGGGTGAAGCTCCTCACTTCCGCAGTCTTCCATGTTCATCACATTGCGAGCAAACTCGATCACAGCAAGCTGCATACCAAGGCAAACACCCAGGAAGGGACGCTTCTTGGTACGCGCCCAGGTAATCGCCTTGATCATACCGGTGGTGTTACGGGTACCGAAACCACCAGGGACAAGCAGACCATCAGCAGTGCAAACAGCGTGCCAAGCCTTGTGGAACTCGGCCGGGTTGGTCTCAAAGGCCTCATCTTCCAGATGGCCTGCATCAACCCAGATCAACTCCAGCTTCTTATGACAGTACATGGCGGCGTGCTCCAAAGCCTTGGACACACTAATGTACGCGTCCTTGAGAGCAGTGTACTTGCCCACAAGGGCGATGGACACCGTATCGTGGGGGTAGTCCTGGCCACGGGCAAGGTCAACCCAGTCCTTCCACATCAGCTTGCCCTGCTCGACAATTTGGGGCTCCCGCTTGATAGACGGGAGATCCAGCAGCTCTCCAAGGGTGCCAATAAGCTTCTGTTTCTCAAGAAGCATAGGCACGTGATAGGTAGTCGAGACGTTGTGCACGGCAATAACCTGCTTGGTATCCATGGAGCACATGTTGGCGATCTTCTGGACGGTGCCATCCTCCAGAGGCAGCTCGCAGCGACAAGCGATCAGGTCCGGATTCAGGCCCGCGCTACGAACATCGCTAATTGCCCTCTGAGTGGGCTTGGTCTTCTGCTCGTCGTGAATGACGGGGACATAAGACACGTGGATCTGAGCAAAGTTGCCCTTGCCAGCCCGGCGTTGGAGCTGGCTGATGGCGTGAATGAAGGGAGCGCTCTCAATGTCTCCAACAGTACCACCCAGCTCGATAATGCAGACATCGGGCTCCCGGCCAGACTCGTCAACGGGGATCTTGGCAACGCGCTCGATCCAGTCCTGGATGGCGTTGGTAATGTGGGGCACAACCTGGACGGTCTTGCCAAGATAGCGACCAACACGCTCGCGCTCGATCACTTGCTGGTAGATCTTGCCAGTCTATACCCAAATGAAACCAATTAGCCACGCTATCCCCGAAATGAAAGCATTGCTTCGGTATCGATTCGTGGTAACTCACAGTAATGTTGTGATCGCGAGTGAGGGTGGTCAAAAGATAGCGCTCGTAGTTGCCGAGATCCAGATCCATTTCACCACCATCGTCCGTCACATAAACCTCTCCGTGCCTGATCAATCAGTAATTGGGTCTGGATACTCGGGGCGCGCAGAAACTGACTCGATTGGCGACATAGTACCAGCATCGATGTTGATGTAAGGGTCACACTATACACGTCGTTTTAGCAAGGGAGGTGTATAACTGGGGTGATCGGAAATATCGAGTAATGTTGTCGATCGGATCAAACGGAGAGTCGTTCACGAACCTTGATGCTAGTGACCGTGAGACCGGCGGATTTGAGGAGCAATCCGGTGCTCGAGGCAATAATGCCCTTGCCAACACCGGAGATGACACCTAAAGGAAGAAACATCCATTAGCTCATATTTCACGGAATCAAAACTGGACAGGACATTCAAAACTTACCACCCGAGACCAGAACGTACTTCATTTTGACGTGAGCTCCCGACCAGGCTGCAAATGCAGTTGGTGGAGGGGGAGGGAAAGAACAAAATTGGCGGCGGGCAGAAAAAAAAAGAGAAAATGAAAGGCGGTGAGGGAAAAGCGCGTTGGACGCTAAACCCGATTGGTCGACCAGATTCGGCCGGATTTTCGAAGAATTTTGTGGAGTATGCAAGGACCGATCTTGGCATTTCTATAAGAGTCATAGTGAAGAGAGCAATTCAAAGCTAGTAATAATTTAGGATTTTATCTTCTGAATGTGAAACTGATCTCCGTAAGCTACAAACTTATCTCTAGTAAAGCCATGCAGAGCAGAGCGTATCATGCAAATGGCAGATCGATCGAGGCTCTGTTGATAAGAGATAAGAGCCCCCGCGTACATTTCACCACCTTATACTCCTTACATTCAACCATCATCATTCCTGTGCGAGAGCACAGAATAATTGTTGGGATAGTATATATTAATATCACATGCGATTTATATTTTCATCTGTCATGATCCAACCTATATGATACTTGTTGAGCAACTGCTAGTCTCAACCAAATATGGGGAAAAGCGCGGTCCCGAGCTAGAACTATACGGGAATGGCGCCTATCACATGCGAATTCAACAAACCACTGTGACTCACGATATATGACGTCGAATACGGGATATGGAGATATCTCATTCATTCTGTGGTGCTATTGATCCAATTGATCAATTGTTGTGAGAAAAATAGGGTCTATTGAAGTAGACTGGCCAAACTGAATGGGTCACGCGAGCACTCGTTAAATGGAGAGAGTCCAGTTTTATCCGGTTTACTTCAGTACTAATCAAGACCCAGATTAGAGTGGCCAGATTAGAGTGGAAACCCCCTCCAGGGTCCATTCTGAATACGTTGGGTATTTTAATGGAAAGTAAACCGATCCTCTAGAGCCGTACCAACTAGGACATTCCAGCCCATTCTCACAACTCAAGCTACGATGCTAAAGTATGATCCGTCCTAGATTGCCTTTAGAAACACCACCAACACTGGAATTCAACTGTCGTTTCTGATGGGAATATTTGCTAACTAAACAACACACGATGATGGCATGATTTGCCGGTACTTCTTCCGGCAGCAAGCTCGATGAAGACGCGGCAAAAGGTCCAGATCATCGCACTTTTTACCCCGTCTCTCCACACGGGCCACAATTCGTTCTAATTCCTCGAATGATATATTGGAATAATCGATCCGGTTGAGAATAAGTTGCAGCTCTTCCTTGGCACATTCTGTGACCAAAGGCACTAGAAGATTCTCGACCCGCTCGGGTCCACCATCGCAAAACGGATCTGCCCCTCGATCGAGCAAGAGTTGGAGGTTTGGTCGTGGCACCGAAGGTCTGTCTTCGCCTTCACCTACTTCCGCTGTGTCCAGACAGGTAGATAAATTCCCAGAATCCATTTTGATGCCATGTCGTAGCAACAAGTTCATTGTGGCAGCGACCGCATCAGCGTCTCCGGTTGGTGAATTGACTTTTCCGAGAATGCTTCTATCGATTGGCGTATCCCAGGTATCGCTTGGATCTATGGGTTCCTGGATTGTGCATAAATTTCTCACAAGACCTTTGTCAAAGAGGACATCCACCAATGCCAAGTCCGCGTGGGTCACGGCGGTAAATAAAGCCCTTCCGACTTCAGTACTCTCAGGCTCAGCACTCTGACTGTTGGCCAACACAAATTCGACCATCGGTCAACACAGTATCAAACGCATCATTATCCAGAACCTGCAAAGGCACACCGCGCTGTAACAATATCTCCAAAGACCTAGTTTTCCAAATCTAAGTACTCTGGAAACGAGATTCCAACTGCCATTCATCGCTGTGACGTACGGATCAGCGCCCTGATCGAGCAGCAGTTCAAAAATCTCCGGATGTGGTATTGCGTTGAATATGACCGCGTGCCTATCGGGAAATTTCCAATCTGGGTCTGCTCCATGGTCGAGAAGGGTGCGCACGTCTAATTAAATAAAAAGCGTATGACTTACTTCCACCAAATCGAGCGATACGCCAAAACGAGCTACATATCCTCCACACTTGTTGTTCGTATCGCCTAGCTCTACTGTAGAGGATTGAATGCCTAAATTAACTGTTGTCAATAAACCGTATACGGGTTAAATCCTCTTGTATATCCGACAGATATTGTTATTCTAGACGGCATGTTCACTTATTGACTTCAGTCGGTTGGTACATCTTGAAGAGCCGCACTGACTGTGCGAGCGGGTAAGTTCCCCTAAACACTTATGAAAAGCAATCTACTAGGGTGACGGAAAATTCCTTCACATAACTGCTTAGCTTACCTGCTAAGGCTGTTTGTGTTCCGTAGGGGACTTCCAACCCTTTTTATTCAGCATGCTTCCTTCAACTCATTAATCTTCTTATCCACCTTCTCACCTCCAACTCCAACTCCAACTCAACACCAACTCAACTATTCCATCACGCGATCAACACTTACTCCTTCTGACTCCTTCCATTACTTCTTTCCTTATCAACTCGAGGGAGACAACTTCAAGATGGCCCCCGCTAGGAAGGAACCGGCTCCAAAACCCAGCCCAGCTGCGAACATGCAGAGTGCATCCAGCGGAGAAGTCTCGGCTAACGCTACCGAAAGTGAGCCAGAATCTTATCCAGAGCCCCAGAAGCCCTTCAGAATGTCAGATCTCGACCTAGATGTCTCCTACGTTGGAGTATTTGAGTTATCCCCTCACGAACCGCGACCACGATGGCCGGAAATTTGGCATGAAAGTGGGACACCATACCCTCGAGGTTGGTCAGCAACTGATCTAAACCAAGATCTGAGGTATGAAAATCGTAAAATTGACCATTATTGAGAGTCGCTAACTTGCCTCCGTAGCAAGCATGAAGCCCGGATCGAGCGATATCGCAAGCAAATGGTGGAGAACAACATGCCGGAACATGCTCGGGAAAAACTTGCACATTATGAAAAGCAGCTTGCGGACAAGATGTAGGTCTTGTCTTTAACTTACAGAACACTGCTATTTGTGTCCTGCTAATCCGCCATTTTCTAGGGAACTGAAGGCAAGATACCCTGGTCTCAAGTGGCAAACTCTTCTACAAATTGAAGAACTTGAGCGAGCTAAACAACGCTTTGCTTTGGAAAGAGATCGCGGGAATATAGTTCCTAGTTTGGAAGCCATCATTACAGCCTATGAGAGCCGCCAGTTGGACGTTTACCCGGATGAGAGGTTGGTGACCTACTGGCACAAGGGCAAGCAGATCAGCCAGCCACGACCCTTCAACTGGGAAGAATATCATATCATTGCTGCTGGGTGTGAAGGTAGAGTCATGTCTGTCTGGGTGGAACCGATTGGCGTCCCGCAACAGAGAACAAACAATATCTATACCGTGCTGAACGTACCCAGAGCATCTAACCTTGACCAAGGTTGATCAAGGGAATGATTGGATCCCCGCTTGCAACACCTTAGCGGCTAGTTGACTCTCTTCGGTCGCTGTGTGATACGCCAAATCAAATTGAAGTGGATCTTTACATTTTCGAGAAAAGAGATGTTGAAATACAGACTGTGCTGCTATTCTTACATGCTCTTTTACACATCCAAGTCCCCGTAACTCTTCCTTTACCCCTCGTAAAAGACAACTTGACATTAGCACTACGGGGTCAACATACGATCTATAAATACAGTTTCTAAGACTTAGGAATTTCTTTCATACCTTCAAAATGTTCACCATCTCTACTTCCTCCTAGTTTCAATTTTAAAAGAAGCAGGATAGACTCCCAAACTTTTTCTCCTCCTACTACAACCACCACCACCATCAATCCAGCCACGGCCATGAACTGAATATTACGGTCATGATTTACAGGTCAGAATCTATAACAAATGCTGAACAAGATTCTGGTAAAAAGAAGATTCGCATTTATTCGGGGACAATTTCTTGCCTGGACAGTCAAAAGGCCCTCCGGCTGATCGTAAATCGAGTTACTATCGTAGCATTGAACGCTCACGGTCTTGTTTGCAATATCCACGTTGGGGTCACTGAAACTGCAAGTACCGGGATCCTCCATCCCGATATAGAGTGGCTCTTGACATTTATCATCACTTCATAAATAATCAGTAAGGCTTTCAATTCCGAGGCTCATATACCGAGAACTCACGTGTAGAAGTTGCATACGACGTCTGTCAGCAATTCAGCACCATTGATGTTTTTTCTCCTGTTATCAAAATTTTATCGGTCAATCTCCCGGCAAATTATGCGCGAGTCATCATACAAGTCAAGAGGAAGCAGAACACATTGATTGTCCGGCTTGATGTCGAGTGATTTGCCTTGGCATGGCTCCTGTGAAAAGAGCACAGCAGGCTGTTGAAAAAATAGTATCAGTGATCTGCTCTGTAGGCGAGTCCTTAACTTGAGACATTTACCTTGACCTCGACAAGTGCATATGTAGCACACGACAAAGCTGTCGCCATAAAGAAGCTACGGGTGATCATGACGTATGTGCAATGGCGAAATGCAGGAGTACTAAGAACGAGGATTTTTGTGCCCACGATCGTGCGAGTATTCCAGTCTTAAGAACTGCATAATTATGATCTTCGGTGACACAACATCTATAGTTCTATGCAAGGCTCGCATTTTATTGACGCACGAATTTCCCGACCGGCGACGGAAAAAGCCATTTTTTCTCAAAACCACGAATTAAATGAAAGAATTAGTAAAGGATGTACAGTACTGTAACTTCAAATAGCGAATTCAAAATTCATTAGATCGTGAAAAGTAGACAGAATCGATTTGACTCCAATCAATCTGCAGAGAATATCAACATTAAGAGCTCCCTGATACACGAGCCTGTCCGAGTTAAGTATAGGACCAATTCTGTCCTCGGCAGCCAATACCGACCACCATGCCTCGCACGTAACTGAAAGATATTTCTGTTTTCCCATACTCATGAGGATCATGATTATTTTTACGTCCATAAAGTATTTTGCAACAAAATCGGTTTCAACTGTACTGTAGAAGTCGCGCGCAGTCTAATCCCGACGCGGAAAGACGCGTTGTGCCGCTAGTCCAAAAGAAGCGTAGCGAGCATTTCGGCTCCAGTGTGACTCACAACTGGAGTTTTTAGACCCATTGTAATGCCAAAAAGTCCACAATTCTCCAACAACAAGCAAGCTGGCGCATAGGAAGCGCGTCGGGCTCATAACCCGAAGGTACCTGGATCGAAACCAGGGTTTGCTATCTTTTTGTAAATTTTTTTCACTTCTTAATAGACGGTTTACAGTTGGAAACACTCGAAAACTGTTTCCGACGAGAAAAGACACTGGGCCTCGACACTCATGATTAGGCGACCGTAGATTTTTTTATCAAAAAAAATCAAATCAACCCGTGGAGAATTCACTGTAGTATCAATATTCTATTCTTATTTCCATCAACCGGAATGATATGTAGTCCATTGGGGTTTAATCATGAACCATGTTGTTGATTAAGGTATGGTTCGAGATATATATCGAGCAAGGCCGGGACCCATTAGGTACGTCCAGCTCCAGTTCACTGAGACACCTACTGGAAACATGGTTGCACTCTCACGGTGGAACTCGCATCCAATGAATCAAAAACGGTGATTTATCAAATTTTAATCAAGTATAATAGCCCGCTAGGCACTCAACTCTAGTTGAGACTTGTCGCGATCGTTGGCAGATACCTTATTTTTTGCCTGAGCGATCAGGCAGTCTCCACTGCGCCGTGTCGCGCATATACTGCAGGGCCCGGAAAATTAATTTTCCTGTCTACAAGCCTTTCACAATCCACTCTGCCTCGAACTTGTCGTAAAGAACGATTCTATCGAGTTTCCGTCAAAATCTGAAACTGAAAATCATGTTTGTGGTGGACAAGCAAGTGTTGTAAGCTCTCGGGTAACATTGCGTCATCAGTTGGTGGATGATACTTTTACCATATACAAGAGTACTCAGAGCCAGGGTACTTACTGTCACAATTCCCCAGAAGACAAAACAATCAATTTGCCACCCCAGCCTTAAAATGAACATGACCCCTCACTTCCTCTCGTAGAATCCCATTACATCAAGCTCTTCCTGATTCCAAGTCATCACAATGGCATTCAATAAAACCGCATGCGATATCCACCTGTCCCTCCATGATGGCGGCACCCACTTAATAGCAATATGCAACAACGACGAGGGCTCCGGGATCACTGGTGACCTTCTCCTTGACCAATGCTTGGGAAGTAAGGATGGTAAGGTGCCACTCGATGGAGTTGATTCGATCGCGAGCTTAACATTATCTCCTCCGTATAGGCCACTTTGTATGGGGTGGAACGAACTTCAGCAAGAATGCGAAGAACGTTACCTTTAGCACTGAAGGACCGGACAGGAAACCAATTCTTCATTCGGAGCTCTTGGATTCATCCGGACATTATGTCCAAGACAAGGTTGATCTTGCTTCTCATATTGCAAACGTTGAGGGCGAACTAAAATACACTGAACCCGAGGATTGACCGGCCCACCGCAAGGTTATGCTAGTTACGGTGATTAATTTGGTAAAATTGAATGTCTGTTCCTTGATATGTAACATGATATCGAATCTTGAGATGCTGTTCCTCCATAAAGATGCATTCGGCTCTTCAGCTCAGCTAGGGACGCTGTGATGCGTGCCTACCACCACATACGGCGACAATCACGGAGGACAAGATCTAGAAGTCCCGACGAGAGCTGGAGCAGTCATATGTAATAAACCTTGTAGCTAGGTAAATTTAGTTTCCCATGTATGACACGTGATGCCATTCAAAATAATGATGTCATTCTCTTCTTTATAAGTCCTTCATTCGCCAGTATCGCCAGGCGCCAAAAACCCTCTCAAATCCCCAGGAAGCTCCAATCCCTCAACAATCATACGATACAAGCTACCTCCAAGTCTCAAACAGAGTCCTTCAAAATGATGCGCATTGCCAACAAACGGGCTGTCCCAATCAGACCTATCTACTATCTACAAGCCAAACACAACATACGCTACCTACACAATAACCTGACCACACCAAACCAAGAGGAAATCGCCATCCTCGACCGCCAAATCCTCCGACCCGACAGAGCAGAGACATGCCAATCCGGCACCGACGACGAAGTCGCGCGTCACAAATCCCCGTACGACCCTACACAAACAGCAGTGGACAAAGAAGTCTCCGCTCTGCGGGAAGAATACAGACTGGAAGGGGACCTCCTGCACGATCCGTTGGCAGTCAGCCCCGCAAACCTACAAGTCAGTCATATACTGCAGTTGGAGGAGGAGCGTGCAATTGCGGGATGGAATCCGCTGGGTAGTGTCAGGGGTTGGACGAGTAAACACAAAACAGTCCTGTTGCGGAGGGAGCCGTATAATTTTCGAGCATATGAAATTGTGTTTCCCTATCTTGGGAAGTACAGAAAGGTTTGCGGTTCCCTGGTGGTGAATTAGTTCTGTTGCTAACTTGTATAGAAGAGCCCAACGGTAGCAACGGTACCTGTACACGGTCATTAGTAGCAACAGTATTGCATTCGACATTCGACGTTAACCATTTGAGCAACCGACTTTTTGAATTCGTCGAAAAAAACTGGAATAATGGGGATACGGGTTTGCGTTGGATCTAGGCCTGGGAATAAAAATTGGCTCTGCATTGGCAATAGCGCTAGCCTGGAATCTTAAAAAATGAAATCAATGCACCTATCGCTATGGAAAACCCCTGAACTAAAACTGGTTAATAATAATATGTGAACTGCTCACTGCTCCCATGGAGCCTGATTCCTCCCATGGTATCCTTGTTCAACACTACGTGCGAGGTTCCCGATGCCATCACTCATCGGCCACAGAGCACCAGTCATAGTTCCCCTTGATGTTATTTCCCCACCAGGCAGGGAACGGATGAGACGGCCCACCAGCCCCAAATACCGCAAAGGAAAGTATGAACAGAACCGTCAGACTAGCACCGTCAAACGCCCCAGTGATAAGATACGAGTAGTCCTTGAAGATGCGCGGGCGATAGTTCCGGAGGTACCACTGGACGTAAAATCCGCCGAGGATCTGGCTGAAGAGGACGCAGGTCTGGCTCTGGTTGTATGGAATGTAGCCCGCATATTGAAGAAACTGTGGCATGTTGATCTCGGAGATATCGAGACGGCTGATCTTCGGGATGAACTAAGGTTGTCAAGTTCGTCAGCCTTGGTTGGACAAGAGTGGGAGGACATTAGTTGTATGATCGACTTACGTAGTAGAAAAGGCGATGTGGAGAGACGACGCCTGCACCGACCAGCAAACCCAGAGGCACAATCTCATACTTTGAGCCGATTTTGTAAAGATAAGGTGCCAGTGCCCACGACGCTGCGTTGGTGTTGTATGCCTGCAAAGTTGCACCACTCCAGGAGGAATTGCCGTTTCCCTCAGCAAGGAGAGCCCGATTGCCAGCAATGATTGAGATCATGATCGCATAGTTGATGAAGCCGCTGAGAATCGTGCCATAGATTTGAGTCAGAAACAAGGCCCGAGGGGGAATCTTGACTGAAAAATATCGGTCAACCATCGCCAAAAAATCAATTCACAATGAATGGGACCAACTTACGATATTCCCATAGTTTCAGATCGTTAGATAGATTAACCGCATTTTGGATCACATTGTGGGACCACGCAGCAAAGTACATGTTCCCAACTGGACGTCCCGGGACGGTGAGACCGGCAATCATTTTGGAAATATTGTTGGTAGCAATGCCATTGCCATAGCGGGCGAAAAGAACGGTGCTCTAGAATAGTAATCTTGATCAGCAAAGTGACTGTGCTAGTAGAGCAAGAGGTACTCACAAAAGGTGAAATGATACTTCCTACTAGCAGAGCCACCACATATGCCCACGCCGGAAGAGTGACATTCTCCCTGAGAACTACGACAAGACCGAGGACGAAGCTGCCGATGAGCACCAAGACATACCACCACCATGAGGTTTCTTTATAGTGTGCTGCCATATGCTGATGATGCCGGTCGTCATATCGACCTTCCTTTGCGCTTTTGTAAGCTTGCCTGACTTCCTTGCCCCAGAAATTAGAGCACCAATCTGGGGTACTATTAGATTGTGATGAAAGCGATGAATGGGTATAGAGAAGATGGGTAGCGTACCGCAGCATTAGCTATGAACATCGCGAATGCAAAGCTTCCGGTGAGCTGACCTACTCAACACCGTCCAACAAGCAGCCCAACAGTCAACCCCCTGGGCCTGCCCGTCGACGTGGGCCCGCCAGGGCTGGACTCCCGAATGCAAGGAAGCGATAAAGGAGTCTCGCAGGCAATACCGACAGTATATGCGTACGCATGACGATGAAGACTGGAAGGAATACACATTAGCGAGGAACGCGAAAGGGAAAACTATTAAGAAGGCAATGAAACAGGGCTTCCGCCAGTGGGTACGTGACACGATCGACAAAGGCCCCCGCGGTCTGTGGAAAGTGTCGAAATGGGCCAGATCTCGCGATCAGACGTCAGGAAGCAGCAATATCCCTTCCCTCAAAGGGGGCGATGGCGGTCTGGCAGAGACTGATCAACAGAAGGTCGATCTGCTCCGCCAGGTGTTCTTCCCACAGCCCCCACAGGCTGATCTCTCTGATATCGAGGGCTCTTCAGATATAACGAACCAGATTGCATTTCCACCGATTAGCCAGCAAGAAGTACGCGATGCAATTAAGCGTGCGCCGCCTGATAAAGCGCCTGGAGAGGATGGTATCCCTAACCGCGTATGGAAGATCCTGGTAGACAATAGCCACTTCGTGGCCATTCTGACAGCAATCTTCGATGCGTGTATGCGAACGGGCCACAATCCTCGCTATTTCCAAGCCTCTATCACGGTCACGCTACGCAAAGGAGGCCCGCGTGATTTCCGGCAGCCGAAATCATACCGACCTGTCGCCCTACTAAACACCCTCGGCAAAATCCTTGAATCTATCGTTGCCACACGCATCGCATGGGCGGTTGAAGAGCACGGGCTCTTGCCGAAGACCTACCTTGGTGGCAGGAAGGGGATCTCAGTGGATCATGCAATCCAGCTGATTCTTGACCGTGTGCACCGAGCGTGGGGACGTGGGAAGAAGGTCTCGATGATACTGCTTGACGTGGCAGGTGCCTACGATAACGTCTCGCACGAAAGGCTTCTTCATAATATAAAACAACTCCGGCTAGGCCACTTTGCACCATGGATTGCCTCGTTCCTTAGCAACAGGAGCACACGCGTCAAATTACCGGGGTATATATCAGATAGCTTCCCAACGGCCACTGGTATACCACAAGGATCGCCTATTTCGCCAATCCTATTCCTGCTATTCAATGCGCCACTAATCACTGCCTGTAGCCTTCGAACGGGCAGTGTCCAATCCATCGGCTTTGGCTGGGTAGACGACGTGGCAGTCCTAGTAGAATCGGAGTCGTACTACACAACACAATAACACTAGAGAAAGTACTTAACAAGGCGAATCTATGGGCTAGACGCCACGCAGCAAGATTTGCACCCGATAAGTTCGAGCTTATTCATTTCACCAACCCTCGATCAAACGATAGCAGCCAAGAAAATGACCAAGAGGACGATACTACCGATATATACGACTTCGACGGTGCACACCCTCAGGGCAACGACCAGTTGCCCGTTAGAATCAACGATGAACTATCGATACAACCAACACAGTCCGCTAAATACCTAGGCGTGTGGCTCGACAAACACCTAGATTTTAATACACATCGCCAGAAATTACTCGCCAAGGCCAACAGCAGTCTCGAAGCCCTCCGGGCGATGACAGGATCAGTGTGGGGTGCCTCGCTATCGGCAATGCGCAAGGTCTACCAAGCGGTGGTAGTGCCCCAGATGCTCTACGGGGTATCAGCATGGTACTGCCCTGCAGCGAGGGCCATGCCGGCCGGTGAACTACGACGCACCATCAACGAATTCACCAAGATCCAACGACGCGCGGCAATTCTCATCAGTGGCGCATTCAAATCGACTAGTGCGGCAGCGCTCAACGTGGAACTCTTCATAACACCAATACACCTACTCATGGACCAAATTATCCAGGAATCGGCAATACGAATCCAAACAGGTGCCATGTGGGCCCAGCCAGAGTGTCTACGTCGACAGCAACCACGATCACCCCAGGAGATCAGGAAAGGGGGATGGAGCCCTCTTGAAGCCCTTAGGTGGAAGAAGGACGGTATTTTGAACCAACAAGGAACGTGGGAATCGCGTAAAGCGTGTGTTCTAGCGCCATGGGAGGCACGGATCCCATGCGTGATCGAAGATGCAGAGGTTGCGCGAGCCTCGCATGACAGGATTATCCAACAAGCCGCACTAGACTGCTCCCCGACAGTCTCGCAGGATCGCACGATCCTATTCTTCACAGATGGGAGTGGGTACGAGGGCCAGGTCGGTGCTTCAGCCGTTGCCCCGCGTGAGGGCATCTTTCAACGGCGATACCTTGGAACCACCGAGGAATCAACAGTGTACGTTGCCGAGCTCAACGGCATTGAAATGGCTATCGCCAGGTTCGTCAACCAACATCGAAATAACATAAGGCTCATCGTTTTCTCCGACTGCCAGGCCGCCATCCAAGCGGTGCAAAACCCAAAGCGATCGTCAGGCCAGTTCGTGCTCGCTTCTATTTATGACCACGTTCAGACCCTTCGATCGCTACAGCAAACGCCCACGTTCGATCAGATTCCCATCGAGATCCGCTGGATCCCCGCACACGTGGGCGTTCCTGGCAATGAGACCGCTGACGTTGAAGCAAAGTTGGCGGCAACGGGAGGTGTGGGGAACGGAGCGGATCAACCCTACCCCGAGGGGCCCGCTGGTCGTGTCCTTCTAGCAGCGACCGCAAAGCGTCGAGTGCGGCGGCGTATCAAAGAGAGATGGGCACAAGAGTGGGCAAAAGAGCGAACTGGCAAGCCGAACCAGCGGCTAGTCAAAGCGCCAGACAAGAAGGTACTTCGGTTATTCGACTCACTGTCAAAACCGCACACGTCGATTTTAATTCAGATGCGTTCGATGCGTATCGCACTGAACCACTTCTTATACAAAATCAAGGCGGTCGAATCAGATCAGTGTTACTGTAGCGAGGGGTCTCAGACACCGAGACACATCTTGATGCAGTGCCCGTTGTACGCTGATCTGAGGAAGACCTTCCTTGACAAGATCCGGATGACCGATCTTGGGGATTCGACGGATTACGATGCAATTGTATCGCACTCGCAGGCCACCCGCTACGTGGCCGAATTCATGCTTCAAACAGGCCTTCTGGGACAGTTCCGGCACGTCGAGATTGAACCAGAACCAACAGGCGACGAAACAACGAGCCGGAATAGACTGGCAGGCATAGGTGGTGAAGATGCTGGGTAGGAGGAACGCCAAGCCCAAGATCTACCGAGAGGTCTTGGAAGAATACATCCAACAACAACGAACGCCACCAATCGAGAACGAAGCAGGAGGATAGTATGAATGCTGGAGAGGGATGGCAGAGACGGAAATGCAGAGGAAGCAGCAGGCCAATGTGAGGGCGGGATGAGAGATATATCGTGGGAATGAGGGCCTTGACGGCGTTTCGGTACTGTTTTTGGGCTGAATTTTGGACTGTTTTACTTGGCAATACGCCGTTTTCCTATGTATCTACTGTTTCACGCGCACTGGCGTTCGGATCACTCTTGCTTCCGCCCGGAGGGAGCGCCTACATAGCCATTACGCCACTAGTTAGGCTGCAACAGGTTAATAGAGTGTTGATTGATTGATTGATTGATTGATTCCGGTGAGCTGGGGTAGACCGTACTTGGCCAGAGCGGATTTGCTGAGTACACCTCCTGGAAATAGTTTGCTTGTGGGATATCTTTTCCCTTCAGCTGTGTGGAAAACAGTAGACATGAAGGGCTGCGACTTCGCACCCCAGCCATTTCCATAGTAAATGGCGAGCATGATGATAAAACAGGTGAAGACCCCCACAGCTTGGTGTAATTGGAATTTGAGAGGCATGGAAGTCTGACTACTTGTTATCTATTCTGGTTAGCTTGGGCCTCATGTTCATGATTGTTGAAGCATTCCTCTTACAAATTGCAAGTCCAAGCATAGCGAGAAGAGCCCGAGGCCTTCGTTGTTTGTGGCACCACCGAAGTGGTTTGTGAGCACAGCTGCCTTGCTACCTGTCGCTTTCTGGGCAGCAAGGCACGACCAACTCTTACATCAGTAATTTTCCATCATAACTGTGGCAACAGGGTGACTTACCGGGATAGAGACCGAATTCAGCCATGGAAAGATATAGGCTGGCAGAAACTCATAGATAGTCATGCTGGAGAAGGCATACCAGAAGAATCGAAGCGGCTTGGAATACTTCACTTCTTGCCAATGGAGACCTTGAAGAGTCTTGACTGTTGGCAAGTACTCCAATACACAGATTCCACGTGCCAGACAGCGATAGGCCGCATAATCCCGCAGATCCCATAACCAAAAAGTCCAATTGAGATAGTACTGAGAATCACCGTCAAGGCGCTCAGAGGCATGTCGTAGAAGAGATTCTGGGCTGCAAAGACGCTAGACGTCACCGCAGCGTTGGATGCTGAAGTAGCCGTGATAGCACAAATAGAGTGTTCCTTCAGACTCCACGGGCCATTGTTCATGACCTTGAGAGCTGAGATCCACCACGGAAGCTTAGCCGGGCCATGCTTCTCCCGCCAGCGAGTTTCAAATTTGTCACCACGGGGAAGGAACTTGGCCCACGCGTTACCCAAAAAGTACGAGATGAGGACGATAAATGTGCCTGAGATATCGACGGAAGTCGGCTTGAACTATTGCACGGAGTCAGTACCGCGTGTAAATGAGAGGGAAGTGTGAACTCACACTGTAGATCTGGTTCATCACTGCCTGAAATCCAGACACCGCAGATGCAAGGACAATACTGCGAAGGGAAATCACGGGATCGAAGTCATCCCGCAAAGGCAGCAAGTGCTGCGCGGCATCGGCGCCAGTTTTGATCACAGCATCGGCGATGCTGATCTCGCTCTCCTCGGCAACAATCTCTTTACCATCGATCTTAACTTCTTCCTTGGTAGAAGCAGGCATATCACGAGTGTGGTCATCTCCAACACCGTCAAGAGTGGGCTGCTCAGAGAAATCTTGAGTCATCTTGGATTATTCTCGGCCTTCAGGGATCTGGGAGGGTTGTCAGTTATCGCCGGAGGTGTTACAGCGGACAGACTAGATACCGAGAAGAAGATTAAGATGGGGTGATTTCTCCTGAGAGAACTATCAGCGGGGTACTTGCAAGCGTGAGAGAGAGAGAGAGCGTGGGATTTTGATACCTTGTGTGGGAGCCGGCGTGGGGTGAAGGAAAGAGGGTGGTGAGTGAGAGATGCGAGGAGAAGGAAGGAGTGTCGGTTGGAAGATTATCCCACGATATCACGAGTCAATTCGACCAGCGGCCAGATACCCGGGGTATTTCTACTTACCATCATCGACTCATCTTTCATAGAGACCACTTAGCCCGCGAACTTCCATGGGTAGCTACAGCAAGCCACTGCTGTCAAGAACTGGCGAGTAACTTAGTCGAGTGACACATGAACACCTCTAATTACGTTGTAGTATATTGCTAAGCCTTGGACTTCCTTTGATGCCACGTTCTGTCTCTGGTCAGCATGTTACACTCGTCCTGGTGTTGTTAAAGATAGTTGCCAGTACCTCGTGGACTTGTCATACCTCAACTGTAGCCTTCGTCAGGATACTCTAAAAAGAGATAATGGGACTAATTTGCTCGATATAGTGCCGCATACCACGCGCTCCAATGTAGGGGGGCTATGAGATTGAGTTCGGGTCTTTTTGGCCACATGTTAACTCGAGATTAGCATTTCCATCTCATCCGCTGGGGGTATTGAAACATTTGAATTGAGAGGGCCGATAGCATGTAAGCACGAACTACTTCTCTCTCTTCTTCTAAGTTTCACATAGTGTCAATGTTTGTCAAGCCCGATCTGTATTGGTAGAAAGCAGATGTACAGTATACCAGCCATTGCAATTGTATGTTATCAAACACCCTCCATTGGACATCCTCAGCCTATATCAAACTCGTTCAAGCAAAAACAGCCCGAGAAACACAAAGTCGAGTTGCCATAAACAACATACCGGCGAGAGCTAGGGAGATGGCAGTAAATAACTGCATGGGAAAGTAACTCGTCCCTCCGGTATTCTCAAGCAGCTTTCCTGCAATAGGGCCAGTTGCAAGAACTGCGAACGAAGATATTGTAATACATATTCCTGCAGGAAATAGTACAGACATATTAGCGACGTGCAAGAAGAAGAGAATATATGCTCCTTACCATTCCAAGAGCCAATCACTTCTGGCGTGGGCGCCAACTCGGAGACACAAGGCGAGAAAATTGCCTGGAGCGCACCCGAGACGATTCCATATGCCACCGCCCATACTATAACGCCCGCATTGTTGTGTGCACCGATCCAGGCAAAGGCGACCGCACCACAAGCAAAAGTTGCTACTACAACCGAGTTGAAGATGCCCAGACCATAGTCAGCTACCAAACCCAAGGCAAAACAGCCCAGGAACGCGCCACCATTCAAAATTGCAGCATCGTAAAACCCCAGACTGGATGAGGCGCCACGTTCCATGGCGTAAGGGGTGATATAGATCTTGAATACCCTGTCAGTACATCATCGGATTTATTGGCTTGTACAACTAACCCATGGTACGTAAAGACCTAGATTCATGAAGAAAATTCCGAACGTGAGCAACATAGTTCGACCGTCAGTAAAATACTGTCTCAGGGGCAAAGACGCGTGTTCCACGCTGGACCGGAATCGACGTTGAACAAGCAGGGTGGCAACAAACATGATGCCAAGCTGTGCGAAGCCGATGATACGCAGGGTCCAACCGAAGGACACTCCTTCGAAATTGAGGAGTCGGTTCGCTAGGACGGGCCATATGATACCTAGAGATAAAATAGAGAATAAGTCATAAGATTTTGATAACCCGGCGACTGAATCAACACCTACCTCCGACCATCTGACCAGACATGACAAAGCCAACGGCTAATCCACGTCGTTTCAAGAACCACTGAGACTGGATGGCCAGGGCTGGTGTAAATATAAGGCCCATGCCAAGTGCCACACAGAAACCCTGGGAGAGCAAAAACTGATAGTACTTTGTTGAGAGAGAGGACATCATATTGCCAAAAACCATGAAAAAGGTACCAAGTGCGAGCGGCAGAGCTGGTCCATGTTTATCAGATAGGGTACCAGACCAGATACCGAAGAAGAAGCAACCCCAGATTTGCACACTGTTGATCCACGCAAGATCGGATGGGCTGGAGTCTGGGAGGATGATGGTCTGGAAATAGCTCTGGAAAACAGATCCACCACTCAAGTAACCGATGCTGGCAATGAATGCCAGGAACCCTCCCAGAGCAGTACGCCAGGCTTGGATACCACCGTCGGGAAAGATCCCATCATTATCAGCCGCGGTTTCTTCCAAGATATCTCCGGCCTCCTCGTCTTTGTGGGAAACTTCAAAGCGCTCGTGGTTGTCTTGGACCTCTCGGATTTTCATGTCTTTCTCGCTTTCTGGGAGCATAATGGATAGTTCAGATAGAAAATATAGATATAGGAGTAACTTTCGTTTGAGAGTGTAAGTTGGTTCCCACACTAAGGATGTCACACAAACCCATACAGAGGACATACAGAGGATTGCCAGTGGCTTCCTTTATATACACGATAGTCAGAGGGGCAAGTGGCAGAGCTATCAGTATCTTTGACCCTAGTTTAACGAGGGCGAAAACTGCCTGCAAGGTTTGGGCATTTACGTCCTACGATTGGCTGTGAATGTCTTGCTATCATACAAAGAACCGGCTGTAAATGTCCTCTTGAACTCAATCCTCCGCTTCCCCGCACTTTTAGGGCATCACGGAGATAGGAGTTGCAAGATACTAATCGTTGGAACAGCGGTCATTGTGAGCAAGGTCGGCTGAATCCATGTGCTCTGGATATCAGCTTTGTGGCTTTCACCGCGTAACTTTTACCAGAATCAGTTAGAGTCGGGGCAGACACAGAGCCTTGATACCGTGGCAAAAGCTTCTACACTTGGATAAGGGGTGTTTTAGGGTCCTTTTACCCGCAAAATTTGGAACTCTATGCATGATACTCCGACCAAAGAACAGTCTGACTGACGTTTGTTTTTGAACCACAGGCAGCGGTTAAGCTTATCGCAATATGGAGTAACCTGTCTGCTTACCGCTTATTCTGTTGTCTTTCAAGTTTCCGGTACCATCTATAATGGCCTTTGTTTGTGAACAGATGTAGCATACCATTCGTGGATAATGTCAGGTGGTCAGATCTATACATAAGTTCCCCGTTCCGCTAGCGCTGACCTAGAGGGTGAATTGGTCTTTAGTTTTCCACATGGGGCCCCACTAAGAAGTAAGTAGCGCGGCTAAAGATAAGAAGGTGCCACAAAAGAAGAATTGGATTGAGTTGCAGTTAGATGAAGTATCCCCTCTTGCATAGCGGGTGGGGTACTATGTTTCAGGTGCTGCCTCGCTCCGAAGTTCTTGCTTCCCCCTTTACCCGGGCTGACTATTATTGGGCTGGAACACCCAATTAATACCTGTAGGGCTCTGTGGGATGCGGGGGAAACTTTGTGATATTGGCTAATGCCATCACATACTCTGGTTCGCTATTTAAACAAACGTCATCTGGTTGCCCAAAAAGGAAATGGGCGATAAAACGATAAGCGCGGCTATTGATAAGATAAGGACAAAGACTATGCCTCAGGCCTCAGGTCCAGATCGTGCCGACCTCGTCCGTTTCGCCTCTATCAAACCTCGTGTTCTAGACCAGCTTGTATCAGCTAGCTCGTCACCCAAATCTCCGTATCCGGTGACATATGGAGCGGACAAGATGCTGGCACCATTTGCCACCTGCGCGGAGCCCACGACACCCCGGACGAGCCGAGCCCTCACGAAACAACACCGGTTCCGCTCCTTGACAGGGTGCCTCACATGTCGCCAGCGCAAGAAAAAATGCGACGAGAGAAAACCAAAATGCATTGGGTGCACACGTAACGGCTTACAATGTGCCTGGCCGGTTGCTGGTACGAGCTCAAAACCTCCAAAATCAGTACTCCGAGCTGCGTCACGGGATTGTAAAGATAGTCCAGATCAGCTCGACCCATCGGCTCGATGGTCGAATCTCACTGGCTCGTTTGTGTCTCTAACGAGAGCATCCACACTTACGGGGACATCAAGCCTTCTCTTTACACATTATATAACTGAAACGGCCAACGTTCTGTCTTCCTTTTCTCCAGATGGAAACAACCCGTTTGTGACTTTACTCGTGCCTCTATGCTGCAATGATGACCTGCTCATGCATTCGTTGCTGGCGCTTAGTGGAGCCCACATGAAGTTCCGCAACCCTGGGATCGAGGTATCTCTGGCGACATACAGACACTACTCGGTCGTGATAAGGACAATTCGGGGTTGTATATCCGAACAGACGGCACTGGATGTACCTCAGGCACTACGAATGTTGTTGACATTGATGATACTATCCTTCTTTGAGGTAATCACATGGATCCCAGGCCTCGCGTCCACAAAACACATGCTAATTGAATGTCTAGACGCTATCTGGAGATGATCAAGGGGCAATGTTCAGCCACCTCCGCGCAAGCCGCCAACTAATTCTCCGATTAGCAGATGGTCCACTGTCATCCAGCACCAATGAAAACGGACGCCTGTTTGCATTTGTCTTGGAAATATACCGCTTTCTCATCCTAAGTAACAATATTATCCCCTACGGAGCTATCAATCGCCGAACCGTGCCTCACGACACCTTCCTCGATGGCATACTCGGCACAATGAACCATTTTGACACATGGGGAGTTATCTTCGGCGACAGCCATGGCTTGTTCGAACTTTTGCCTGACATCGCAGTTCTTGCGGCCCGACGTCTCACAGAGCAAACCGCTTCACAGGCGAGCTTAGAGATGCAACAAGCACTCTACGCCCGAATAATCGAATGGAAGCCCCCAGAATCTACAGCCACCAATCAAAAATGCCTGCCCCAACGAGATACCGCACTGAATCTCTGCCGGGAGGCTGCTCTGCTCTATCTTGAGACGGCAATGGCCCCAGACGCATTAAACGACACTGTAACGTTGGCGAGAGTACAGAAGCATATTGATAACATCATGCTATACGCAGAGCAGGCTGCTGGATCCCCTTACGAGACCATATTTCTGGGTCCTCTGATAATCGTCGGCTCCTGCATGTTGCAAGCTGAACAACGACAGCTACTTCTAGATAGCCTGAGGTCTAACAGATTCCACATGAATCACTGCTTACAGGCTGCTTCGCTTCTTGAGCAGCTTTGGAATGACCGGAGTGGACGTTTATTCGGGCCATATGGTTTAGCGATTATCATGCGCCGTCGTGGGATCAATTTAGGCATTGCATGAATGGAATGCAAGAGTTTTATGGTAAACAATGATGATCAAAAACTTGAACAGACTCGGGTTCTTCATTGAAAAGCACAATTGGTACTAGAAGATAGTCCTACCTTGTGAGAGCAGATCGCTTGTTACCTAAGTAAGCCCATTGGCCAAGGCATTCGAGAAGGCCAATGAAAGGCGTATTATGCAAAGACAAAAACTTGAAGAGGAGTGCGTGGGCGTGGCGAGAACATGCACAATTACATCAACGGAGTCCGCGGGGACCGATGACCCATACGGTGGAACCATAGAGCTAATATTAGCCCCGCGACATTCCTTATCTCTTGTCGATTGCCGCGTTTATCAGGTCTTTAGCGCCACCTTCCTTTCTAGGGAACTACAGGGAACGAAGCCCATTTCAGGCTCTTCTATATGGAGAGTCGTAGCTTCTTATCCTTTAACAAGGGATATTTACGGTGAAGTGGGAGGGGTTGATCAAAGTACAATTGGCGACGGATGCTTTATCACTCAAACTTCAACTTGATCAGGAATGTAAGACTGAAAGCGAAGAATGCCATTCCCGTAGAATGCCTCCAAGTTAATGCACCTCAATACTTATTCTGGAGCTCCGAAATGACCTCCGCAGCACCCCTGTCTCCAGAGCGAACAGCCCCTTCCATATACCCTTTCCACTCCAGTGCGGTTTCCGTACCCACGAAGTGTACGTTCTCGAAGGGTTTGCGAAGAGCGGCCCCATCAACGGAGGTCAGAAGGCCTGGTGGTGAGGCTGGGCAAGGGCCACCAAGGAAGAACTCCTGCTTACTCCATTCATACTCCAAAGTGTTGATCGGCTCTGGGACCTTTAATTTCCCAGACTCCAGATCAACCTTCTCGAACGCAAAGCGGAGCTGGCTCCAGGCAGAAGAATATCTCTCCTCCTGCGATAGTTTAGACCATTTGAGGCCACGGCCCCCGACAATGAAGCAGCTGATTGACCATTGATCATCATCAGGGACACTAGTATCCACGGAGAATAAGATCGGCCCGTTGTCTTGGGATTTGATCTCCCCAGAAAATCCAGCAGTGCGCCACCACGGCTTCTCAAAGACAAATATTATCTTGCTGTAATAGCCCAAGATGTTTTCCTGGGCGAGACGCTGCTTTTCCGTTGGCAGAGCCGGCGAAAATTGGATTTTCTTGTACAGAGGGGTGGCAACGGACAAAATGACTTTCTTTGCCAGGAAGACGGCTTTATTGGCAGACCGAACGGTGCAGACACCGGTATCCGGACACTGCTCAATATGGGTCGCCGGAGTAGAAAGCCAGAGAGAGCCCGCTTTGAGCTTCTTTGCCATGTTCTTGGAGATTGTTTGAGTGCCTTTTCAAAAGTCAGCATCATAGAAATATGAGAATTATCAGTGGCTCCCTACCTTGTCTGATTCGAAGATACTGGGCTCCATGCTTGGTATCAGAGATCACAGCCTGGAATCCAGTTCCAGATTTGCAAGATTGCAAAAAGCTCAGTGCACTGATGTCCTTGCTTTCAATACCGATGAGTGACTGGCTGACGGTATTAAGCAGAGTCGCAATTTGCTCAGATTGGAACTCCTGAAGGCAGTATTCATGCAGGGAAACAATGTCCAGCTGCTTTGCACCGGGACCCGCAATGGGGTCTTCCAAATTCACCTCGGCAGAAATTTCTGTAAATTTTCCAATGACTTGGCCCAAAGCAGCTTGCTCCTCTTCAGTCAACTATATACACCCGTAATTTCATGTCAGCATCAGCGATTAGTTATTCATATGGGAAAGGGAGAAAAGCTTACCGGCAAAACACCATGTGGGGATAAGACAACCCCATCACCGTGCTCCCAGACATCGTTTCCGCTGTCCATTTGAACCTCCCCCTGAAGCCCGTAATGCTTGACGAGTTTGTACATCTCACTTTGCGTGGTGTCATTGATCCAAGCAGCACCGACATCGTTGACGCCGGGACCGCTCTTCTTCGATGGCAGAGTCAGGGTCTTTCCTCCTACTCGGTCAATAGCTTCGACCACAGCACAGGAGAACCCCGCTGCTTGAATAGCCAATGCTGCACGAAGGCCACTCAAACCTGCGCCAATGACGACCACGTCCACCGACTCTCGTGTAACGGCAACGGAATCCATGATAAATGAAGTAGTTTGCTTAGAGTAAAATTTGTGAAGTGGTATTGACTTTGAAGTGCCACTGACAACAGGCGATAAGGGGTACTTTTATAGTTTCCTGACGGCCTAATGTAAACCGCTAAAATAGGAAACCAGTTAGCCACCTTACAAAAGAACCATAAAAGGACAAGCGACGCTATTGATAACATTAAAGGAGTCTCCACTGATGTGATACGGTAACTGAATTTAGGCAGCTGGCGCAAGATTTGCCGCTAATGGCTACGGTGGGAACGAACCAAAGTTTTACTGATTTGTATGCAGAACGAATGTAGCCTTACGAAGGACCCAGAGAGGGTCCGGGCACTGATAGTCTTCAGACACCATCGTCGCTATTGGGCTCATGGGTGGAGTCTGATATGCAAGGCTGCATAAACACTAATATCATGGTGCAAATGGAGTGAAGCCGAGCCAGACCGATCTTCATTATTAACGCTCCCTAGACAGTGATGTCAAGCAGTGCCGAGTAGTTTGTCTGCCGTGTCAATTCTTTGGGCCACTATGATTATTTCTCAGCTGCCGAAGTCAAATCGACCTACTTCGGAGTTTGTTGGCCCGTTGTGGAGAAATTAGCCTCGTCGGTTCAGCTCAACGCCACCCTCACGAGACTATTGCTAAATGTACACCATTGCCAATTCAAGAGCAGGCATTGGTCGCCAAGAATGAATTCCCAACCCAAACACGGTATGTCTGCGTCATGAACTCGGTCCAAAATTCGACGCCCAGCAGTCGGGCGCAAGTTCAGTTTGGTACAGAGGAATAAAGCAATCAGACCACTCGGGAGGGTCGCAAGATGTGCCGAACAAGGAAAGGTCAATCCTGTCGAGTAACAATGCCGTGGCGGTGGGACCCTTCCTACTTCCCCGCATTTTACACTTTTTGATGTCCGGCACAATCCGGTATTTGAGTTTGATTCTGGCGTTTAATCTCTTATCTCTTACCGCGCTACCATGGTGCAAGTGGGCGATAAGCTGTTCGAATTCAACCTCGGCAGCTCTTTTGCGTCGGCTGCTTTCACACCCTTGCGCTTGTTCCGGTACGGTTCGGGGGATTGCTTGACGGAAATACTTGATATTCTTACCTTACAGAATGATATAGAGCAGATTTAGTTGCTGAAGATCAAACAACTAGTTGCGATATAAAGCCTTCAACAATAGACCTACTTCAGACATCTAGTTCTCTTTGGTCTAAGTGTAGGCTGCCCGACACAATGCCCTTCAATACGGCATTGACACGGAAATTGGGCATCGCAGGTAAGTCTATTATTCAGTATGTACAGAAGTTCCAAATCTCACATTCGCAGTTCCTATAATTCAAGGGGGCATGCAATGGGTCGCATACGCAGAGCTTGCTGCTGCGGTCAGCAATGCTGGTGGCCTGGGAATAGTATGTTGGATGCCAATTTTCCAATTTGAAGAATTCTGACCTATGATCAATCAATATAGCTTTCAGCTCTAACACAACCAACCCCAGAGGATCTCCGAAAGGAGATCCGTCGTTGCCGCGAAATGACCAAGAATCCCTTCGGAGTAAACCTGACCTTACTGCCCGCGCTCGTGCCTCCAGACTATGCTGCTTACGCGCAAGTGATCATCGATGAGGGTATCAAGATTGTTGAGACGGCAGGAAACAATCCTGGTGCTGTCATCGACCAGCTCAAGAAATCCAACTTGACTATCTTACACAAGTGTACGACGATCCGCCATGCCAAGTCAGCCATCAAGCTAGGTGTGGACTTTCTATCTATTGACGGGTTTGAATGTGCCGGCCATGTTGGTGAGCACGACATCACCAACTTTATCCTCTTGAGTCGGGCTCGCCAGGAACTCAAGGTACCATTTATCGCATCCGGCGGATTTGCCGATGGCCAGGGGCTAGCAGCGGCATTGGCACTCGGCGCAGAGGGAATCAATATGGGTACACGATTTATGTGTACCGTTGAATCACCTATCCATCATCGGATCAAGGAACGTATCGTCGCTGCAGACGAGAACCAGACCGCGTTGGTACTACGCCGGTGGAGGAACACATCGCGACTCTTCAAAAACAAGATAGCGGAAGATGCGCTCAAGGTGGAGAAGGAGAGTACGACCGGTGATTTCAGTGAGGTTGCTCCCCTTGTGAGTGGCAAGCGAGGACGCGAGGTGTTCCTGAATGGAGACGCTGAACATGGTGTACGTTATCTATCCACCCTCCTTGAATTTGGGAACTTGATAATAATATATTACAGGCTTGGACTGCTGGTCAGGCTATTGGGTTGATTCATGATATTCCTACCTGTTCTGAGCTGCTTCCTCGCATAGAGCGGGAAGCTTTGAATGCGATGGAGCGTACGCGATCGATGTACACCCAAGAGAGCAAGCTCTAGGATGTTTAGTCTGAAATTCTGTTGATGAATACTTTATGATTAATTGAAATGCCGGATAATTACAAAATAAAAGTGATAAGAGTCCGCAGATAGAGGAATCAAACATATTTTCCCACTCGTTTTGAGCCTGGGCATCGTGGAACGTGCATGGTGGCTAACGAAAGCAATTTAGCCACTAAAAATTACCGGTGTCAACGTTGTTTTCAGATGTGTAGAATATTTCTTCTTCCTTAATGATTCATATAATACCATAATTCAGCCCATGTCTTTCCATCAACAGCCCAAGACCATAGGGCCCAAAAGAATGTTCATCAGGATCGTTCCAGAGCAATCTTAGCAGAGCACTTCCTTGGCCCGTATTTCTCATCAAGTAATGATTATCGTTCAATATGCTTGCAACGATCTCACGCTGCTCTTCTCTCACCAAGCATGAGCCAATTATCATAATTGGCCACATCGAGATGCAGGAATAGTTCGATAATAATATCTGTGGTAGATGGTGTAATGCTCGATCAAGGAAGGGCTGCAGGTGATGCACTCGCGCCGAGTCATGTTTGGAGAATGGAGAGATGGAAGTTTCCAAAAAGACCAACAAAGCTATTCTAAATACTTCCCTTGTTGCGTTATGCTCTTGATGCTCTTGATGCCCTTCATGTTCTGTCGCTAGAGGTCCCAAGTAGCCAATGCACATCCTAAGCCGATTATATGTCTCGTGACAGTCTGGTGGTAGACCGGTCCTTGTTAATGGCCGTGAAGCTTGGTGCCCGGCGAACAGAGACACGGAAGATATGAGCTCGAAGAGATTGTGGACCCCACTGAACATGACACCAAATGCCCCCAGGTCACGCAAATCGTCAAGTGAGCGCAAAAATGGGTCATAGATGAGAGTTCTATCGCAATTCATGCCGAATGGTGTGATGCTGTTGGACAAGACAATGTAGGAATAGACTTCGGCGACAAATCCAAGCAGCTTTCGCTCTGAAGTTGTCATGTGCTGGTGGCTATTGTGTCGAAGGTGTAGGATCAAATGACGACTGGCTCGCAGATGAGTGAAAGGTGACCCATCCATATTTCCGGAGATCACCTGAAGTTTCCAACCAAATCAGACAACGGGTCAACCGGGACTTGTATTCTGGGTGAAGGCTTACCTCATAGTGAAAAAGGATTAAAATCGCCAACGCTACTCGAAGAAGCACAAGAGGTTCAAATAGAGTAGTGTCATCATTGACCACTCTTGACAGGGTCTGCACTGCCAAGGAGTAATGTCGGTAGGTTGCATGTTCGATCTCATGATTGTTCGGCAATTTATAAAGGAGATGGCCCCCGCTTAGAGCGAGAATGCTGTTCATCAGCAGATCATCATTATATGCAACGGGCAGAAGCCAGGATATCCAAGGTATATCCGGTGCCGGGGCCAATTTGGGACCAGTGTTGTTGATATAGTGCGACAGCAGGATTTGGGATTCCGGAAGTAACATCCCAGCACGCCTAGGGCTCAAAAAGGCTTTCAGATCTCGAGACCACGATGGGACGTAATTTCCGGTATTCTCTATACAGCCGTTGGCAGAGCTTGATGATGTATTGGAATCCATGCTGGTCACCGAGGCCGGAGGTGTAGATGGAAGTGCAGTGCTCGTCCCTAGATAACGGGAATCCCCATCTCGAGCCTCATTAGTGTCAGCTCCACCCAGAGCTCTGACACTAGGGTCTAGCCCAAATATGCGGACTATATGAGGTGGCCAGGTGCATTTCAGCTTGTTGCGTGCGCAAGCCCGGCATTGTGGTTTAACCTCGTCGCATTTCTTTTTTCGTTGACGACAGGAGACACAACCTGTCCTGGTGCGGGGAAATCTTCGATTCATGTTTGAATGGTAAAGATTACGACGGGGGTACTCAGCTGCTTTGTGACGTGAAACAACATTAGTTTAGAGAGTGGGTAGAAAGAGTGGAAGATTGCAAACGTGCATAATTCCTGCGAGATGAAGTTGGCACGAAGGGATAGGAGTGGTGGCGAGTCGGGGCCAACCACATCTTTTGAGCTAAACTATACAGGGTAGCGACCCCAAAAGGCAGAACTCTACTCAATAGGCCAAATAAGGTTCCGTGGGGAACTTAGACCTAAATACCCTTATTTATATAATAATGAAGCTAGATCTGTGCTCGTCTCACTATAAGATCTTAGAAGACAAGGTGTGATTGAGATATTCTCATGACGGTAAAAAAACAGACAGTATAAATCAAAGAAGCTTCAAAATTATATGGCCTTTTACATTATTGCACGGTTATAGCGATTTACCAGTGCCGACAGTTTCCGAATTTAGGTCCAATCGCTGTCGATCTATCGATAAGCGCGGCTACAGATAAGGTCCTTATCGCTCCAGGCACCCAGGTTACACCAGCGCCAAGAAGAGGTTAAGTGGGCCGCAGGATGATCCTCTGGTTAGATTAAGCAGCTCATAACATTATTACCACGTCCTCTGTCGAACACGGTGTCCATATCCCCCTCCCGTCTTCCCATCAGTCTATCTTCGCATGGTGGTTAGGCAATTACCATTCATTACTACGTGGTCCCTCCTTTCGTGCACATAGGGGAACAGTCAACAATGAGTGCCAAAGGAGTCAAGGAGGTCGAGCTGTCTAGCGACATCGACTTCATCAAGACTCCTGCAGCTCAACCTGCGAAGCTCCAGACCGGAGAGGACTGTGGCATTGCCCTGACAAACGTTAGTTCTTGCCATTGATCCCCCTTCTCTCGTCAAGTTGGCTAATCCTTCCAAAGTTCCCAGCCATTCACAATGCCCCGCTGCCAGCCGATGGTCCCGGAAATGAAAGCTTCTCGAACCTCCTCCTAGGCGGCGTTCTTATCGGAGTTCCTACAATCCTTACATACCTGCTCAACGGAGGAAAGAAGACTTTCTTCTTCTTTTTCGTTCTCCTCGTCCTCCCTCTTTTGGTTGTATTTTGGTCCTGGAAATCCAGCTGCAGCCCCCGCACCAACGAAAAAGTCAAGCTTCCCGGGCGACCCATTGAATATTACTTGACCTTCAAGAACGAAGAGGATAAAGCGAAATGGCACGGAAAGAACAAGGTCCCTCTGCAGCAGTTCGCGGAAATGTACCTGGACGGCTTGGTGGATTTCAACGGTGACACACTGGAGGTCCTGGAATACCGTCACGACTGGGCAAACTTCTCGTTTACCTTGGACCTCTTCAAGTTCATCGTCTTCACCTTCTTCAAGGACGTCATCTTCCACACCAAAGCCCAAGATGAGGAACAGATCCGTCCCAATTACGATCGCGGTAACGACCACTATGCCTGGTTCCTCGGCCCTCGCATGATATATACCTCTGGTATCATCTCAGACCCGGAGAAGGAGGAGACCCTCGAAGAAATGCAAGATAACAAGATGGCCATCGTCTGTGAGAAGATTGGCCTCAAGGAAGGCGAGACTATGCTAGACATTGGCTGCGGTTGGGGAACTCTTGCCAAATTCGCTAGTCTCAACTACGGCGCGAAGGTTACTGGACTTACTATTGCGGAGAATCAAACCGCTTGGGGTAATGACGCTCTCCGCAAGGCTGGAATTTCTGAACAACAGAGTCGTATTCTCTGCCTCGACTACCGCGATATTCCACGGACGAAATATGACAAGATCACGCAGTTGGAAATGGGCGAGCACGTCGGTATCCGGAAGCTTACCAAGTTCTTCCGCCAATGCTATGATATGCTCAATGACGATGGTGCTATGTATGTTCAGCTTTCAGGTCTGCGCCAGGCGTGGCAGTACGAGGATTTCATCTGGGGTCTGTACTTGAACAAGTACATCTTCCGTGGCGCGGACGCTTCAACTCCTCTGTGGTACTATGTCAAGTGTCTGGAGCAAGCTGGATTTGAACTCAAGAGGTAAGCATTGTCTGGATGGGGATATTGCCATATGTGCGATGACTAACAAATGGCCAGCATTGACACTGTCGGTGTTCACTACTCTGGTACCCTCTGGAGATGGTACCGTAACTGGGTTGGAAATGTGGAAGCAATCAAAGCCAAATATGGCCCTAGATGGTACAGAGTGAGTTCTCTCCGTAGTCTTCCAAGGTACATTCATGAATTCTAACATGCCCTAGATCTGGGAGCTGTTCCTTGCCTGGTCCGTTATTGCCTCTCGCGAAGGCATGGCCACCTGTTACCAGATGGTCGTAGTCAAGAACCTTAACTCGACTCATCGTATTAACGGTGTTTCCTCTCAATTTGGCCTGGCCGGTGCCCTCGCCACCAGTCAGAAGGCGGGCAAGTCCCAGCTGCGTTAGGAAGATTGCTGTTGTGAGTTGACGACGTGAGGGAATTCTAGACGCACACCATAGGGGTGCCGCGATGGATGATGCTGGGAGTTTGTTTTAAAATGAGAGATGTGTAACGGAGCTCCTCTTGAAGTATCAAAATTCAGAGTTAAATGCTTTACTTGTGAGCATAGCATCTAGATACGTGTTGCTGTGGCCTAGGGCATTACTGTGAAGCAACCTGTTAACTCTATAAGGAATTAAACATCAATAGTGACTTTTGATGATCTGCACTAGTCTTTCAATCATTCATTGCTTTATATTCCAGTGGCGTAATGTTCTATTCAAAAGCGTATTCGTCACAGCCCCCCGGCCAGGCCAAGTCCCCGATTCAGCAAGGTTTCGGCCATAAGATAATCGCGGCTGCAGATAAGAACGAAGTATATTTAGACGCTGCCTAATAACCGGATGCAATTTGAAAGGCTATATCGTGATATAATTCCGAGTAACCCCACTCTATAGGTTGCATGTGTTGAACCGAATACAGCTATAAAGCTACCCCTGCGAGCACACTGAAGAGTCCCGACAGAACCACCTTCTCTATCCACTACACATAACAAATACTCTGACTCTTATTATTCAATTAACTAGATACTTCTCTCAAACCATCATGACACCAACCGCCACAGCCCACGAAAAGTACGATGTGGTGATTGTAGGAGCCGGTCTCAGCGGCCTCCAAGCAGCCCAAATCGTGCAAGCAGCAGGCTTCCGAGTATGCATCGTTGAAGCCACCGACCGAGTTGGCGGGAAGACATTGACTGCCAAGTCATGCGAGAAGGGGTTCAATGATCTAGGTGCTTCTTGGATCAACGATACCAATCAAAATGAGATGTTCAAGCTCTATCAGCGGTACAGTATTGATACTGAGGTTCAGCGGGACACTGGATATACTCTTATTCAGGCATCGGAGGGGGACGTTGTGAAGGTGCAGTATGGAGAGCTTCCTGTATGTCTTCTGTGCTCTTTATATGCCGTTGCCTTTTTCATTCTTCCCCCTTTCGTTTGGGCTGTATGCAAAACTAATTGCGAGCTTATTAGGGCGACTCCGACATCCTCTCCAAATTGCTTCAAGTATTCCGAGACGAATGTTTGCTGATAGACTTGGACAACCCGACAAATTCTCCTCGCTCCAAAGAAATCGACCAACTTACATTCCGCGAATTCTGCATCCAAAAGACCCAATCTGATAGTGCGGTCACCATCGCGGATGTCCTCTCAGTCTCGTTACTCGGAGTCGAGAGTTACGAAGTCAGCGCCCTCTACATGCTCCTCTACTTTAAGAGCGGCGCCGGCATAGACAACATCATCTCAGACCAAAAGCATGGCGGGCAGTACCTACGCAATCGGCAAGGTAAGCGATACCCAGAAACATTATATTCCATGTAGCTTTCTCTAACAAATATTATCAGGAAACCAAACCATCGCCCGGAAGATGGCCGAAGAGCTAGGTCCCGATGTTATCTTCCTCCGCATGCCCGTGATCTCCGTTGATCAGGTCAGACACGGACACTGCGAGGTAAAGACACAAGGAGGCACAACCTTCCGCTGCAAACGAGCCATCGTATCCGTGCCCACCAGTCTCTACCACAAAATCACATTCCATCCTCCCCTGCCAGAGAAAAAGGCCATCCTAGCCGATAACACCACCACAGGCTACTACACCAAGCTAGTCTACATCTTCAAGGAACCTTGGTGGCAGAACGCCGGGTTCTCAGGAGTCCTCGATTCCGAAAAGGGACCTATCATTTTCACTCGAGACACGAGCGTCCCCGTCGACGATCAGTGGGCTATTACTTGCTTTATGGCTGGTGATAAAGGACGAGAATGGTCTAAGTTACCTCGCGCATCCCGGTATAAGCTAGCCTGGGAGCAATTCAGCCGGGCGTTTGGGGAGTACGTTGATGTCCCTCGGCCGGTTAATGTTCTGGAGATGGAGTGGACGAAAGAAGCTTATTTCCTTGGTGCGCCTTGCCCGATTACAACGCCGGGTATTTTATCCATTGTGGGAAATGAAATCGCTGCTCCATTTGGGAGTGTGCATTTTATTGGTACGGAGACTTCTCATGTCTGGCGTGGGTATATGGAAGGGGCTGTTCAGTCTGGTCAGCGGGGAGGTGCTGAAGTGGTTGAGGCTTTGTCGAAGGATTTGACTTACAGTCTTTGATATGCTCCGAGAAACACACTTTACGTGTCTGGACTATGTTAACTTTGCTTGTCATAAATGCTTTTAGCTACTGGATTGTTCTTCTTATTTTCGATTTGAACTGAATATACTCCATTCTCCCAGTGATAACATTTCAGCATAACATCAGACCGCGTCTCCATCGGGAAATAGACCTGGACGCAACCATGGACCACTCTCACTCACATCACCACATCTAGGGAAATCATCCTCTATCCTCGTAGAATTCATCCAGGCAAGTCATCTCTCTACAAAACTTCACTCCAACACCATACCCCGATAGAATCCAGATGTCACCACCCTATCACCCCCAAACAACACAGAACCAACCTCATAATGACCCAATCACCCACAAATACCTCATACCCCAACGACCCCTTCCAAGAAGAATACTACTTCTTCTACGGTACACTCACACATCCCCCTCTCCTATCCCGAATCCTCGCAAACCCCCACAGCCCCGACCTCCGCCCAGCACACATAACCGGCTGGCCATGCATGATGTGGGGCGACTACCCAGCACTCATCAAAAGCTCTCCAAACGATACAATCACAGGGCTAGCATATGAAGTACGCTCAATTCGAGAGCGGGAGCGACTAGTTCAACATGGGACGACAGCGTACAGGATTGAAGTATGTACGATTTACTTCGAGGATGGGACGTGTACGGTTGGGAAGACGTTTGTTTGGGATGGGGATGTGGACGGTTTACGGGAGGGGGTGTTTGATTTGAGAGATTGGTTACTTCAAGAGAAGGAGTTTAGCGTTAGATGAAGGTGTTTTGTTTAGGAAGGTTGATTCATTTTTATCTTGACTATGGCTGGAAAGCTGGGTGGATGGAACTGTGACGATCGTTAGCGAAGATCACACGGCAGTCTCAAAAAGAAGAGAGTAGGAGCTCCATCAGAAAGGTGGTGATTTTTTATCCTCATTCTTTTATTCAGAACAGGTCTGTGTATAAATCTTGCTTCGTCATGGGAGTGGGGGGTGGCATGCATAAACGAGATAGATTTACCATTTCGAAGTCCCATTTACATGGAGTTGGTTGATTGAGAAACAAAATTCCTATTCAATATCTAAATTGATCATTAGCAACGACCACAAAATAGTCTCAAGCAGAATCAAAAGGCAAAATCTTCGTCAGATAGCAGTTGGACATTGATTATGTGTCCTCATTGGAAATCAGAACAGGTCTGTGTGAAATCATGCTTCATCATTGAAGAAAGGAACAAAAAAAAAAAAAAAAAACTTACCAGTTCAAACACTCCCCGTCAGCCGATAGAACTGGTCCATCGGCTGTTGCCTCGACTGCGGCACAACGGAGGGGATAGTCTGTGCCAGTGCGTCGCCTTCAAGATGAACCGTACTATCAACAGTCATGATCGTCACCGACCATCCGATCAACGGTGCGCTCCCATCGGGCGGGAAAGGTGGTTTCGCCCTCATCAGCCACGGGGGCTCGACGTTCGGATGGATCATATTCCTGAGCAGCATCTCTTGCGGAGGACCACCCGGACGAATATCCACCTCCATGATCCCCGTATTTGACCACAGGGGATGCATATAATCAGCTCCCGGCGCCGCAGCATTCCGAGCTAGATGGAACGACTGTGAGCCAAAGATCTCAGTCAAACACGCCCATAGAACCTGCAAGATGACCCCATGCCCAACGACTGCAATAACTGCATTGCCACCGGTAACATGATAAGCCATCTCCGGCAAGATATGGTCCCGTAAAAAGCCATTGACCCGCGCTCGCATCGATGCCATCGATTCGATCTGGGTGACCTCGCTAGACAACCGACCACATCCGTAGCATTGCTCACGCAGCTTGGCTGTTTGGAAGGGTTCCAGGGCAGGCCCACTGCCCAATTGGTACTGGCAAATCATACGGGCGGTATCGGTCGCACGATCGAGATCCGACGAGAGAACACGCGTGAAACGCACCGGCCGATCACGAAAGTACCGCGCTAGCCGGAGGGCCTGGTCTTTACCGACGCCTGTCAGGTTATCCGAGTTGCCCCTTGCAAGACTGTAAGTCAGCTAGGGGCTCTTTGGGGGAAAGAGGGTAAAGGAGCATTCTCATCCGCACACATACAACGCTTTGCCCACATTATGCTCGCATTCTGCGTGGCGGATGAGAAATAGCCTCATGGTGAATGTGCCTGGAGATCTCGAAACAGTTTGATGGTTTCGTTAGAGAAGTCTCGTCAGGAACGATTGGGGGCAAGGTAGGGGGAAATGCTGGGGAGCTGTGGCTGCTAGCCACCACGGATGAGGTCGTGATGAACACACACCCTCGATGGCTGGGGCCAATGGCAGACCGAAGCCGATCGGGGGTTACCCATGGTCACGGAGGACCGTCAATTGGTGTTTTCAAAGTAGAAAACAGCATCTCTGGATGATGAGAGGAATAAGGAATGAGAAGAAGAAGAGAAAAAAAGAAGTGCCTACGCGCTAAAATACGCGGAACGCAACTCATAGTGGAGCAGCCCACTTTGGCTTTGCACTGTTTGCACGCGCAAACAAAAAAAGTGGTGGAAGACGTGCAGCGGGTGCCCAGCGTGGGGATTGGATTTTTTGTGAAGAGAAAACAGTCAGTAAGTCAATTCGATCCTTGAAAATTGATGTGTTGCTGGATAGTGGGTGAGATCTAGCGAGAGAGTAGTGGGAGACTGACAAAATCTAGAACAGTTACTCTATACAGTATACGAAATGGCCGACACCGAGATCGTCAGACCGGAGGAGCAGAGTGTGTCTACCCTGACCAGTACGATACTCAAACCATTGCTAACAAGTATACTTCTTTTAGAGGCTCCCCAATCTCCCTACCAGAATGTCCGTACCAATGGCCGTGCCTTCAACTCGCCCAATTGGCGCATGAAGAGTGAGAACAGCAGCCCGCAGGCCTCGCCCTCCTCGACACGCACCAACACATCTCGAACCGCCTTTGCACGACCGGGACCCCATGTACCCCAGGCCATCTCCGAGGGCCGCCGGCTCTACGTGGGTAACATGCCATACACGGCCAAGACGGAGGATGTGGAGGCGCTATTCACAGCGGCGGAGTTCCCTATGTATGCACACAAGCCACAAGCCCAGGCTGGGCTCGGCCCATAACAAGAAAAGATGGCGCCGACTGAGACATAATTTTTTTTGATAGCGAGCGTATCGACATTGCCGTTGACCCATTCACCGGCCGAAACCCGTCCTACTGCTTCGTCGATCTGCAGACCAAGGAACATGCGGAGCGGGCAATGGTCGAATTGGATGGCCGCGATATGCTGGGCCGCCCGGTCAAGATTAAGCCCGGTGTGGCCAAGTCTGCCGAGCGTGCTGCTGAACAAGCCCCCCGGACACCATTTGCCATGAGCCGCTGGCGTGAGCGTCCAGAGGGCAGCACTACCAGCAGCCCTACTAGCTTTGCCAAAGTCAACAACGATTCCAGCCAACGGGTGTATGTGGGAGGTCTGCCTCGGTTGACCGAGCCGGAGAGCGTGCAGAGCAACATGAAGACTTTCTTCCAGGGATACAATGTGTAAGTGGAGTCGAAAATTTCGAGACTGGAACTTTGCCCCTTCACATCTTGGGATGTTGTCTGTCGTCTCCTTACTAACAGTTTGGTTTGTTTAGTGAGAATGTTAGCAAGGTGTTCACCCCACACCCCGCAAAGCGATTCGAGCCCGGTGACCACTACTATCTCTTTGTTGACTTTAGCAGTGTCGAGGAAGCCCAACGGGCCATGGACACTCTCAATGGGCAGCAAGGCCCATGGGGAGGCCCATTGCGTGTTCAGCGAGCCCGTGGCACGACCAACAATAAGCCCGAGGGCTCGTCTCCGGCGGAGGCTGAAGATAGACCGCTATAGAGGGGCAGACATGCATCATTATAGAAACGGGTTATTAGAAGGGAAAAGGAGTTTATGATATAAAAAGGGCATATGATACAAAAAGACATATATGAGATAGGGTTGGAGATGAAAAAACAATTAATATCATAGACTATCATCCCCAGTACCGGATTACTCCAATCTTTGCTAACGATCTCCTAAAAAGCGGGCTCGGGATGACGTGTGGAGACCGGACAAAATCCAGACTCACCGCATTCACGATAGGCCTCCTGACCACCTGCCAACACGCCTTTGAGGCATTTCTTTTTTTTTTCTTTCTGTAAGAAATTTCCAGTTTTTTTATTATTCTTTTCATATACTTGCATTTCTATCCATTACTCCTTTTTCCCCCTCCTATATTGTACATTTGTTTCCTTGTCCGGTCTGTGGAATTGATCCCACCCCCAATTGCCTCTCCTTTACCTTTATCCCCCTCCGGCTTCGGGTCGGAAGCCTGTCTAACGCTCCCTAATCTTCCCGACGCATCTTGCAATTCTCATTTCCATCAACGCCCACCATGTCAACGAAAAGTGCCATTCGAAGCCAGCAGCAACACAAAGTGTTCATGGCTAGTGTAAGTTGGAATTTCTATTTTCTATTTGCATGCCCTATCAATCCTTCCTAAACTTCCCCTCAATTTCCCCCACGGCTGGGCCCCCGATCGACCGCCAGGATCGAACGCGGGGATCCCTGCATGCCCCTCATACATTTTGCCTCGGTTCCTGTGTTCCTCCTTTCCCTTCGGCCAGATAGGGTTTGTAGCGGCTGGCAGAATCGGGAGACTAGCAATTACCGGACTAGCTAGCTTGCACAAAATGTCCGGGGGGTTTTGTCTTGCATGTATACGAGCAATCAACCCGGGTGTCAGGTCATGCTATTAGTGGGATGCAGATGACCTTACACTTGGAACATCACCGTTCTTTAAGTATGCTGAGCCTATTCGCTGAAAATGATGTATTTGGATGATCGCTTTTCTTTGCAAAACTCACGGCTTCCTATACAATCTTTATCATCTATATGGCTCGAGGAACAAAACGAAGCCAGGCCGCCCATCAGGCATCACGTTGCATCGTTTGACTAAAGCGGTACCGGCCTATTCTGGACGTTGTCGTGTCAACTGATACACGTTGATGTTGACGAGTTCACGCTTTCCACTTGATCCTTTCCTCGTTGTCGTTTTCCTGATTTCTTTTCTTCCCTCCTCTACGTTTCTTCAAGATCCCGTTCCACATCCATCCCCCATCACCATCCCCCTTTCAACCCTACACCAATCGATTCAATCATGTTCGCAACTAAATTTGGTCTCCAGTCCGATGACTACAAGATCTGCGTGGTCATGGTAGGCCTGCCGGCCCGTGGTAAGAGCCTCATTGCTGGAAAAGGTACGTTGTCAGAATCACCTTCTGGGCCCTTCACCGCCCGAACTATACAATCATCGCCGATGAAAAATGAAAAGAAACTAATAAAATCCAAACAGCCATGCGGTATCTTGCCTGGGTTGGTATCCCTGCCAAGGTTTTCAACGTGGGCAGCTACCGTCGCAACGCCACTCCTCAGCCCGCGGCAACCTTCTTTGATCCGCACAACGCAGAGGGCGAGCGCATGCGTCGGGCCGCGGCCGAAGCAGCCATGTCTGACATGCTGCAGTGGTTCAACGAAGGAAAAGGTGTAGTCGCCATCCTGGATGCCACCAACTCCACCAAGCAGCGTCGCCAGTGGATCTATGAATCCTGCCGTGATGCCGACATTGAGACCCTCTTTGTCGAGTCCATCTGTGATGATGAGGAGTTGATAATGACCAACATCCTCGAGGTCAAGACTACCTCGCCTGACTACAAGGGTCAGGACCCGGAGTTGGCTGCGTTGGACTTCCGCAACCGCATCCGCAACTACGAGCTGGTCTACCAGACCATTGATGATGATGAGAAGGACTACACCTACGTCAAGCTCATCAACGTGGGTTCTACCGTCATCATTAATCAGATCAAGGACTACCTGTCCAGCCGCTTGGTGTACTACATCCAGAACCTACACATCAAGCCCCGTTCCATCTGGCTGTCCCGAGTGAGTTGATCCTAGCGAGAATGTGAAGTGAATGTAACGAATATACCGCTAACAACAGCCCTACAGCACGGTGAATCTGAGTTCAACCTGACTGGCAAGATTGGCGGTGACTCCAACATCTCCGAGCGCGGCGAAGCCTACGCCCGCAAGCTGCCAGAACTCCTGCGCAAGTCCGGCGTTCCCCCCAACACCAAGATCGTCATCTGGACCTCCACCCTCCGCCGCACCATCCAGACCGCCCGCCACCTCAAGGCAGAAACCGGCTACGAGAAGCTCGAGTGGAAGGCCCTCGATGAACTGGACTCGGGAGTCTGCGACGGCCTCACCTACGAGGAAATTGCCGAGAAGTACCCCGAGGACTTTGCCGCCCGCGACGAAGACAAGTACAACTACCGCTACCGCGGCGGTGAGTCGTACCGCGACGTGGTCATCCGCCTGGAGCCCATCATCATGGAGCTGGAGCGCAGCGAGAACGTCATCATCGTCACCCACCAGGCCGTTCTGCGCTGCATCTACGCCTACTTCATGAACGTGCCACAGGAGAAGTCCCCCTGGATGGAAGTTCCCCTGCACACCCTCATCAAGCTGACCCCCCGCGCCTACGGTACCGAGGAGCAGCGCTTCAAGGCCGATATCCCCGCCGTCTCGACCTGGCGTGGCAAGGGCTCCTCTGCGAAGCATCAGGAATTCCCCGCAGAGGGTGCGGAGTGCCCGCCCGCCTCTCACTGAGTGAGTTAGGCCCCGGGATAAAGCATTCCCCGTGAAGAGATGAGTTGAACCTCTGGACCTCGATTCGAAAGCACTGGATGTCGTTTCCCCCATTTTTTGTTTCTGGCTTTTATTCTTACCGGATGTCACTCTGCTTTTTTTGTCTTGTTTTTAGGCCTCTCTCTCTCTTTCTCTCCCTCTGGGGTTGAAAGAGAGGGATGGCTGGGAGCTCCCGGATCGAAGGGACTCCTCCATAGCATGGGGTTTTTATGGCGTTTTTTTTGACATCTAGTCTGGGTTCGGGTTCGGGATTGCGTGAGGTGTCTCTTTCTTTTTTTAGTTTCGATACGTGATGACAGATACCAATATTATGAAATCTCCTATTCAATTGTGTTAGATTAGAGTAGATTTAATGAACGATCAAGGGCGATATTTAAAGCGGTAGATGGATAATCTTGGGTATTTCCCAAATTGAAGTACATATGTCCCCGAGTCTCATGGAAGGTGGCTTTTATGCTAAGAGAATAGAATGGGTATCCAGCTACATGCATAGTTCCTGAGATTGTCGACTAAATGATCACCAGCAACCTCCACAACATGATATGACCAGGCATCAAGAACACAAGGTCTCTACTGATGACTTACTGGGAGTTTATTCATTCCACTTATTACCCCTCCATCAAAATGCGATACTTACACTAGCACGTGGTAAATTGCAAATCTGATAAGCCACCCAAATCTTGCCCATACTGTCGGAGCAGGACCAGTAGTGGATACTCGGAAGAAAGGAGATACTATAAACCCGCATGTATTAGTCATTATTATGCCCATCCAAATTGCCAGAAAGGGGCTACATAGCAATTCAGACCTGTTGAAACCCGATTGGTGCACCTAGATGAGCTCAGCAACCCAATTCCGATAGTTATGAGCCCGATTCGCCAGTGAGAAGGGTAGATTCGTCGATTTCGAGACTATACGCCGATGATTGCGGTAGTCCACACACACATACGATCTATCTCACCTTGCCCCTGAACTTCCTATCGCAGTGTACACCGCTGAGAACCGATCGATATGGAGTCAACAGTGATCTCCGCCATGAAGGGCGAAAAGCTGAAAGACCCTCTGCAATGGAGGAACTGGTTCGCACGAATTAAGCTGTATGCACGCCAGAAAAGGGTGTGGGACCTCATTGACCCCCATACCGAAGAAGGTTACCTCGAGGAACCAATCAGAAGACCTCGAAGACCTCAATATCCAGAAGATGGCAACGAATCGGCGAAGAGAGAGTGGAGAGACCGCATAGATATCTATAAACTAGACCTAAGCGAATGGGAACAACAGAGCAAGAGCCTAGACGCTGTTAACGAGTGGATCATCACCAATTTGGATCCAATTCACCATACTTCCATGCTGAATTACCAAACTCCGTACGAAAGGCTTGTATATCTCCATACTCGATTCGGAAGAGCCACAGCCGCAGAAGAAGACGTGCGTACGCAGTGGAAGCGAGTGTCTGCATTACCACCAAGGAAAGGTGCAGATATCGACCAGTGGATCAACGAATAGGATTCACTAAGAGAGCAGGGTGTCAGCCTAGACCTGCCAGAAATAAAGAACGCCAATAAGGATTTCCTTCGTGCGGTCAAGGATCTGCTTCCTATGTGGTGGCAATCCAAATTCGAGGCAATTATATTGCATCAAGAAGAGTGGGATACTCGCGATTTGATTAAAAATTTTAGAGGAACCTATCGTGAGATACATCCACAGAGATCGACCGTTAGTACGATCTCAAAAGCTTCTTTCTCAACACTGCAAGGATTCGAAGAAGCAAAGCAAGAAGATCAATAGCAAGCGCAAGCGCTACAACCGCAGCAACCACGATCCTTACCACCGATTCCAAAGCGCTGGTGCCCATGTGGTAACAAGGCCCATAAACCATGGGACTGCTGGATCATCAACCGAGAGGCTTTCCCAGACAAACCTGTACTGAGATGGAAGGTTAAACGTGTCGAGGAACGTCTTTCGAAAGATGAAGCGTGGAAGACCTGGATAGACAAGATGGTCAAGGATCATAATGAGAAGAACGGGGTCAACAATACCAAGACGGCTAATTCAACGCAGCTCTGGGGCTCGTACTTCACTAGTTTTCCAATCGAGTAGGTATACCAAAGCGTGAAAGCTACAGGAGGATCTAGTGATGATACTCGCAAGCGATGGTTCCTAGATACCGCATCATCAGTGCATGTGTGTAACCAAAGGGACCTATTCACCAAATTCACTCCGAAGGCAGACAACCTAAGGACCGGAGACTCGTCTACCGCTGTGGAAGGAATCGGAAGTGCCATCATGACTAGGATAGGACCCGACGGGTCTATTAGGCCGATTCAGCTAAGCAACGTCGTGTATTCGCCCGGATTCCATGCCAATTTGATGTCTTATGTAGCGCTGAAAGAGAAGGGTGTTCGATGGGACGAGGACAACGAGTGTATTAAGGATTCTGCTGGAGAACCGATCGTCAACGTACGTCTCATCAAACCGCTGAAGATATGGGGATTCGATCAACCAAACCAATCTATACCGGACACTACTGCACATGCGTATGTAGTAGGGACCTCGACCTCGAGGACCTCGGTAAAACCACTGGTTGCAGAAGCTTCAGCAGACCGCTGGCACCGACGACTAGCCCACGTATCCAAACGTGTGGTTAAGAAGGCTACTGAGATGGTGGATGGTATCTAAATCAACGAAGATCTGCCAGATTCGTCACAAGAAGAAGAGGAAAGGGAACTCTGCCAGATATGCAACCTTGCAAGCGCACCACGCCAGATCTCAAGACGACCTATCGGTCGTAGTTTCGGGAAATACGGTCGAATCCACTTCGATTTGGTGCAGTTTCCGCCTGGGTATAATGGCCACCAATGGATGACCCATTTCTATGTGGAAGGTATCAGATTCCACTGGTTGTACACGCATAAACGGAAATATGAGTGCAGAGAAGCTGTTCGGAGGTTTATAGCCCTTGTCAAGAACTGGTGGAATCTACCAATCAAGGCATTTCACTATGATAACGAATTGTCTACGGGTGCAGAAGCTAAACGCTTCCTAAGCCACGAAGGGATCGTCGTCTCACAGATTATCCCATATCATTCGGAACAGAACGGGCCTGCAGAGCGTTCAGGAGGTGTCATCTTGACGAAATCGAGACATCTGCATATCGAGAGTAAACTGCCGAAGGAACTCTGGCCAGAGATGGTTAGTACCGCAGCATGGATTTTGAACCGAATCCCTACCTACCTGAAGGACGAGAACCGCTGGATTGTACCGTGGGATGAAGCACGACAGGATTTCGGCAGCGAAAGGATGAAGAAGGCTAACCTTGCTAATCTTCGCGTATATGGCTCGTTGACCTACTGCCGAATTCGAAAGATCCCACGCCTACAGAAGATCTCTCCCCGCGCAGAGGTTGGATTCTTGGTTGGATACGTCGCTTCGAATATCTGGAAGGTCTGGTTTCCATCGAGAGGAAAGGTCGAGGTTATACGAGATGCACGCTTCGATGAATCGAGAAGATGGAGACCTGATATGCAGTACTAGCAAGAAATCGCATTACCTGCGCCTGAACCGACGATCTTGACCGACGAAGAGCACCTAGATGTCCTACGCGAGGACCTCGGGATACCTGAAGAGCCGTCAACAAACCGAAATACAGAGGAGGATCGGCAGCAAGATCATGACGAAGCTCATCAGGAAGACCCTCTAGTGTCTGGGGTTGAAGAAGGGGATCCTACAGAAGCTACCGCTGAACCTCAGGGGGTGGTTACACTCATTACCCCGGAACCTAACGAGAGAGACCGCCTACAGGCAGATCAGGGTCACCAGACTGAGACCTTACCAGGCTCATTTCCAATCGAAGAGCCTCCAATTTTGCCTCCGAGTCCCGCCGGAGATCAAAGTACCACTACGTCTCCTACTGCAGCTGGTCAGGGGGTAGACAACCAGCCAATATCCCAGGCTACCAACCAGAGATCTTGTCTTAATGAAGACCAGCCGCCAGAGCCGGAGATACCGCTTAAATCTCTCACGGAAGAGAGTACCCAAGAAGAAGAAGATTCGCTTTCTGATAGCGAGCAGCAACTACACACTGAGCTACACACACGAAGAAGCGATGGAATCGACACTGCCAATATCCTCGAGGGTAGCAGAAGAAGAAGACCGAGGGTAAACCCTGACTACCACGCATACGCCACTATCCAACCAGCCGTCGAAAACGAACCACCTGAATTGCTTCGCACGTTCGCAGCAGCGTTATACACCGAGAAGCCGATTCAACGCCACAGAGACGATCTACCACCAGTACCTGATGGGTGGAGAGAGATGATGAAGCATCCAATGGCAGAGGGTTTCCTAGCTGCATGCGCGAAAGAGATACGATCTCTGCAAGAGAAATCAACCTTTACCGCCATAAATCGACCGAGAGATATTTCGAAGCAGATCCTACCACTCCGATGGGTCTTTACATATAAATTCGACCAGGACGGTTACCTCCAGAAGCTCAAAGCGCGAATCTGCGTGCGAGGTGACCTCGAAACGATATCCCCAGAGGATAAGAGGGCGGTTACACTTGCAGCAAGGTCTGCAAGGATGATCTTTGCACTGGTCGCAGCGTTTAACCTCGATCTCCGCCAGAGAGATGCAGTTACAGCGTTCTTGAATAGTAAACTGCCTACCGAGACCTACACAAGAATGCCAGAAGGATTCGATAGACCAGGGATGTGTTGGAAGCTACAGCGTGCGCTATATGGATTGCGCATCTCACCAAAGCTATGGCAACAAGAAGCATCTCGAGTACTCGAGAAACTAGGTCTCACACCAATACCAGAAGACCCCTGTGTCTTCGTTTCACACGGAATCATCGTCTTCTTCTATGTTGACGATATCCTCATTACCAATCACCCATCAGTGCGCGAGAAAGCTAAGCAGCTAGAAAAGGATCTCGAGGCACACTGGGAACTCACAGACCATGGGGAAGCTGAATGGTTCTTAAACATTCGAATCATCCGTGACCGCAGAGAATATAAGCTTTGGTTATGCCAGGATGCCTATATCAGCAGTATGGCAGCCCGATACAATCTAACAGACCGTCCGCCGGTCTACACACCGTTACCAGTGGAAGAAATGAAGCCATACGATGGCACTGCGACACCTGCCGAGATCAAATTGTACCAAGGAAAGGTTGGCTCAGTGCAGTATCCAACCACGATTACCAGACCAGATGCAGCGAAAGCAGCTGCAAAGCTATCGCAATTTCTTCGAAATCCAAGTCCACAGCACCAACGAGCGGTTGATAGAGTGATCTGCTATCTATACACCACACGGTACTTAGCACTGCAGTATGGGGATAAAGGAGATATAGAATCAGTTGAGCTAGCAAGCGATGCATCCTTCGCTGACAATCAAGATCGCAGAAGCTCTGCAGGGTATATCTGCCAGGTTTATGGCGGACCAGTGGATTGGAAGGCTACCAAGCAACCACGGTTACCACGTCAACCACCGAAGCCGAATTGCTTGGATTATCTGATGCAGGAAGATCTCTCCTATGGTGGATGAGGTTTCTCGACCGAATCTCATTCAAACCAAGCCACCCAATCACATTAAGATGTGATAATCAGCAGACAGTCAACCTGTTGACCTCGGAGCATGCCAAAATCGATACAAAGCTTCGTCACGTCGATATCCATGGGCACTGGCTAAGACAAGAGATTAGAGAAGGTCGAATCACAATCAAATGGGTACCTACTGCCAAGATGGCAGCAGATGGGCTCACAAAGATCCTGCCACGCCAGAAACATGAGGATTTTATCAAGATCTTGCGCATGCAGGATATACAGCACCTAATTGAGGTTTGAGGTGTAATTGAGAGAAAAGAGAGAGCTTTTAGATGGTGTTCAGCGCTCATCTCGATTGAATTCAACACTGGCGAAGCTATTCAACACTCGCTAAGCGCTGAGGGGGTGTGTCGGAGCAGGACCAGTAGTGGATACTCGGAAGAAAGGAGATACTATAAACCCGCATGTATTAGTCATTATTATGCCCATCCAAATTGCCAGAAAGGGGCTACATAGCAATTCAGACCTGTTGAAACCCGATTGGTGCACCTAGATGAGCTCAGCAACCCAATTCCGATACATACTCACCGCCTGAGGCATCAGCTGACTCATCCAAAGACGTCACGGGCATGCGGCCCCAAGTCGGACCAGAGAGGAGAGAGCTCCCCCCCGAATCCTAATTCCCAGCACAGCAAGCACAAGAACGGTCCGCGGGGACATGAATTGAGCGCCCACATCCCCCACCGGCACGCGCGATGTTATCCGCATTCACCGCGCGGCCGCTGGTCGAGCTCAAGCCGCGCGACAAATCCAAAATCGACTCCGTCCTCGCATACGGTGACCGCCTCCTGGCCGGCCTGAACAACGGCACCCTCCGCATCTACCGCGTCACGGACGACGGCAAGACCGAGCTGCTCCGGGAACAAGAGAAATTCGCCCGGTACAAGATTGAGCAGCTTGCGCTCGTGAAAGAGGCCAAGGTTCTTGTCTCGTTGTCGGGCGGATATGTCAGTTTGCACGATTCGCAGACGTACGAGCTGCAGGAGCAGCTTGCGGCGACGAAGGGCGCTTCCACGTTTGCGATTACGTCTAATGTTGTGAATGACCCCGATACTAATGTGCCTGCTATCGTGTCGCGGGTTGCGGTCGCGGTGAAGCGGAAGATTCTGATGTGGGTTTGGCGCGATATGGAGCTTGAGCCGGATACTATGGAGTTGAGTCTGGCTAGTGCGATTAAGACTTTGACTTGGGTTTCTGCGACGAGGATGGTTGTCGGACTGAGCTCGAGCTTTGTCATGGCTGATATTGAGTCGGGGCAAGTTACGGAGCTGCCGGGTCCGGGCAGTACGGAAGAGGTTGGGCGGTTTACGGGTGTTGGTGCTGCGAGTATGAGCTACATCGGTATGGGGGGTATGGTGCCACGGCCACTGGCTACGAGGCTGCGGGAGGGTCAGATCTTGCTTGCCAAGGATATTAATACCCATTTCATCGATGTGGAGGGGCAGGCGCTGGGCCGACGACAGATTCCCTGGAGTCATGCGCCGGTTGAGATTGGGTATTCGTATCCATTTTTGTTGGCTCTACATGATACAGCGAAGGGAGTGCTGGAGGTGCGCAATCCGGAGACCTTGTCTTTGTTGCAATCTATTCCGCTGCCCTCGGCTAGTATCCTGCATATACCCCAGCCGAATATCAGCCTCGCGCATGCCGGCAAGGGATTCCTTGTTGGGAGTGATCGGACTATCTGGCGAATGGAGGCTTTGAGCTACGATACGCAGATTGACTCGCTGGTCGAAAAGGGCTATCTAGATGAGGCGATCAGTCTTCTGGGCATGCTTGAAGATGCCCTGTTGAAGGATAAACCTGGTCGACTACGCAATGCACAGCTCGAGAAAGCCCAAAGCTTGTTTGCTTTGCGGAAATATCGCGACTCATTGGACCTGTTTACCGAGGTTGCTGCGCCACCAGAGACGGTCATTCGGTTGTATCCTCGTTTGATTGCTGGTGAACTATCTGCCGTCCCGGAGCTGAATGGATCAGAGGTGAAAACCAACGGCAACGGCAATGGTCATGGCGATCAGAGTGATGGATCGTCCGAGGCGGCACCTGAACCCGCGCCAGTGGGTCAGTCTCTCTACGCACCTTCGGTCAGGTCACTGCTTCGAAGAACTGAAGAAGGGAGTGACACGAGTAGCATACTAGAGGATAAAGACAAAGTCAAGGCCGACAAAGGTGAATCAAATTCCTGGCGATATTACTTGTGCCAAGCTAACAATATCTAGATCTCAAAAACTCCGTCCGTGAACTCCAGGGCTACCTGGCAGATGTACGCCGACGCTTCCAACGATTCCTAGGCCCAGATGGCTCCCTCAAAGCACCCTTCCCGACAGACGCTACGGACGAGGCCGGTGCCTCGGTCCTCAAGTTTCTCGACTTCCCGTCTGAAGAAGATTTCTTGACAACTTTACGTGCCAAAGCCCGATTGGTTGATACAACGCTGTTTCGCGCGCACATGTATGCAACACCATCGCTAGCCGGGTCCCTCTTCCGAATCGCCAATTTCTGTGACCCGGAGGTAGTCATGGAACGTCTAGAAGAAACGGGCAGATACAACGATCTCATCGACTTTCTCTACGGCAAAAAGCTGCACCGCCAAGCCTTGGAACTACTGCATCGATTCGGCCAAGAAGAATCCGGACTACTGTCCGGTCCAACCCGCACCATTGGCTACTTGCAGAACCTAGCTCCCGATCAGATCGATCTCATTTTGGAATTCGCCGGCTGGCCCGTCCGCGAGAATAACGAGCTGGGTATGGAAATATTCCTGACGGAGACTGAAAACGCCGAGACTCTGCCGCGATCACGGGTGCTGGTTTTCCTGGAGGAGATCGATCCTAAACTTGCCATTCGGTACTTGGAGCATGTCATTAATGAGTGGAATGATATGAGCCCGGATCTGCATCAGAGATTGTTGATGCTGTATCTTGACCGCATTAATGCCGATAAGACAGATACTGCGTGTAAGGATAAGTTCTTGGCTATGCTCAAGGAGAGTGAGCAGTATTCACCGGCTAAGACTTTGGATCGCCTGAACCGAGAGGGTATGTGTAGAGCCCTCCAGTCTACATGATTTTTGGCTGACACTGTTTTAGATCCCGATTTCTACGAGGCGAGAGCTATCATCTTTAGCAAAATGGGCCAACACCGCCAAGTGCTGGAGATTTACGTGTTCAAGCTAGGAGACCACGAGAAAGCAGAAGAGTGAGTTCGGTTCTCTTTATAAATACATTCATTTGCTAACCCCGCACAGGTACTGCAACCAAGTCCATCTTTCCGAGGGTACACCCCAGTCCGAAGAAGAGGAAGAAACCTCCATCTACCTCACCCTCCTCTCCCTTTACCTCGCTCCACCACACGGATACCAAGCACAGAACGGCCCAGCACTGACCATCCTCGCCAAACACGGCTCTCGGCTACCAGCAGAAGCAGCATTGAAACTAATCCCCGCAACGCTGCCCGTCCGCGATCTCGAATTTTACTTCAAGGGCCGAATGCGAGCAGCCAATTCATTTTTCAACGAGGCCCGAATCGTGGCCAGCCTGCGCAAGGCACGCGATATGCAGACGCAGGCCCAGCTTGCTCTGGGCGAGGGTGTCCGTGGGGGCGGGACTCGAGCTCGCCATGTCACCGTGACCGAGGAGCGAATTTGTGGTGTGTGTCACAAGCGATTGGGAGGGAGTGTGATCAATGTGTTTCCCGAGTATGTTACCCGTAACCCGGTTGTAGTCTCTTGGCTGTCCTTCCTCATTCTAACTTGTCACAGCAACACCGTTGTCCATCTGGGCTGTGCCAATCGCGTGGTCAGCGTCCGTTCCGGGTAGTCTTCCGTCGTTTCTCAGCATCTGCATTCGCCGGGGGGATTCTTGTCTTTCTTTTTTTCTGATGTTGTCGTGTTCTTCCCCGGCGACTTTCTTTTTGATACCCAGTGTACTGTAGTATACCATTCTCGTTTTGTGAATCTGAATCAAGCATCCTCCTCGACCACTTCCTCGCCGTAGTTCTCCTCTTCCTTGGCCTCCTTCTCCGAGATTGCGCCCTGGGTCTTCTTATCTTCTTCCATGCGCTCAGTCAGGAAGACATTGATTTCCTCCTGTAGCCTGGGGACGAGCGATTGCAGTGTTGTCAGGTGAGACTGTTTCGCGGCGAAAGAGTCTGTGCTCGACGCGGGTGGGATCTCGTGCGTGAAAACTTTGGAGGCGTCTGGTGCGGCGTAGACAGCCTGGAGATTGAGCTGGGAGTTGGTAGCCATGAATGTAATTCAGGCGGAATTGAGAGGGATATGGGATGAAGAGTAGTGTTGATGCAGGAAGAGTTTCGATGGTGGGGTTGAAAGTTGAAAAGACGAGAGATCAGCGGAGCCGCGAGCTAAACCCAAAGAAGGGAGCTTTCTGGGGCGAGGCATCCACGACTCCGACTGGAGTAACCAGACAACCCCGACAGCTGGCACTGCCCACCTACGAGAAACCCACAAACAAGGGCCATGGACGACTCATCATGAATCCTGTCCGATCTACAACATCCCCCGGGCGTTCTACTCGCCCACCCGCCCCCGTATACCGTCACCCACCACCCCAGTCACGACGACCACCTTCGGACGACGAAGACGACGACGAGGACTCTGATGACGACGAATTGGGCCGCCCCGGATCCTCCGGCAGCGATGCTTCTTCAAACATAACCACCGTCTCCGTCGCGCCCATCACCCCGATAAATACACATCCCCCCACCGCTGGCTACTTCTCCCCCCAGATGCGATCCGCCTCGGCCACCACCTCGCCTCAGCACGCAGCTCGCGCCATGCCACAAGACACTTCAGGCGGCCGTCGGCCATCTGGCCGGGGCCCGTCAATTGAACTGCCCCGTCATCGATCAAGACACCATTCACAGGGCTTCTTCGAGCCCTCCTTGCCCACCGCTTCCTCGGACCAGCTACCGCCCGTTTCAGCCTCCCGGATCGCCGCCCAGGCGGCCATGCAACAGATGAAACGAACGCAAAATGTAGTCAACACGTTTGACGATAACGCATCTCGAGTATCCCGGCGCAGTGGAAGTGCCTCTCCGCCTCTCATGCCACCCCCACTACGAATCAACCAACCGTCCCCATCTCTCCCACCCCCAACAGCGCCCAATGCAGCCACGACGGCAGCGAATGTGGTGTTCCCGCGGGCCGGGGCCCCAGCGTTAGACATCCAAATACCGGAGAAGCAGAAAAAGAAAAAGCTCTTCTCAAAACCGAAGCACATTGGTATCAGTCGAGACAAGGACAGTCGGGATCGCGGGTTGCCATCCCCCAGCAAGCTCCCAGGCTTATCGCGCATAGTCAGCGCGTCAACCACCAGTCTGGCCGACCTTCCTTCGAACAATTCCTCCATGTACAATCTCTCCAATGCCTCCGTTAGCACAGTCGTTCCTGCCGATCGACCGCCCGCGCCGCCCGAGAAGGAGAAGGATAAGGATAAGCATAAGCACCATTTCCTGTCTCGGCAGAAGCTTAAGCTTAAAGACCGAGATGATCATTTTCACCATACTCTGCAGCTGTCTTCGGCATCGAGCAATTCACGACCGGCCGATCCCAATGCCCCGCAGTCTTTATATTCATTCACCAGCCCTGCTTCCCCGGCACCGGGTGCTACCTTTGGCAAATCGGTTAGTGGACTGGATCTACTACATGGTGGACGGGCTCTTCGCGAGAAGAAGAAGGAAGAGAAAGCGCTCGCCGAGTCCGAGACTATGGAATGGCTTGCCAATTCTACGAGTGGAGCAACGACTCCTGGTGGATTTGCAGGCCCGTCCTCGCTCAATAGTTCGTCTGGCGTGCTAGGCGAGGCTGTACTACGAGAGGCGTTGTCAGGATTCGGATTGAATAATATGACACCCGAAGACGCTTGGGACTTTCTCAAAGCCAAGTTGCTTGTCATTTTTGACGGCGAGGATGTGCGAATCGCCATTGAAGATCTGAACAAGCTGTTGCTGATCCATTTGCAACGCTGCGTGCATAAACGGGCTCCTACTTCGGTAATTACGGAACTTCAGGAATTACTCGACGGGGGCTTTGCAACGCTAAACGCCAGCTCGCTGGTCGGTATTCCAGACGAGAAACTCGTGCCTCACCTTGTTCAAATCTGGCTATTGGTGTTTGGCACGATTCTTCCATTCATCCAGGCCGTCTTCCTACCGCTGGACCTCGAGTTCAGGGGTCTTGGAACGTTGATGACTAGCCGTGAAGCTCGCGAGTTCTGGGGTGTCCTTCCAGCCGGCGGGTCCCTCGACGTGCGGAATCTAGTCCTGATTGCCTTCCGAGACCGCATCATCTTGAACCGCTACGAAACACTCAAAGCAACATTCTCCCGTCTCAGCCTAGACAGCATCAACTCTGGCTTCCCAATGTTGAGTGTCACCGCTAAAAGCACCGGAGTCGGCGGCCGCCCTGGCACAGCTGCCTCTCTTGATGCAGGACTAGGCAGTTACAACTCCCAATCGTCCACCTTGCTCAGCACCGGCATAGCAGACAGCTACTCCTCAGACTCAATGAGTGCACTAGCCCGCCCACCAAGCAGCGACTCCCGCAGCCGCGCCGCATCAAACACCTCCTCAAACCCAGACCCCCTCATCTTCTCCTCCATCTCCCCACAAATCTCCAACCAACGTCCAACAATCATCCACCGCGGCACATCCGCCGACTCTTCACACGTCATCACCGAAACAGTCGGCCGCATGCTCCAATGCGTCAGCGTCCTCGCCAGCGTCCAAACAGACGACCCCGCCCAAGAAAAAATCGAAATTCTCAGCAAAGCTCTCAAACACAATTGGCTCGGCCGTGGGCGTACAGGTCGGGACCGTCGTGGTTTTGTCGGGGCGAAAATCCGTCCTGTCATGGTTGGCGGAACGCCTAGTCTGGATGATACCGAGTCTTTCACGACGGCTGGGATTAGTATCGGGGCGAGTACGAGTACGAGTGGTTCGAGGGCGAGGGGGGATTCTTCTTCGTCTGAGTGGAGTGGGCAGGGTGCTGGTGTGGGGATGAGTATGCGGAGTGGAGGGCGGCGTGAGTTGAGTGTTGTTTGATTGGGCAAGTCGGTTTAGATATTTGATGATTAATGACCTGGCTGGGATATATCTGGTATAGGATGCTATTTTGAGGAGATTAAGGCAATGGATTTCTCGGTTTATATTTCGATATCCTGTAGGTTCTAGTATTATCTTAGGTAGTATGGAGGTTTTGCATAGTTCGTCTGCTGCCCGACATTGCTCTGTTCAAACTATTTCCAATTAGAGCTGGTGGTAGAGGCTACCCTTCTGATTTATCAGGCCCTTATAGATCAGGAGGACATGAAGATCTCAGTGCACGAAAGCTACAGAGTGCTGTCCTCTCGCCAAGTCAAGAAGCTGATTTTAGGATCAGCACCCTTGTCAAGCAGCAGTTTCACCATCTTCTGGTGCCCGTTCTCCACAGCAAAGTGGAGTGGTGTATGCGAGTTTCTAGCAGGAGTGCTGCCATTGGGATTGGCCCCTTGTCGAGCAGTAGCTTCAACACCCCTTGATGCCCCTTCTCCACGGCATAGTGTAGTAGTGTCAGGTTACGGTAGTTGTCCTCAACGTTGGCATCGGCACCCTTGTCGAGCAGCAGCTTCACCACCTCCTGGTGCCCGTTCTCTGCAGCGTAATGTAGCGGTGTCCGATCGCCCACGTCCTTGGAACTCGGACTATATTGCCTATCGAATAGGGCCGCCGTTGACAGTCCAAGTCCAAAGTATGCCGCAACGTGGAGTCCCGTCATGTGGGTTTCAGTGTCATTCCAATAGTCCATCTTGGAAGCTAGCATGGCCTGGGTGCAGGCGGAAACTTTCGACTCGTTCTGAAGAAATTCCAGAATAAATTCGTCCCCTTCAATCGACAACATACAAGCATGATGTCCCCAATTTTGTGCAGCGTAATCAAAGAGTCTATTCAACTCTAGCCAATCGCAAAACTCGTCTCTCGTTTGACAAAACCCGCTCTCAAAGACGTTGAACGACAGGTATATAACACAGACTTTTGTAATATCGGCCTCTGCTTCCGGAAACCGGTGTTTCTGCGTTTGCTCCATATATTCTTGCGTCGTATAATGGACTAGCCGAATGATGCAGCTTGCTTCGTCGACTGTGACTAATCCAGCACATACCGAAACCATAAGGTCAATTGGTGAGAAGTTATCTCTATCAATCCCACTCATGCCGAATTCCACTGCAAGTGCCTCCTGAAGTTCAAAAGTAGTCAAAGGCCTCTTTGCACAGGTGATCCACGATATAACTTTCATTGCAAGTTCTTTCTGCTCCTTATACTGTCCTTCAATACGTTGAATCGCTTGTTCGTAAGCAAGATCATACGCATCAGTTCCAGTCGGTAGCGCTTTCAAGCTGGTTCTGAGGGATTTAGGCGATGTCTTCCCAGCCAATGAGCGAAGATGAGGTTGTGGGAGTAAGAACCTAGCAAAATCAGCATGTTTCGTATAGAGTGAGAGGAGGCACATACATTCCATCAACCGCCCTAACAATCTCAGTCTTGACTTCTTCCTGAAGTTCTGGGCTGTTGGTCACAAAGGCTGGAAGCTGGGACAAATTGCCGTCTAGATATTTCCGCACATCATGATCGCTTGCACGAATCTCTATCGATGTGTTTACTTCGAACTTCCTCATAACCTCTGGAACATATCTTGAAGTCACGGAGATGTTTGCTCCGCACTCGTTTTGGAGGCTAAAAATCTCAGATAGGAGTTTAGCCTGGCAGCCATCAAATACTTGACATTCGTCAAGTGCATCGACGATAATAAATAATCTCAAATACATGGCAGAGACTGAGTGGAGAACTTGCGAGATCTCGCTGAATGATGGTCTCGTCTGTTTATTGCTGTGGTTATGGTAGAGGGTTTTCACACTGTCTGGCAGGGAACACCGCTCTTGAATCAACTGCTTCAACAAAGTTGCGAGAAAGTGCTCAAAGTTATGTTCGGTCCATTGTCGGAAGTTGCAGTAAATGTATGCTATGCCGACACTGGTATCACTTTGGAATCTATTGTGGAGGTCGTTGACCACAATTGCTGTAAGAACTGTCTTCCCAGCTCCGGGAATCCCGGGGCAGAATAATGTCTCCTTATCTGCGTTTAACCAAGTCTGGTACTCAGCAGAATCGAGGAACCATTGGCAGGTTCCTGCCTGTCGTCTCCGAAGATTGTCGCTTTGCGGAGAGCCATAGTTGACGGGGGTGAGCCAATTAAAAATGTCCAAGTCCTCCTTCCTGTCGAAATTGTATCTTATTGTCTCGATATTTGCCTTTATCTCACCAAGAACTGCCTAGTTATTAGTTCGTACTAAAGATATGAACGTATCTTTGACAGAGGAGTAAGATCTAAAACTCAAAAAACATGTACATTGCTCAATCCGCGGTAATTCCATAACACCTTGTCCAGGAATAATACGCAGAGAATCACAAGACAAGGAAACGAATCCATTGACCCTAAAAAGAAAGTCAGATGCAAAAGTCTCCAAGAATGGGTTGAAAAGGTCTCACCGGCAGCCTCAGTTTCGAAACAAATAATCTTCTCTTTCCGCGCCCACTTATCTCTCAATGTGGCATCTTTCATCACTTGATCTGCAGATCCAAGGGTTCCGTAATGTATGTGAGGGACATTGTTAGGTCTGTCTTTTCTTTTGACAAGCTTAATGTCGTTGAGAGTACAGCAACGTTTACACGATTTCTTCTCCTCTTTGTGAATAACTTCGGACTTGAAGAGGCGGTCTTTGGCTGAACCTTTGGCTGAACCCGGATGCTTGAATTTTGACGCCATTAAGGGATTGTCTGTCAGCACTTGTGAAAGTATTTCAGGAATTCCGTGGCCTTTTTGTGCATGCTGTCCACGAAGCATAGCAACTGCACTCAAAACGATATTTGGGGGCTTATTTAGCTGGCCACCGATGTGAATGAACTCCTTTGACTGCTAGCATAAAAAGCTATACTGTCACGATTGTGGCAGGTCCGGGGCTGACAAAGGGTTGGGTAGCGAACTGGTCAACCCCGTGTTTGACGGGAGATTCCTTGCTGCTTTGCAGGAGGTTCCTTTGAACCTCTACAAATTGGGGATTTCTGTACTGTAGAGAGAATTTCTCCTTTTTTTTCTCCTCTCTAGATCTAGTTGCTTCGTCAAATGGCACTGATTCGGAGCGAATCCTTCGATTTGCATGTAACATATACTACATTAATTATAAGCACGCGCTAGGAGCGTCTAGCAGCGGTGCAGCGGTCTCCTACTATTCAGCCTCCTATCTTACCTCGCTCTGCTAGCCTAATTAGCACTTACCCTTATAAAATGTAAGAACAGGGATTAGACTGCTAATTAAACCTCGTCGTGAATTTCGATAATTAAGGGTGTGAGCCTCCACACAGCAAAGGGCTCCATAAGGAGAGGCCTATACTGAAGAGCGCTCTGTAGCAGGAGAGCCCCAGGGACTTGTGCCTGACTGTCTGTTCCAAAGACTTGACAGGCCCATTTTTAGTACTAGTTCCCTTTGGAGTGCCATCCTGTACTCTTTACTACAATGATCTGCGGTGATATACTCCGTACGTATTACACTGACAGAGAAACCAGAAACCCAATACTTATGGAAATCCTTATTTGGTCAACGAGGGGCATTCAATCTCCAAACTTATAACGTATATCAATGTATGGGCTAAGCAAAGTGAAATATTTATTAAAACTGCACCTGGGGCTGGCGGTCAAATGGTGCCGCGATGAACAAGTAAGAAACCGTCGATGTTGTGGCATAGACAGTATTACTGATTCCTGGATAGCGCTGGTCCTACCTGTCTGTGCAGGTAGGTAGGTATGAGGGAATATTTATCGGGCCCTGTCACAGAACGTGTAGCTGCGACGGCTTACTCTTTAAGCACGCATAATCCCGCATGCCTTGGTGCCTGTGTTTTGCCCCACGCTATCCGTGTTCTAGTGCAAGTTCGCCATGTGGTATTACTATTCCACCGTTCCATGGCTTTTCAAGCCACATTATTGTCAGGCTAAGGCGAGAACGCTGGAGACTGAAATCTTTACCTCATTCATGTCGTAAGTTCGAGCGGTAAGCTTTGATGAAGCAGCGGAAGGTCCACTTCGATTTTGGCTTTAGACTGCGTCACCATCCCGAAAGACACAAATGTCGTCACTTCCCCTCACAATATATGTCTCATTGTCGGTTTGACCGTTCACTGTATATTTTCTGGGAGTATGGCGACACTCAGGATTGCAGATCCCCCGCACGAGGGAGATGAGCTGCAACAGCCTCGATCCTGCGACGAGGGATCAATCATGGGCCCGGCTGGCTCCACTTCGCAATCGATCGCCCAACCTCATCAAGAAGAAATTCAGGAGAGTATTTACAATATCCGTTCCCACTCCAAGATCCCAGTGCGGGTCAGTAGCGGGGTCTCAGCCGATGAGCAGCCAGACGATGACCCCGGGTTGCGAAACCCGGGCGACTTCAAGCAGAGACAGGTAGGCAACGCAACCATGAGGGACCGTTGAGGGCGAACGCCACTCACCATCAACAGGTATTCAAAGGCAAGATGCTGCTATGGCTGGCATATCAATCTATCGGCGTCATTTATGGCGATATTGGCACTAGTCCCCTCTACGTCTTCTCATCCACCTTCTCGTCCCCTCCCTCTCCAAAAGACCTGCTAGGTGCCCTCTCCATTATCATTTGGAGTCTATTCATGATGGTAACTGTCAAGTATGTGCTGGTAATACTTCATGCCGATAACGACGGCGAAGGTGGCACTTTCAGTACCTATTCCCTCCTCAGTCGCTATGTAAGTGCTCCTCGCGATCCCTCTCTCTCTCTCTCACACACACACACAAAAAGCTGACTCATTCACAGATGAATATCACCTGCCGTGATCCACGGGAAGCTTCGTTGGTCCAGATGAAACGGTACTTGTCCGGCGATCTAGAGCACGCTGGACAGATGGTGCGCCACAGCCTAGAGTCCAGTCAATTCGCGCGATGGCTGCTGAAAGTGATCGGAGTCTTGGCCGTCACCATGGTGCTGGCTGATGGCCTGCTCACTCCAGCCCAGTCTGTTCTTGGAGCCGTTCAAGGTATTAAGGTTGTGCAGCCAAACATATCCAAGGGCACAGTGATTGGTGTCACTGATGCTATTCTTATCGCACTATTTTTCATTCAACCGTTGGGAATCACAAAATTGTCCTATGCGTTCTCGCCGATCGTGATTATCTGGCTTGGCATTAATGCGGCATTCGGGATATACAACCTCGCTAATTATGAGGCCGGTGTTTTCCAGGCTTTCAACCCTGGCCTCGCATTTGAATTCTTGATTCGTAACAGAACAGACGGATGGAAGATGCTAGGTGGTATCTTGCTCGCCTTCACAGGTGTGGAAGCCCTCTTTGCGGACCTAGGTGCTTTCAGCCGCAGAGCAATCCAGATAAGCTGGCTGTGCTATACGTTTCCGTGCCTCTTACTAGCATATATTGGCCAGGCAGCGTATCTAAGCGTCCACCCAGAGGCGTATTCGAACCCCTTTTTCAATTCAGCCCCACCTGGAACTCTCTATCCAGCCTTGATTATTGCCATACTAGCTGCTATCGTTGCCTCGCAGGCCATCATTACCGCAACCTTCCAGGTGAGAGTTGTAACTCTTTTATTAAGGGGAAGATCTCACTCTGACAATGCTGGTAGCTTCTTGCGCAAGTGATGAAACTCTCATATTTCCCTCAGATCAAAGTCATCCACACTTCTCGGGTATTCTACGGGCAGCTCTTCATTCCGATCGCGAATTGGCTGCTTATGATTGGCACCGTCTTGATCGCGTCGATCTATAACAATGTAAGGCGTGGCGGCTTTCTCTCGCTGTTTCACTTTTTCCAGAAACTCATTTTATATCCCTTAGACCACGTCCCTGGGCAATGCGTACGGCGTATGCGTCATGTTCGTGACATTTTTCGACACTTGCATGGTATCTCTGGCTGCAATGTTCGTCTGGCGAATCAGCCCCTACATTATCTTCCTCCCGTGGCTCACCATGGCCTGCCTGGATGGTACTTATCTCTCGTCGGCGCTGACCAAGGTGCCTGAAGGAGCCTGGTTCACGATTGCGCTCGCTGCAATTCTTGCAATTTTGTTTCTTTTGTGGCGATATGGTAAAGAACAGCAGTGGTTCGCCGAAGCTGAGGACCGCTTTCCAACTTCACATTTCGTCATGTCCAGCCCAGATGGCCAAATCTCCCTATCCAAACGATACGACAATATTCCCGTCAGCATCACCCGTGGTCTTGGTATTTTTTTCGACAAAGCGGGCGAGACGACTCCGATCGTGTTCAGCCAGTTTGTACTTAAGCTCACCTCCTTGCCGGAGGTGGTTGTCTTCTTCCATCTACGCCCTCTCGAGCAACCTTCAGTCTCCGCTGAGAATCGCTTTACTGTGTCGCGTTTGGCAATACCACATTGTTACCGACTGGTTGTTCGTTATGGATATAATGATGAAATCATCACACCCAACTTGGCGAGCGTGATCACCGACCAGGTCCGGAAATATTTAAAATCGAGAAAACCTCCCGGCCACAAGGATGGGGAAAGGGATTCCGTGGCCCCGGAAAACGCGACAGTGGAGGGCAGCAGGGATGCCTACGCCTTTACTACTTCTGAAATCGCTAATTTGGAAGCAGCATATTCACACAAGGTGCTCTACATTGTGGGGAAGGAGCAGATGAAAATCAACCCCGAGACAGCGCTCATCCGAAAAATATTGTTACGCATTTTTTTGTGGATCCGAGAAAATACGAGGAACAAAACGGCTAACCTCCGGCTGCCAACTGATAAGCTGATTGAAGTGGGGTTTGTGAAGGAGATATGAGTTTGGCGATAGGAGGTCTTGATATAAAATGACGCAGGACAAGGGAATGACTCGGTGACAACTCTAAGCTTCAACGGCGGCGCCCATTTTTGCATTTTGCCTTGCGAAGAATGTAGCAAACTCAATAAAATCTCAAATACTTGCAATTATCTCCGATTCCTAGCCGCAACGTTAAATTACGTTGGCGGATATTGTAAGCGCCGCGTCCAGCGACATCTCGGCTGTCCCTTCTGGTAAGTGGACGGAGAGTTCTTGCCACGAACTCGATATCTGCGTAGCTCCTTTATATAGGCGACGTCTATCCATCCGTGATAGCCTAGGTGATTGTATATCGGGCATTTTCTAAGAGTGACAACTGAAATCGACTAGGTACGGTTTTATATCGCAGCCATATCTAAGGCCACATTATAAGCGTAAAAAATTAGCTAGAATACTACTACCCAGTTACTACGCACATATTTCTTTAACTATCACTAGCCTACACTATCACTATTCGGATTAGACTATCTAAAGTGAAGAAGCATTTTATAGCTTTTTTTCTATATTATATCTACAAAGCACCGCTATGTATTATTAAATCTTCCATTTTTATATTAAATTCTTATTTACTACTTATTAAGGTCATCTAGGTAACTCTGCGTTTTGGAAAAGGTTTCTTGCAGCTAGACAGTACTAATATATAATACTCCCTACGGAGATTTTCTCCGTTAAACCTCCGCAGTAGCGACAGATTATTAATATAAGACTATAGCATCAAAGAATTAAGTAGCACGCTAAAGAGGACCGAAGGTACGAGCCTTAGCAGCTTATATAGGCAATTTCTAGCGATTCCTATTATACGAATTAGGGATTAATAGAAGCTAAGTCTTAGGCAGTATTCAAAAGTAACGACGTAAACATAAATAGTAGGTCAAAAGCGATAGCTACTTTCCCGTTAGAATTATCGACACTAGTAGGATTTACCTTTTCTATTAGCATATACGTAAATAAATAAGGCATTTATTTAATCCTTCGGGAGTTCAATTTAATAGGCTTAGACCTAGATCTAATAGGCCTTTCGCTTCTACACGGCTACACCGCGAGGAGGTAGCAACGTCGGGCTTCGCAGCCCGGACGACATTCACGAAAACGGTTTAATACGATGTATGTAATCAAGGCATTTTCACGTGCGAAGAGAATCATTGATTTATTAGACTATACATGATGAAGGAACATCCTGTTACGCGTTGCCGACCGGTCACTGTGAGTTAGAATGTTCACGGGTTATGCTTGCCTAATTCCAACTGCGGATTCCAAGAGTATCTCTCAATCGTACCGTTGCCTCGCGAGGCCTTACTGCGGGATGGATCCTGTTGAGTATCTTGCAGAACGTGCCAGAAGTGCGCGCCAAGTAAGTCAATCACTAAGTGTTACCACTGAGTGAATCCCCTACTTGTAGGTTGGGTTGTCTTGAAGGTGAACTGTGAAGTGCAAAGTACTAAAGGTAGTAACCGAGTAACAATGTAGGAAAGGTGCTGTCCTAGTAACTTGAATGATTGATCGCGAAGAACTAAATACATGATGCGAAATGAGTGTCCTTATATATCTAGCCCTTCCTACTCCCGACCTACTCCCTGGGAGTAGATCTGGAGTCACCGTATACCCCATCGCCTACTCCTTGGAGTCACGCTGGGAGTATATCCTTGGCGTCACGTGTGGTTTTACCGGGTCCTTGCACTTGTGGTGTAATCTGGGTGTTGGTAAAATGGTGGCCGTTTCCTGCGTCGCGCTAACCGTCTCATGGAGTAAGCGGGTATTGGTTGTGACGGTTAGCCGTAGGCCGTTTCTGGCTTCCGCCCAGAGTGTCTGCCTTGGGGCCCTGCCGGGGCTCGCCCAAGTATACCGAAACGCACGTGACAACGCTAATCCTTAGCGTCCGTGGGATGATTGGCCCTCCGTTGTCCTCAAATAACTGCGGCCCCCGCGCCTCTTGAGGTCCGTAACATCATCCCCTCCTTCCTTGTCCTTTGTCCTCAAAGGATTTAAACGTTGGCCTCTCCCCCTCAGGTAAGTGCATGTTTTTCTTCTTTTTCTGATTTCCCCATCGGCCATGTCCCCCTTGCAACATGCCTGTTGATAACAAGACTCGCAAACAAAATAGGCTCATCCAATACCAGTCCATTCTGACCAACGGGTCCGTTTCCGAGTCGCCTTGCGAACATTGTCTTTCCCGTGGTGTTGATTGTGTGATGGACTCGAAGCACCGTAATTGTGCCGAATGCACCCGTCGCGGTCGCAAATGTGCGAAGAAGTTCCACAGCGAGTCCGAATGGCAGAAGGTGCTTCGTGAACAGAAGAAAGTTGATGATGAGCTCGCTCAAGCCGAGCAACAACAGATGGAAATAATGATGAAAATTATTCGTCTCCGCAAGCAACGACAATTCTTGCGAACTCGTAATGATCGGATGTTGAGTCACGATGCCGAGATAATGGAGCAGTTGGATGCTGAGGATCCTCTCAGTGCTGAGGATCTTGCGGAGCTGGATCGTCTCGCCGATGCCGAGGATGCTCGCGCTCTTGCCGCCACGTCAGAGAATCCTACTCTGACCCAGATGCTGGAGATGAATCCGATGTCGCCGTCTTTCTGGGGCGACCTGGGCCTCTCCGTGGGTGGCGTTGGTGGAACTGCCGAACCAGCCGGTGGCAGCCCATCAGGTTCTCGATAGGTTCCCAAGTGTTCTCCGTTGTATCGTATCCTTTCCATTTCACCAGGTAGTGAGGCTTTCCGCTGACCTTGTTCATGTTCAGGATTTGTTCGACCTCATATTCGTTTTCTGTTTCTTCTTCTACTTCCACATTGGTAGCGATTTCGGCGTTTTTGGGTGCTTTTTCCAATAATGAGACATGAAAGGTTGCATGGATGCGTCGCATGCCGTTAGGTAGCTTTAGACGATAATTGAGCGGTCCTATTTTTTCCGCGATTTCAAATGGTCCCAATTTGAGGTGGTCGAGTTTCGCGCTGGGTCGTCTGGTGCGAATGTTGCGTCGCAAGAGGTAAACTTTCTCCCCCCTTTGAAAGTCCGGCGCCTCCTGGCGCGATTGGTCGTAGTAGAATTTCATGCGCATGTTGAGAAACTCGATGTCCCTTGACAGTTGTAGATGAAGCTGTTTCAAGCCAGTCGCCAATAGTCGAGATGACTCCGCGAGTGGTTGTTTTCCGATTGGTTCTCCGATAATAGTGGGATTAAGCCCATAATTTGCGAAGAAAGGCGTTTCTTTCGTGGTTGCATGCATTGCATTGTTGTATGCGAACTGCGCCATTGGTAGTAATCCTGCCCAGTCGTCTTGCTGGAAGTTCACGTAGTGTCGAAGGTATTGTTCTAAGGTCTGGTTGACCCGTTCCGTTTGTCCATTGGTTTGCGGATGGTACGCGGTAGAGAGTCTATGCTCGATGCCAAGTTGATCCGCCAGTGACTGCCACATGTTGGATGTGAACAGCTTGTCCCTATCCGAGGTAATCTTGCTCGGTGTTCCATGATTGGTGAATACATATCTGAGTAGTAGGTTGGCCATCTGTCGTGCATCGATGGTTTCCGTTGTCGGTATCATGTATGCATATTTGGTTAGTCGGTCGACGACTACCATAATCATGTCGTTACCCTCCGAAATGGGTAGCTTCGTGATGAAGTCCATGGTAATCCATTCCCATGGTTGTTTCGGTGTTTCCGCCAATTTCAGTTCTCCGTATGGTGCGTGTCGCGATGATTTGTTCCGTTGACATGAATCGCATTGTTGAATGTACTTTTTGACTTTTCTGTGTAACGCTGGGATGTAATAATTTCGTGTAATTTTCTCGATGGTCTTCTCAATTCCGTGGTGTCCTTGTGTTGTTTCGTCGTGGTGCAATTTGATGATTTCGTTTTGAAGGTTCCCAGGAACGTACACTAGACTGTGGATGTAGACTAAGCCGTCCCTGGTTAGTGCAGTGCTGTTGCCTAGGATCTTCTGTATGGATTCGTCATTGGTGGTTGCTTCTCGAATCCTGTCGATCCATTCGTCGTTTTGCAATTCGCTGGTTGCTGCGAGTGTTTGATGGTTGTAAACGATGTTTCCTTCCTGATCCGTGGTTAGGATCGCGGGTACTGCCTCCTTGGTTCCAAGTTCGTAGTCCGGTCGTCGACTTAGCGCGTCCGCTACTGCGTTCTCAGTCCCCTTGCAGTGTACGATCTTGAAATCGTATTCGGCCAGTGTTTCTGCGTATCTGGCTTGTCGTCGAGTGAGTTTCTTTGTTGTGGTGAAGTATGTCAAGTTGTGGTGGTCCGTCCTGACCGTCACAGTATGTTTTGCTCCTTCCAAGTATGCCCTCCATGTTTGGAATGCCGACACTATAGCCAGTAGTTCCTTGTCGTGGACATCGTAGTTGAGCTCTGCTGGGATCATCTTGCGGGACCAGAAAGCGACAGGTCTGAGCTTGCCGTCCTTTCCTGGTTGCATGAGTTGTGCTCCGAGCGCGAAGTCTGATGCGTCGGTTTCGATGATGATCGGTGAGTCGTAGTTGAATGTCGCAACAATTGCCTGTCCGGCTGGTTTGTTGTACATTCCTTTGAGTGCGGTGAACGACTTTTCCGCCTCGTCGTCCCATTTGAACGGTATTCCCTTTTTGGTGAATCGGTAGAGTCCGGCCGCATACTTCGAGTACTGCGGTATCAATTTCCGATAGTAGTTGGCAAGTCCAAGAAAGCTCTGTACGTCTTTGACGCACGTTGGTGTTGGCCATTCGAGGATGCTTCTGACCTTGTCTTCTTCCATCCCTAATCCGTCGGGACTAATGGTGTATCCGAGAAAACTGGTGTTCCGGACGTGGAATTCACATTTCTTGAGCTTGAGCGTGACCTTTGCCTCCCTTAACCGTTGTAGCACCATCTTGTTGTGCTGGATGTGTTCTTCCTCGGTTTTCGAGAATACGAGGATGTCATCAAGGTACGCGATGACGAACTTGTCGAGGTATCCGTTCAAAACGT